ATTGCTGAACAAATCCTTGCTGTTCGATGCCATTACTAGTATATCTTGCATCAGATATATCAGGCATATTATCTCTATTCTTCAACTCAAGTCCCAAAAGGGAGTTAAGATGTACTCTTAAGGAGGCCATTCACAAATAAGAAAGTTTAAAGAAACTTAATATCTTGTATCAGAATAACCAAGTATTAAATAACAAATCAATTACTAGCAGTTGAAAAATATTTTAAAAATCAGAATGTTTAGTGATGGCCAAAAAGATTTTAGCAACTAGATTAACAAATAAACAAAAATATAAGAATAGACGCTTCTCCGAAACCCCCTTCGGCATCCTGAAAAATTTCAGTTGATTTCTTGTGACCCAGCCTGTATCTCAGTAGAAGCATATTAATTGTGTATCAACTGAAATTTTTCAGGATGCCGAAGGGGGTTTCGGAGAAGTTCAAAAAAAACAAAAGAACAAAAAGTTTTACAATTTCTAATTATTTTTTACTTAGTTTAGTGATTGTGAATGACCTCCAATGGAGATCGGCAAAGAGCTGCATCAACAGTTTGAGCTCTATTTCCCTTTGGAATGACAGGGAGAATTTGGCGGAAATCGCCACCAGCTACTACTACCTTACCTCCAAAAGGCTGATGCTTAAGGGCTGGATCAGCAGAGCACATTATATCCCGCAGTGTGCGATCAAGGGCCTCAAATGTATGACGATGCATCATTGGTGCCTCATCCCAAATAATCAGCCTTGTGGCCTGGAGCAATGATGCCAAGTTAGTGCCAAGGGAGATATTGCATGTTGAAGTACTATCTACAATTAGAGGTATCTTAAATGTAGAGTGAGCAGTTCGACCACCAGAGAGAAGCATAGCAGCAATGCCAGAGGAGGCAGTTGCTAAGGCAATATAGCCTTGGCTCCGAATATGAGCAAGGAGAAGCTTATACAGGAATGTTTTGCCACTTCCTCCAGGGCCATCAAGGAAGAAAAATGTTGCTGTAGTATTAGCTAACCCTTCTACAGCAGACATAATGGTATTATAGGCTGCTAACTGCTCAGTATTAGCCATACGAAGCATCTGTTCAGTGCAATCAGCAAGCTCAGATTGATTAAATGATAGCTGCTCACTAATTAAATAGTTTTCAGTACTATCACCATTTGCATGTTCTGGTATTGGAACTGGCATGCCAGGATAGTCACTAAGTGAGCGCCCAGAGTGGAGAAGAATAGAGTTAATCTCCCTAAGGGCACTGTTAATAGCAGATTGCTCAGCGGCTTCCTGATTAGCTGTATGCATGAGGGCTCTATATAATAGATCATCAATTAGGCTTGTCTGGTGCTGTATCCACAGTGCGTATGGGTTTACTGGGTTTTCTTGAGCAAGAATAGTGGCAAATAAATATCGGAGTTGGTGACCAATCTGGACTTGTGCAGCTTCATCTAAGCACCTAGCCCATTCGCAGTTATCTTCAAGCAGGCTAAGTGCTATATAGGCTTCTCTAAATGTTCGATAAACAACACCATTGATAGTCCTGAGATTTTCAAATGATATTGCACCATGAACTACATTGAGTAGCATTCAGAGGTAGAATCGTTCTCCAGCTCTAGGAGAAACAAAGTAGATATGCCCAATTGTATTACCTCTCTGCCTTGGCTTCCAGACACGCTGTTGGTGATTCCAGACAAAATGCTGTGGGTATTCAGCATATGTATATGCACGGGCCTCTGGGTGGGCAGCATTATAAGCAAACCACTGTGTGAGTGTAGTATGTGCAAGGTGCTGCTGGTTAACAACTTCAGAAATAAGCTCACCATCATGAAAGAGAACCATTTGCTCCCCTGGTAAATGGACTTGAAGTCGTTGAATATCGGGCTTCTCCTCATGTAGGCGGAATGCAAAAATTCGCCAGATTGCCTCAGAAGTAGAGATATAGCGGCCATCAACATAGCTCTGGATCTCATTCTCAACTGCAGTATTTGTTGTATCAGTTGTCCTTGCCCTTGTTATATGGAGAGCTGCACGATCATGGCCCTTGTACACATATTTGAAAAGGTACTTGACAGCAGTGATTGAGGAGCACACCTCAACATTAATATGTGCCTCATACTTTGCAGCTAGATAAGGGTTATAAGGTATAACCCATCGGTTATCAAGCTGCATTCCTCTTATAGAAGCAAACTGCCCATCCTCACGCCGTCGATAAATCGGGTAGCCATTATTGGTGATTTGTGTGGCCTCTGAAAAGAATCTTGGGTAGCGCTTTGTGCAGTTGCCTTCTCTTACACATGGTGCCTGTGGGTTTAGTGGCCCGCATGGCCCATGCATCATTGAAGTGGCAATAACTCTAAAGAGCTGCATATTCTGCTGTTCATTAGGAAGCTCAGCACATACCACTCGGTCGATTTCTGTGATAATTCGGTGCTTTGACTCACTGTCCAGAATAAGCAGAATATGTGTATGGGGCAACCCTCGCTTCTGAAACTCAACAGTGTAAATATGACCAGCAACCTGACCAAAAACATGCCTCTTCGTTAGATCTTTAATCAGTTCCTTCAGCTTGATATTGAAGACACGAACTGTTAGATCTGGGCGATCAGCAGCAGATTGTCCAGGGAGTAATTCGGCCTGTACCTCCTGCCAACGGGGGTTGCAGGTGAAGGTAATAAATAGGTCAGGGGGGCCAAATGTCCTCACAATAGCCATTGCATCTTGATAGAGCTGATACATATGGCGGGGACCAGCAGTATATGAGGATGGCAATATCACTCTACGACCAAGGTTAGCACCAACCATATCGGCTTCAGATAGCTGGACAGCATCTTGAAGGCCTATATATAGATAAATATATTTGATTAATAATGTTAGCAGCAGTTTCTTACTATTATAATAATTCATACTAAATGTGCATTAACCAACAACAACAACAACAACAACAATAGCATCATTTCTTACTATATTTTATATATGATTGAAACTAATACATACCTTGGTACATTTCAGCACGAATATTGTCTTGGTTTCTTGCATACCATCGTAGGCGGTTGCTCTCAATAGTGGAATATGCGTCGACAATATACTGCTGGAATAACCTCCTACTTAGGTGGAGGATTGGAGCTGCCTCACCACGAAACTGAAGCCGGTAGGCATAAAAGGCCATCTGAGTTACACGGCTTTGGCGATGGGTTCCAGAGAGTGCTTCATCTCCAACACCATTCTCTGAAATCTCTGAGACATTATCCTGGGCTTGGATACTGTCTTGGCGTGTATGCTGATGACCTGAAATAGGAATGTCAGGATGCCAGCCATCCTCCCCACGTGGGAATAGAAGCACATAGTGCAGTGCAGCATAGGCAACATGTAGCTCTGAAATCCGCTGTAGTGTACCATTAGTTGTCCGTAGGATGATATCACGGCCATTGTTTGTATATTGGCCATCGGGTATAATTGCAGCTACTTCATCCGCTGTTGGTAAGTTGTAGCGACGCGAATCGTTATTGCGACCTGCTGTAATTGCTATGCATAGCTCAGGGGATGGATTCTGCTGGACAATTTCAGCAACCTGACGGAAGCGAGCAGCATACGGATTAACTGAATGGAGCATCTGCTGGAGGAGAGACAGAGTATTCTCATCAAGTCCAGGAATTGCAGTCATTCGATTTGCAAGCACATTGGCAGTGTCGTAAATATACAGCTGTGCATACTGCGGCTGCTCGTTGCCATATACTGGAAGTAGTGATCCAATTCTATGGTACATCTGACCACGAACTCGAAAGTTAGAGACACCTATGATATAATATAATATGATTTGAGATGAGAGGAGATGATTCCAACAATTATATAGCTATTCATAAAACAATCGTAGAACGTAGAACATAGAACATAGAACATAGAACATAGAACATAGAACATAGAATATAGAATATAGAATATAGAATATAAAACATAGAATATTGGTACTTACCACCATGATGCCTGCTAACTTCGCCATTAACTACTCCACCTGTTGAGGTAAAGGAGAGTACCGAGTTATACATTCGGATATTTCGCTGGAATTGCCGCGCTTCAGTGTTAGTGCCAGTCAATAGTCGAAGTAGTATTCCTGGTGGCGGTTGCAGAGCTGGAAGCACTACAGCTCCACGTGCACAGCAGATCTGAAAAATTGGACGTGCCATAGAGGACTGCTGGATTCGTTCGGCAGTCCATAGCAAGGCACTACAACTGGTGCACTGCACATCCATTCTTCCAAGTCGGAGAGGTAACGTGTGTGCACCAGATACCTGCAATGCAAGCGGCAGATGTGCACCTGATGCAGTACGCTGAATCTGTCGTTGAGAAGCACGCTGAGCCTGTCGCTGAGAAGAACGCCGTCTGTTAGCAGCATTGCGGCTCTCATTGCTCTGCATTGCCCGTCGTCTCCGACTTCGTAATCTTTCCTGTTCAAGTTCATGGGAGCGGTCCCCCTGAGCACTCAAAGCCCTCTGACGTTGGCGTCGTGCACGATCAGCAATCCGACGACGATCAGAAACCGAGGCATTATTCGTACTATTAGAATAGAATACCATCGTTATTGCTTTTAAATGAAGGAATAAATGAGGAGTATATATATAAGTATATATCTCAGTAAAACAAAGTCACAGTAAACCACAAAAATATGTAGAGAGAGAGAGAGAGAGTATGAGCGTTTACAAAAAGAAAGTTTATATATATATACCAGGTTTTCTTGTCGTTGTTGTTGTTGTTGTTGCTCTTGTTGTTGTCATGACACTTGACAGGTATAGTAAGGTATTGTATGATTGTTTAACAGGTCACACATGCATATTTAACAAAACACGTGCATATACACCCATTGTTAAACTATAAAAATTTGTTTTTTTTTTAACCAATTAAATAATTTCTAGCGGACGGTCGGACACTTTTTGGACTATAAAATCTTATATATAGGTAAAGATATAAATCTTATATAAATCTTATATATAGGTAAAGATAAAGAAGTAAAGATAAAGATAAAGATGCCGAAAATCAAGTTCACTCTCGGCGAGACGCTCCAGCTCATCAGCGCGTTGCCGTACTTGCGACAGCTGAGTACCGGTATTCATATCACAAGAGAGATGCGCACGAATACGTTTGCTCACAGACGGTGCCGTGGCAAATGCTACTTGGACTGGAGACAGGCCGTGGAGTACAGCGATGATGACAGCGACTCGGATGCCAGCAGCAGTGCCAGCGCCGATCTTTACAGTGACTACCTTCTTAGCTGTGGCCAAGGCGTCCAGCAGCTGAAAGCGTTCATGACTGACCATCTGCCAAACATCTACACGAGTCTGGGCTTTGTCGACGAACTCTACACGCGGTACTACCCGCTGTCCACAACGCTCTCTATCTTGGATGGGTGCACGTATGACGGAAATATGGTGTTTGCACAGTGCCGGATGCTTGCTATATTAACGGCCCTCTGCCCTTCTGTCCAGCGAGTGCAGGCCGGCTGGATCGATGACACCAACCACTTGACGACCCGCAGCGACACAAACCGATACATTAGCCGCGAGGAAATCGAGGAGAACCAGGCAGCACGCCGATCTGGATCCGTCGCCTCCAGCAGCTCCAAGCAGTCTAAGCCTTTGCCCCTTTCCCGGCCTGAATGCATGTGATAGTACGGCTTTTATGTTGAGGCTGTGGGAAACTTTTTGCGTAAAACAGTCTCAAAAAATGCGCCCAGCTGGGATCGCTGCCTCGGCTCGAGCGTCGGTGCACCTGTGAAACCCGACAAATCCAGCACAATTGCCTTGTACGTATCTACCAGGGGCTCAATGAGCTTCTGCACGGCGTCCGCTACATCTATGTCGATGGCCGTTGGCCCGCCCAAGATCACAGCCACAGGCACAGCCGCCCCTTCCTCCAGCACCTGCACGGCCTCCTCCATCCACTTGTAGCCGTGCACAAATGTCCTCGGCAGTGTGCAGTCACAGACGAGGAAGACTGCGTCGATCTGTGCGCCGTACAGCATTTGGCGCGACAAAGGGTGCTTCGTCTCGCTGGGGAACACGATGAATTCGATCCATGCGTCAGGCGTTGGCGCTGGGTCGGTGGAAACTGAGGATGTCGACTGTTGGGCCGGCCCAGTCGCTGGTGGCGGCTAGTGTGGCCAGAGCGTGGGTGGCAGATTTTGTGGACGAGCTCGGACTTGGCGGCGTGCAAATCGCCCAACACCCCTATCCTGATAGAAGGGTTGTTCATAATGCAAAGGCGCAATGGGATTAAAAGCGGATAAGCTGCAGAAGACTGGTGGTGCAAAAAAAAAGGTTGAGGTGGAGCTGTTGAATAGTGGTGGTTGTGCATTGAAGGTTGAATATAAAACGATTACTTGAAAATCTATGGATACCCCTGCCAATTGTGGAACCGTTGGATTTGCCAATCCCTCAGTCTTAATCCAGCTTTTTCGCTCACAGCGCGGGACCCAGGCCAGATTCTGTTACCAGTTCCCAGAGTGGAAGTTATGTTCCCAATCCACCAGCAACAGCCTCGGCGGAAGCGTCCAGCTGGAACATCCTGGCAATCCACTGTGCCAGCAAATCTGCCAGCTCAGCCATGATTCCCACCAGCTGTCTGTGATACGGCCACAAAGCCATGGCGACGCTGATCAACGTCGCGGCCAAAAGCGCAATCCCAAGGTAGTACCGCAACGAATGCGCCAGGGACAATCTCTGGCACGGCGACAGATTGCGGCGCGGCCCACCCAGCAGCTCTGTGGTCTCTGTCGGGAGCTGTGGTACATCAATAGTCACCGACTTGGTGGATTGGCTGGAGGTAGTGCGCAGCGACGGGACGGTTGATTTTGGATGAAGTAGATCACGGTGGTAGTCGACCAGCCAGTATGGAAGATCGTCAACAAGGTCGCCGCGCAGCAGGGCAATGCCGTGCAGGTACAGGTCAAAGTCAAGGACCGGGCGCACCAAGGAGCTCTCAAAAAACATTTGGCCGAGCCAGGCGGGCAACTCGGCGTGGCCATCGAGGTGGAGCTCAAAGAGAGCGAATGGCAGCGACTCGGATCTACCTGTGGGGTGCGCACGTAGGGCGGCCTCGAAGCCAGCTGCTATCAGCCATCTGGCTGTCGTGGGCAATGGTGACATTGCGGCGCAAAACGACGCGGATCCCAGGATGCTCCAAATCCACGTACTCGGTGCGCTCCTCGCTGGCCAGCAGCAAGGGCTTGAGGTCGTTCATGATGATGTTGCGCTGGATGCGCTGTGCCTCGATGATGCGCTGCCGCTGCTGCGCTTTGGTCTCTGACTCGGCGACCTGCTGGAGTATGCAGGTTGTCAAAGTTGAATTCGCTGTTGAGGAATGGCACCACAAAGCGGGACTCCAGGAGCGCGCTTGCCTTGGGTGTGCGTGTGGACTGCCAGGGCCCTGAGCACGCGTGCTGCTCGACAGGTCACGATCTGCGCGTCCTGCTCGCTCCAAAACAGCTCTAGCGTCTCCCTGTCTGCAGTCTCTGGCGAGAGCCCGCCGCAGTACGACCTCATATCCTTCGTGTCAAAGTACAGGGTTGCCCGGCCCTCATGCGCGTCGTCGATTTGGGTGGCGCAGGGCACGGGCGACTGAGTGGCTACCGAGGGATTGGTCTGCGGTGGCGACGGGGGAGGGTCCATGCGGGGCGACAGGTCTTCTTTTGGCTGATTCTGAGGTGCGCGGTCTGGCGGCGGCACCCGGGTGAGCTTAGCACAGAGTCTGCGGTGGAACTCGACTCGCATTGCGTGGATCGACCCAGCCGCGCCACAGCGCCAGATTCGGAAACGCCTGCAGCCTGCCCAAACACTGGTCCTGCACGCCATCTTTGTAGGCGCCCTGAACAACATCGTATATCTGCGAAATGCGAAACATCAGCTGGGTCTCCAGCGACGACTCGCCAAACAGCGGCGATGCTGCCAGAGCATCCAAGAGCTCAGCATGGTGCACCGGGCACACATGTCGCAGCTTGTCGAGGATCCGGTAGAGCGCAGAGAAGTTCGCTCGGCGGAGCCGTGCCAATGCCAGGGTCTGAGCCATCGCTGCGCCTACGGTCTCTTCGGCCTGGCCCAGATACACGAGCTGCTCGCCGTAGTCCATCGCATTGAGTCGATCCGAGGTACTGGGCACATGTCTGCACGCCGGCTTCCAGCTCGGCTCCTTTCAAGTGCACAAACGATCCGATCCGTTCCAGCTCGGTGCTGTATTCTCTGACCAGCGTTTGGCAACTGGCGCTCGGCGCATCACTGCAGGGTTCTGTGGACAGTGATGTGAGCAGCAGTTGGTAGTCGATGTTGTAGTGGCTCCATTCGGTAAACACGGGCTGCGGGACCGTGTAGCTATCATGCGGTGTATCGGGCATTTACCAGCGTATAGTGCCAAGAGTCTTTCTTTTTCGTTATCAGCTAGAGGCAGGATGGGTGCCAGGAAGTATGTTACAAGATGGTCTGTCTAGCGGTACACCGTAGCACAGAGCAATACAGGGAGGGGAGAGAAGGAAAGTAAGAAAAGGTTATAAACAGGAAGAGGGTGGTAAATGGGTGGGAAGGGCAATAAACAGAGAATGAAGAGAAGAAAAATGGAGCGAAAGCCTCAGTGAGGCGGTTTTAAAGGCAACGGCCGACAAGGTGGAGTGTCGGTAGTAGGCGATGAACAATATGTGCAGAGACCCAAAGCAGCGCAAGTGCCAGGATTTCCCGACGACCCGATTCCCTATGCGATGAGCGCTGATGCCACCGGCTGCCAGTCTTAGTGGTGCCCAACCCACACTGCCTTTCTGAGATGCGCCTCTGTGGGCCTGGCTGCAATGGCTGGTGCCCTTTGCATCGGCAGTGCCCGGGCTACGACGGTCCCATCAAGAACCACAGGCCATAGCCTGCGGCCGACAGAGAAGACCGCGGCCAATACGTCTGCCATGAGAAACAGCCCTGTGCTAAACATAGTAGACCGCATGATGCGACGGCGATCCCCCGCCATGACATGTTTCTTGAGAATGCAGTCATCTGGTGATTGGAATTTGTTTTATTACAGCGTTTACAAGCGAGGCACGGATCCAGATTAATGGGCCTCCCTACGTGCCCCGCTTCACGCCGAGTGGGTGAAGCGCAGGTAGAAGTTGACCAGGATCGCGCAGATCAGCACGGCCACGAGCACCGTCGGCCCCTTGCGGTCGTCGTACGGACCCGAGTCGCGCTGGCGGATGCGCTCGGCCCTCCACTGGAACAGCATCAAAGCGTAGACCATCACGATCATGGCAACGATCGTGAACGCAGCACCGGCGATCCTGCCTGTCGAGTCGCCAAAGTTCAGCAGACCCAGAGCCAGCGAGCCCAGCACGATGGCAAAGTTGAGCCAGGACAGGAACGTGCGCTCGTTGGCAAAGAACACCTTGGGCTCGACGCGCACGGGCACGGCGATACGCTTGCCGGGCTGGTCGTGGCGGGCAACAAAGGGCACGCTGCCGTAGGACGTGCTGTCTTGGCGGTGGCCCTGGACGGCGATAACACTGGCGTCGGCGTTCATGGTTGTATGCGGAGCGGGATAAACAGTATGGAAAAATAAAATAAAAGTCGGAGGATCTTGAAGGAGAGAAGCGCTGGCTTTTAACATCGCTTGCAGGCCGAGGTATCCATCCGCGGGCTTGCCCAACAAAAAATTGGAGCTAGGGGGTGGGAAGCTACCCTCCCCACGTGGCCCAGATAGGATGAGGCACGTTTTTTTTTTTTTTTTTGGCTGCAGCGCGGGTTAGTAGGTTGGATACTTTTATTGACAAGAGTGGGAGGCTGAAACTTTTGCTCGTCAGTGCTCGGCCTTGCCAAACGACAGCAGCGACACGGTGAGCTTGTCGAGCGGCGGCGTGTATGCCTTCTTGTGGAAAGTCAGGCCAAAGTTGACCGCTGTAGCGAAGATGAAGAAAATCACCACCACCACCGGCACAAACCGGTCGTCCCACGTCCCGCGCTGCCCGCGCCGGAGCCGCTCGGCGCGCGTCCAGAACATGGTGTATGCGTAGACGATCAGTGCCAGCGCGACCGGTCTCGAATACAAACGCCGAGATGCGCACGCGGATGCCCGAGCCGCCAAAGTTCAGCAGCGCCAGACCCAGCCCGCCCATGGTCACCGCCAGCTGCAGCCAGCTGATGAACGTGCGCTCGTTGGCAAAGTAGTTCTTGGGCCGGATAAGCGAGAAGTCGACCTTGTTCTGCTGTGTCTGCTGCGACGGCATTTCGAATAGAGTGTTTTAAAAAAGCTGTATGAATTTCTGGAGAGACGAAGACAAGTTTTGCTCGGCGGCTATTTTGTCCAGCGCTGCGATTTTTGATCGTTTTCCTCGGACCCACGCCTGCCCGGTTGGCTGTGCGGGCCCTGAACCACCCCCCTGCCAGCATCTGATGACCTGAGACCAGCTCCCCTACGGATTATCTCTTGACCCGGCAGATCTCCAGCGCGCGAAATCCTGTATCTTAAACCCCTCATCGGTCTGGATATAAACAGCAACTAGACCCGGGGCCAATGGCTGCCAAGAATCTGCCCACGGATCGAGCCTTCCTGGCATCCCTGGCCTTCTGTCTAGGCAGCCAGGGCCACCTGCACCTCCATTGCTTTGCCTAATCAAGCTAATGCCAGTCCCAGCTCGAGAGACAGACACACTCTGGAGCTAACCGCTGTCGATCTGCGCAGCAGGCTCCACCTAAGATTGCGTCCTGTACCCGCGCAAGTTTTATTTTTGGCTTTGCCCCAAGTGCGGCGGAGCTCAATGTAGCCTCGTTCGCCCTGCCAACAATCGATAGCAATGCGCTCGGCTCGGAGACAGAGCTCAAATGCCTGCATCCGTCGAGCAGGGGGGTATATAAGGAACCCGTGTCAGCGCAGCCCAATCTCAATTGGTACCTCGCCCCTGTTAACACCGCTCGCTTGTTTTTTCTGTCTCCTCGCTCAACAGTAGGGAAGCGCCTAACATCTACTGCTCAAGACCTCTTTTTCAGGTAGAGTACTGGGATCTTATTATCCGCCTTCGTTGCACTACTGCCCCGCCCATGACGATATCTCTTCTCCTCCGCCGCCATCGTCTGCCATCGTCTGCCATCGTCCTTCCTGCCACTGGGAATGGCATGCTGCTGCCTCATATACGGCCCCCGCCACGCCTCCCCCGGGCTGCCTCTTATGGCTGTGGCGTATCTAATGTCTCTGCACTATTCACGGGCTACTTGGCAACACCGTGTCCAACATGTTTCCGCATCATCAATGGTGTCCACCACTTTGTCCATTTTGGGGGGTGGTTCAGAAACACAAGGCTGGCATGTTCCTATGTACTTTTCCATACGACAGCTGCACGCTGCGGCTGATCCCACTTGTTGGGCCCTCATGTTTTTTGTTATTTGCCATGCCCCCTATCGATCTGTTGCTGTTGGTGCTGTCGGGTTCGCACGCACGCCATCATTACGCCGCGGCTGAAAAAGTAATTTTTGCTCCCCTATTCCAAACCGCGCGCTCGCAATTAACCTTTGTTGCTAAACTGTCCTTTCCTCCCCCGTCTTGCGCTACGGCCCTCTTCTTCTCTTCTCCTTTTGTAGCACCGCAAACCTTTATACTTGTACTCGTAATATTCTTCCCTCCACCTGCCATGAAGTTTGGACAGCATGCTGCGCGACTCGCTCTTCCCGGCGTGGAAGTTTTATTATGTCGACTACGCCAGCCTCAAAAAGTTCCTGTACGAGCGCACAGACAAGGGCTACACGGCCGACGACGAGGCCGAGTTTGTCAATCTCCTCGAGGGTGAGCTCGACAAGGTAAGAGTGATGGCGCACACAGCTTTTGTATATTGCCAGGCACACGCGTCCGCCCAGACTGCCGATGGCGGACCAGGCGCGGCACGATGATGCTTCCAGGGACTCCCCCAAACCACGCACTCCGCACTGCCGCTGGGCCCAGTGCGGGCCGTGGATTCCAGGTGCCACACAGATGAATCAGTGGAGCTAATCATCGGCAATATCGTTTAGGTCCACAACTTCCAGCAGACCAAGAGCGGCGAGATGAAGCGCCGGATCGAGTACTGCGAGAAGCAGGTCGATCTCATCTCAGAAAACAAGGCCCCTGTCGAGGCCAAGCGCGAGCAGCTGGATGTGATCGAGCGCGAAATCGACGCAGTCATCAGCGAGGTCTATGAGCTGGCAAAGTTCACGCGTCTCAACTTTACGGCCTTCCTCAAGATCGTCAAGAAGCACGACAAGAACGCTCCGTTTGTCCTGAAGCCGGTGTTCACCGTGCGCCTCAACAGCAAGCCCTTCTTCAAGGAGAACTTTGACGAGCTGCTGCTCGAGCTGTCGCGCCTCTACAATATCGTGCGCAACGGCGGCGTCGACGTCGACCAAGACAAGGACCCGCAGTCGGGCAATGGCCAGAACTTTGTCCGCCAGACGACAAAGTACTGGGTCCACCCCGACAACGTGATGGAGCTCAAGCTCTACATCCTGAAATACCTGCCGGTGCTGATCTACCGCACCAAGGGCTCGACCAAGCCGCCCAACCCCGCCATCACCAGCATCTACTATGACAACGAGGATCTTGATCTCTACCAGGGGCGCATCGAGAAGAGCGAGGGCGCCGAGGCCATCCGTCTGCGCTGGTACGGCGACATGGAGAGCAACGAGATCTTTGTCGAGCGCAAGACCCACCACGAGGACTGGACTGGCGAGAAGTCTGTCAAGGAGCGCTTCTCGGTCAAGGAGAAGTATGTCAACGACTATCTCTCTGGCAGCTTCACGTCTCGACGCCAAGATCCGCAAGCTGCGCGAGGAGGGCAAAAAGTCCGACCAGGACCTGCAAGACATGGAGACCCTCTCGTACGAGGTCCAGGAGAGCGTCAGAAGCAAGCGCCTTGTTCCAGGTAAGTCCCACTCTCGCTGCACCCGTGTCAGAGCACCGCCTGACATGTGCTCTATTTTGGAGATCCGGAGCTTGCACCACAATGAGGGCTGACATGTAGTGGAGCGAGCTCGGCTTGACATGTGCACTTTGCCCATTGTGAATCTCGAGCACAATCGGCGCAATATGTTGACGCATTTTCTGCTATCCAATGCACGTCTTGCATGCTCGGCCCTGTGCATGAGCAATGTCCCTGACCTCCGCTCTGCCACCAGCATGAAGTTTGGGGGAGGCCAGGATTGCTACAATCCCATGCCGGCTCATATTTTTATTAGCCGAGACCTGCTGTTGCTCATAATCCCTGCTTTTACCCATGTAGTCGTGAGAACATTCTATAACCGCACCGCATTTCAGATCCCCGGGCGATGCCCGCGTCCGCATCTCGCTTGACACGGAGCTGAGCATGGTTCGCGAGGATGGCTTTGATGGCAAGCCCCGTGCGGGCGACAACTGGCGCCGCAAGGACATTGGCATCGACTACCCGTTCTCGCAGCTGCCCGAGAAGGATATCTGCCGCTTCCCGTACGCCATCCTGGAGGTCAAGCTACAGACCCAGTCGGGTGTCGAGCCGCCGCAGTGGGTTGACGACCTGATCAACAGCCACCTGGTTGAGGCAGGTGCCCAAGTTCAGCAAGTTCATCCACGGCGTGTCGACGCTGCTCGAGGATCGCGTCGACGTGTTCCCGTTCTGGTTCTCGCAGATGGACCGCGACATCCGCAAGCCCGTCAGCCGCGATATTGGCATCTCGCGCACCTCGAGCCCGCGCGCCAGCATGACCGATATCGAGGGGCTGACTCCGGCATCGCGGGTCCAGCACAAGGTCCGACCGCTCCAACAGATCCAACTCCAGCAACTACCAGCCCGACATTGAGGTTGTCGTCGAGGAAGTGCCTGGAGACGCATCGAGTCCAGGGCGACAGCCGCACACAGGCGCCATCCGCACACTACTCGGATGAGGAGCGCATGGTTGGCGAAGAGACGTCGCTGCTGCGCAACCGTCGCAGGGAGCGCCGGAGACAGCGCAGCCGCGACTCGGGAATGTCGAGATTCATCCGCTCGCTGAACCCGTTCTCGCAGGCGCGCAAGTACGAGCCACTGCCCAGCGATGCTCCGTTTGCTGCCCGCCAGCCGACCAACGCCAGCACAAGTAAGCGTATCGCCGTGCCCGTGCGCGTCGAGCCCAAGGTGTTCTTTGCCAACGAGCGCACGTTCCTGTCCTGGCTCAACTTTGCCATCGTGCTGGGCTCGCTGGCTCTGGGCCTGCTGAACTTTGGCTGACTCGACAGGCAGGATCGCCGGTGCTGCGTTCACAGTCATCGCCATGTTTGTCATGCTGTACGCCCTTTTCTTGTTCCAGTGGAGGGCCTGAGCGCATCCGCCAGCGCGACTCGGGTCCGTACGACGACCGCGTGGGCCCGACCATTCTGGTCATTGTGCTGATTGCCGCCGTTGTGCTCAACTTCTACCTGAAGGTGTCCAACGACTTGTGATAACATGGCCTTCTATCACTCGCACCTGTGCAGGAGCAAACACACTCGTAAACATGTCATTTTTATTTTTCTAGAACTCCAAACTTTTATATCTTTCTATCAACATCATTCGTGGGACACACGGAAGAAGCAGATCGCCGCAACTGCACTCGCCGTTGTGTTCAGGCACTTACACGTGGACAGCGCTGTCATCGGGCGTCAAGCACAGTGGGCACTGTCAGCACCGGCTGTTTGGACTGCGCGAACCAGCGGTCAATGCACATGGCATGGAATGGGTGGCCGCAGGCCAGCTGGCGAATTAGCTGGTGGTTCTGGAACGGCTCCAGGCAGATCGGACACCCCGTCAGCAGCCACGACCTGCGCAGCCTGCTATCACGCACCCACGCTACTACATCGTCGCCATCGCATATGCCCAGCCCGCTCAGCCGGTGGTACACAGGCGCCGGCAGCCCAGCCTCTGGACACGTGGGCTTTGGGGTCGGTGGCTGGGTGCGTCCCAGCGGCATGCGATTGAAGGCATTGATCTGTATTTCCTCGTCTCCAAGCTCGTCTGTGTCTTGAGGTCTGCGATGGTGGGGGTTTGTGCGTGGCGGAGTGGCGGGTGCGTCTGGGGACGAAGCAGGCGAACCAGTGAGGCGCGCACCCGGCTGTGGTCTGGCTACGGTTTCCGTAAGCTAATCAAATGGGGCCTGGTTAAGTAGCCGTGGTATTTCCTCAGTGCTGCATTGGGCTGCTGTCCACTTACCCATGAGAACCACGTAAACAAGCACGAGCAGAACGAAGCCCAGTACACCGCCTACGACGTTTGAAATTAGCAGGTTGTTGGGACTGAAACCAAACTCAGCCATGTAGGGTGTGTATTAGTACAAAAAATTTGGTTACAAAAGAAGACACACGAAGCGACGGTTGCCGTGTATATCCTGTGTTGCATTAACTAATATTCGCCCCCAATGCCAGTCGCCTCCCATTGACATCGTCTGCGCAAGTCACACCTACGCGGTGGCTCATATACATGACTACCCATGCATCTCCCAATCCCCCTTCAAAGTCGGGATAAATAATGCCGGTATAGCTAAAACACGGGCACCAGCTGCCTCGGGGCATTTCTCCGGTGCGACTCCTCGCTCTGCCTCCTCGCCTCCTTCCTCAGCCTTGGCAATGACGTCGGCTGGGAAGCACGGGGTCTTGCACATCGGGCACTCATGCACCTTGGTCTTGGGCCGCAACAGCCAGTGCGAAATGCAGTCGCTGTGGAACACATGCCCGCACGGCAGCACACGAACCGAATTGCCAGGCACGTACTCCTCAAGGCATATCACGCAGCTGGCGTCGGTCTCGGTCGGCGCATACCGCGAGCTATCGTCCAATTCGGCGTCGGCCTGATGCGCCGGCAATCCCGTCCGCTTTTGGTTCCGGCAAATGCGCGGCTTCGGGCTCTGTGATTTCGAACTGGGTCCTGGAGCATCGGCCGCGCCCTTGAGCTCCTTGCGGTGGGCGTGCGGCCGCAGGATGTCCCGGATAGAGTCCTCCGTTAGGGTGTAGAGCGGGAGCACCTCGAGATCGGCCTCGGTCAGCTTGTTGCGGTGCCGCTCTGCGCGCGCACGCTGCCGCTCGGCCCGCCGGTGGTAGACCCCTAGGAACATTTCGGCGAGGTGCATGTTAGCATGAAAAGGTGCTCCAAAAAGCAAAAGATAAAAAAAGGCGAACGCGGGAATAAGCATGCAAAGCAGACAAGGAAAGCAGCTGCTGGGCCGCATTGGCCACCCGACCGCCTTGCTTTTATACTGCCTTGGGCAGCCAGTCGGCCGAGGAGAATTTTTTTCCTTTGGCTGCATATATGCATGTTTACTCAAATCCTCCGCTCTGTCCCAAGCAGGAGCAGGCTGCGCCTCTTGATTCGCCCTCCGTCTTTGGCCTTGCTGAAAGTCAGCCTTTTTCTAAAAGATACAGGCAAGCTGCGTCCATCACGGAGTTGATGTGCAAGCGGACTTTCTCCTGCTGACCTTCTCCTTTTGGGCAGGGACTACTGCCGATGAGAGTGGTCAGGCAGATCTGCGCTCTCTGCGTGCAATGCCAGCCATGTGACGAGATCTACCAGTGCGAGGGGAGGCAATTGGTTTGTACCTTACTCTTCATTGAGAACAGGCCGAAAGAGCATGGTGATGCTGAAGGCAACATACGCGACGTAGTTCCACGCCGACTGCGAGTCACCCCCCGAGCCAGATGCGCGGAGTACCAGCAGCCTGTGCGATGGCTCTGAAGGAATGTACATTATGATGTGGGTAAATGCCAGCCACCGAAAAACAGCGTAGCGCAGTCGGGTTAGTTTCGTGCGAGGGTTGGCAATCGCGTGCTGTTTACGTAAGGCAGTGTCTGCGAGATGCCAAGTGAGAATAGTAATAATAGTATCTGTACAAGAGTGGTGCTATGCTGCTGGATATTGGTTAGAAAGATAGCAAGGCAGAGTAGAAAGGAAAAAAACTGGCAGAGCAGAAATGGCGCAGGTTTCTTCTAAACCAACCGCTGTCAGCAGCATGCACATTTAAATGCCTTGCCTGTTGCCAGCAGGTAATCTCGTCCCCCACTGCAAATTCCCTTACGTGTGCTGGCATGCGGGAAACAAACAGGTGATGATTTAGTGGGCCGGCGATTCTTGTCCCCGGCTTGGCGAGCTGTTGTTCTTTGCAGTGCGTTCAGGGCATGCCAAATCGAGCAGTTCAAGACGCAATTGTTGGAGCATGTGTTCCACGGAATGTGTTCGAAGCGGGGATGTTGTGACCCGGCTCTCAGCTTGCGCTGTGGTGATGGGACCTTGCAGGAGATTTGCCATGTTCTAGCAAAGAGTGTGCCCCAGCGACCATGCCAGCTGGCGAATGTCCCTGAACTGCCCACTGCTGGCCACCCATTGGCTGCCACCAAACGCAGTACACAACAACGTCATCGAGCAGCTAAAAACAAACCCTACGCTGCGGTAAAAAAAAACCTGTCACTGTTTTTTTTTGGCGGAGCTTTCTGCAACTTTTTTCCAATACCTAGATTTCCTTTCCTCCATGCAGGCAATTCCATTATGAATGAGTCCGCGGCACAGAACGAGATAGACTATGGCACGGCCCTGGAGCGGGCCTCCGACGACCCGGTCGATGACAGCGAGGTAGAGCTGAACCGCATGATATCAAACATTGGCTTCGGCAAGTTCCACCGGCGCATCCTGGGCTTATGCGGACTGGGGTGGCTCGCAGACAACATGTTCATGCAATGCATCGCATGTATCCTGCCGCGTGTGCAGCAGCACTTCTCTGTCAGCAACGGGCAGATCGGCCTGATGTCGTCGTCGATGTTCCTGGGTCTGACCGGTGGTGCGTTGATGTGGGGGCTGCTGTCGGATCGGTTTGGGCGCCTGGTCGCATATCACTGGACACTGGTGGTATCGGCGGTGTTTGCAATGCTGGCGAGCTTTGCGCCATCATTCGGAGTCTTTTGCGCGTGCCTGTTTGGCCTTGGCACGGGTGTGGGTGGCAACATGCCTGTGGATGGCGCCATCTTCCTTGAGTTCATCCCACGTGAGAAGCGCCACCTGCTGACGCTGCTGAGTGTGTTCTTTTCATTTGGGTCCGTGCTGACGTCGGTGCTGGCATTGGCCATCTTGCCGCCCTTCAGCTGTCCGGATGACAGCCAGGGGTGCGATGTGGGCAAGCTGAACAACGGCTGGCGGTACCTGATGGCGACCTTGTCGCTTGTCACCATGGCCATGGTCGTACTGCGCAATGGCTGGTTCAGCTTGTACGAGAGCCCCAAGTTCCTGCTGCAGCAGAACCGCCGCTCCGATGTAATAATCGTTTTGAAGAAAATCGTCATGTTCAATGGCGGCACGACCAAGGCTGTGGCCACCAGCCCTCGTAGCGGAGACCACAGCGACGGCCAGGACGTGGCTGACTTTGAGAGCTCGCTTATCAGCCCACAGATAAACCAGTCCAGCGACGATATTGCCAGACCCCCGTCACTCAGCAGCTCTGACGACATGTCGTGGCTCGAATGGCCCGAGGACATTGAAGAGCCGGGGCGACCAGCCAGCCGGCCGCAAGCAAAATCAATCCAGAGCCGAATTCGTGGCGCGCTTGACTTCCGCAGTCACATGCGCTCGCTGGAGCCATTGTTCACGCCTGAGCTCCGGCGCACAACAGTCTTAATTTGGCTGATTTGGTCGCTGGTGGCCATGGGGTTCACAATGTTCAATGTGTTCTTGCCCAAGTTCCTCGAGTCGCGCAGCGCACCTGGTGCCCAGCAGCAGCAGCTGGCAGCAGGCTCACATAGCAAGCAGACGGCAGTCTACCGGGATGCGCTTATCTACGCGGTCAGCGGCATACCAGGGTCGATCCTTGGTGCCTGGATGGTTGACACACGGCTCGGCCGCATCTACTCTATGGCGATATCGACCTTCTTCGCTGGCCTGGCCCTGATAACATTTGCCATGACTGCCAAGACACATGTCGCCTGGCTTACAACCATGTCGTCGTCAGTTTTTGGGCTGACAAGCTCGCTCATGTACGCCATCATCTATGCTTATACGCCGGAGGTGTTCCATCCTTCGGTACGCGGGACTGCCTGCGGAATTGCATCGGCCATGGGCCGCGTCGCCGGAATCATCGCCCCGCTTGTTGCCGGTATGCTGCTGGAAGTCAGCACCACGCTGCCGATGTACCTGAGTGTTGCGCTGCTGTGGATGTCCGCTGCTAGCATGGTGGCACTGCCCATCGAAACCCGCGACATTGCCACATAGAAATCTACCAGTCACGTGGCCTTTGGCTATAACCATCTGCATCAATCGATCACGCATACATTCTGAAGGTTGAATTTTTTTTGCTCTGGCGATTAATAAAACTTCTTTTTCTCTTGTTCAAACTCTCCTCTATGATATACCCAAAGAGCACAATCAAGAGCACGTCAGAGTCCATTGGAATCCCAAAGCTCAAGGACGGCATCTCGGCGGCCATGGCGCAGGATGTTGAGTACCGCTTGCACGAGATTATCGACGAGGCAGTGAAGTTCATGCGGCACTCGAAGCGCACAAAGTTGACGGTGGCTGATGTCAACAATGCGCTGCGCGTGCGCAATATTGAGCCCATCTATGGATTTGAAGCCGGACGTCCGATCAAATTCAACAAAGCGGCGACGGCGCTGGAGGAGATCTACTATGTCGAGGACGAGCTAATAGACCTGGACACGTACCTGGAGGAGCCGCTGCCCAGCGTGCCCCTTGAGGTTGTCTACACATCGCACTGGCTTGCCATTGAGGGCGTGCAGCCCAGGATCCAGCAGAACCCGATCCCCCTTGACGACGAGGATGCGCCGGCGAAGAAGCAGGCTCGGCCGCACGCGCAAAAGACAGATGGCACGAGTGGTGTGGAAACAGTACCGCTGGTCAAGCATGTGCTGTCGAAGGAGCTGCAGCTCTACTTTGAGTGCATTACAGAGTCTCTGCAGAGCAGCGATCTGGCAGTCAAATCGACTGCGCTGGAGAGCATTGCAATCGACGCAGGAATCCACCAGCTGGTAACATACTTTATCCAGTATATTGCCGAGACAGTCAAGTCCAACATCCACAGCCTCGATGCACTGAAGACGGCGATGGCGGTTGCGCGTGCAATCCGCAAGAACCCGAATCTCTTTGTCGAGCCGTACATGCACCAGCTGATTCCCTCGCTGCTGACGTGCCTGGTTAGCAAGCGGCTGTGTGAGAGTCCGGCCGAGGACCACTGGTCGCTGCGTGACGGCGCTGCTGACCAGATTGCCGAGATCTGCCAGCAGTTCAGCCGCTCCTACCATACGCTGCAGGCGCGGATTGCGCGCACGCTCCTCCGCGCCTTCCTGGACCCGACAAGGCCACTGACCACACACTATGGCGCAATCACAGGCCTGACCAAGCTCGGTGTCAACATCATCAAGGTCCTGATCCTGCCGAACATCAAGACGTACATGACTCTGCTGGATGCCGAGATGGCCAAGGACAACCAGCAGCTGGTCAGCGACGGCAGGCACTGTCAGGAGGCGCTTCTGGGGGCGCTGAGAGCGCTGGCGCTGGATAATAAGGAGCTGGATGCGGCTAGCCTGACCAGCGTGCAGAAGTCGAAACTGGCTGAGATTGTCGGCGAGACCTTGGCCAGGCTTGTGTTTGCCGATGGGGACGGTGGTCGAATTGTCGCGTATTTGCTGGCCCATGAGCGGGCTAGCAAGGACTCGTCGACTGCCTCCACATCAGAATAAAACTTTCATGCCATGGATATATCTTTATGCATGCTCAGCATGTTGTGTTTCGCCAGACCCGGGCGTCGACGGCGATAGTAGTGATATCGATAACCCTGATCAGGCATATGATGGTGGGCGCTGTGGTCCCACTGAGGGTAATGGGCGGTCAGGCTCGGGTCTTTGACCCAAACAATGGCTGTGTCTGGTCAGGCAACGCGTTTTGCGTCGAACCAACGACGCAGCACGCCCTGGCTAGGACACAGCTATATGTCACACATCTTCCGTCTTCCCTCCCTTCTGCTCCATCTACTGTCCCATCAAGTAAAACCAACCTTCAAGCATCCTAAACCCTACATAGTAGAACCCAAAAACAACCTCCTTTTCCACTTCTCTTATCAGCTATGGTAAAAAGAATTTTTCTAAGGCGCAAGTAAACCGTACACACAAAAGTCCATTGAGTACCACATGGCTCATGTGGCATTATCGTATGTAGAGATGTGATACTCGCTGAGCATGTGTAGTGATTAGAAATACTTTGGTTTTATTCTTTGTGGTTTTAACTTTTGTCGCTCCCGGACTATCCTCGTGCTCCTGTGATATAATGTGGTCCATGTTTATAGAGTTCGCCGTTGAGTTGCCAGCCTGGTCGACAAACCTCTGCGCACCACCCTCGATGCTTGGAGCGAATTTCAGGTAGCGAGATGTCATCACCGATGCCCGTCAGTCGAAGACAGCGAGAACTCATCGAATCCACGGCCAGTGATTCCCTCGCCGTTGGAAAATACCGACTGCCGTCTGCGCGCATACCCCTTGGTAGCCATACCGCTGCTGACACCCGACTTGGCCGACAGCTGGACCGCCATTTGCGTCGTCATCGTCGTGATCAAAAATATCACCATTGGCGATGGTCTCCATGTTCACCATCAGGCCGTCGTAGGGCTCGCCGGCAAAGTTTATCTGGCGCTGCCTCACCTCGTCCAAACTCAGATTGCGTGGATCGGAATCGCTGCTTCTGGTGCTTTTCGCTTTGGACGAATTCAGCATGTCGTGGATCTTGAGCCAGTTATACATGCCGATGCCAAACATGGCGACCAGCAGGCCACAGGCATTGACAAACGACATGGTGTCGCCAAAGATCAGATGGGCAACGCCAACCATCATAACCTCCTTCAGCATCCCAGCAATTGACAGGGTCACGACCGACGTGCGTGCGATCAGGAAGAACTCGGACAATATCATGGCGAACGCCAGCACGCCGCCGCCCACCATCAGGGCCACGATCATGACGATTCCTTGCGTCGAGTCCATGTTCTTATTCTTTGCGATTTCGGTGAACGGATGCTCGATGATCAGCGAGAACACCATGATGCTGATACCGGTGATGGGCGTCAGCTTTGACATGGTTGCAATCGGGTTATTCATGCCGAACCGCTCCTGTGACAGCAAAATCTGCGTCAGCGACCAGCGCAAGCCGCTCATGGCCGACGATGTCATGACCTCGAGGAAGCCGGCCCACACGAAATTCACCTCTCCGGCAGCCATCAGCATGATGCCAATTGAGATCACGGCAATAATGGCAATCAGCACCAGGCGCACGCGCTCAAGCCCAAACAGGAACGCAAATAGCAGGACGAATCCCAAGCTCGACGACTTGCACATCGTGTAGAAGGTCAGAGTAATTGTCTGCAGACTCACATTGCTCAGCCCAACGTCCAGCGCCGACGCAACTCCGCATGGGACCGCTCGCGTCAGATACGCACTCCATGTCGGCGATTGGGTCGGACGCAGGTGCGGGAACATGCGTAGCGCTAAAAGTGATAGCAGATATTGAACCAGCATATGGATAGCACTGACAAACAAGGGGAACGAAAAGTCGCGCTCAGAGTTGCCAAACAGCCAGCGATTGTATACTGAGAGCATACCGGAAAACGAATACCACATGACTATGAAGAGCGCGCTCAGCAGTACGTTCTTGCGAACCCCGGGATCGCGCATCAGCGCCTTCAGTCCTCGCCGTTCAGGTGCATTGGCCTGCATGCCTGTCTCATAGGATACGCTCGGAGGCGGCACCATCAGGTGCATTTGTCATGTCTGTGAGCTCTGTGTACTCATGGTTTGCATCTCTGGCCATTTGAAACGGTGGAATTTCGCCTCAGCAAGAGGAGCAGTAGGCAGCGAAGGCTGGAATGGTAACGGGGGAAGGGGGGGGGAATTCGACAGGTGAAACAGTAAAGGAAGTCAATGCTCGTGCGATTAGAAGGTGAAGGTGGAGGGGGAGACTAAAATACAACTGTGCGAACAAGGTGGGAAGCAAAGGAGAAGTGTGCTTGTGGCATCCCTCACAGACCCACACATTGGCCTCGCTGATCGCCTAGCAAACAGACTGGGCAGGCGCTCATTAATTTGAGCTGCATTCACTAATATCCAGGTCTGCCACGCAAACTTGCAATGGCCACTTGTCTTTTCTGCCGACGTAGGCCGGTCGTGCAGATGAGTGTGGTAGTGCCTGCAGAGCACGCACGGGTTGTCGTTTATTGCCAATGTCATGTTAGTCGGCTGAAGCGCTATGTGCATCAGCCAAGCCCTTCTGATACGTCTCCAAGGCGAGCACATCGCCCACCTTTTCGTCAAGGTTGGGAATATCTATGTCCAAGTCCTCGAGCTCGCCTCTGAGCGCATCGACTTGCTTCATCATGCTCCTCCGCAGCCGCTCATACCCCTTACTCAGGTCATCACCCATCTGCTCAAGCTGCGAATGCAGTCGGAGATACCTCCTGGTCCACCGCAGCGCGTCTCCGCCGGGCAGGTCCCTGTAGCTTTCCGAGATTTTCTGGCTCGCACGTATCACTCGCGCCTCCTCTGGCAGCAAACGGCGCCGGCGACACGACGGTGACGCGTCGTCTGCGTCGATTACGACTTCGGGCGAATCGGCGAGCCACATTGTCTGACCATCGTCAGGATCATCGTACACGTAGAGCCGGCATCCGTCGGGCGTGCACTTGCTAGTCGTCGGATCAATCGCCAGGCTAAGCTCCGACGGTGATGTGCAGTCGCCAGGGATCTCCTCACCCTCTTCCCGGTCGGCCTCGTTCGAGCACTTGGCTTCCAGAGCCCGTTTGCGCGCATCCACGCTTGCGCTCTGGGCCGCCGCTAGCTCGTCTACCAAGGGCGTGAATTCAGCGTGGCAGCTATCGAGCTTGAGCCGCAGCTCGCAGTACTCCTCGTACGCTGTGCGGATCGACTGCTCGAGCCGCTCCAGGTCCTCAATGGTCTTTGGGTTCTGTGGCCGCATTGCCGGCGAACGCGACAGAGAGTCCTGCCGGGAGGGAACCGGCGACAGTGATGGGCCGCGCGGCAGCCGGGCACGAGCACTGATGGCAGCTGCAGCGGCCGTCATGGATTGTGTGGCTGCATCAGTGGCTGTGTCAGCATTTCCGTTGGCTGATGTCAACGAGGGGATACGTCGTTCTGCGCTGATTTCTGCTGCTAGCCTCTCCTGGACTCTGTTGACAGCCGCTTCAGTCTCAATGCTGGGCACCTGTGGCGACGATATGGCCGGCGACACAGCGAACGACTGGGCGGGTAGTGGGCGCGACCGGAGCTGTAGCGGGCGGCGGCTCCCGTGCTCGTCAAGGTCTGCTGCGTCGGTGTCAGTGAAAGCGCGAGTTATGACTGTGCGACCGGCTGAAGGTGCCATCCACGCGATCGACCATCATCGGGCTGCGGCTCTGGCTGCTGCTCCAGCGTGGCGGCCGGTGCTGTGGTCGGCTGTAGTCGGCCTCCGTGTCTGATACTGGATGCACATCGGACTCGGCGCGCAGCCGACGGAACCGCTTGCGGTCCACTGGCAATCTGTGTTGGTCTGAAGGGTCGCTCCTCTGGCGATCTCCTTGGAACGATGCGCTGTGTGAGTGGCCTCTAGACGCCTGCAGCTGGGGCTTGGCTGGTGCCAGGGATTCAGCAGCTCTGCCGTATTCTGGGCCCGACGTCTCGCCCTCTTCCTTGATCTCGCCATCATTCAGCTCGCCATCCTCATTGCTCGGCTCGGGCTTCTTGCTCGCAGCCTTGGTGTCAGCGCTAAAATCGGGTGTGACAGACCGGCGGCCGGGCGCAACCGAGCTGCGGGAAGGCGGGCCAAGCGAATCAGTGGTCCCTGTCAGCTTGCGCTTGGCCGGCTTAGCTCCCTTCATGCCGAGCGTCTTGGCCAGCGTAGGTGCAATGACCGAGCGAGTGGGCTTTTTCTTTGTCGCAGGTGGTTCCTTCGGCAGGCTCAGCGACGGGACTGTCGGGCTGCGGATCACAGATGTGTTGGTTAGAGCCGACAACGAGCCCGTGGCAGCCGCAGCCCCAGCCGCAGGCGGGCTCGCATTGGCAGCCGGCCGGAGCTGTGCTCTGGCCCAGCTTGGCCGCCGTCTGCTGTGCCCGTTGCTCTGCAATCATTTCCCTAAGTTTCTTCTGCACCTTTGTTACGCGCACGCGGTCCGGATCGTCCATGGGCAGTCCAAGCTTATCGAACGCAGCAAGGCAGTTGGCAGCGACCTGCAGCCTGACACTGCCCTTGTATTTTTCCCACTGCATAATCTGCACCTCACGGAACTGCTCCGGCTTGAGCGTCCACAGCGTACCGTCCACGGTCGCAATTGATTTGAGAATGTCCAGCACTTCCTGCCGCGACCCCTTCAGCTTGGCCATCGCCTTTTCCTCCTCGCACGACGCAAACGCCAGGTAGTGCAGAAGCCGATCGCGTGTCTGCTTCAGGTGCTTCTGGTGCTGGGCCGCGACGCCCGGCCGCTTCAATGGCGCTGACTTGGCTGCTGCCCGCTCCTTTGCGCGCTGCTGCTGTGTCTGCTCGGCCACGGCCTTTTCGACCATCGAGCTGAATGCTGTCTGGCTGGACTCCAGCGATGCCATTCCTGCTGGCTCTGCGGGCCTTGCCGCCGGTTTGCGCTCAGTCGGCTGTGTTCCTTTGGGCGGCAGGAGCGTCAGGCGGCCAGTCACTTTGCCGTGCGGCTCCCATTGGGTGCTCTCGGTGTCGCCGCTGACTATTGTTGGCGACTTGCCTTGGAATACAAGCGCTACGCCGCCGCGCTCTGCCCGATACCGCACATCGTAGCGCATGCCAGCTATGACCATTGACCCGCCAATGCCCTTCTCTTTGCCGCCCAGTGTGAGCTGGATTCCGTCGGTCGACTGCAGCTTGTCGAGCACATTGCGCGGTATTTTGAGTGCCAGTAAAGGTGTCGTGGACTGGGAGGCCATTTGCCACGGTTAATGTCGTTTGCGACACACGAAAACGTACGTAATTCCGAAAGGAGTAAAAGTGCGGTTATAAAAGGGAACGTGGATACTGTCGCAATGGCTACTGGCATGTCCTGCACCGCTGTTCGCAAGTGAGCAGGTGCGGCTCGGCTCGGCTCGCTTTTTTTTTTGGGTCAGCGTGTAACTGGTTGCAGGCTGCTGTGGCCCGGAATTGCCGTTTTTCGCCACAACAGAACCAGAGAGAATCCCGCCTCTTCTCCTGAGTATTCTGAGCTTTTTTTTCCCTTTACAGATAATAATTTTTCTAAACCAAAAGGTAGGTTTCGTTCTAGGCTGTGGATGGCACTGCAGGCTGTGGGCGAGCAAGCAGGCCGAGGGGGAATAAGCAAGAGTATGTTTGTTCCATGCACAGGGCACTAAAAGGCTCGCCGAGTCTCATTCACTCATAGATGTCGAAGGCTTATACCGCTGAGGAAATCTCGAAGCACAACACGCGCGAGGATATCTGGGTCGTGATTCACAACAAGGTGTACGACATCACCAAGTTCCTCGACGAGCATCCTGGCGGCGAGGAGGTTCTCCTGGAGCACGCCGGCATCAACGCGACCGAGGCGTTCGAGGACATTGGCCACTCGGAGGATGCCCGCGAGCTGCTGGAGCAGTACCTGATTGGCGACCTTGAGGTAGAGTATCTCAGCGAAGCAGGCCCAGTGAGAAAACCCTGCCTGCTGGCATGGGAAAACGATAAAAGGGCTGGGTTCTTTTTCTGTATTTTGGATGCATGGCGTAACATCATCTCATCTCATCAATCATTTATTTCGTTTACTGTAGGGCGCACCGCCGACGTCCATCCCGCGTCGCGAGGAGGCCGACGGTGAGAGCACTGGTGTGCGCGGCAAGCAGAACAGGTAAGAGCAGCGTTGCAGCGCGGAAGTCCGCTATTCCCTCATGAACATGCATTAAGAGTCCCTCCTCCCCTATTCCCTGTAGCAGCTCGATGGGCTTCCTTGTGCCCCTCGGCCTGGCCGTCGCCATTCTGGCGTACAAGTGGTACCTGTAAGGGCTACTCTTCTCCCAAAAAGCGATTGCAGTGCGATTACCAACCCTTCTCGTCCATCGAGAGTCCCAGCATACCATTTTATATAGCCTTTCGTTTTTGATCTATCCAATATAAACAAAATCTACAGCTGATTAGATCCGCAGGCCCGGCTGAACGTGCTCTTGCATTATCTCTACCTTGAGGATCAAATGGGTGATGCCCTTATCTCCACATACGGGCTCGCGTTCCAGCAGATAAAGTCTGCGACAATATCCACCGGGTATTTTTCCACTTGCCTGGCGTACACTCTTATCACCATCTATCATGGGGGTCAAGCAGGTGGCGATGGTCCAAGATACACGGACGCCATGGAGGTTTGAGGGCGAAAAATAAATGTGCGCTGCGGGTATGGCATGGAAAATTGCCGCGCTCCAGGGAACCAGAAAAAACGCCAATTCCTCCCTGGTGTTTGGCGCATGCCTGTTGGTGCGTGCGGGGGCGGACTGATAGAGCGATTGCACCCCGTCTACAGTGCGACGCGCTTGGTAACAGATAAGGAAACTTTGCAAGCACATGAAATAAAAACCCCCGAACAGACGAGCTTCGCACGGGACGGGAAATTAAAGCCAAATTATAAAAGCTGCCAAACCGCCTCGCTCTGTGGCCTCAGCATCAGCCTCACTCTTCTTCCCAACGTCGCTTCTCCAAAAGCCAGTCCTCCGTTTTACACTCTTTCCACATACACACAATGTCTGACGCCTCTACCGAGTCAAAGCCCAAGGCCAGCAGCGGTTCGTCTGGTGTCAAGTCGTTCCTGTCTGGCGGTTTTGGAGGCATGTGCCTGGTCATGGCCGGACACCCGCTCGACCTCCTGAAGGTGCGCATGCAGACGTCGAACCGAGTACAAGAGCACGCTGGACTGCTTCCGCAAGACGCTGGCTGAGAACGGCATCCGGGGCATGTACCGCGGCATGGGAGCACCGCTTGTCGGCGCGACCCCCGTGTTCGCCATCTGCTTCTGGGGCTACGACCAGGGCCAGAGGATTATGCGCTCTGTCTACAACCTGGTAAGTAGCAAAACACTAGCATGTGAAATCGGGTAGCGGGCGGGGGACGGATTGGGCTGGCAGTTTCGGAGGTGCCCCAGGGTCCGGGCAGAGCCGAGGATTTTCTCGCCAAAACATAGCCGTGAGGGCGGGCCACACGGACCGAATTAGCAAGCATTAGGCCGAGTGGTACAAAGGCACTAACATCTCTGGACCGTCCCATGCTCTAATGCTGTAGTCGCCGGAGGATAAGCTGACGACCAACCAGATTCTGTTCGCCGGAGGGTTCTCTGCGATCCCGACCACAGGCGATCATGGCGCCCATGGAGCGCATCAAATGCACGCTCCAGGTCAGCGGAACCAACGGAGCGGCTGTTTACAAGGGCCCGGTCGACGCGGCCATGGGCATTGTGCGGTACCGGCGGTATCAGCTCGCTGTTCAAGGGCACGTGCGCGACTCTCCTGCGCGACGTCCCCGGCAGTGTTGCGTACTTTGGCGCCTACGAGCTGATCAAGAAGGCGCTGACCGACCGGAGCGCCGGCGAGGGCGCCATCTCGCCCTTGGCCATCGTCACTGCCGGTGGTCTGGCCGGTATGGCCAACTGGGCAGTGGCCATTCCGCCTGATGTCCTGAAGTCGCGGCTGCAGACGGCGCCTGATGGCAAGTACTCGGGAGTCCGCCAGGTCTTTATCGAGATGATGCGGACCGAGGGTGCGGGTGCGCTGTTCCGCGGCATGGGCCCGGCGCTGCTGCGTGCATTCCCGGCCAACGCCGCGTGCTTCCTGGGTGTCGAGCTGTCGCGCAAGGCCATGGACAAGGTGTTCTAAACTGTGTTTGCATATGTCTATTTACTATAAAGACGCTTTTCTTTCTCATAGCCGCTCTAGCAAGTGTGCCAGATCCAGGTCGCCGATCGACGAATCGGCGCTGTCTGCTGCCCCCAGTGTCTCCGCCTGCTTCACCGCAACGTACTCGGCCAGCTCCCTCCTGACCATGTCTAGATTGCGACCGCGCCGCTTGAGCAATGTCTCGATCCGGCCCTTCACTGTCTCTTCGCCCGCAGCAAACCCAACAATGATGTCGCACATTTGCAGCGAAAACAGCCCTACATCCAGTCTCCTCAAATACCGATCCTCAGCATCGTCATCAGCATCGTCATCTTCGCTGCCTTCTGCAACGCGCTCTGCATACTGCGCATTGAGCTCGACAATGCGATCGACCCGCAGCTTCCACCCCTTGTCGTCCTCCGGCGACGGCATAAACTTCGCCAGCACGCGCCAGTGAGTCGGCGTGTCTCTGTCAGTGAGTCGAAACAGCCACGCAATGCAGTTTACCGCGCGCTCCTCGAATTCTGGGTGCTTTTTGTAGAGCTTTGCCATGTCACCTTTGCCCTTCTTCATTAGCATCGAGAACAGGTACTTGAGCCCGAGACCGTCAATGTACCGCTTCGCAATGGCTTTGGGCACTGCTGAATCGCTGCCAGGCGTCAATGCGTAGTCGAGGATCTTGAGCGACAGTAGCTTGCCTACCACCACCTGCTTTTGTAGCAGCACCACTAGCTCAACCCCCTCCAGGTCAACGAAGCTGCGCTTCCCCTGGTCGGTTGTCAGCAGCATGCAGACCGAGTCAACGATATTCTCCAGGTACTCTGATTCGGTCTCGTCTCCAGGCGACCGTTTCCGGTACTTTGCCGTGCACCTCAACAACGCGTCCATCATATCGCCGGTCGCTGCCTGGCAGATTTTCGGTGATGACTGCAAGAGAATTGAAAGAATCTCCGCCGCAGACTGCTGGTTCGAGTCGACTGGATCATCCGTATACGTCTTGGATATCCGGTTCGTTAGCCACACCAAAAGCTTCGCTGCTGCGACCGCTGCCTCCGCAAGCTCGCTATTCAGCGACACCAGGTTCTCTATCAGACCCAGAGTCTGGAACACGCCCTGGCGGTCGGCTTCTCCCTCCTGACGACCCAGCCGACTCGTTGAGTCTGCGCAGGTTATCGCCAAGCACCTCAAAGAACCCCTCCTTCGCCAGCGCCCGGACAAACTCCTCGACTGCATCGCGCTCCTCCTGCGACTCGCCGCTCCATGCATCCTCGGCTGTCACTTCGGCTACGACCTGGATCACATCCAATGCAATATCGGCGTTCTCGTGCGCCATCAGACCGACCAATGTCGGCAGACACTCCAGCTCCTGCAATGTCTTCAGATACTGGACGCTGTTCGCCAGCATCAGGAGCCGCTGGATCGCCTCATCGAGCTCCGCCTCGGATTCAGCAAAGCCCTCGGGGCTCTCTGCGTGCTTTATCCGGTCCTCGGTGTTCTTGGACACGGCCTTTTCTAGCCGCAGCACGAGACGCTGCACGGCTGCGTGGTCGAGCCTTTCGTCCATGTCTTCCATTTGGTCGACCCACGACAGCACGCCCTTCTCCTTGGTGGTGAGCCCGTCCGAGAAGAACCGCCCGCCCTCGGAGTCGCTGACTGCTGCCGAATTGTCAGAGTCAGGAGTCAATGCGCGGCCGCTTGGCTGCTTCGTCGCTGTGGTCTTCGTCGTGGGTGGCGATCCCGTAGCCGTCTTCCTTCAGCTTTTCGAGCGTCGGCACCGGCCCCAGCCGCCGGCGCTTGCCGGAATTTATCGACGTGCTGGTGACCTTTTCTTTGAAAATGTCGTTAATGTCCATTCTGAGAATAAAGCGTATCGATCACGCAAAGGGAGGGGGAGAGAAGGAGCATGCGCGCATGCGGTCGCCGGCCTGAAAGGCTATTTTGAATTCGCTCTCTCCTCCCCCTTTTTTGCACGACTGTTGTTCGCTTTTTTGTTTTTCTTTCAAGAGCTGTCCCTGTCCCTTTCGTAAACATTCCTTGTATTCTAGTGCCTCCTTCTATTCCCGTCAATTCACGCCAGAACGCTCGCCTTCCCTCTTTGCCTTCCTACATTTCGGTATTCTGATGCAAAAGTTATGAGTCTGTCCCTGTCAGCACGGCACTATGAAAAGGAGGAGCTCGTCGGGCGCGGAGCGTACGGCGTGGTGATATCGTGGCCGCAACGCAGAGACGGGCCAGGTGGTAGCAATAAAAATCCTGAACCTCGACAACGAGGAGGAGGACCTGACCGACATGCAGCGCGAAATCAACCTCCTCTCGCAGCTACACTCGCCGCACATCGCACAGTACTACGGCTCCTTCATGGAGTCCTCACACATGTGGATCATCATGGAGTATGCGTCTGGCGGCAGCATCCACAAATTAATGCAGGCCGGGTCTATCGAGGAGCGCTACATTTCAACAATCATGTACGGGGTGCTCTTGGCACTCGACTACCTTCATTCGTCAGGCATCATGCACAGGGACATCAAGGCGGCGAACATTCTGGTGACGCAGGACGGCATCGTGCAGCTGTGCGACTTTGGCGTCGCAAGGCAGGTCATGCAGGCGTCGGCCAAGTCTTATTCGTTTGTCGGCACGCCGTATTGGATGGCGCCGGAGGTCATCCAGAACGGCCGCATGTACGATTTCAAGGCCGACATCTGGTCATTGGGGATTACTGCCTATGAGATCACCACCGGCGCGCCGCCCTACGCCGACGAGGACCCGAAACGCGCTCTGTTTCTGATTCCACGCAAGGGCGCCAAGACGCTGACGCCAGAGCAGGGCACAAAAGAAGCTGCGCGGCTTTGTATCGAAATGCCTGGAGGTCGACTTTTCCCAGCGGCCGTCCGGCAGAGAGCTTGCTGAAGCACGACAAGTTTGTCCGTGCGGGTCACGGCAAGCACGCAGCAAAGGTCTCAGATCTGATCACCAGATACAAGGAATGGGCGCGGTCAACCCACCACAACGAGGACCTTGACCGACGGCAACGATGAGGCCATGCAGAGCACCAGCGAGGCCAGCGATCGCCGAGTCGTGGAACTTTGACCGGTTCTCGATGATCAGCGACTGGCGAGCTTGTTTGCGTCACATTCGTCGCTGTTCTCCAAGGCAGAGAGGCAACCCGCGAGACACCAGCAGTAGCAGCAGCAGCAGCAGCATGCATGAGCACACAAGAGTCCAACCGCAAGACAAAGGGTGCTATTGATAGCGATGGCGAGCCACTAAACTACGAGCCGCTGTTTGTGCGCGAGCTGTTCCACCCGCAATCCAACGGCGACACCAGCACAAGCCAGCACGACTCGGACAGCATGGAAAAGCCAAACAAGATGCCAGAGGCACGCATGAGCAGATACCTCCCACGCAGACTGTCGCGCAAGGACAACCCTAGCAATGCCAGTCCGGGCACATTCAGCGGCCGCAACAGCGTGTCGTCGGCGCAAGCGCGGAAGCAACGGCACCCGCCGCAGCCTCGATCTCAATGCCGTCCGCAGCCAGGCATCAGATATGCCCACACTGCGGATAGCCGCAGTCGCAGCCGAGTCCGACGACGACATGGAAGACTACGGTTCATCGGGCGGTAAGAAGAAATACAAGGGCTTCAAGCGCAGCATGCTAGGCAGCACCGAGAAAGCAGGCAAGTCACATCACAATAAGTTCCGGCTGGTGCCTGACAGCGTGCGCCGGCGCTGGCTGGGCGGCAAGTCAGACCACAAGCCGGCGTCGTTCGAGTACAAGCCGCCGCTGAGACCTGCCCCAGGCAATACGCCTGGCCAGTCCCTTGGCCGCACTCAATTCGAAGACTGAACCGGAATACGATATGGTGAGCGTCCCCTCAACTCCTATGGCAGTGGATCCGCTGCCGGTGCTGGATGTGCAGCAAAGCAAGCTGTTCTCGCCCCAGAAGCTCCGGAATGAAGTGAAAAACTCGCGTCGCGTCACTATCGACGCTTTCCCGGCGGCGATCAAGAGACATCTACGAGGAAACAGCGGGAAGGACAGCGACGCGGCCTTATCGGGTGCACCGCTGGGAGGCAGCAGATATCCGATGGACACGGCTGAGACTCCACAAAATGGCAGGCCGGGCAACAAGCTCTGGGTCGACACCAGCATGGTCCACAACATGATTGCGCCTACCAGCGCTGCACTGACTGGAGCCACCTCACAGGCTCGACAGCCAGTGGTCGGACGTCTTTGGGATCGGGCATGACTCCGAGGTCGGCGATGCCGGCATTCCAGAGCATCCCCACATGACACCAACCCTTTGGGCCGGTCTGTCTCACAGCAACACCTAGGCATTTCTGACATGGATTTCTCTGCGCCGCTGGCCCCGCGCTGGTCGCGGCCAGCAGGAGCAAGCCAGAACAGCCCGTCGGCGTCGCAAACCAAATCTGGGCAGCTACCCGTCCAAACTGCGCGATGCCATGGCCACACTCCGGCTCTTGCGTATGACCAACGACAAGTCCAAGACCAGCCTACTCAGCGATCTGCCTGAAGGCCACGATGGCTTGAAGCGCTCTGCAACCGAAGCCCCATCTACGCACCTCCCTGCCCGTCTGCAGTCGCGAGTATCGATGCCGCTGGTACCATCAGCGGCGCAGATCATGGCGTTCGACGATAGGCGGCAGGTGGCTGCAATGAACAGCCCGAGGTCACAGCATCAAGAACTCTCGGCGATGCACATCCTGACACAAACACCATCGCTGCCGTCGATCCGCAGCACACCGTCGCGCGACTACAGCAAGCCGCAGCACTACCTGCACGAGCGGGTAAAAACACCCCTAAGTGCACATCTGCTGGTTCCGATCTCGCCGTTAGAGCAGCGCCGGGAGAGGACACAGCTGAAGCTGTCAAAGCACACGAATTAACCAGACAGCATCGACTCCTAATAACTGGTCGATTCAGGAGGAGGACGAGGAGGACAAGCCGATGACGCCCAGTATGGATGGAAGCAAGCTGGGGCTGGCAAAGCGTGCTTTGCGTGTGCCGCGCCGGTCAATGTCATACAGCGACCATGAGCATAGCAAGGCGGTCCAGCTCAGTGTGCAGTCAGCGGGCAAGGTTTTCTTGTCGCCGCAGATGAAGGTACTCGCGAGTCACACACGCACGCCCTCGGCAGCTGCTGGGCAGCGCCCGTCGGTGTCCTCGATCGCATCGGTATCCAGCACAGCGTCGGTGACTGCCTGTGGCAAGTCAGCAGCAGATCGCGCAGCATGCGTCAAGTGATGAATATGTTTCGGCTGACCAGATGCTGGGGGTTCCCGTGTCTGGCTCCGAGGATGACATCGGCAGCGGGCTGGCGGCTTCAGCAAGCGTGGTTCCAATTGACATGCCTAGATCCACTGCCCGTGCCCCATCGCAGCCTGCCAGCATCTCCTCGTCATTGGCTCTGGTCAGCGAGAGTGCGCCAGACCCCTCGCCCCCATACCAGTCCACTCCGCCGCTGCTATCGAGACATGCCCGGGCTGCGTCCCTGCTGCTCCCAGACACATATTCCCACCACGTCCTCTGGCCAGCCAAAGCCAACCGACGCACCACACAAAATGCAGCAAGAGCCAACCAGCACTCCCGACCTGGAGCTGTACCACCCAGTGATCAGTGCCATGAACCAGGACGGGCGCTCGCACTGGCAAGGCGAGTTCGCCAATGTCGCGAGCAATCTGGTTGGCTTGCTCGATGCCCTAGACAGCGCCATCCTGGCGCTTGATGCCAACGCATAGCCATGCTTTTCACGTCACTTGTATCTTTAGAAGCTCATAAAGTTTTACCCGTCTTGCGCAAGCCTTGTATAGACCGCATATGGCGAGAACCGCTGGTTGACGAGCTGCGAGTGCCTGACCACACGCTCAATAACCGTTGCCTGTGGCGAAAGATCATCAGCGACTACCTTCAATATCCGTGTGTTCTCGGCATCAATTACATCGTCTAGCGGGCTGCTATCATCCAAATGCACCGTTTTATCCTTTGGCTGTGTCCACGGCTGCATCCGCCTCTGCTGCTCCATGATCCTGGCCATGGCATCGCGCACATACGAAGTGCAGCTCTGCCTCAGCTGCCCCCACGCAAACCCCTTTGCTGCTTTCTGCCACGCCGGGCAGTTGTCTGGAGTCCTCAGCCCATCCGGCACCGCTGGACTCCAATGGATATTCTTTCGAACCGCCTGGTCTCCGACTCATTGCTGTCGATCCATGCCTCGACCTCGTACAGCAGCTGGTGGAGATGCGTGCGCGGGCTTGCTGTGTGCTGCAATGGGAAGGCGTACCGCTGCTGCCATTGGTTTGTGCCCAGCGAGCTGCGGCGGTCAGCGCGCAATGGCGACATGGGGAACATTAGGTTGAGGACAGAGAGGCACTGTGCCGGGTCGAACCCTAGCAGTGCATGGGCCATATCAGGCCAGAGACGTGCCTTTGCGCGACGTCAGGCGCTGCTTTGGAGCTGATCCGGCCGAGACCCTGCTTGAGCTCGCCGATCTGGGTCGTGTCTGGGTCGCGGATGGCACGCAGTACCACCAGCTCCTTCAATGCGACCAGGATGCTCTCAAACTTCGCCTCTGCCTGGGCATTGCGCTTGACAATGTGGTGCAGCAGACGCTCAGACTGCTCACCCTTTGACTGCTTCAGCCACTCCTGCGCAAGCCTTCGCCGCGCATTCTCAATTGTAATCAGCGAATATATCAATGCTGGGACATCCGCCGGCTGCGTGGACGGGCTTCTATAGTGAGGAAGGCCTCTGTGGTCTGGCTGTATCCGGCTTTTCAGAGAACGGACGCAGGTCAGGCTGCATCGCAGAGAGCTGCGGTTTAGCCATCCCGCTGCAAGGGCAGCGGCGATACCCAGGGCTGCTGTGTATTGAGAAGCGACTCTTCCGATTCCGAGAAACCAAGGTACAGTGGGCTGAGGCTGGCGAGGGCACGGCGGACCAGGTATGCGTGAACGTGCTAGTGGCTGTGTATCGCTGAGAACGTCAGCGGTGTCCCGATCGGCCAGCTCGCATTTGCGCAGCGTCATAATGTCTATGAAACGTGATGTTGACATCTGAGATCTGGGCCTCTAGTCTGGTCACTACACTTTATCCATGGGACTGTACATGTGATGCATACCTTTAACTATGTCATGGTCGTCTCTGTTGCAGAAGAACTGGGTCGCCCAGGTGAGCACGTCAGAAACACTATCGGACATGGTGAATGCGGGCAAGGAAATATTACAGAGTAGTAAAGTCGGATGGAATAACTGCAGAATAATGCGTGTCAGCAAGCTAGGAGGAGCAAAGAAGACCGGCCTTCGGGAGTGCGAGACTGATAGACGTTGTTTACGTTAACCTTGGGTGCTGTCGACACACCCCTCCTGCCCACTAGATTGATTATGCCGGATTCCAGATCACTGCCATTTGGCCGCGGGGCGCGCAGGCCATTGGCTGGACGCTGCTGCACGTGAATGCTTGCCGATTTTGCGTCGAATTTCGAGCAACTTTTTTTTTTGCATTTGCATTTGCAGCAATTGCTTGGACAAACTCAACTCCCCCACCCTCCATTTCTATATTTCCTACTCTTTTGCCTCTTGATTTCTATCCTTCATTTCTGCTAGTAATTCGGGTAAGCGTCGCAATTGCATAATCAACGGTCACCGGGAACATCTTGCGCCATTGGCGCTCGATTTTGCCCGCATTCGGTCACGAGCAGTGGGAAAGTGCAGCAGGCCAGTGGTGGATGCGTGTCGCGTGGAGACAGACCCTATTATATTCCGCAATCTTTTGCATACTTTGAAGAGTAGTAATTCTGCTCTTGGCAGAAAACTCCATCGCGACATTCTAGAGTGCATGTATTCATAGCGGCTTTCCATTTCGCCTCTTCTGGGGCCTGCTTCTAGCAAGCGGTTTTTTTATTCACGAAGAGTTCCCTTTTTTTCTTGAGAAGGTTCGTGGCACGCTATAAATATAGACTGCCGCAACGCGTGGACAGGAGACAGCGCTATAAAGGCGGCCGGCTCTTCCCTGCCTTGCCTGGCCCACACTGATACACCAGCTGTTGCGCTTTTTATCCCTCCATTCTCGCAGTTACTGATACAACCCTTCCATTCTCCAGTGCCCCTGACTTGTCCACCAGTGCGTGCCACAAACGCTCCCCTGTTGCCTCTGACCTTTCTTGCTTCTCCAAAGACAATATCTATATTTCGATACAGCACACTTGTTCCATTATTCTCCAAGCAACGCATTGATAATGGCGGCCCAGCTGCACAATCCCTACTCGCGGGCGCTTCACCTCCTCATCCTTCTCTTATCTATATACGTGTGCTGGCATACAGTGCGAGTTGATGAGTGGCTGGCTAAACTGACCCGTGTATATAGTTTTACGGAGGATATTGATACGGACATGCAAGGAAAGCAAGGCGACGTTGTGACAAACGATGCGGGCCAGATTGTGACGCGGTCGCGGGTTTACGCCGACGCGAACAGCAACATGCCGCAGTCGTATTGGGATTACGACAACCTGCAGGTCGAGTGGGGCAACCAGGACAACTACGAGATCATTCGCAAGATTGGGCGCGGCAAGTACTCGGAGGTATTTGAGGGCACCAACGTGGCCAACGACGAGGCATGCGTTATCAAGGTGCTGAAGCCCGTCAAGAAGAAGAAGATCAAGCGCGAGATCCAGATCATGCAGAACCTGTCCGGCGGCCCCAACATCATCCAGCTCCTGGATGTGGTGCGGGACCAGCACTCGCGCACGCCGGCGCTGATTCTCCGAATACGTCAACAACACGGACTTCAAGGTCCTGTACCCGATGTTCACGGACTACGATGTGCGCTACTATATCCACGAGCTGCTAAAGGCGCTGGATTTCGCGCACTCGCGTGGCATTATGCACAGAGACGTCAAGCCGCACAATGTGATGATTGACCACGAGAAGCGCACGCTGCGGCTGATCGACTGGGGCCTGGCCGAGTTCTACCACCCGGGTACCGACTACAATGTGCGTGTGGCATCGCGGTACTTCAAGGGCCCCGAGCTGCTTGTCGACTACACGCCGTACGACTACTCGCTTGATATGTGGAGTCTGGGCTGTATGTTTGGCAGCATGATCTTCCGCAAGGAGCCGTTCTTCCACGGCCACGACAACTACGACCAGCTGGTCAAGATCGCCAAGGTTCTGGGCACTGAGGACCTGCTGGTGTACTTGAAGAAGTACAACATCGAGCTTGACGAGCACTACAACAAGATCCTAGGAACGTACCCGAAGAAGAGCTGGCACAAGTTTATTACCATCGAGAACCAGCGGTTTGTGTCGCCCGAGGCTATCGATTTCCTTGACCGGTTGCTGAGGTACGACCATATGGAGCGGCTTACGGCCAAGGAGGCCATGACCCACCCGTACTTTGACCCAGTCAGGGAGAAGGGCGAGGCCAACTGAGTCGTTTTCTGAATTTCATTCCTTTAAAATATATACGCACGATGGTGTGAGGGTTTTGCTATTCATTCGGCAGGGAACGCTTGTCACGTAAAGTTGATTCTTGAGTCTGGTTTTTTGCGCGCTTTTCTATCTTTTTGACCTGCTGTCTTTGTAGAATCCAGAACAGTGGTATGAATATACCATTCTCTGCATGTGCGGTATTTTTGTTGCCTGGATGTCTGCATGGCGCTGTCAACATACACTCGTGCTTTTTATTGTCAGTTGTGCTATCCCAACGAAAGAACAAAAGGCTTGACGACAAACAGATGTACCCTGCTAGATCTGAGTGAGATGCCTGGTGCAACCCAAATGCTGTGGAATTCACCGCCTCCCGTTGACCTATGTACTCAAGTCATCATGGGATCCGGCTCAAACGCACGACGCATGGCAGCACGCACTCTGCCCCACCTAGATCGGCCAGCCATAGTGGCATCGTCTGGGATCGATATGACCGACTCTATTGGTCCCCCATTGTAGTCGATAGGCATGTGCTGTGCATTGCTGAGAGGGCCTGATCTCGGGATAGCATCGGGCACATCTGGACCGTAGTACCAGCGACGGATATCCATTTTGCAGTACGGGCAGCTGGTAGAGCGCGATACAAGCCATGTGTCAATACATATCAAGTGATACTTGTGCTTGCACGGCAGCTCGCGTACATGGTCGCCGACCTTCAAACTCCTCGAGACAGATCGGACAAGCGCCCAGTCCATCGTCGCTGCCACACACCGACCTGCTGCTGCACTCGATCTGACTGACAGCTGTGCGCAGAGCAATGGGTACTGAGTGATCAGACGAGTCGAAACCCGGCGTGGGCTCTGGTGTCAGGATCCAGTGAACGAGATCGTTGGTCGCGGTACCGAATGACTCCTGGAACACACTCGCTCTCGATGTCGCGTACTGGTGTTTGGTCATCCCAGTGGTCTCCCACCTGATTCGATGGGCCAGGACGCGCGCCCTGTTTAGGCAGCGAGCATACTCGGCCAGCGGAACTATCTGAATTGAGTGACGAGTGTAGAGACAAGCGAGGAGAGCCTGGGAAGCTGCGGTTGGCGAACTTGTCTATCTGCGGATGCTCGAAGACCGGTGTCGGCGACCAGCCGTGCATTTCTGGGTACACATGTTCTGGCGATATATCCTGTGCTGCCTGAGTATCAGATAGCTCGGGTGACATGTCTGCACGCAGTGTAGCTGCTTATTTGTGCCTGCGGTTTGCGTGGTGCCAGACTGACCATAGACGCCGACATGCCTCTGCTGCTGCTGCTGCTGTCATTGTCTGTGTACTCGTCGGAACACTCATCGTCAAAGCATTCGTCAAAGGCAAACTGAGGCGAGCGCATGTAGATTCTACGCAGTGTCAGCTTCTCAGTGACCTCAAACACGGGCAAGATATCGAGAATCGATTTGTTCAGCGTCTCGGGCGGACGAGCAGCAGTTATGATCTGCTGCGCAATATGTTCCTCTTGTTGGCGTCGCCGACTTGTCGATACGCGCGCCATAGCAATACCCAGGGCTAAGAGGAACAGGAATACGATGGCAGCCAACAGAATGAAGATCTTTCGTGTCGCTCAGTGTCTCTGGCGACGCAACCGCTGCATGTGGAACTGGGTTCGTGCCATCGCCGTTGCGTTGTGATACAATATTCGGATTGTCGCGATGGACGGGCGGCATTCGCTGTTGCTAACACACCAGCGGGCATAGATGTCACCAAATAGCTGGATCTTGCGCGTTTGTCGCATGCTGAGCCCCGGTGGGAGGGCGCGTGCGCTTGTCATGGTGGCCGGGATGTTGGTCGTGGCAGCTACTATACTCGATAGAGCAAATAGCAGGACACAGGCGGAGACTGGTCCTGGTTGGCCGAACGGAATGCGCGCCATTATAGTGTGCAGAGGTAAATTTGAATGGCTCCTCAGACGGTTGCGAACGAATATGAGGGAATGTGTGGGGAATTAGAGGAAGGAGCAAGTAGGAGAGGAGGGTCAAATTTACGGCGGCGAAAAAAAAAAAACTTCCTATATTGCCGAAATACAGTACTTTAAGCGGGAGATATATAAAGCGAGCCAGTGAAGGCAAAGTGCTGTGTGGGTATATACGGGAGGAGGAGATGAATAGGAAGACTATCTGCACTACTAGACGAGCAGTGGGTTTCTTGTTTGATTAAAATTCCGAAACAGCCACGACCATGCCAAACACCCAAGGGACCAGGAGATGCTTTTGGCAGAAATAAAGGCGAACGCGTTGAAGGGAGAAATTAGACACCACCTGGAAGCAGGTATCTGCTTGATGCATGCAGGACGCCAGTTCCTTAAATGTAATGCAAGACACAAAACATCGCTTGCGTACACCGCATGCCCCATGGGCATAGCGATGCCCACGCTTCTAGGCACCAGGTGATCTGCGCAGCATTGTACATCGCTCTGGTTCTTCTTTGTTGCACTCATGTTTTGAAACTACTCGGAGATCTTGTCCATGTCCTGGGCAGAGATGGTGTTGATCGGCAGCATCCTTCGAGAGTAATCGGATTGGTAGAGGATGGACGGTGCTCGTATAGGCCCGGCCTAGGCCCCGATGCTCAGAAAATAAGCCTGCTGGTTTGATCTCTGCAGTTGGCGAATTATTAAGAAAATAAGAGTGTATATATGAACGAGCGGGTAAAGCTAGGAAAATGAAGAGGCAAAACTAAACAGACAGAACTAAAAGGAGCTAGGGTGGTCCATGAACTTGGGCAGATCAGTGCTGTTCAAGTCAGTCTCAACTAAGCCATAGAGCTGCCTCTTGCCACCTGCATCCACGCAATCGACATCGACCGCATGGCTGTGATCACGACTCTTACTAGTCGCCGGGCTGGGTGCAGACTCCGCTGGCGTCGCGGCTGGCAGATTGGACGATGGCATTATGGGCGACCGTTCAGGATCCTTGGTCTCGATTTCTATCACCGCATTGTCATCAATATAGCGCGATACCTCAAAGAGGTCCGGATCTTCCTCAATATCCATGACATAACTAATCGGCTGCGAGGCGGTTAAGATGGCGTTGGTGTTTTCGAATGGCCGCGATGCGCGGTCCGATGGCTTCTCCAGAGACGTCTGACCCATTGATTGCCATTGCAGCAGCCTCGGCAGGGGAGACACGGCTGGCTAGCCGCATGCCCCATGCCGGTAGAGGTAGAGAGAGGCGCCGAGACACCAATGAAAAGCGACGCAGTAGTCCACCAAACGGCAAGCCCGACCGTGTACTGTTGAGATAGCTGCTCGCATCGCTTGACGTAGCATATGTCCTGCCGATAATATCTTCAAATCCCAACTCATTGGCCATAGAATTTGGTCCCACGTGTGACTTTTCCAATTCAGTCAATACATCGCGCGTATCGTATTTGCACAGTGGGCAGAGTGACGATTTCGACGTCAGCCATGGGTCAATGCACTCAATGTGGTAGTTGTGTCCACACGGTAGGATGCGCATCCTTGGACCCGACGACAAAATCGTCGATGCACACAATGCATGTCGAAATGCAGCCCTTGAGAATAGAGTCGGCCTCGTCCACCTCATTTTCGCACGTTTTTTCGCTGGCAGTGTCGGCAATGCTGCCTTGCTTCTCTCCCTCGCTGCATTTAGCTGCGTGCTGAGATGCATGGCTGCAGTTGGTAGCTGGCCTTGACCGAACAGTATAGGCAATGTCAGCACTAAGCATCGATGCCAATGGTGCAGCACATTCGCTCAGTACCTGCACGTCCTGCTCAGTGACCTCTCGCAGCGTCAGGCGATCGAGGGCGCAGGCAGGCAGCGTCTGGATCTGCTTGTTAAGCCCAGCCGCAGACTCGTCACGCTGCGCATGTGCAGCCCGGCGCCGGCGGCTCGACGACACATGGAAGGTCAACGACGTGCAGAAACACAGTGCCAGAATAACCACTAGAGTGATCAGCGAAATCTCCCAGCCGGTCAGCTTATCGCCTTCCTCGTCGCCATACAGAGAGGCAAATATGGCGCGTGTACGGCCGATAGGATCATACATGGCCTCGTCCTGTAGGCTATCGATCTCGCTGCGCAGAATGGTTCCATAGTTTCTGTCAGTCAGCATAAGTGGAATCAGGGGTCTTTCCTTTATCAGCCGCGCGCTGAGGAAGGCACCAAGATCCTGTACGCCCATGGATGTATTGTAGACGATCGCACCGACGGCTCCGTCAAACTGCGCCTGCGCTATTTGGGTCTCGATAGGGCAGTTCAACTGGTCTGACAAAAGGGCTATGCGGATATACGCCGCTGCCAGGTACGCTTCGTCGCGCTTCTCTGGCTTGCACTTTGGGATGTCAGCCAGTGCATAGACGACACCCTTGGTGCCATCGGGTGTGCTGGGTGACGAAAACGCCAGGTACTCGATGCGTCCTGCGCTGCTGTCGATTGTAGATGTGGCATCAACAAGAACCACAGTATCATTTTCAATCTCAACCACGTCCTTTCGGATGCGCGCACTCCAGGTAGACTGCATAAGCAGCGATGTCAATGCAAGCAGCTTGCAAGGCAGCCTCATTGTCAGATGTCTAGCAAAAGGTTATGATAAAAGTAGCGCTGCTGGTTCTACGGAAGTGCCAGTATTGGATATAAAACGAGTCGGCGGATGGAGAGGAAAGAGAGGCAAGTTGGAACAGGAGTCGAGGGCTTCCACTTTTCTTGCTCCACTTTTACCCGTAGGCAATCGTAGTAAAACATGTCGTGGTTTGCATCGCCTGCCACGAGTTCAGCACTTGGCAACGGAAGCCTGCATGCGGGGATTTCAAAAATGACTGGGAACAAGTCGGTGGTACCTCATTTCGGGATAAAAATGTGCGTGTGGTTATAAACAGCATGCGTCTAGTATCCGTGGCCACAAAAATAGCATCAATCCACCCGTAGCTCCGGACAGAACCTGTGTGAGCAGCATTTCCCCAGTTGCGTCAGCATGTGGATAAGTTTGCCACACATAAAATTACTGCCACGAAACATGCCCCACCACATGGCTGTGAATTTGCTCATTTCTGGAGTAGCAGCGGGCTATAATGCCTAGCCAGACATTTCTCCACATCATTTTCTGCGAAACACAGCCGTTCAACCCACAAAGCCCATACAAGCAAGCCTCGCTAAGCACATGTATACCACGAAATTGTTTTTCTTTTAGTTTGTGTATCGGATTGCTGAAACCTGCAAGAGGGCATTGAGCATCATGGAGTAGTCACCTGCTTGGTCCGTATGCCAAATGCAGCATATATGGTCGCATGCCTGACATATCATGCTCGCCCAAGCTATTACCCCTACTCAGCCTCGGGTTCTCCTTTCGGGCTCTCCTTGGATTCCTCCTTGGGCTCGGCTTTCTTGAACTCCTCTGCGGCAGTATCCTTGGCAGCTGCTGTAGCCTTGGGTTTATCCGCTGGCTCGTCGAACAGGGTCTGCAGATTAAGCCGCTTGAGCTTATTATAGTCCTCGACAAGCCCGACAGCGCACAGACTCTTGAACGCCTCAATGACAATAGTGTACTTTGCGTTCTCCAGATCCACTGTGTGCTTCTCATCAAAGGGGGCGGCAACGGCAGGAATAATATCCTTGCGCTTGAGCCCATCACAGTAGCGGACGTTGATAGCCAGCGCAAATGTCGTGGGCTCAGCGTCCTCGGCCAGAAGCTTGGCACCAACCTTCTTTGCGGCTTCCTACAATCGCATCGATCTTGGCTGAGCAAGTGACTTTGGCCGGGATCAGACGGCTTGTGAAACCGTGTGTGCCGCTGCTTGGTCTTGACCAGATCCATTAAACATAAACTGGGTGAGGTCCTCCGGATCGATCCGCTTGTCGCACTTTACAAAGGCAATGCAGTCGATCGTGGTCTGCAGCGAGCGGAACAGTTTTGGCTTGCTTTTGGACTTCATGTCCTCAAGCTCACGCGCGATCTCGCTCTCGATATCGCCAGCCTCTTCATCCTCGCTGTCTGACTCCTTCAGCAGCCTCGAGACCCGGGTACAGCTTCTCGGTATACTGCTTCAAGCAGATCAATGACCTCCGAGGCGCACTTTTTCTCGCGGCCGCGGTTGCAGGTGATGAAGAAGCCCTTCATCATCGGGGATAGTTCAAACACGTTTTCGGCCTTCCGGAAGCGGTCCTTCATGGTTTGGAACCGCTTGGCGCGCTTGACTGTGTTCGACTGGGGTGCAGACTTATCGACTAGCTGCTCTTTTCGCCATGGCACGATATAATAATGGGGTTCAGGACAAAAGTAGAAAATGGACAAGCAGACACCCAACAAAATTTCAACTCTGGAATATATGCAGCTCTGATCAGACCATCAATTGTGGTGACAGTTTTTGCAGTCCCACTGCCTAAATCCTGTCCCACATGATGCTGGTCAAAAATGAGAGCCTGCATAGATGTCCTGACCCGCATATTCCGGCCCGCTTCACGTTTGTCGGGCTAGGTATGCAATGAATGAGTGACGTGTTGATGGCAAACTCCAGGCATGATTGCGGAACCATTTTGTTTCTTCGGTGAGCACCTCGCTGCTTTTGTCATCAACGATGCGGAAATCTGGCACTGACAAAGAGCCATGATTAGTAATTAAGCTGGACAATTGCGCGTTTGGCCGCGAGGATTAGGTGCTCGCGGACTGCTTCTCTAATCTTTCACGTCTTGTCTTCTCCGACAACATTTTTTCGTTGTATTTATTCTCCTACTCAACAGCACAGACAAAAAATAACCATGTTTGCTTCTCTCCGTAACAACGCCATCCCTCGCGTACGTACCGTCTCCAAATTCAAAACGCCAGCCTAGGCTCGATAGCAATCGTCTGACTCTGAACTTGAATTCGTTATCTCTCTTTTGCATGTAGTTTGCTCCGCGCATACAGCAGCGCTGCTGCTGGTGGCGGTAAGAGCGGCAACGGGCATTCTCTGGGCAGTCTCTGGCAACAGGTGCTGTGATCGCCGGTGGTAAGTCCGCACTTGGATCACGTTGCTACGCCATTGACGTGTTTGTGTCTGATCTCCGCTACACCCTTATCGTACTGTAGGCTACTACTACACCCGCTCGAAGCAGACGGCCGACATTGCAGAGGTCAGTTCCGCTCCGGTGACCACTGCTCTTGATCCGAAGAACTTTACAAAGTTCACTCTGCGCGAGGTGCAGCCGATCAACCACGACACGGCCCTGTACCGGTTCGCTTTGGGCGAGAACCAGGAGCTCGGCTTGAACGTCACCTCGTGCCTGGTGGTCAAGGCCAAGATCGGTGATGATGAGAAGCCCACGATCCGCCCGTACACGCCGACGTCGGCCAAGCACGCGCGTGGTCACTTTGATCTCGTGGTGAAGACGTACGAGGCGGGCAAGATGTCCAAGCACATCCATACGCTGAAGCCCGGAGACACGATTGAGATGAAGGGCCCGATCCCCAAGTACCCGTACAAGGCCAACGCCCTGAAGGAGATCGGCATGGTTGCCGGTGGCTCTGGCATCACGCCCATGCTGCAGTTCATTGAGCAGATCACCAACGACCCCGAGGACAAGACCAAGCTGACCCTGGTGTTTGCCAACAAGTCTGAGGAGGACATCATCCTGCGCTCCACTCTTGATGAGTACGCGCGCAAGCATCCGGATCAGCTCAAGGTCCACTATGTGATCGATAAGGCGACTTCGGCTGACTGGAAGGGTGAGACTGGATTCGTCACCAAGGAGCTTGTGCAGAAGTACCTGCCGGCGCCCTCTGAGGGCAATGTGCTTGTTGTGGCGTGCGGCCCGCCGCCCATGATGAAGGCGGTCAGTGGCCCCAAGGCTCCTGACTACTCGCAGGGCGAGGTTGGTGGAATCTTCAAGGAGCTTGGCTACTCGTCGGAGCAGGTGTTCAAGTTCTAATCGCGGCGGAATTTCGGCAGCTGCCACAAGCTCCGCATAGAATCTTTTCAGATAGCAACTCAGAACCTGAATGGATCGGCGACATACTGGACACCGCTAATACATCTTTATGCAGGCCAACAGCACAGCTGACCTTGTCGCCACTGTGGGCCGGTGGCGATGACTGATATCGACGACAGCGTGAGAAGGACAGGACCGATAACGGCCGTGGCACCAGCGAGTGCTGGCAACATTGCGCTGAGCACTGTGGATGATTACGAGCCCCAAACGTGAGCCCCTATTTTTGCTCGCCCCTGAGCACAGTCGCATCGACATGCTTTGCCCCACCAAGCCTGCAGGGGAGGGAGGGGAGTACAGGCTGGCATGGAATTCAATATCAGCGGTTGCATTCCCTAAGATGAGCCGGAATATCCGCACAGTGAAATTTCCATACCTGGCACCTCACAGCATGTTTCTGGCCACAACGTGAGATAGTCAACGCAATACCTTCAGCCTACAATATCGCTCCTACATCCTGCAGTCGCCACTCTGGCCTCCATCCGATTAGCCGGCAAAGAGATGCAATACGCCAGAGACTGACAAAATCCCAGATGCCAGAATGGTCCTACAGAATTGAAACCCAGCGATACTGCGCTCCATCATATGCGCTGCTGTCTGCGCAGAATGGGCCACAGCGTTCTTGGCAGGCTTCTTCTTTAGAAGGGGCTGATTCCGACTCAGCGAAATCGCGCATATTCTAGAACGCTTAAATAGCACCCTTCCTGCCGGCCCAGCAACCTTTTTTCTCGCTGACTAGCAAGTAATATTAATTTCCATTCTTACCCCACACCCTCCCTTCGGTCCCTTTTTATTACTTTGAAGCCCTTTGCTGCTCTATTCGTGGTTGTTTCTACATTGCTCCTAATTCGTAATGGCTTTTGGAGAGAGCCCACAGGCAAAGGGCATCAGGCAGGGAGCGCGCCGTGACTCTGACGGCGGCGATTGGCTGCCAGCCATCGCACGCCGACATCGAGAGCTCCGAGCTGCCGCCATTTGACGCCAAGTCGATCACGCCCGTCCCCACCCACCAGGACATCTTCGCCAAGACTGAGCGGTCCGCGCTCGACGAGGGTGTGCTGGATGACGGATCGACGGCCAACGAGGACCTGTACAAGAACTACCACATCAAGGTCGACTACAACAGCGAGCAAACAAGGTTTTCGTTCCGCAAGCTCTTAAAGTTCGTCGGCCCCGGTCTGCTGATCAGCCAGGCGCTTCTCGATCCAGGAAACATCGAGAGCGACATTTCACAGGCAGAAGTGACCGGCTACAAGCTGCTCTGGCTGCTGTTGGTTGCGCACGTCCTGTGCATGTTTGTGCAGTCAATGGCAGCGCGCCTGGGCGTGGTCACCGGCAAGCACCTGGCCCAGCACATCAAGCAGCAGTACCCAAGATGGTACCGCATTATATTTTGGGCGCTGAGTCGAATTGGCGATTATCGGCGCCGATGTGCAGGAGGTGGTGGGCACAGCAACGGCGTTCCACATTCTTACGGGCATCCCGATTTGGGCCGGTGTTATCATCACTGCCGTTGACAGCTTCCTATTTCTCTACATCCAGCGGTTTGGCGTCCGCGTCACCGAAATGCTGTTTGGTCTGCTGATCACGACGCTTGCCGTGTGCTTCTGGATCGAGATGATCATGGTCAAGCCTGACGCCAAGGAGGTCGTCAAGGGCATGTTCATCCCGCGCATCCCCCACGGCGCTGCAGTGCAGGCCGTCGGCGTCATTGGGTGCGTCCTGATGCCACACAACCTGTACCTGCACTCGGCACTCGTAGGCACGCGCAAGCTAGACCGCAGCGAGGCCTCGCGTGTGGGTGCGATCCGCGAGGCCATGACGTATTTCCGCGTCGAGGTGGTGTTCAGTCTTATCTACGCGTTCCTGATCAACATGGCCGTCGGTGGTCGTGTTTGTCAAGGCAATAGCCATGATGGCCGCCAAGGGTCCTGGCGTACGAGGCCTCGCTGGCTGGTGGCGCCAACATCCTTACGCATGTGCTTGGCAACGGCTCAAAGTATGTCTACGGCGTGGGGTGCTGGCGATCGGCCAGAGCACGACCATGGCGGGCACGATGGCCGGCCAGTACGTGACCGAGGGGTTCTGGAACATCCCGGTCAAGCCGTGGCAGCGAGTGATCGTGACGCGCGCCATCTCGCTGGTGCCCGCCCTGGCTGTCGGCATTGCAGCCACCAACCACATGGACATGCTCAGCGAGATCATCAACGTCATCCAGTCTGTGGTCATGTCAGTAACCATCATCCCGCTGCTTAAGCTGCAGATGTATCCGGAGGTCATGGGCAAGGAGTTTGCCTTTGCGCACTACATCAAGGCTGCGTCGTTTGCGCTCGTCACTGCGATTATCGTGCTCAACGCGTACATGATCGTCTCTGTCATTCCTCTGGACTCGGCCGGCATGTATGTTGCCCTGCTTCGCTGCCCTGTTCGTCTACATTTTCGTCGTGCTCCATGTTGTGCTGTGGCCGCTACTGTGCGTGTGGGAGCGCAAGTCCATTGTTGACAGGGCGCCCAAAGCCCATCCGCTGGCTGTTTGGCCGCTCGCAGATGGTCCCGAGCGAGGCCACCCTCTAGAAGAGGCACGCCCCACGAGCCCTAGTGATATACACTCTTTCTCCTACTCCATATACAACACTGTAAGCATCTATTCTCTGGACACAAGCCTCACAGCCCCCGCGGCAAGTTGCTCGACCCGGTTCTGACCCTATGTGGGATCGGCACGCATGCACAATAGCAGTCCTCCTCTGTAGAAGGTGCTGCTGCCCCCGTGGCACACTCGAAACACCCGACGTCCGAGCCCCTCGCTAATTCTTGTATATGGAAACGTCGGCGATCCCGTGTCTTTGCAGGAAGCCGTCACGGTCCTATCAGTCGGAATTTTTCTCTCAATTTGCGCGGTTTTCATGTGGTGGACCGTGCCCAGCGACACAATGGTGTGGGAATCTGGAGCCCTTTGTGATCGGGCGACACCGGAGAAGAATTGGGGACAGGCATGCCACGACGATAAGCGCAGGAAGATTCGCGGACAGCACCGCCGCAACACAGGAGTAGGGGAGGCATGGCTTCTTTACAGACGAGTAGTAATTGTTGGGGAAGTAGAGCCAGTCAAGATACTAGAGGAAAACTTAGAGGGTGTTGACGTTGCCCAGGTCGGCGTTGGCCTTCTGGACGCGGGAGTACATGGTCTTCTCGCCCTCGCGGATCCAGACACGCGGGTCGTAGTACTTCTTGTTGGGCGAATCCTCGCCAGTGGGGTTACCGACCTGGCTCGCGAGGTAGTCCTTCTTCTCCTGAACGAAGTTGCGGACGCCCTCGAGGTAGGCGAACTGGGTGTCAGTGTCGACGTTCATCTTGACGACACCGTTGGAGACGGCCTCCTTTATCTCGTCCTCGGTCGAGCCCGATCCACCGTGGAAGACCAGGTACAGAGGGTAGTCCGACTCGGAGTTGATCTGCTCCTTGACGTACTTCTGGTGGCCGGCCAGCAGCTGCGGCGACAGAACGACGTTGCCGGGCTTGTACACGCCGTGCACGTTACCGAAGGCGGCGGCGATCGAGAAGTACGGGGCGATGGGCGACAGCGCCTGGTAGACCTCGTAGACGTCCTCCGAGGGAGTGTACAGGGCCGACTTGTCAGAGGTGTCGTGGCTGACACCGTCCTCCTCGCCACCGGTGATACCGATCTCCATCTCCAGCCAGAGCTTCATCGGCGCGCAGCGCTTGAAGTACTCGGCGGTGGTCGAGATGTTGAACTCCTTGGTCTCGGCCGACAGATCAATCATGTGCGACGAGAACAGGGGCTCGTTGTGCTCCTTGAAGTAGGCCTCGTCGGCGGCAAGCATGCCGTCGAGCCACGGCAGCAGAGGGCGGCCGCAGTGGTCCGAGTGCAGAACGACTACAAAAGGAACTCCCGGAGAGGGATGCAGTTAGCAGCGATGGTGCTGTCACATGAAAAGCTTCTCAGATGGTGATCCCGCCTTTGGGCTACTTACCAGGAACACCGTAGTGCTTGGCGACGGCGCGGACGTGGTAGGCACCGGCGATGGCACCAAGAATGGAGGCCTGCTGGTCCTTGTTCGAGACACCCTTGCCGGCGTAGAAGGCGGAGCCGCCCTGCGAGAACTGGATGATAATGGGGGTCTTCTGGTCACGAGCGGCCTCAAGGACGGCGTTGACAGTCGACGACGATGTGCAGTTGATGGCCGGGATGGCGAACTTGTGCTCCTTGGCGTAGTCGAAGAGCTTCTTCACGTTGTCACCAGTGAGGACACCAGCGGGGACGATATCGAGAACACCCATTGTTTGATTTGGTAAACCTTGTTTGGAGGAGAGAGGGAGGGGAGGGGAGAGAGAGAAACTAATCTTTTGCTAAAGAAGAGTGGAAAAAGCTGATGAAGATAGCAAGGGCGCGGCGCGGCTGGCGTCTTTTATATGGCGCGACCGAGGGCTGGGCCGCACGCCGGGTTTGGGGGGGTTACATTATCCGTCCCACCTGCCCCCTATCCTGATTTCATCACCCGTGGGTGCCAGCAAAGCGCCAGCGCGCTATTTTGCTGCCTGAGCTTTATTTCCACATCAGGCTGTGCGCCCCCCGCGATTGGCCAAGCACGCACAGCCTGAGGAGCACGGCCGATGGGGAGGGAATACGTCGCAGCCACCGCTCGGGCATGTGTGGAACTGAGAGGGCCGGCCACCAGCCTGCGGATGGTTTTTTTTTCGTCTACGTAACCTCAGGCGATTTTGCAAAAAACACACTTTTGGATGACTTGGGCAGAGCCTCCGTTGGGATGGATGGATGGGAGAGGACTAGTCGGAAGGATCCAGAAAGCTACCCACTGGCGCATCCCAACGAAAGCCCTGAACCGTGTGATCCCGCTGCCCTCTCCCGACTGCCAGCCAGCCTGTCCGCTTGCTTGTTTGCCTCCGTCCATCTCAATTGATATGCACATGTGCACCCAGAAACCTGTAATCCCGGCCGCTGCGGGCTGAGCGCCACCAGCGCCGCCTGCTTGCCGCAGATTGCTCGACGCTGGTTGGCTCGAAAGTCGCCGGAGTGAGTCAGCAGCGAGCCTGCTGCATTGCCAGACACATCCCCAGGAACCCGCATGTGTCGCATCACGGTATGCAGCAGCCGCCTTCCCCGATTCCAGGCCCGGCTGCTTCTCCGGGAAGCCCAACGGGCAATCGCAAGAGTGCTCATACGCTTCATAGAACGTCACTCCATGCGAGAGGGCCCATTTTGCGCGAACAGGCTTCGCGCGGTTGGATCCAGCCTCTCTCGGCTCCCCAACTATGCCGGAATCGGCGACACACTTGCTGGTGATGCAATACACGGTTTTTTTTATTTCAGGGCTTTGGTACTACCGGAGAAGGAAACTATCACCTGTTACTGGGGCCGCCGAATCACTTGTACCGGAACGACGGGAGCTTGGGCACCTGCTTGAAGAAGTACTGGGTATCCCTCAGCGTGCACCGTCTGGCCGTGCGCACCAGCCCGCCAAAGTTCTCCCTGCGCTCCTGGCACTCATCCTTCTGGGCATCATAGTACCATCTGTCCTCCGCCCGGCGGTCCGAGGCATCCTTGACCCGACGCTCGACGCGGCCAAAGCACCTGTTGTGGAAGAGCGTCCACGTCACGTGGTGCCGCCACAGCATCGACTCCGCATCCTGCTCGGTCTTGCTGAGATCGCGGAGCAGGTCGCTGATCGTGTGCGACGTGCGCGCCGAGAACACCATGGTCGAGACGATAAGGTCGACCAGCGATGTGCCCGACGACGTCTTGAGGGGCTCTGCTGGCTTGTGCGACAAGAAGTCCTCGGTCTCGCTGTCAATGGCGTCGGCAAGACACTCGCTCGGGTCGACCACGCCCAGGAGCTCGCGCAGCGACTTCATCATCTCGTCATCTCGCTTCGGGGCCTTGCGCTTGGTGCCGCCATGCCGCCGCTTGCCTGCTGAGTGCGCCTTGAGGGGCTTTGTGTCGTGCGGAATGTTTTCCTTATCCTCTGCGTTGTGGGGGTTCGGCTGGGGCTCAGAGTGCGACTTGGGCGCCACGGGGCTCGGCTTCGCCACCTCCTCACCCGACTCAATCCGGACTGGGACTGGGTGCTCGATGGTGTGTGGCAGGAGCACGGACTCGATGCCCTCGCTGTGCTCACCATCCTCGATCAGATCCATCAGCGAGCTCATAGGTGGCGGTGACGACGGCGGCAGGTCGTCAATGAACTTGGGCATCGCCCGGCTCTTGCCCAAGTGCTCGATCCCGATCTCCGACGTAGCCACCAGTGTATCAGTCGAGTTCTCATATAGCTCACCCTCGCTCGGCAGACTTGGCAGCGCGATGTTTTTCAGGCTGTCGTGCTTGCGCTTGCGCACCGGTTCCGGCCACCACTCCTCCGCTGGCTCTTCCACATGCTCCTCCACATGCTCCTCCACGTGTTCCTTGGGCTTCTCGGGCTCCTGGAACTGGTACTTGGCGCCGACAAAATTAAGCATGTCACCGTCGTGCAGCTCCACAATTGAGCCGCTCAAGTGCAGTACGCCGTTGATGCGCACTCCGTTCAGGCCCAGGACGTGCAGCTCGAATCGGGTGCCCAAGTGCTTGATTGACGCGTGTGACCGCGATATCGTCGTTGTCCGTGACCCCACTTGCAGCGTGCACGCGCTGCTGCGGCCTATCGTCACTATCCGGTCGCGCTGCCCCAGGATTACCTTGCGCATAGATGTCGCGCGACAGGTCTCACCTATCGCTGTTGTCTTCGACCTCTTCGCCGTCGGCAGAGTGGCTGGCTGTGTTGGTAAGGAAATGCTGCTTGACACCAGTGAAGTCATTGTTGCTAGCGTGTTTTTAGTGTAAGGTGGAAAGAGAAGAAGTTGCAGAACTAGGAAAGGAAAGAGTCGTTCTGGGAGAAAGCTGACAAAAGTCGGTGCGGAACCTCGCGCTTATCAAAAACGCGTAAAATTTTCAGACGCGCGTAAGCAAGCCCGCCAATGCCAGTATGACCACGTGAGTAAAGCTGCCCAATCGCTTAGTGATAAAAAAACAATCCAGCGTTTTCGATTCCGCCTGCTGACTGAGCATCAACATGCGATATTTTGCCCAAAGCAGCTCCACTGCGCAGCACATCACACAGCAGACGCATCGGCTTTTGGAAAAGGACCATATTGGCCATACCTCAAGGTGAACAATACGATACTGGTATACTGTTTACATTCTAAATGTGAGACATCGCTAGCAGCTCGGTAGTTACATTATAGAAGCTGTGCCGATACTCAGTGTTATACACTAGTGGCAGCTGATGTGGACGAAAGTCGATTGCTCATAGTCATGAGCAGATCTCAATCGCCATTGGACCTTGAACTGTCGTGTTTAGATCCCGAGTTAGGATTCCCGCTATACAGTCAATTGCACACTGCCAATAGGTTTGGCAACATCCTTCTTCGCTTGTGCACTAAACGCCGGCAGCTTCTGGCGATTACTAATTGGGCTTCTCAGTAGGGCAACCACCCAGGTGGTGGGAGTAGGCCCGAGTATTCACGCTTATCCAACCGCCTTTAGCAACAAAGACTCAGAAGGCACTGAGTGACTAGAAATCGCCCCTTATCAGACAGAGCCGACTCGTTTTGTAAACATACGCATCAACAACCATGCTCCAGCTAGAGGCTACTCTATAGCCAATAAATAACAAAGACTATACTTGGTTAATATGGACCATCACTAACTGCTGACGGCGGTAACATATAGCAACGGTACCCACATATATTGCCATGCCTTTCATAGAATACTGAACCGAGTAGGTATCAGCAGATCTCTCAGAAAAAGCTCAAGAGGAAATGGCCTGGAGCTTTTCATTGAACTCCATACCCTCGACGAGGTTTTTTGAACAGGGAGTTCTGTGCCAATAGGTTGACCGGAGTGTCAAACTCGGCGACCCTGCCCTGATCCATGACCAGGATCCGGTCGTTGTCCATGACGGTCCTGAGCCGGTGCGCAATGGTCAAGATTGTGCAGTCCTTGAATTCCTCACGGATAACATGTTGCATGGTCTGGTCGGTCCTTGTGTCGACATTTGCCGTCGCCTCATCGAGAACCAAGATCTTGCGCTCCCAGAGCAGTGCGCGACACAAACTAACGAGCTGGCACTGTCCGACGCTAAAGTTTTTCCCGTCATCCTCCACCCACTTGTCCAGACCTGTTCCTTCGACCCACGGGCCACTCATATCATCATCAATATCGCAAGTCTGTGTTGGCTTATCGACAAGATCTTCCATATGGCCCTTGCGAATTGCAGTCCAAATCTCGTCGTCAGTGAACTCCTCCAGCGGGTCCAGATTCTCGCGGATGGTGCCAGAAAATAGAGCCGGATCCTGTGGAATGATGCTGATCTTGGAGCGAAGTTCCTGGAGACCAATTGTCGAAATGTCCACTCCGTCGATGAAGATAGAGCCACCTGCTGGCTCGATTAGGCGCAGTAGTGCGTATGTCAGCGACGACTTGCCAGCACCAGTGCGTCCAACGATACCAACTTTCTCCTTGCAGCCAACTGAAAACGAAATGTCATTCAGAACAGTGTCCAGATTCTCGCGATATCTCATGCTGTAATTCCTGAACTCGACAGTGCCATCGGTTGGCCAGCTCTGGAGTGACTGCGATTCCTCGATGGTCGTAGGTGCCTCGCGTGGAAGTCCAGTATAGACGAAGTATTTTGAAAGTAAAGGTAGCTCCTGCTTGAGGTTATGGCCAGCATTAGAAACCTTCTTGATACCAGTCAGCATAATCTCCACAAGCCGCATTACCATCTCAACCTCGCCTGGCACAGATTTTATGCCCGATGTGGATGTTCGTCAAACCTGATACAGCAGCATAGCAGACTTGACCACCATAGTGGCTTGAATATCCAGAGTATATGTCGATTTTTCTAGTAGATTGTTATGCAACACGATATTGCTGTAGTTTGCAATTCGAGAAGCACACACTCGCAAATGTATACCAAGGACTCCCTGGATACGCATTACCTCCTGGTAATCCGCAATTACCTTAATGGACGTCAAGGGTACATACTTGGAGGTGGAGTAAAACACACCATTAAGCCTTTTATACGCCACACTGATCATCTGACTTGCTAGGAACGCTGCTGCAGCTGTAGGCAAAACGACAGTAAGCGCCATGGGCATCCGCTGAGCACCATGTATAATCACATTCAAGGCGTAGAGGGCACCTAGTACTTTCTGGTAGATCTGATATGGAAGCGAATTGCAGATCTTAGCTCGATCCCAGTTGAAAAGGATGGCGATTTTTTTCACTCGGGAAGCTCTCAAACTATGGCAATGGCATGTGGAGAAGCGTGCCAAGCAATTCAGTTCGAGTATGCTCCCGTAAACGTGCAGACCACAATCCTTCCTGAATCCAGCCACCAACCATACCTAATTGGACCTGAAGCATGCTGGCCAAGGCGTTCATAAGCAGATACATTTGCAGCGACTGGGCCATGCTCGGCGTGTGTGACCAGGATACGCGTCTTGTCACTGATCACTCCATTGCCAACAAGCACATTTTCGATTAGATGCCGCTCGACATGTGCATCAACCGCCGCCAGTAGGTCATCCAAAACATAGATGTCTGCGCGGGAGTAAATAGCACGGGCCAATGCTAGCCGCACCTTCTGTCCGCCAGACAGGTTGATACCACGCGGTCCGATCTCTGAAAAATCTTGCGCCGGGAACAGCTTGACATCCTGGGCTAGTGCACACGCCTCGACAACGCGCCAGTAGAATTTCTCGTCAAACGCCTGGCCAAACAGCACATTTTCACGGAACGTCGCATTCATGATCCATGGCTTCTGACTGACGTACCCGATCCGACCATATGTGCACCCTGTGCCTGAAACCAGCGGCATCTCACTGCAGATAGCAGACAGCAGGGACGACTTTCCGCTTCCGATTCTGCTGACAGCAACTGCGAACTCACCAGTCTTGACACGCAGTGTCGTTGGTGCAAGAGTGAACTTGTCAGGACCCCACTGGAACGCACACCTATCGAGCTCCGCTGTAGTATCGCCTACTAGAGCAGTGCATTTCTGTTTCTGAACCGGTGTATCAGGATCCTTTCCAGGTACCCATAGCAAAGTAGCAGCAGTCAGTGATGCATCTACGCAACCATCACCAGACTATGTATTTCAAAATAATACGTACATCTAGGACATAATGGTATCGAACTCACTATTAGGAGTACTCATTTTCAGCAGTAAAAACGATGATGAGGAGAATGAGGAGCGAAACAGGGTTTGGGTTGCCGCATCCCTTGACAACCCTTGCAAAAAATGGCTCAGGGACATGCAGCCATGAATGCACAGACGTGGATCGGCAGTTTCCGAATACCTGGGCATTGTTCGGGTGGAAAGTGATGTCTGCTTGTTTCTCACTGCGGCCAAAAGGACCGTGGCCATGTCGTGACAGAGTCTGGGTTGTCTGGGCATTACGCTCTTCACACTGTCCATGTATTCTAGGATATCAGCGATTTGCTCGCCATGTCACAATAGCACAGGTACTATGTAGGTTAGCGCATGTGTATGAGTAGTAGTTCATATGTATGGCGGGCAGCACCTAGGTGAATAAGCGGGGCGTCCACACTACGCTACACATACATCTACTCAAATTTACCTCTACACTCAGCACGCAAAGCAACAGATTGGCGCAGGAAGGACTATGAACTGCTAAGCCATCCGCTGTCCACATGACAGGCTTGTTTGACAACCACAAGCTGCATTTATGCTTCAGCTCATGGGAATTCGGATGTCACAGCAGCTGCATTCAAACACTTTTCGCACACTATGCCCAGCTCTCTACAATTGCTGCGGCTTTGGCTCAGAGATGAACCACAGCCTTCTATCCTAACGTCTTTAAAAGCGCACCGGACTAATCCCTTCTCTGCATATTTTCCGCACTCATTTTTCTATTACTCAACATGACATCTACATCAGCTCAGCCAGGCGCACTTTTTGTTAGAGAAGGCGACAACTTTGAATACCAGAGTGGTACTGCTGGTCAGGGATTCCGCACCACGGTGTACCGTCACCACGAGAATAACATGCGAGTTGTACTGTGTCGGGTTCCGAACCCGATGTGTCGTCTTACTATTTGCGTGCCGACCATTGCCACAGACAACAAGGGTCTGCCGCACACACTCGAACACCTGGTATTATGTGGATCAGAAAGATATCCCAACCATGGAAGCCTAGATGCAATTGCTGGCTGTAATTTCTCATATGGTACATGTGGGTGTACCAATGCAGACCGCACGTTCTACACAGTTACAACTGCAGGCGAAGAGGCGATCGCCAATATGCTACCAGTCTTCCTGGACCATGTTCTTCATCCTCTACTATCCGACGACCAGTTCGTAACTGAAGTCTACCATTTCGACGCTGATGGCAAGGAGCGAGGTGTCGTTTTCAGCGAGATGGTTATGCGCGAGAATGGTAGAGTCGATTTGATGAGGGTTGCTTTGTACAAGTTGATGTATTCTGAGAAATCACCGTATTCTTTCCGCGCTGGCGGCCTTACCAAGGATATTGCGACGCTGACAAACCAGGAGGTCATCGACTACCATCGCAAATTCTACGATGCCAACAACATCACAGTTCTGCTGGTTGGATCTTTCAGCGACTCATTCGAGAGCGTTCTTCAGCAGCTACCTGCCGATTTGGTAACCAGTGGCGGCTGTGATTCACGCAAGCCTGTCGAGTGTCCTGAGCCTGTGGGTGATAGGTGGTCGGAGTACATCAGGTTCCCTTCGGCAAGTGCAGACACAGGGTCGTTTAAATTCGGGTGGCGTGGCCCGATGCCTGATGATGCTGTGGCCATTACAGCCTTGGAGATTCTGCTGAGATACCTGACTGAAGGTGCATCCAGTCCACTCAGGCAGCGATTTGTTGAACGTACAATGCCATTGTCTGGCTCACTGTATGCTGCCATAGGTATTGAAATTCCTTCACCAGTCACCATAACATTCAATGGCGTGCCGTATATCGACCCATGCAGCTCCTGTGCAGATTCTGAGACTCCGATGTTATTCTCTGAAGGCTATTTCGAGAGTCTGCTCATCCAAGAGCTCCAGCGACTATACGATTCCAAATTCGATGGAAATGCCGGTGCACTGAGTCAAGCTGCAAAGGAGTACCGCCAATCCTTCGCAATGGGGCTTGAGGACAGCCCTCTCCAGAAACTAGAGACCACCCTGATTCGTGATGTCACTGCATCTCACTGGTCATCTAGCAGCGAGTTTCGTGTCGGGACATATGCTCGGGTGTTCGATGTCATCGATGAGCTTATTCAGAAACCAGTCGACTTTTGGTTGGATCTGCTCAAGAGGTTCATCGACACGCGTGTGTATTATGTAGCAGCAGTGCCGGATACAGAGCTGGGAAAGAAGCTCGAGCAGGAGCGTCGCGATATCGAGCAGAGGAATGCGCAGTCGATTTCTGACAAGGACAGGCATACACGGCGTATCGAGAGGGCAGTTGAGGCTAGCAAGCTGAGCATTCCAGATGAGCTGAAGCGCAGTATTCATATCCCGGATGCACAGAAGATTTCCAGCCTGCCACATGTACATGAGGTTGTAGAGCTGGCAACACCGATCGGTCCTGCAGCTGTTGTTCAGCTAATCGAGCTTGAGACCGCGTTCCCTGCACTAAGCCTCAGCATTCCTCTTCAAAACCTGCCTGATAGCCTCTGTCCCTGCCTTGCCCTTTTCAAAGAGCTTGTATTAGCAACTGACCTTGCTCTTCCGCCTGGAGTTGCCTACGATGGTGACATATCTGATACAGCCCGCCGTGTCAGCTGCACGGAGTTTGATCGCCAACTAGCTGCCACCACTGTGTCCAAGTGGGCATACATCGTGCCAAACACCGATATATTCTATGTGTATCTCAAGTCGACGCATGAGAATGTTGATGTAGCCAGCAACTTGCTTGTTCGGGCACTGCTGTTCGCTGATTTTACAGCCGAGCGTACCTTGACCGTCGCACAAAAGCTCCTCAGCAACATCGCTAACCAAAAGCTACTCAGCGATTGCATGCTCAACGAGATAACATGGCATTTTAGCGCGCAGGATCCCACCAACCGTTCTCGTTGGGTCAGCAATCAAATGAGCGCATTTGAACATGAGCGATTTCTGCAGGGCGTCATCAAGTCTCTGGATTCTGGCGATACAAGGATTGTGGATCAGCTGAATGAGCTCCAGAGCTATATTGCCAATGGAATGGGAGGATTTTGGACATTCACGTTCTCCAGCGGCCAGCGCGAGAAAAAAATGAGGTCCATCGACAAGCTTGCCCAAGACTGGCAGGACTGCTTTGGAAGGTTCTCGGAGCAAGCGGCTGGCGATATTTCCTCCCGCGATGGTGATTCACCAGTATATCCATTCCCATGTTTACGCCATTCCCGGTTCTCGAATATTCCACATCCACTGAACGTTCAGGTCATTTTGCCAACTCTTCAAGCAGCTGTCGTGCGTATCTGCTGCGAAAGCTGTGTTTTCACACCACCAACACTGGGCAGGCCGTTCGATGAGCAGCTGGCAGATCTCCCTGGCATCGACTACTACGCACTTGAGGTCTTGATCTCAGTGCTTCAGCGCAGCGGCGGACCCTTGTACAATGCGATTCGCAGCAAAGGCCTTGGATACACACCTTCCTTCTGGCAGGATATGGTACCAGGTATGCTTTTATTTGTTGTTGACCGGGCATCAGACGCATCCAAGGCCATTTTGGAAATGCGAGCACTCGTATCTGGTGTCGGCGAGCACTGGGACAAATATATCACCGAGTTCGAGATTGCTATGGCCAAGTCAGAGATGGTGTGTAGGGCCACAGATTCAGAGTGCTCCCCCCACCTGCAGACATTCTATTGCTATGTCAGTAATATTCTCGGGTTTGCGTCGGCAAGCCAGTATACTGTTTGGAAAAATGCCCACATCAGTGCAGTGAAGGATGCCGACCTGCGACGCGTGTATGACCTCTATCTGAAGAGGTTTGTGACCCCTGGTCATCCACTGCTTACGGTTGTTCTGACTCCTTCTGGCACTGAGATTTCTGCTGAGCTGGGCAAGTTCGAGGTCAAGATGTTGGACGAGCTTTAATAAGCATAAAATCCTAATAATGCTAAACGATGTTGGAGATAATTCGAAACCCCACTACATGGTAAATGAATTAGATGGCGAGGTACTGTGTTTATTCGGGACCCCTCCACCCATTCGTTTGCCAGAATATGTCTGGCGTGGAGAACTCGTGGCCAACCTTGGCGTTAAACTGGCGGATTTCATCTGGATTTCCTAGCCAGTCATGCCTGGCAAAAAACTTGAACATATTGCGCATATCATCGCTGATCAGTTTCTCTGGTGCCATGTTCTCCAGCCTTGTTGGGACACCGGCAACCCTGCTGAATGCATCTGCAACCTGCTGAGGAGAATATGCTCCACCAGTAACCGGAACGGCTTTGCCAAAGTATCCCTTTCGGTTCTCTATGATATACCTGACGACTGGCCCCGTGTCTCTATCCGGGTCGACTTGCATAACAGGGCCGTCGAGGTCTCCAGAGTACCAGAATTCGACGGCACCGTCATCAGCTAGTTGTGCTCGTGTGAGGAAGTTCTGGAAATAGGCGGCCAGCAGGATCACGGTGGCGTTAATCGGCTGGCTTAGCAGATATTCCTGGACCCTGAACTTGCCGTCAAAGAAGGCAATGTCGCCGATTTCTCCGTTAGTCTCATGCTTGGCACTCCGACATGAGCTGAAAATTACATAAGGCACGTTCTGCTTAACGCAGGCATCGACTAGGTTTCTCCCTTGCTGGTACTCGCGCTCTACGGGATCGTCGCTGTTCATTATAGCAGACTGGAAGAACTGCGTGACTCCAAACACAATATTGGCGCCACTGACGGCACTCATGACGGTGTTGATATCCTCGAGGTCGGCCTCCACCAACTCTACAGAAGGGTACTCGTGGCTTAGACGCTGGGCGTTGGCTGACGAAGTAGAGCGTGTCACAGCGCGGATGTGGTAGTTGGGCGACCCAGCCAGCGAGCGCAGGACGGAGGCACCTTGCTGACCGGTGGCGCCGAAAATAACAACAACTTCAGCTGAGCTTGACATGATAGTTTGATAGGGAGTAGTATGCTATGTGCGCTTGAGGCAGCTTCTGAGGAGAAACACTGCAACCACCCTATTTATGTGGATCCCGGCCGAAGTGCTGATTTGTCATCATCTGCACACACAAGCAGCATCATGTGCGGCTCCTACATGCATTGTCGGCATGCACAAGCTCCCGAGTCGAGTCTCACTGACTGTGTAGAGAACCGGGTCAATACAGAAAGTAAAGCATTTATTTGGCAACTGCCCAAGTGCATATGGCGTCTACTTGATACTGAAGGAAATGTCCCGGTTGTTTGCTTTGGCAAACTCTGCAAAATGTGCCGTGTACTTTCGTGGCAGTATGAGCTCAATGAGCAGCGGTGCCGAGAGTATCATCTTTTTGATCCAGGCAATATACTGCATCGACCAGTCGCTGAAATCGTTGATATGGAGCACCTGCAGTTTGGTAGAGAAGAGCTTCGTGTGCTCTGACGGCAAATCATGGATCTCCCCAGCTATCACTCCCTCGCCATAGTGGTTGTAGCGCGTGATGCATGTGATGTTGAGGTACCAGAGCCTCGGATGGCTTTTCACAAACTGCTCGATTGCCGGCCACTTCAGCACGTCAACAGTGAGCTCAATGTGTCGCAGGTTTGGCCAGGGGACCGGGTACTGATTTGGAAAGTGCTGGATGCTGGTCTTGAGACACCGTGCCATCAGCTGAGTATCGAATACCTTTTGTGTGAACTCGGACATGTTTCCATTGGATTCGCCGCCGACGTAATATGGCGTAACGCAGAGCCTGGTGGCCTGTCGGATAATGTCCATGTCGATGTACTGCAGCTTGCGCAATGACTCCCAGATTTCAACCCTGTTCCGTGCTTCGACACAAATCGCAGAGTAGAAGTCGTCGTAGAACCGCAGCGCGCATTTGATCACCAGCGTTTTGACCCTCGCGCACACGATCTGCATGGGGAACCTCTTTACCGACACAATTTGCCTGCCGTACCTGTCAAAATCGAGCACCAGGCGCTCCACGTTGGGCAAAGTAATGACGTTGGATCCAGGCCGTGCCAGGAACGACCACGGGAACGACGGGTCGATTTCGGTCAGCTCCAGGTTGCGGAGCTGGTCAGTGAACATGGCTGGCAACGGCACAATGTTTGTGACATGCGGGCCGTGCAGTTTCACCTTGGTGATATTCTGTGAAAACATTGTGATGTCCACTTTGGGGAACGGCCGTGCAATATGCAGACATGATAGGTTCGGGAGAGAACGCACTATTAGGCCCTCAATGAGTGGCGACACGGAGGGGCTGATAACGCATGTCGGCACGTAGATTTCCTTGAGGTTAGGCATGTTCTGTGCGAAATATGCCAGCGTGTGCTGCACCAGCACATCCAGCGGGTAGCCTCCGTCAAAGTCAACGCGGGTCTCGATGCGCAAGGACTCGAGATTGGGCCAGGCAACGCGACTGAGTCCGAGGCCCTCAAACAGCGACACGAGGCAGGAGACAAATGTCGTTTCGCCCACCCGGCCGAATATACGCACAGTTCCGGTTGACCCGGCCATGCCGGAGGCAATAATTGCGTTGATGTTCGAGTACCAAACGATGGGTGGCTTTGCTGTGGGCGCAACGATTTTTGTGATTCGGTTGGTGAGAGTGGGCTTTAGGCGCGCCGAGCGGATTATGAGGGTCGAGAAGGCGCGCGACTTCAGCAAATAGAACCACTGGCGACATACGGTCGACAGCATTGCCAGTTCCTGGTACATGTGCTGGCACACAGATGGCTGCGATGTCCGGCTGAAAGCCCATCTCGAGCACCCGCTTGAGGATGTCACCGCCAGCAAGCGCATTCAGGGATGTAGGTGCAGGCATGATGGAGGGTATGTGAAAAAAAATAATAATAAATAAGGTTGGAGGGCGGAGGGCAAGGAGCAGAGGAAAGCACCGGGCAGACATGACATGCCGCATGTGAATTATTGTGAGGCTCGCACAATAGCTGCCAGCTGGCGGTGAGTTTGTCTATTGTGATGTGAGCGGAAGCGAGGGACATTTGCACAAGCGAAAAGGAAAAAAGTGGCACCCTGTCGCTAACACGAAGTAAAACAAGGTGGCGGCGCAAATATTGCGCTTGAGTCCCTCCAAGCAGCAGCAGTGCTACCGCTGCTGAGCAAAAAGGAAAAACAAAAGCGTCGTGCGACCCACCTGCGCAGTGGGGGTCGCCAGAGCATATGTGCGGTCCTACCATCGGCATAGCGTGTGCGCAAGGACTGGGCACCAAGTGGGGGATCTGTCCTGATCAGGCGGGGGAGCGATCCCTGTCCAGACATCCCGAGCTAGCGCTTCCGAATCTGCCCTTGAAGAAGCTGTCAATTCCCCAACGGCGTCTGCCTGAGAAATTTTCGCTTGGCCTCCATAAAGTCGGGTGATTACGGTGCGCCGCTTTCATCGCCTGGCCTCTCTCTTTTTTTTCCTTCTTCCTCCGTTTACTAGCATTTTTCACTCTCAATTCCCCTTCACAAATTAGATGGCAGCGCAGCTCTACAAAACGCATACCGGGCAGCTCTTCCATGCCGGGTCCATAGTGATCATCAACGTCGGTCTGCCGGCACGCGGCAAGACGCACGGCTCGCGCTCGCTCATCCGGTACATGAACTGGCTGGGAGTAAAGTCCAAGTCGTTCCACATGGGGCAGTACCGGCGACGCCTGTACGGGCCAGACATCTCAGCCGAGTACTTTGACCTGGGCAACGACGGCATGACTGAGAAGCGGAGCCACGCCGAGGACAGCTGCATCGACGATATTATCGAGTATCTGACGGTGGGCTCAGGGCAGCTGGCAATATTCGATGCGTCGAATCTGCGGGCAGACCGGCGGCGGTACATATACGAGCGGTTTGAGAGCAAGCAGATCCGGCCTTTGTTTGTCGAGTACATTTGCGAGAACGACAGGATCGTGGAGGAGAACATCCGCAAGGTGAAGATTACGTCACCAGATTATGTCACCATGGATGCGGACACCGCGGTCAGGGATTTCAAGGCGCGGATCAAGCGCATGGAGCCGTACTACCAGACAATCGAGGACGGCGACCTGAGCTACATCAAGCTGTACAATGTGGGCGAGCATATTGTGGTCAACAATATCCGCGGGTACTTGCAGTCGCGCGTGGTGTTTTATCTGATGAATCTGCACATCTCGGACCGCACAATCTACCTGGCGCGCAGCGGCGAGTCGAGCAACGAGGGCTCGTACAAGGCCGACGCGCCACTGTCCGACGAGGGGCATCCGGTACGCCAAGCACCTGCATGATGCGATCCTACGGCGCACCAAGGAGCGGGCGGCCGAGACGTTGAAAAAGACCGGCGTTGATAACTCGAACAAGATGCTCAAGGTGTGGACGTCGACGCACGTCAAGAGCTACCAGACGGCCGAGTATTTTGTAAAGTATGACAACTTCCCGGTGCGGCGCCGTATGCTGCTCAAGGGTCTGAATCCAGGGATCTGCGAGAACTTGACGCTGGCGGAGGTCAAGGACAAGTTCCCCGACGAGTACCATGCGTACCTGCGCGATCCCGTACCACCACCGGTACTCGCGCGCAGAGTCGTACCATGACGTGTCGGTGCGGCTGGAGCCGGTGATTCTGGAGCTCGAGAGGGAGCACGACGACCTGCTGATTATTGCGCCCGAGTCGGTGCTCAGGTGCATCTACGCGTACTTTGCACCCAAGGGCCTTCCCGACTCGCTTGATTCCGACGCTGGCGTTCCCCAGATCGATTTTTGTGGAGCTCACGCCGACAGCATACGGGTGCAAGGAGAGACGAGTCGGCATTTCGCCTTCGGACGAGTAAGATATCCATAGTTTGTGTGATCTTCAGATAGCGTATATTATCAGAATTTTAGAAAAAATATTTTTCACCAGCACGTGCCGTTTTTTGTTCTGTTTTTGCTTATCACTACCCATGCCGCCAAAACGACCGAGGAACCTGCGCAAAACAAAGACATCGGCGGCTGACTGGGACGAACCGGCAGCCGAGCCCTCGACCAAGCCCGAAGTGCCGCTCGATGATCTGGTGGAATTCCGGCAATACCGACAAAGGCACCGCGGCATCGACACCGAGGCCCTGGCCAAGGGCGACCGTCCCAGCAAACGCAAAAAGACCAGCCAGCCAGGCCGATGGCGATGACGGAGAAAAGAAGGCACCGATGCTCGACAGCGCATTTGCGGCCGAAACCAATACAGTCGACGTCAACAAGCACATGATGGCGTATATTGAGCAGGAGATGGACAAGCGGAAATCCCACGGCCCAGGCGGAACCCGACGCTGAAGACGACCTGTACCAGATGCCGGAGCACCTGAAGGTAGTTGAGGAAAAGCCGGTGAGCGAGGGCAATGTGGCGATGGCGTCAACAATGCTGACGTCGATTCCCGAAGGTGGATCTGGGCAAGAGCGCGAAGCTTAGAAATATCATAGAGACCGAGTCTCTGGTCGCCAGGATGTCGAGTGAGCGATCAAGAGACAACAGCCGGGTGCTGGGCGCAGTGGGGTCGGCAGTCAGATACAAAAAAGTGCACGATCCGTCCGAGCGGTCATCGAAGGCCACCGACGACATTACAATGCAAAAGTTCAAGAAACGCATGCGGCGATAGACAGAGGAGGGCATAGAGCAACGCAGTGTTATATATGCAATTGAATGCGATACACAGGGAATATCAATGGTGGCCTTCGTTCTTCAGGAAGCGCATGGTGCTCTCCCACACGAAGATGGCGCTGGCGTTTGTCGGGAACGAGCGAATGAATGTGGGCACAAACCCACGGAAGAATCCGCGCACGCCCTCGGTACGGTATACATGGGCAAACATGCGGCGGAACGAGATCGGCGACTCATCGCCCTGCGTCATGTACCGGTTCTTGACCACATCCACTGGATAGCACATGCACCAGAACGTGTTTGCAGCCATGCCGCCGGCCAAAAAGTTGATCAGCTTCTCTGGCATGCGTCGGTCCTCGTAGACGCCGAACGGAGCCGGTTTTTGCATAGTACGGGAAGTGGTCGGTGCGGCGCAGCGTGCGCATCCACTCCGAGTACACGTCGTAGGAGCCCCAGAGGAAGAAGAAAAACGACCGCTGCGTCAGCGTCGCTGGCAGCCCATGCCAGATGCCAAACACGCCGTACCTCTGCACCAGCTGGACGGGCGCAGTCAATCGGGCCCTTGTACCTGCGCTGGTCGCCCGACGCATACTGCACCTGCAGCCTGACCTTGATCAGCTCCACGGGCGTTGCCACCATCGCCACTGTCCAGCCAGCGCCCATTCCGGCTACAGCATGTTCCAGGTGCGTCAGCTTATGCGCCTTGTTGCCGCCCTGCAGAAGCAGACGGTAGTTTGAGAGACTGCCCAGCTGGACCGCGTCCATGGCTGCCCAGCCGATCAGCGGGATGCTGGCGCCCTTGTAGAGCGCCCGTGGGCCCTCTTGCCGGATCGTTGACATCAGACAGTCCAGCGGGCCCTTGAAGCGCCCATGCCCGCCCTCGACCTGGCACCGGATCTTCACTGTGTCGAAAGGGTGGCCGACAAACAGCTTGGTTGCCCCTGAGGCAATTCCTGATGCAAAGCCTGCAACGCGGTCGCGGGTCGTCGCCATGTGTGGTGCTGGCGCGCCTATTGTCTGCTGCAGCCGCCATTCTGGTCAAATGAGAAATTACAAGTAATGTGGAAGGGTTGCAGATAAAAAAAAAAGCAGTCCTGAGCAGAATTGCTGTTATCTCTGCTTGCAGCGGGAAAGGGTGCTGAGGGGAAATACCCGCTCATGTGACTCACACCCCTCAGCTTGCGACACAGGAAAACGTACTCGACAAGACACCCTCCATCTGCAAATCTCTCCAGTCACTGCTACCACACGACCAGATAGCGCCCATAGATGCATGCTCAGCGGAGGCAGAAAACAGCACCAGAGGCTTCGTAAACAACGGAGGACGTACGCTACGACCATTTTTGTTCTCGTCAATATTGGCGCCAATGCCTAAGCTTTTTCAGAATCCCAGAAAAGGGTACTTTGGAGAATTGTCCACACTTGCTGTGCGCAGTATTTATAGAACGTCCATTGTCACATTCTCCTGGCAAAAGAATTTGTTTGCCTTAGTGCTTTTCGGCAATAGGCTGGGTCACGCTGGCTCCACTTTCGGGTACCGCCAGTGGGCATTTGCGGGCATTCCTGGCTCCCCTGTTCTTCATAAGCTGCTTTCTAGCTAGGACACTATCTCTCCTCTGCATCTCGCAATTTTATATTTATACGGTCAATGATCAGCACTCGCCCCTCCTTTTTCCCCTGCTCTAAGTCCCGACACGCAACCAATCCATCAATACTATACCCATCGACTCATACCTAGTCTCGAGATTTGACACCCCCTTTTTCGTCCGCTTTTCATTCCCAACCACACTCGCCCGCCTCCAGCATCTGTGATTTTCCCATCCCTGAGCCTCAACTTCCCTTGCAGGCAATAGAAAAATTTTTGCGCAATATTTATCAGCAAGCTTCCCGCCATTCCCCCAAATCCATTCTCTTCTCTCGACCATCCCTTTTTCATCGTGCTTTGTAATATTTCCATTATTTTTGTTATACTTGTTAATGAACCGGAGCAGCATCCCACACATGGGCGCAATACCGCTGGCCGTGCCGCCATCCATGCTCGAGCTGCAGCAGCGACGGCGCGGCAGTCAGTGCGCCGAAACACAGGCCAGCGGTAGATTTAGGGCTGCATAACGCGGTGGCACGCGGCGACATCGGCTCAATCAGCTACGCGCTGCTTGGCGGACAGCCCATCGACAGTGTCGAGCGTGGGCTGCAGGCGATCCATGTGGCAGCGGCACAATCGGACACAATGGTGGTGGAGTTTCTGCTGCAGAACGGGGCCTAGCATCGACGCCAAAACAACGGTATACACGAAGCAGCGGGTGGCGGTGCCAGAGCTACGCAGCCGTGGCAGCATCTCGTTGATCCGCGAGCTGGGAACCAGCGCGATCTCGAGCCCGATGAGCTTCACGTCAGGGCTCAACGCCATGGAGGGGCACGAGCCATTGCAAGTGACGCCTGGCATGGAGACAGCAATGGAGACGTGGTACTGCGGGGCGACGCCGCTGCATTTCGCAGTGGCCAATAAGCGCATGCTGGTGGTAGGGCTGCTGGTAGCACACGGGGCGTCGCTGGATATCCAGGACTCATATGGAAACACGGCCGAGGCGCTGGCTGAGGCGCGCGGTGACGCGGATGTGGTGCATCTGCTGCAGCTAGGAGCGCAAACGGCGGCAGACAGACTTGCTGTGCAATTTTCCCTGGCGCACGTGAGCCGCCACCTGACAACACTGCCATGTACGCGTTTCCCTCCCCCGACTCATACACAGCCGAGCCACCGCAGGAGCCACTGGCCGTCGCCATTCCGTCGCCCAAGGTACCGTCCATCCGGCGCCATACGTCGGGGGAGGCCGACAGCAGCTACATGCCATTTGCGTACTCGCCAGCATCGCCCACCACGCGCCAGATGAAGCACCGGAACACATCGCCCATTGGCGTACGCCCACTATCCATCACCAACTCCATGTACTATGCCGAGCAGCAAGCCATGCGTATGCGCCCGCAGTCGGCCGATGCCGCCCACGCTGAGGCCAGCAAGCCCGAGAACCCGGTGCGTCGCCGTCCGGGTCAGATAAAGCACATCAGGCCGGATCTGCCAGTGAGCCGCAGCTCGAGCACAAACTCGCGCCGCGAGCGCTCCTACACTGACTCGGTGATTGAAAGCGCCTGGCATAGCTTTCTGCGCAAGACCGAGGAGTCCGAGTCGGAGCAGAATGTGCACAAGATTGTCGCTGGGATGCAGGACTGCGGCGAGGAGGCGCCGCTGGCCGAGCTGTGGATGTGGAAGCAAGCCGCCATGGCCGTGCGGAACCGCCGCAGCCACTCGCTCAATGTCACCACGGTGCCGCGCAGCTCGTCTGACGATTACGTCGCCGACGGGCGGAGCGCATTCGTGCGCCCGTCGCTCTCAAACCTTCGCTTCGAGCAGACCTAAATCCTCATTTTGTAGATATATGATTCATTTATTCATCCTCCTTTTGCTACGGAGCCGCCGGAGCTGTTCGGCCAGCCATGGGCCAACCAAAGCCATGTAAATGCCCACGTCCCAAGAATAGATGCACCTTCATCGATTTTCCCTATGAACACATGCATGCATGCCGCTGCTAGCGCTTTGGGCGCACGGAGAATGTCGGTTTAGGCAAGACGATGCTGGGGGATCGTCTTCTCCCAACAGACAGAGAAAAGCGTTCCCACTCGATCCCCTGCGATAAATAATGGCTCATATTCTATTACTCCTATTCGCTCTAAATTTGCCAGCCTGCGGACTGTTGGGGGAGCAAGATGATGCATGAAAACGTTGCTGGTTCGCACATCTGGCACATTGCCTATCGTACCATCGATCGCGCAGATATTGCAATCCTCCCCAAATGCAGTTTTCTGACGCCGATGCGCAAGGGGAGGGAGCCGCATAAAGGCTGTTTGAAGATGCCTGTAGGTGCCGAGCTGGAGCTGCCAGCTCATGCATTAGCCGTTTTATTACACTCCCGATATGGAAAGATGTCCAGCGCCTGCCGGATCTCGTCTGCGCTGGTGCAATTTTGTCTGTTCCACAACACCGACCCCACAGTCCTCGCTTCTACGTGCTCTCCTGCTGGTCATGGGGATATTTTCCAATTGGAGTGGAGCTAGCAGTATCCCAGATGCCCCCATGCTGTGTGGTTTTCATGCCCGAAGTGGAAATGGGCATCGGCAGTGGGCTTTTGGAGAAGCGACAGCGGGAAAGGACCGGATCGATTTTTGCAGTGCTGCAATTGCTGTGATGCTCCGGATTGAGAACAGTGAGGCCACTGCTAGTGCGAATCTGCCATCCGCTTAGCTCCCGACACCGAGCCACTATCTCGTCGCATCATCACAGTATTAACATGACCAAATAACCAGCTGGGACACCTGCTTAACTGCCAATCCCGGCCGTCTCCAGACCGTAATGCTCTTTCCTAGGTCCGGTCCGATAATCCCTATCCCTTTATTGTCCTAATTGCGTGCAACACACTAGTGCTGACCGGAGCCGGGCTGGCGAATGGCAGCTGGTGCTGGAACAATCCGCCTGTATTTTTCAACCACAGCTCAAAGCTCAGGACAGTTTTTCTCTCAACCCTTTTTGTGCTACACAACAAATGCGCTGTTTCTGGCAGTTTCGCAGGTTGGCAAGTCGAACAGGGCCCGTGCTTGTCATCCCCAATCGAGGATGGGGAGGGTATTAGGAATTTGTCGCACCTCAATACATTTTCCTGATACTAATGACTATATGCTGGCTGAACCAGCTCCAAACACGCCCCCTCCTTTGCACACTCTCCACCTACACCCGCCATAGCCCACGGCTTGAGATTAATGGACTGTATGTGGTATGATCCTATCTACCTGCAGTGACCAGATAGCATTCGTACAGTCCAAGGTCATCTGTCGCCAATGCCTAGTCGGACGAAGGGTGCAAGGCTGTTGTGGATAGGGCAATGCGGACAAAATCACCGCACGCACGCTTAGAAATTCTGCCTACAGTGGACATTAGGGCTGCTGCGGAAGTCGATTGTTCTCCAGAGCGAATTGCTCACACTCTCGGACACCTTACTGTATATATCCACCATTTTGTGTCTACCTGCCTGTTTGCTCAGTCTCCTCCGCCTTTTTGTCTCCACCAGTAGCGAATGCATGTGGACTGGCGGATTCACTCTTACTGTTGGCGAGTGACCCTTGCGAGTGAGAGCACTTCATGTACACGTCCCCCGATGTGAAGGACAGTTTACCGCATCGCTCGACTTTCAGGAGGAACTCAGCTCGGTCCAATTTTTTTTCACAATGTGTGTGGTAGGGCTGATGCGTAGAAATTGGTTCCCCGAACAGGAGGCCGCTGGAATAGGTGGCACAAGCAATGTGAACACTGATATCTCCCGGTACTGCCATGTATGAAAGACACCAGGAGGCAATGACATGATCTTGCTGTTACACCCGGGCCTGTGGATCGTACTGGAGGTTTTGCGGTCTTTCATTTTACGTACCCGGACACCTGCATGCTGCAGTGCCGTGATTTATAGTAAATATCTCTGAAAGAAATTCGCATACTCCAACCATCACAATCAGGGTTTGTGTATTAGATGTCAACGAAGGGCCGTTGTTGGACCCTGTTTTGGTCGACACCACCACCACCACCGTTGAATAGTCATGTGCTTGCACTAAGCCATCCAAGTAGCCAATGTTGCCAAGGTAGTTATCGATAGCATGGCTTGTGTTTTCCCCTGTATCTGGAACGCGTCGCTTGCAGGGTGGCTGCATGGCATCAGTCCAAGTTAGGGAATACCAATACAAATGACGATTGTTTGGCAAACTTCTTGCCTAATCTGACCTAATTGGTCGTACTTGCTAGAAACCACCAGCAAACAGAGGCTTGCTGCCATCTATGGATCTTGATTTGTTGATACAGACACATCAACATGTATAGTGAGGGGTATGTACACGGCAGTAGTTCTGTCGAGCTATTGTCTGACCGCCTGAGAAATGTGCAAACAAAATCAGGCGTTCTGCCCGTATCAGTTCGCCATCAACAATCAGAAGCACGCGGAGGGGAGGGGGAGCAAGCCAAGATAATGCCCGTACATTTTGCTTCCAACAATGGCCGAACAATCGCCTCAAGCAAGAAAGAGCTCGAGATGAAGTGGTGTGCAGTTGGATTTGTGTCTGCTCAGCTGAGCAAGCAGGCATAATTACACGCATGCATAGTGCGTAAGAGGTGGAAAACCAGGCGGGCGTGTCACATTTGCCGTCTTTTTCTTTCCACGAGAAGGCTACACGAGAAGGTGGAAAATTGTGCTCGGGTGATACATTTGAACAATACTTGGTACTCACAAGGGCTAGCAACGCAAGCAGCGAGCGGAAAGCTGCGATGCATCACACCAGCACAAGAAGGTGACATCGGGGCTGGGCCGCTCCTACTAGGCATACTGCGTGCAGGATAAGGGCGCGTATGTCTCCTTTTAGGCATAACATGGCTCAATCGATGGAGCACGCCTTGCCGGAGATAACCAGCGAGTGGGGGCGCGGGGAGGCTGCGTGTTTAGAGCAAATCGTGCGTATCGATTGCACAGCCGAGCCAAGCTGTGCTCCCCAAAAAATTATAAAAATCCGCACAGCCAGAAAAAACGTTTGGACGCAAGGCTTTTTCTCGTCGCGGGTCCACAGGCGTGAGCACAACTTTCGCAGGGGACCTAGCCCACCCTCCTCTGCCTCCCCCATCAGTGGTGTTTCGATTGCCTTTGATAATACGTGGAGCTGCCGGCAAGAGTAACAATTCGGGGGTGGGTCCGATGACCCGAAGCAGCTACCCCCCCTCTCCAAAGGCTCGTGCCTGGCTTTTGCGAGCAAGGGGATCTGGTATTTAACGCAGCGTCGTCCCACCCTTTCGTCTCAGGGCTAAACATAAAAATTACTCACCACTCCTTTCTCTCTCCCTGAAGTAACGAATATCACTTCTCCACGCCTTCTATATTATTTCACACTTTTGCCTATTTGTATTTCTAAACCTCTCCTCCTCTAGAGCTTCGTCTTCACAAGCTCATCACCCTAAACAGCTACAATATTTCCCACATCAGTATTTTTCTCCTCATTTATCTCCACACACAGTTGACTGCTGTATCTTTCCTCATTACTACTTCCTAGAACCTTATTCACGCTCAACTACCACTTCTACGTCTGGTGTCTCTTCCTCATTCTCCTCTTCCTTCTGTCACATAAAACCAAAAAATGTACATTCCCGTATCAAGGTCGCCCTCCTGGGCCCAGGGATCTGTCACTCTCACTATGCCAGCCACATCGCCGCGTCGCTTGACGCTTATCCTGCGGCCGCAAAACAAGCCCACGCCTCACCTGCCGTCGGTAGCATGCACAGCATCTGGCAAGCGAATCAAGTCGTGCATGAAGAAGAGCAGCTCTGTATGTGGGCAATCCGGCAAGGTGCCGCGGTTTGTGCATTTCGGGGCTACGCTTGAGCACACACGGTGGTTCTACAAGAGCGAAACGCCCAAACATGCATCGGCCGACCCCCGCTTCGAATCACAGGATCACGAGACGTGCGGGGACGAGCTCCGGCTGGTGCCTTTGCGCAAGCCCTCGCCCTCGTTTTCACCCTTTGAGCCGTCGCCTGTGGTGCTCGAGTCGGTCGAGTATGCCAGGGGCACGCTGACCGGCACAATCAAGGTACACAACTTGGCGTTTGAGAAGCAGGTGTCGGTGCGTCTGACCACCGACGAGTGGAAGACGGTCGTGGACGTCACTGCCGAGTTCCTGCGCTCGGTCGCGCCGGTTGACGGCGTGCGTCCAGGCGTCGACCGCTTCCGCTTCAAGCACCCGCTGAAGGCGGAGCCCACGCAGGTTTCCATCTGCGTGCGCTACGGGGTCAACGACCAGGAGTTCTGGGACAACAACCAGGGCGCCAACTACTGCTTCAAGCTGGCGGCTGCTGCGCCCAAGCGTGCGGTGAGCGAGCCGCTGGTGCGCAAGCCCCAGAACAACTTTGCGTTTGCTGCGCCTGCGCGTCGCTCACCGTCGCCCTCGTATGGCGTGTCGGCGGCCGATGCGTCGCGGTACATGCGCTACTCGGAGGCTGCCTTTAATGAGCCGCCAGCCCAGCCGGCAGGATACCCGCTGTTTGCCGCCACGTCCGTGGTCGCCCAATGTTGCCTATGCCATGGGCAGCCATTATTGCGGCGATCTGCGGGCGTCCTCGCCCAGGTCTGTCAGTCCAGTGATGCGCACCGGCTCGCCCTTGGCTGCTCCCCACGTCTGGTCACCGCAGCCGACCACCTTGCTCCACTGCTGAACACTCTGGCCTAGAACCAGCTGTTGCAAATCGAGCAACTGATCCCCCAGACAATCGGGCAGTCCATTGGCACACCGCTGCCCCCTTCTCTGCACACTTCTTCCAGTCGTTTGAGAAGGACCCGAAGCTGCCCAGCGGCAAAGGAGCGGATGTGCCATCCTCCTGCTCCCAAACGTCCACCGCTCAAGATTTTCCCGCATGTTCTGCCGCGAGCCCCTCCACCATCAAAATGCTTTTTTCTGTAACATTTCCCACATCACTTTTTGGCCTTTATTTATATCAACTTTGCATCAAACTCCTCATCGCATGTAGCACGCTGTTTTTGTTCTCCCTCTCGCAAATGCCAGACAAATAAATGGATTGAACGGCAAACACTTTCATAATCGTGGAATTAAGCGTCATGCGGATTTCAAGGTCTGGGAGCCCAGGGCGGCCATATCTTTTTTCTATTCCAAGTGCTCAGGCGCAAGTTGTTCTCGCCTGCCCCTCCCCGACGGCATGTGTGGTCACGGTGCATGGTCACCCCCTGTTCATTTCCCTAAAAGCCAAACACCGAATGGCAAAAATGGATGCCAATCATAGGCCGCGCATCGCTGCTGCAACATAATTCGTCCTCTGCACACCGAGCACACCAGGCTCCATCTGCCCCATCACATGAGGGGCATGCCTACCACATCATGGATGGGATGGGCATATCCGCCCTGCCCACATGGCATGTAACGTAAAAAAAAAACCACAGCATCTGCTGCACATGGCATGCTCTAGCAAAAAGGGGGCAAAGGAAAACTGCGAACGTGTTCTACAGGAACAGAATAACCAAAAATATTGATTTTTCAAAATCCAGCAATTTTTCTTTACTCGTCGACAGTCTGGGTCTGCAGACCCTTGAAGTCGGCGGTCGGGACGTAGGTCACGTAGGTGTAGAGCTTCTCGGCGGCCTCCTCGTCGTCGTTACGGCGGCGCGACAGGCGGACACGGACGCGGTGGGGGACGGCCTTGACGCCGCGGGCCCACAGAGCCTTGTTGAGCTGCTGATCCAGGCGAACGTCCGAGGTACCCATGGCCTTCTGAGCGAACTTGCGGATCTCCTTGACCGCGCGCGGGGTGCGGTTCTTGAAGGTGGCGCCAAACACACGCTTGTGCATGTGGATGGTGTACTCGCGGGTCACGACCTCAGCGAGGGCAGAGCGCTTGTTGCCGGTAGTTCCCTTCGACATTTTTATCTACGCAAAGGTGGAGTTTGCAGGGTGGTAGGTGGGTTGGTTAGCGCCATCGTCTTCAATGCGGGTTGCGCAGTGCCTCTCTGCAGATTGCCTGAATGCAGTTTCCAAATTCCAGCCCCTAACACGGGGGGCGGGAAGACAGTGGTGCATCCCGAATTTGAATTTTTGCAATTTCGCATCGCACTGAATCCCATTCCGCTCCAGCATAGTCTCTGTATCAGGACCTGTGCTCGCGCGTATTTTTCATCTGGCCGTATCCATCGTCTCGCCTTAAACTGAAAAAAGGATTCCTTACATTTGATCAATCCCTGCAAAAATGAAAGTGTAAGATCGAGAAAAGGACGTTGCTTGGGGCGCCCAAAAAAACACTTGACTATATCGCCCATGCCCCCCAGCAGCCCGCCCAGCTCAAAGCCAGGAGCAGCTGCAGCCACGCCGTGATTATTACGCGCTCTGGCCTTGATCGAGGTTATTTATTAGATTGGATTACTGAATTGGATATTTGCTGGTTTGGAGATGGTGGCCAGTGACCGTGAACACGTTCAGCTGCAACTTGCCACTGGCTGTCTGCTCGATGACCGTGGCCACCGGCGGCGAGCACCACCCAATGGCATTGCCTAGCAGACTACACCTGGGTACAAGAGGACGCAGAGACGTCGCGTCCACTGGCACAAGTCTGCTGTTGGTCCTGATCACAACTGCCTTGGTGCCAGCAACCTTGCTTATTCCAGAAAAGTAGTTAAAAAGCCGGCTCTGCAAGGCACCACTGATGCCAAGCCAGTAAAGCAGCCGGTGAGTCCAGTCCATGTCGATGAATATCGCTGAGAGATCTGCACCGGCACATTTCCCAAATCCTTCGAGCGATTTGGAAGGGCTGCTGGCGCTTGTCGCTACAACGCAAACATTGCCTGCAAAAGCAGCAAATGATGCACTATCGGGTGGTGCATGGACAATCCCATCAATGCCTGGGCTACCACGCTGTGCCTTGGGATGCATGACAAAGCTGAGACGATGACCGTGCAGAATATCAGCCAACTCGGTAGCCCATGGCTCGCCAGCATGGTCACTGATCCTAGCAATGTCGACAAGTCCGATGGCAAACACTGGCAGCGACGTATTTCCCGGCTCGCCGTGTGCCACTGTGGACCACGGGCTGGTGTACCGGATCGGCAGTATCTGGTTCAGCGCCCAGTTATCGGTCTCGACATGGAGCTGTGTTGGCTGGCCATACGCAACAGGCACATCAGCAGCATATTCAAACCAGCTATTTAATGGCCCAGCTGATACGACATGGGGTGCCACTTCGCCGCTGTTGAATTTCACCAGTGCACTGTGTTTACAGGACGAGCGCCATCCTATGCGAACCGATTCAGCACTGAGCACTGTGAGCGATGGCGGCTGGATGTACATGCAATCTGGTGTCGGGTTGGCCAGGACTCGGACAAGAGTCAGCATGCGATCTTTGGCACCCAGGGCAAAGAAATAGAAAAGCCCGCCGATTATCAGGGCAAGAGATGCCAGCGTTCCTCTGCCCACACGCCGTTGCCCATCTGCCTGGCGGCTATGTGGTAATTGTTTCATATCGAATGAAGCGATACGTAATGTGTAGTTAATGGGAGTACAAAGAATTAGATGCGGCTTTACAGAGAAGAAGACGAAAGGAATGGACGGCTAAAAATCGAGTCCTTTCTAGACAGGCACATTCTTCCGTCAGCCTGTGCTCAGCACACGACTCCAAGTGACTGGATCCTATGGTTGAACCAGCAGTGAGCCTCCGAATTGTGTTCCCAAGTTTCGGAGGCAATTGATTTGCATTGAAGCATGCTGATGGTTTGCTCTCCTGCATAAGCTGCAATCGCAGTAGCATGCCTGCATCAGCCAATCGCATCGAGACTATGAGCCATGCCAAGGCCACGGGCACATTCTTCTAGGCTACAGTAGCTTCCTTGTCTCTAGTGCAATCGCCTGCCACTCATTGCTGTCACACACACACACATCGCCAATAACACAAGAATATACAATTTAGAGCTATTTAAAAGGCTGCTAGTGCTGGAGGACAAACTCGTCGACTGTCTGGCCAGCAATGTTGTGGGCAACCCAGTGCAGGCGCTTGTCCTCGATATCTAGACTGACAAAGTGGTGGTCAAGGTATGTAACATTGTACATATGATAGTTCTCGACCCGTCGCAGGTCTAGACTGCCGCCGGCTCCACCAACAATGGCATATGTGATCGTGTCGTTTTTCCCATAGCCTGGCCCGCGGTGTATAGTTGACCTCTGGTAGTTGTGCTGGTGACCAGAGATGACCAGATCCACGCCATGCTTGCGGAATAGCGGGTCATATTCAATCCGGATGTGCTCACCCCAGTGCTTCTCACCCTTGTCGTTCCACGTAAAAGGGTCCCAGAACTCAATATAAGGCGGGATGTGGATCGCAACGATCTTGAATTCAGCATCCTGGAATGCTGCTGATTGCAGCTCACTCTCCAGAAACTCGCTCTGTTCTGTCGACGGACACTCTGCATCCAGCACGATGATGCGTGCTGTGCCTACGCTCACGCTGTGGTAGAACCTATGGTATTCGCCATCGACCACTGATGATTTGCCCAGATCTTCAGATTCGAGCAGTCTGTGGTACATGTCTGTGTACAGGTTGTTGTTGTTTGGCTTGCGGCTCTTGTCATGGTCGTGGTTGCCTGGCACAAATATTGTCGGCACATTGTGCTGCAGACCGCCGAAATCCTCCATGGGCGAGAAAAGCTGCTTCTGCCAATCATTCAATTTGCGTGCAGTCTGGACGCTGTCACCGACATGCAAAATTGTGTCTGGGATGTTGCTGCCGTAGAATTTGCGGACCCTGGCCAGCACACGACGGAAATTTGACGGGCCGTTCTGGTTGTCTGCCATCACCAGGACGCGATGCAGGCTGTGCTTTGTCCGCCTATGGATTCTGTACTGCTGCGTGCTCTGGCGGTAATTGTTGATCTTGTAGAACACATCTGAGGCATTGCCGGCTGGGCCAAAAATGGCGGTATATCTGTGATGATTAGCGTCAATGCGTCTATACCAGGGCTCAATGAAGGCGTGGCCGTGGGACGCTTTTGTCCACCACTCAACCATCGGGTCACCTGACGGACAGGTTGTCTCCCAAACAACAAAGTAGTGGTGGTCGCCATGCTCGAACACCATTGGGAGCTTGCGGAACGTGCACGGATACAGGTCATTGTCCAGTACCCAGTCACCCACGATTGACCGAAGCGTCTGGATGCTGGGGCTGCGCAGGACTGTCACCAGCATCCAGAGCGCAAGCATCTGGGACATCACAAGTAGCAGGAAGCGGCGGTAGTATGGTCTCATCAGACTAATCCTTGTCGGTAGTGCTGCTGTCGAGTGAAAAGAAGGCGATAAAATAAAGATGCAGAAGGAAGACACGAAGTGAAAAAATCGGGGAGGGGAGGCAAAGAAGGCAGTACTCGGGAAGAAGTGAGCATGGAAACAAAAGAGAGGAGAAGGAGGCAGCGGGGCGAGGCGATTTGTATGCCGCCAGCCAGCAATTCCTGCTCGTGCGGGCACCAGCATCGGCAACCTAAGTCCACAATGCCCATGAGGTCACGTCTCACCGCCATCCCAGATCCCGCACTTCTTATTGTGGCCTGCACGCCAAGGAACCAGGATGCGGCTTAGTGGCTCCAAGGGCTGCAAAGCGCAGCATGGATCAAGCCCGAGACAGCCCCAAACTCTGGCTCTGGTGTGGAGGGGATGCATCGGCAGACCAGACATCCGTCTTCAGGCATACGTGTCTTTATTGCAGAATTGGGCGGTGGTGGTGCCCCACCGACACTAAGTAGGCGCTATACAGCATGCATGGGTAAATGCGCACTGGAGCTTACAGCACCGGGTTAGCTGCAGGCATTGCGCCGGCTATTCAAACCGGCCCAAACCTAAATACCCTCGCTATCGGCCAGAGGACAGTCTGAAATCAAGGCCTGGACAGGGATCGCTATCTCGCGCTACCGTATCTTGCCAGCGCGGTCGGAAATTTTATTTTATTTTTCGAGATACACGACCTTGCCACGTGAATAGAGTTAGGTAGCAGCCTCGCTCTCGCAGCATTCTTATCCACAAGCCTCCTCGTTTATCTCGCCAAACGCGCTTTCTCCCTCTTCTGCTCAAACAGTTAGTGTCTACTTTTCCAATTCGTCGCTCTGCAATTTTTCCGCTGCTCACAAACAAACATAATGTCGTCCTCCGGAAGCCAGAACAGCAAGGGCAAGCAGGCCGCGCCCAGCCAGCCAGACGGTAAAGCCAAGGACAATTCCACCTTGGGCCGCATTGCAGAGTCAGCAACAAAGCTGGCTAGCGACATAGCGTTCGGCAAGTCCTCGGTGAACCCGAACTCGCTGGTGGCCGAGTCCAAGCAGCAGGGTGAGGGATCGTCGTCCACGCACAGACACGAATGGATGGCGGGCAGCCAGCGCCTGCAGAGCTCCGGGTCCACAGACGAGCACACACATCCTTCCAGCAGCACATCAGCGGCGGCAGCATTCCGGCAGGCGGCACGTGCAGCAAATAGTGCCCAGAGCCAGGGCCAGAGGTGGAGCAGCGAGTACACAGTATCGGCGCCGCATGGCGAGGAGCCGTCGCACCAGATCCAGCTGGCGCAGCAGATGGACGGAGCTGGTGTGCTGGACTTTCTGTCGCAGACCCAGCCAACCACCATGAGTGTCTCGCATGTGGGCCAGGATCGCAGCCTTAACAAACCGCCGGTGCGGCAGCAGGGCCCGCATGCAGCTGGTACAGTTGAGACCACGGATCCAATTGCCTACCTGAACGGCACCACATATGCGACGGACATGGAGTCGACAGATCACCGGGTAGTACCGCACGGTGAGCGCGGGATATCGGGATCACCGAACCACCGACCCGAGAAGGCATGGGGCGACAGCAATCCTACCGAGGGGCAGGAGGAATGGGCGCTGAACGAGGCCTGGAACCGCGCCTGGATGGGCACAACGTGGGACGAGGCGAAGAAAAAGAAGGAGCCCAAGCCGGACCACATCCAGCCCACCAGCAAGAACCTGAGCCACCTGCTCAAGCCCCGTATTTAAGTGTTTCCAGTCCCAAGCCCAGTAAATAGAACATGCGCCACTTGTCGCTATATTTTGAAAGCTAGAGCAGAAATCAGAAAGGAAAAGTTACCGGCCGCCAGGGCTGGTCTTAGGCCGCGATCAGGGTGCGCACAAACTCCTCGTAGTTGATGTTGCCGTGCTTGTCCATGGGCACGCCCTTGAGCAGCTCGTCGACCTCGACATCCGACAGAGCCTCGCCCAGGCTCGTCAGCACATACCGCAGCTCACCCGCAGAAATGAAGCCGTTGCCGTCGCGGTCAAACACCTGAAATGCCTGCACAAACTCGTTGAACGACGCCTCGCTCGATGCCGAGTTGAAGCCGCCTGGCCGCATCACAATGTCGACAAACTCGTCGAACGCCACGCCCTTGGTCTCGTCGGACGGGTCCACGTCGCCGGTGATGTCGTGCACATCCGCCTCTGTTGGGTTCTGGCCCAGCGCGCGCAGAAGTGTGCCCAGGGAGGACAATGGCACCTTGCCCTCGCCCGTCCGGTCGAACAGTCCGAATGCCTCCTTGAACTCGCTAAGTTGCTCTGCTGTGGGCTTCTACTCTTTTCAAACATGCTTTAGCTGCAGCTGGCCGGAATTGCAGATGAGCAGCTGCCCATTCAGCAGCAGTATGCTCGATTGCCGCACTCACCTGGCTCATCGTTGTGTTGTGAAGGTGTGGTAATAATAAAAAGCCTAACTGACGCTAAAGGCAGGAGACAAAAGTGTAAACATTTATGCCCAGGTGCAATAGTGTAGCGCCTGTGGCCCTATTTCAACCAAGCCTGATGTGATCACAGCAGCGATATCTGATTAGTGATCAGGGGCTCTCCACATGCGCTTGTAGCCAGGCTGCTGGTGAGCTTATCTGCCGCTGCCGCAACCCAGACGCTGGGAAGCTCTGTGCTTCAATTCATATCTGGCCCACATTCAATGCAGCCAGGCGCATGTTTGCGTGGTTTCACGAACGGTCTGGCCATATAAGGCCCGTTCGACCCTCCGGCAGACCCATTGAAGCGCCATTTGGCCAATCCTCGCTTCCCAATACACCCCTCGGTGTATTCCACGAACACGACACCGGTGCTTGTTTGGGCATCGATTGGCAGCCATCAGCAAACAAAAGAAAATGAACCGACCGTTCATAGAGTATCTATGGAAGGGCTGTATGCAACTCGCAGGCCGTCCGCCACGCGTGCATGGCTACCATACATAACAAGCTGCCCCTCCAGAACGAATGCTCTGCGTGCTCCTATTGGCTCGGCCCATTAGGTATGGCGTGTGGTAAGAGGGACAGGAGCCTTTAGCCCTGCCTTTAGAGGCAATAGCTTTTCTTATCCTGTCCCCAGCCATGGAGCTTCTGCGTTCCCTCTGCCTTGATAAAGGGGGATGTCCTAGAGTTGCATGGCTAACTCTTGGAGAGGATATGTCCCGGGGTTTACGGCATACATGATGAAAATGTTGTCTCCCGGCATCGCTCGGTCATAAAAAGCGCTGCTGTTGCTATCTTACTGGCAGCACTAGCACAGAAGCCCCCATCCGACGGGGATGTCGGGTGCACGTCAACTATCTACAGCTAGCGGCAAGGACAAAGCAGGATTTGCAGCCAACAGATCAACAATTTCTGCCCCTTTTGGCTGAGCGGGCGGTGTGAGGAAGAATTGTGGATGGCCATATCGTTTTTCCAAACGACATAAGCAATGCCATTGGCCACTTTCATTCCAGCGCCCGCCCACTCCACGTTCCATGGCCGTGATGCCTGCCAGCAAGAATGCTATAAAAGGGTCTCTAAGCGCTTCCTCGCCCTCTTCATTTCCTCCTATACTCCACCCTCCTTTCGCCCACAAAACACGCCCGATTCGTGCACATTTGCAATGAAGTTCTTCACCGGTCTCGTCGCTGCCGCCGCCATTGCCCAGGGCGCGTTTGCCCACATGGGCGTCATTGCTCCTAAGCCGCGCTCAGGCGTCGTTGCCGACGAGCTGCTTGCCCCGTGCGGCGGCGGCAACACGCTCACCAAGAACGTCACAACCGCTGCTGTCGGCTCCAAAACGCTCTTCTCGCTCAAGCCCGGTCACGGAAGCGGCAATCTCATCTTCAGCTACTTCACCGACCTCACCGTCACCAACGACACCAAGGCCACGCACCTCCTGGATGTCCAGGTCCCCCAGCCCGGAATCTACAACACCACCATTGACTTTGCTCAGCACAACCTCAAGGCCGGCCAGAACATCGTCGTCCAGGCCGTCTACAACTGCACGGACGATGGCAACAACGAAAAGTTCTACGTCTGCTTCGATGTGTCGGTCGCTGACTCCGCCAGTGCGTCGTCTGCAGCCGAATCTTCGAGTGAGGGCGGTGCGGAGAGCGGCTTGGACAAGTCGACGGCAGCCCCGGCGAAATCCAGCACTGGCTCAGCTAGCACTCTCAAGATTGCCCTTGGCTCGGCAGTCGCCATGCTGCTTGCCGCTGCTTTCTAAGTTAAATAGCCACCTTTTGTCGATTTTTCTTTTTTCATTTCTCATAATTTTTCCTCAATGCTAATAATTGACTTCACTATCTTGGGTCATGCGCACTGACTGAGGTATGCAGCATAGTGGCTATCCACATACCGGAATGTATTGGTGCTTGCTTTGGGCTCATAAATACAATTTTCTACTCTAGCCACATCAACATGGCAATGGTGTAGCCCTAGTATGATATGTTTCGTGCAGCGAGAACATGTTGCCCAGTGGAAATGGGTCTTACTCTGGACATTCACTATTTTCCATCTCGAATAGTGTATTTTGACATACGAATCGGCAAGGGGTGCCTAAACATCAACCCTCAAGCTATTATTCTGTCATACATCCCGTATTCACGTACGAAAAAGTAGCTAAGGTTAATGTTGATCATTGGAGTTTGGTCTACATGCAATCGCCATTTAGCAGCGATACATATTGTTATTCAACCACATCATCTCTGTTAACCAACGGATAAAAACATTTTCGGTCCTTATGCGTAATAGACTAGATCAAAAGGCAACTGCATCGACCAAAGCGGATAGCTGCCGTTTATTCTGCCATAATAAAAGGCCCATCTAAACCTTAAAGTTAAGCGATGAGTACTCGGACAGTGCACGGCGAGCCTCGACAATACGCCTGGCGACATCCTGCACAGTGGCCTCATGCTTGGCGGCATGTATCAGCACATCCGGCGAGAACTCAACGCCAAAGTACTCCTTGATCGCATACCCCAGGCGCTTTGCCTGGCGCTCGTCCAGCACACGGTCAACAGCAAACGGGTCGAGCACCGACACCAGCGGCTCGACAATCTCGGTCCTAACCACCACGTCGCCGTCCTTTGGCTCGGGCCGCGAGTCGGTCACAGCCAAGGTCTTGTTCACAATCGTCATCAGCGCCAGCGAGAGCTCATCAATGTTCTCAGCAAGCGGTGGGATATCGCCGTTGGTGGCTGGTGGGACTTGAAGCTCAAAGACAGAGGTGATTTCGGAGCTCTCGCACACGGTGATCTCAAAGGGCTTTGACTGCGCAATAACAGCATGAGTGCCGCCGTGATGCAGACGCATTTCGTAGGCACCCACGCGGAACGGCAGTGCCGCGCTGCTAAACACAGCCTCGCCCTGCAGAACCTCAACCGTAGGAGCATTGCGCTTTGCCGGCCGTATGGTACTGCGTACGTGGCCGGTAAACACGCTATCGCCGGGCACCTTCTCAGCCAGCAGGTTCTCGTCCGGGTGGATGTACACGTAGCGGCCGCGCGAGCTGGCGGTGGTGATCTGGCTGGAGAAGTTGGCGGTGACAGGATAGATGCCAACCCAGTCGCGGCGCGAATGGCTACGCGGCGCTGTCCACGCAATGCGGATCGGCTCGCCTAGATAGTACTCATTGCGCGATGCCTTGCTGGCCTTGCCGGCTGCGCCCGGCTGCAGTTTGATGCTGTACGAGTCCAGGTGGTCGAGTTTCGAGAGCTCCGAGGGCAGCGCGCGCTCAGCCAGCCGCGCCGTGGTCGTCGACAGCAGCCCGCGTGTGTCCTGCAGGATCTCCTTCACTGGGCGCATGGTCAGCAGCTCAGCAATGCTGCCTGAGCCGGCGTCGTCCGAGCCGCTGGCAGCTGGCACGGGCTTGTCATCAGTAAACACCGGCTGGCCGATGCCCTTGTTGACAGCCTTCTTGACGGTGCGCACAATACCAGAGTCGCGGTGGATTTGCGTGCCATAGACCTTCTCCATGTGCGGGGTCTCGACGTAGGCACCGAACAAAAAGGTCCCGCACTGGAAAAACAGCGCCAAAGCGAACACCGTCCAGCTGCGCGAAATCAGCGCCAATCCGTAGAATGCCGCCTGGCCGATGACCTTCTCGGGGTTGTTCAGGTAGCGGTAGATGCCCGTGTAGTACAGCTTGATGTCAGCCGGCGCCAGCGAGACCACCGCCGGGCTGCGCGCGAAAAAGTCACCGTAGAACCACCCAAAGTCGCCCAGCGTGTCGTACACGGACCGCGAGCTCCACACATGGAAGGCAATCAGCAGCAGGCCCAGCGTGTGGAACAGCACCAGGTCGCTGTAGTCAGCATCGCCCCAGTGGTAGCCGGCCACTGCCACTAGCGCAAACGACCCGTAAATCATAATAGTCGCCGAGTTATACACTGCGCGCCAGCTCGAGAACGCCTCCTCGCTGTTGCCGCCGTGCTTGATGAACCACCGCGTGATGAACTGGTCGGCACTCTGCTTGCGCAGCAGCACGCCCAGCACCAGTGTGCGGAACAGAATCCACCACAGGCACTGCAGCGACGAATACACCAACAGCGTGCTGGTGTAGCCAGTCAGATACAGGAACAGCAGTGGCACGCCCACCGAGTACGCCAGCAGCAGCACCGTCAGGATGTCAGACGCCCGGAACAGATCCAAGTTCTTAAAGAAGATCAGCTCGGGATGCCACAGGCTCGCTGGCCGCTCGCGGATCGACCGCTGGGCATCCACTGTAAGTGCCGTGGCCACCGGGCTGCCCTCGCTGTCCAGCGACACCTTGCGCGACCGCGACTTCTGCAGCACCTGGATTGCCAGCGGCGCCCGCTCGTACGTCTTCTCGATGTGCGGGTTCTCGACAAACGACAGGAACAGGAACTGCAGCATGTGCGCAGCCAGGCTCGCGTAGAAGATCGTGTAGCTGCCTGTGATCAGCGACCCGCCGTAGTACCCGGCGTACCCGATCGAGTACATCGGGTGCGGCGCCATCTCAAACACTCCGTCGAACGTCAGCGACTGCTCCACTAGGAAGAAGAAGTCGCCCCAGTACCATGCGTAGTCCTTGACCACCCGGTGCGCATCGACCTTCACCCACAGGTTGAATGCCAGCAGAATCAGTCCGCCCACAACACGCAGGACCGTCTGCCACGTCTCTGAGTCGTTGGCCGAGCCAATGTAGCATGCGCACAGGAAAAAGTACGCCATAAAGTCGTTCAGCAGAATCAGATCCACCAGCTGCCGGTACAGCAGCCAGACATTGAACTCGAGGGGAACTTTCTAGATAGCCAGAACAAAAACCGTGGATCAGTCAGCCATCCGGGCAATCCACACAATCCAAATAACAAAACTACAATCTCCTGCCTTACCTCGAACGAATAGTCGGCACCCATCTTGGCCTCCAGCTCCGCCTTGAGCCAGACATACATGTTGCCGCCGCGGCTCGCGTCCAACCACCCGTTGCGCTTGAACAGAGCCACCAGCCCATGCCGGCTGCTCTGCCAGTTCAGAATCCACCCCAGGCCGCCATTATAACACAGCCGCCAGAATGCAAACGCTGCCACCAGGATCCTGCGCTTAGCTGCCAGCGGGAACGCAACAAACACCAGCAGGTGCGTGCTCAGGATCAGCAGCGTGAACAGGTCAAACGTCGTCTTGGGCGTGAACGGGTTGAACAGCGATTGCAGCATGTCGCTTGTCTTGGGCACCGCAAACGCTACACAATCTTGTTTATTCAGTCCACCGGTGGCGTGTCATGTGTGTGCATTGCGTATATACAGCATGCGGTGGCACCATCGCCCACCCCACGCTCCCACGTATCACGTTGTACCATGTACCATGTACCTGGGTACTGAGACAGAAAATACTACTTACCAGTTCCATCAGGAGTGCGTCCCGTCAACGCCTTCTCGTCAGAGGGAGGCATGGCGCTGCTTGCGGCCTCGTCAGAGCTCGACACCCTGCCGGCAGCCGCCTTCTTTTTGCCCAGTCGCTGTTTAATGGCCATGGGCTAGTTACAGCTACAGAGCTGAATCGCAATAGTGTGATGGTATTCTGGGGGGAAAATTGGGTTATAATAACCTGGGTTGTGTGAATTTGACAAACGAGACGCCTGCCAAAATAGAAAAATATACGGAATCTCACAAAACCAGAAGGGAGAAGAGGGAGGAAGCCAAGGAAGGCAGGAACCGGCGAGCTTTATAAACAATTGACTTCCATCGATTTGCCTTTCGTCGATGCACTGTGAACTTCATGCAGTCACTCTTTCCCCCGACGAAAACGAAAAGCAGGCCAGGGCTGGGTGGGCTTTGATTGCCAGCTGGGCGGGAGGCGCTAATTACGCGGCCGGTTAATGCCACGTCTCTTGTTTTTCGTGCTCATGTGAAAGCCTACCATAGATTTCTGCCAGAACCATTCACGGAGTTGCCTAAAAAAGGTTAAACATGTCTTTATAATTGTCAGCACAGGGTAAGAAAGGTAGGGTGGGTTATGAAAGGAGAAAGCCAAGAAGGAGTGGCATTGGACATAACGAGGCCCCTGCTCACTGCTCCATTTCAAACGTATCGTCCAAATCCTGTTTCGACAAATGGCTGTTGTGCTGGAACGACGACGGGTTCGAGTCCTCGAGGCTCACATCCATCTCGTCCTCGTCGGCCTCGCGGAACTGCGCCATACCCTGGATCTTCCGGTCAATAAACGACCCCGTCGGCACCTGGCCCGCGCCGTACTGCTGCTGGTTGATCACCTGCTGCAGCTTGCTCGCCTGTGCCGGCGTGTTCGGCGGCGGATTCCACCCGCCCAGCATCTGCGCTGTGCTGCTGCCCGACCCAGCGTGCGCTGACATCAGCGACGGCTGCACAAGGGAATTTGGCGGTGCCTCGATCCCCGTCATGCCCAGGTGCGACGTGGACAGCTCGGAGCCCAGGCGGAAGTTGGTAGAGTCGCTGCCCGAGCCGCCTACTGAGAGGGACTGGTCAGTGTGTGAAATACGGGAAAAAAGAAGGTGCGTCTGCTGCCAAAACCAAAAAGACTAGCTATTCACTTACCACTGCCTTGTGCAAACACATTCATCTTTGGCACATTGGCTGCATTTATCGGAATGGGCGCACCCTGCTGCTGCTGCTGGCCCTTGCGGTTGCCTGAAATTGGAATGCTCTGCGACATTTTTGTACAAAGGTGAATAAAGTAAATAAGGAATAGTAGGAGGAGAAAAATAGAAAATGTACGAAGGCGAAAACTACAGAGGACTGGAATTGGCAAACGGACAGGTGCTGCTAGGAGAGAAAAAGAGGCGCGCAAGTAATAAACAAAAAGGTTGCTGAATTTACGCTTGCGAACACTGGGAGAAAAAAATAATAGGGCTGGGCAAGAGAGGTGAAAAGCAAACGAGCCTGAAAACCCCACACACCAGAGGTTAAAACGAGGTTGGATGACGTTGCACATTTGAGAACTACATAAAATTTTTACGAGTTGCTGGACAAAAAGCTGACAAAGTATTTTCTAAACTGCTTTTGGTTCAGCGAAGCCAGCGCCTGGACAAACTCGGTCGCCATGGCTGTCGGGCAGCCAAGACCAGGCAGCAGCACTGTCGACATGTACGTAGCGAACTGGTTCTGGTTCAGATCACCGCCAATGGGCGGTGTCAGCAGCTGCGTCGATGGCAGCGCAGCACTGCCCTCGCCGCTGGCGATCTCCGGAACGCCCGCCAGCAGCAGCGTCTGCAGCAGCCCGGCGATCTCTGTCACCACCAGCAATGCCTGGGCATCGGTTAGGCGGAAGCCGGGGCGGGTTGGCGCCTCAAAGCACGCCGGCAGCACAGCGTCGATGACAAACTGGCGGAACTCCGCCAGCAAGTCCTTGGACGGGCTGATGTTGACCGTCAGCATGGCCTCCTGGCGCAGATGTCTGACCGACGGATCGGTAGCGGGCGCCGCCTGGCCACTGGCGATTGCGGCGGTGGCTGATGACGTCAGCGTGGCTACTGTGTGCCAGCCCTTGGGATCAACCAGCCAGGCCACGGCAGTCTTGTTCAACACGCTGAACGCCAGGCGCTGCAGCTGTGGGCTGGCGCTGTCAACGGCCAGCTGCGCGGCAATGGGCCGAAGAATGGTGACCAGATGCGGTGCGTTCTGTGCAGTCAGGAACACGCAGTCCAGGTCTGAGTTGAAGATGGCCGCCAGCCACGTCAGGTACGCCTTGCGCAGATCTGCCAGCAGCACCGACTCATCGGTACCTGCCGCGCCATCGGCCGCCACGTGATCCAGGAAGCCGTAGACCTTGGAAATCACCGGCAGCAGCAGCTCGGCGGCGGTCGGCGCGACATCCGGCTTGAACTTGTACAGCAGCAGGCCCAGGAAGCCCAGCAGGTCGACCAGCTCCTCGACCTTGCACATGGGCACCAGCCCGTCGATGAGCCGCGGTACGTATGTCAGCGCAGCCGTGCCCAGCACACTGAGCATACGCGACAGTGCAAACCGCGCGGCCTCACGGATCAGCTCGCTCTCCCGCAGCGCCTCCAGCACCGCAATGCTCATTTCGGCGGCCTTGGCAAAGACATCGGCGGTGCTGGGCGACAGCTGGTGCTGGCCGTTGGTCGGCCCACCCTTAGCGTCAGTGCGAGCGTCGGGGAAGCCCTTGACGATGGCGCCAATGGCCGTCAGGTAGTGGTGGATCTGCAGCAGCGCCTGCGGGTCAGCGGCGATCTGGGCCGGCGCTCGCGCATTCATAAGCTGCTGCGCGCCCATGAACAGCGGATTGAACAGTTGCTGCAGCAGCGCCATGCGCACCGAGTCGTCGAGCCCGCTGGGCGCCAGCATCAGCCCGCATGTCTCAAACAGGTAGCCCTGTGAGTCAAACAGCCCGTAGCCGCCGCCCTGCGGCGCCGTGTCGCTGATGGTCGACACGTCAGCGCGGATGGTCAGCAGATCGGCGACGGCAGCGATGACGTCGGCCGAATATACCGCCAGTGATTCGCTGTTCATCAGCTTGACGAACCGGAACAGGAGGTACCAAATGCGCGTGCACACCGTCTTGTGCGGGTGCCGCACGCCCGTAGCGCCTATGAATGCCGCCAGAACCGGGGTGATTGCCTCGCGTTGCACATCAAAGAACCCGTGGAACCGCACACAGTTCTCGAAGAACGTCGGCGCGATCGCCGGGTGCGCGCAGTTGACAATGCCGGACTGGATCATCACTGTCAGCAGCTCGGCCAGCGCATCCGTCGATGCCTGCGAAGCCATCGTTGATGAGCCGTTCGTCGCATGTGCCCCCGACTTGGAGCCGCTGAACCGCAGGCCCTTGATCGTGCTGAGCCGTTCACCGTACGCCTGCGTCAAATACACGCCCAGCTCGCCACGCACCCAGCCAAGCTGCCCCTGCCCATCCCCGTCGGCATCGCCAGCGCGGTCGGCACTGATTCCGTATTGGCTGCACTGCTTGAAGATGTTATGTGCGGTGGTCAGCACCACCGAGTCGTAGAGCCCCGGCGCGATCTGCCCGATGGCGTCAATGAACACGCGCAGGTTGCGCCGCAGCTCGCCAAACATCGCCTCGTCGTCGTCCTCGTCCAGCGACCCGTCGTTGTCCGTCGCATGCGACTCGCTTGGCAGCGGCCACGGGTAGCCCTCATCATACTTCAGCTTCTCCACCAACGCCGGCAGCAGCTGCGACAGGAACTCCTGCTGCGTCTCGCTCAGGCCTGCTCCCTCCTTCTGCTGCCTCTTGAACACTCCCAGGATGTCGCTGATGGCTGGGAACACCGCCGACGACACCTCGTCGTACTCGTGCGACAGGAACCGCAGCAGCAGCGGCATCAGCTGCTCAATCAGCGCGCGCGCTGTTGCGTGTGCCTCGGCGGTCGTCGCCGGGTCCTTATCGGCCCAGATCGCCTTGAGCTCGACTGCCGTGGCATTGGCCAGCTTCCCCACGTTCTCAGCAAAGTCCACGTCGCCAGCCTCGAGCTGCCCCATGACCTCGACGATGTTCAGGAACTGGATCAGATACAGCTTCTCCATGGGCCGCATGCCTTTGCTGACAATCTCCACCAGGCACCGGCACGCATCGTTGCGCAGCACTGGCGTCTTCAGCAGCTCAAACAGCAGCATCATGAAGGCCTCGTTGACAATCAGGTTGATGTCGATCCACGACACATACACGCCGATTAGCCGCAGCGTACCGCGCGCCAGGTCCGGGTGCGTCGCCGACATGTGGGCCAGTGTGTATAGCCACGTATGTGCCAGCCGGTGGACGTCCTCAGTACGCATCGCATCCTTGATCATCGTGTTGCGGGCCACCTCCTCTTTGCCCCGCGGCACCACCGGATTCACCATCTCCTCGTCCAGTGACCCCAGGATCTTGATAACAAAATCAACCATCGAGGGGTCCACGCCCTGCAAACTCACAGACTTTGCGCTCTCTGCCGTCACTGCCCCCGTGGCCGCTGGGAACCCCGTCAACGCCACCATGTCTGTGATGAACGTCGGCCAGTGCGTTGGATATGTCGCCAGCGCCAGTAGCGTGATTGCGTGCGCCAGTTTGTTTTTGATAAAGCCCACCTCTGAGCTGTACTTGGTGCCTGCGTACTGCTCTGTCACAAACTGCAGCAGAGACTGCCGCACTGCACTCAGATTTGCCGCTGCCTCGCTTGTACTAGCGCTGATTCCCACTCCGACAATCATCGACTCAATTGCTTGCAGCGCAAACAGCCGTGCTTCGGGTGAACTCGCCGGCGTCTTTGTAAATAGCTGCAGACACATCTGCCACCCATCTGCCGACGACTTTACCTGCTCGCAGTACTCCATAGCCTACAACGCCCTTAAAATCAGGGAGGGTTCAGCAATCACGATGCAGTGGTCGGAAAAAATTTTGCTACCCCTCCCCTCGCATGCCTCAGGATGATGCAAGCGCTCCATGAATACCATGCTGCTGCTCTGCTTACCTGTGCCTGGACAGCCGGGTCGCTCGTCGGGTCAAGTGCGCACCGGACCGCCTCCTCGATTTGTTCCATGGGCCACCAAAAAGAAACTAGCGCTTGTGTAGAGTGAATGAATTCGAAAAAAAAGAACTAGTTGCTTGCAGAGAATATCTTCTGCAACCCTGCGTTGTATATATTCTCAGATAGAAAAGAAACGCCCTGCACCCGTGTTCTGTTTCTTTAAGCTTGTTCTTTAAATGTATGAAAACGATTTTTTCGGTAGAGAAAAGGAGGCACCAGTGATGGAACCAGGACACCAGCTAGAAAAGCTAAATATTTTGGGAATGTGTATTGAATTGTAAAAATATGAAAGCAAAAAGACGAGCCAGTATTCAGTCTGAGAACGGGCTGGAAATAGGCAGAGTGTGGGGGAGGATTTTTTGGCGAGTTGGGAAATGCGTGTACAGGAGAATTTATAGCAGAAGGTCAAGAGAGGAAGAAGGCTTGAGCGTGAGGCGAAAAGAAAAGGTTTGTTGACAGCAAAAAATTATCGAAAATTAATTCCCGGCTGCCCAAGCCCACAAAATCGGATTCTGCCCATGCACTGATCTCCTGCGGCAGACTCTGCGGGGCAGCAAAGGTGCTGTTCACCAGTGATTGGCACTGCGCCATCCAGCCTACGCCGCAGCACCACAAGACACTAGATATCCTCCAGATTTTTATTCTGTGGCACATGTCAAAGATGTAGACTGCTCCATTAGGCAACGAACGGGAACATGGCCTTGCGTGACTTGGGGTAGTCTGGGAACTCGCGCCTGTAAGCCTTGTGCTTCTTGACCGCCCACACGTACATCTGTCCCGTTGACACCGCCAAAAACAGGAATGCGGCGATGCTGCGCGTCATGCACGCAAACGCCGTCCACGCCAGGCTCTCAAACAGGTAGTTCGGGCAGCTAACAAGGTCAAATCCATACCCATACGGAATCCGCCGCGTGCGCGTGCCCGCCGGCCGCAGGTTGCGCAGCGTGATGTGCGTGCTCAGGTTCGACAGCTCGGCAAACACAAAGATCGCCGTCCAGATCGCCAGCAGCGTCGGGTTGCTCAGCTTGGTGCCCAGCTCCGTGCCCTTGCCCAGGCTGGGGCTGTACACCCAGTACGCCAGGTTGACGCCCGACAGAATGTGGTAGTGGAACGAGTTCTTGAAGATGTTGATGATCGGCATCGTGCCGTTCGAGAACCGGTGCACAAAGATCGTCTCCAGCTCGCGCTTGAGGAAGTGCCCCATGGCCATGTAGTACGCGCGGCTACATGCAAAGTAGTTACACATCAGTAGACAGCCAATACCCGGAATATTACTAGCAGTGATGTCCACTTACCGCTGAATGTCGCTGTACTCGAATGTCTTGCCATAGACAAGCGTCTGCATGTTGTAGACAAGGAAATGGAACAGCAGTGGCCCAAAGTACTCGACCAAGAACACCGTTGTCCAGCCCACCTGCGGACCCAGGTCCTTGATGTGGATTGTGTCGTTGTCCTTCAGCTCGTACTTGGCCAGTGAGTCGCCGTTGGCAAGAACCGTCTTCTTGTCGCCGACGGTCAGCCGCTGGCGGTCTGGATACATCGACTTGACCTGCTTGTGCACGGCCTTCTTCACATCGTCGACCGTGGCGTTGTCGCCCACCTCGATGGTGAGCGGGTAGCGCGACGACGTGCTGCTTGATGCGCTGCCACCAGCCCTCTTTGCAATGACAAGCTTCATGTGTGGAATGAAAGGTAAACCAGGTAAATGCGTCTTGCGTTGAATAGTGCAGAGCAGAGATAGCTGCCGCCACGGCGACGTCGGAGCTACAGCCACCATGTCATTGTCCGGTGTGGGAGCAGCGCATGAAAGCCGATTCCACGCTGATTGCAAAATATCGATCAAGACCACTCCCTGATCAGATCACCAACGCGGCACAAGCTCAAGCATCTGGCCACCGCGGCGCGGCGTCTGATTCCATCTTTACCTATCCTTGGGCTCTATAACCGACATTTATAAGGAATAAGAAAATGGTAGGTCTCGGAAGGATGCAGCGGCGTGCGGCGTGCGGCGTGCGGTTTGGATGCGGTGCCGGCTACGATGGATACGCGGGGTGAAGTCATTTTTTCGAGGCTGCGAATCGGGCCTCATTGCAGAAAATCTCGACAATTTATTTTCTGCGAACCGCATTTGGACGGTGGGGACAATTGGAATTCGCAGTCCAGAGGCTATATGCTCCCCGTCACAGCCCACCCGCACGCGCGCACGCAAATGAGGAGTAGAGCGAACCTTTGAAACAAGAGCACGCATCGGCTCCCATCAGCCCGCACCGAAACTAACCTGTAAACACGCGTGTTCTACGAATTAGGGTCGCGTTCGCACTAAGACCGTCAAGAAGGCCTCGCGCGTTCTGATTGAGAAGTACTACCCCAAGCTCACTCTGGACTTCCAGACCAACAAGCGCATCTGCGACGATGTTGCCATCATCGCCTCGAAGCGCCTGCGCAACAAGATTGCTGGCTTCACCACTCACCTGATGAAGCGCATTCAGCGTGGTCCCGTCCGCGGCATCTCGTTCAAGCTGCAGGAGGAGGAGCGCGAGCGCAAGGACAACTACGTTCCTGACGTCTCGGCCCTCGACACCTCGGCCATCGAGATCGATCCCGATACCAAGGAGATGCTCAAGTCGCTCAACTTTGAGAACCTCCCCGGTGTCTCGGTCACTGCCCCGGTCCGCTCCGGTCGTGCTGACCGCCGCGACTTCCGCCGCCGTGGCGAGCGCCGCCCCGCCCCCAGCGCCAGGCTGCCCCCGCCCCCGCTGCCCCGGCTGCCGTCGAGGCCTAAGCTTTTCTGGTCATTCATTATCACTTTGTGTAGCGAATACACTCCTGCCAGCTTTATCACTGTAATGTCTCCACCTCGCCCTCGCCCCTATGCGTCACCCGGCTGCCAGTGGTGCTGCGCAGAAGCGCCCTTGATCCCCAGCCAGTGCGAAAGTGAGGAGGCGGTGTGGTGGTTTGATTGTATGTCTATTAATGTGTAGATTTCCTGGTCAGTGCTGCTACTGCACCGTCTTGGGCAACTAGCTGCCTGCCTGCCCCGTGGCCTTCCAGCTACATAGCTGCACTACTGCCCTCCTGCCAACGAATTCTTGAGGGCTTGGCGTGGCAACAGGCCTCGTGCGAACAGTATGTCTCCGCAATCCCCGCCGAACATTGGTTTGATGTCCCACCCAGCCTACCAGAAGCCACACTGCATGAATGAGTGTTTTGTATTTTTACTCGACCATGTAGAGCATTATGACCTCGTTTTGCTAAGCTTTATTGTGGCAATTGAGGGGCTTTGTTAGCTCGCTAAACCTGCGCCCTTCATTTATTTTACTTTGACAGAAAAAAGATACTAGTACATTGGCATTTCATTGGGATGCACTGTATCCAGGTGGTGCGACCACCCCTCGGTTGTGAAAAAGTATGACTGGCAGAACTGGCAGAAATGCGCATTAGACGGAGTCTTCCCGCAAAACATCTGCCCATCGCAGCTCCCGTGCGCAGAGCGGCTGTTGACAAAGAGATTTGGGGTTGTTGCTTCGGCGTGCATTGCGTGTATTTTGTACAAGATTGGTAGGGTGAAGAGAATGAAGAGAGATGGATGGTGAATTGGATGGAGCTAGAAGAGAAAAAGGGCGTCGATTCCGCCTTTTATAGCGGAATTCCAGGTATGGCGCATCTAGGAGACATAGCACTCACCCCCTCCTACCAAGACGCTTGGTTGTGTGCCCCGGTAACAACCCCTCCTTGCAGGCCACCCCCGCACGCATATTTTTGAACCCCGACAGACTCTATTGTTAAATCCCACCTATTTTCTCTTTCGATGTTTGTTGCTTACTGAACGTACTCTTTCAGAGGAAAATAGATGCATTCGCTTTCCGTGGCCGATCGAGACAGCACCCAAAAAACACCTGTTCACAAATGCTTTACCGTACACGCGCTTGGCTCGTTGCAAAACTGGTTTCTGCTGCCTGATTCTCTGCTGCTAATAATAGCCTTTAAGGAGTACAATGTGCGCTTGATGTCGTCGTAGTGCTACGCTTTCCGCTGCAGATATTCCGCATATAGACTTAAATTGAACACACCCAGAAACTCTCTGCCAAGGATGCTTCGGCTATGCCGGCCAGAATAGGGCGAGTGCATGCTCCTTTTTAGAAACGGCAATCTTCACAAAGAATCGTGGCCAAGGCTCTTTGGAATATTTTCAGCACTTTGAGGAGAGCCCATGTAGATCGACTTGTGGCCGGGATCACTCTTGGCATCGGTTTGGCAGACGCCGAATGTCATATCCTGATATGAACGGGCTTGCTTCCTGCAGAAATCTTTGACATCGCAGATTGGAATGAAAATTTAATGTGCTTGGCGTTTTTGAGGTGCCGTGTGGATACTTCCTATTAGATGTGTGCCATTCAGAACCAGCTGCACGCAGTTGCATCCCCACATGCATCGGGTGTGGACTGCAAGGCGTACTTGGATGATCTTCTATGAGACCATCCCTAAATCAACCACTGCATTCTTGCGCACTGGCGATCTGTTGAATAGTCGATAGCCAGTATACAGGGCTGTAGCGGAGGTTTGGAAGAAAGCAGCGTGGTTAACCAACCATGAAACTATTCTATGTACCTTTCTCATTGGCTTCTTAGATTGCTGGTGTAAGTAGCTGTATACCAGCTGACATGTTCATTGCAGCATGGGATGCGCATCTGCACTTTCTGTAGGCAACATCACTAAATAGCGAATTGTATTGGTGTATGCCACTTGCCAAACGCTCTCATAGGAACTGCTACTAAATGGGATCTTTTTCTGTATGCGAGCCTGAGCGTGGTCGCAGGATCCCCGATATGCCTCTGCTCTAGTACCCCGCCCCAGATCTCAATTCAGTATGTAGAGGACATCTAGATTTGATCATGAACTCGAATGTAGCAGATCTGCTCCACACAAACCTGACTGCGCAATTCAGCGTGCTTTCAATGCGTGTTTTTAAAAGTAGCTTTTTGTTTCTGTTGATTTGTTCGCTTTTTTCTCTCCATTCCAAAAATCGGCTTTTACATTTATGCTAGAATGCCAGCCGAATTCCAGCTATTGAAGGGCTTCTGTATTTCATGTAGTGGGTTCAACGTCAACGAAAAGGTAACGGCGCAGTAGCATACAAAGCTCATCCCCACTTGCTAATTTCTACGCACATGTATTAATTCACAGAAACCCTGTGTAGAATGACATACACCGGCGCGTTGATCAGCTTGGCGGCAAAACATGTACCGGCCTTACAACCTCCGTGACGCAACTGGTCATGAAGACCATCGATGCCCAGTCAAAAAAGTACCGCGCTTCAGAAAAGGCCAGCATACCTGTAGTGTCGCTAGACTTTATTACCGAGTGCGAGTACGAGGCCAGTCGGCGACGCAAAACCGTTTATGACGAAGATGACGTCGCAGGTATTGTCAGCGAGATCACAGAGCGTGCTCGCCTGTCGCCGTTCGCAGGCTGCCGCATATGCACCACAGGATTTTCTGTCGAGCAGCGGGAGGAGATTAAGCGGCTGGTGACCACACGGATAGATCACAATGACATTCTGTACAAGAACTATGCTGATGGCCAGCTGGAGATACTGACCATCGGCGGCTTAGGATCGTATCATGGGGAGCTGACACCCGATTGCACACACTTAATTGCTGCCAGTCTAACCGGGCAGAAGTGCAAGTACGGACGGCTGTGGGATGTCAGCATTGTTTCGTTTGAGTGGTTCAGGAAGAGCGTAGCCACTGGGTTTCGCCAGGACGAGAGCAAGTTTGCGCTCGTGAGTCGTGCCCCGGAGAGCCCTAGCCAGACGCCAGGAAGCCAGGGACAGAGAACACCGCAGAGCGCTATGCGCAGCGATTCAATGCAGCCTTCCATGGTACCACAGACGCGGGCATCAGATGTTGAGCCCGATTTCTCATTCTGCAGCGATGCGGACTCTCGGCCAGTGACTCGAAACCGGACAGCTGCTGGCTCAATGACTACTGATTCGTATGACCTACCTCCAGGGTTGACTGGTCCGCTCGATATCGACGACGACGAACTCTGAAGTCATTGCAGTTAACCCGCCGACAATGAACAGACCCATGGCATCTGCCGCTAATGTCACCAACACTGCCAGTAAACGGCCGCCGACCCCAAAGCAGTCGTCATCACCACTACTTTCTCATATGGCAGGCATGGAACCTATGTTCGACTCGTGCCGCATTGCGCTCTCTGAGGCGTCGCTCAGTACAACCAGACGGAAAGAATGGCGGACGAAAATTGCCGAGGCAGGAGGGATATGGATCGCCGAAGGGGCTATGGATCGGCACATTACGATACTTGGCAGCGCATAATTCGCAACGGAGCGGTCGGCAGCCGTTCTGCACGCATTTCGTAGTAGACGACTCTGACGAATTATGCAAGCGAGGATCTGGCAACACTGCAGGCGCTCGAAAGTGCGTTGGCACCGCCTAATCAGCTTGCGGCCAGTATGCCAGATCATCTTAAGCTGACCGGGTCATCACCGTTATCGTCCATGGGCCACCTTGAGTTTCCAATGGTTGTTCAGAGTGGCTGGCTACGTGCGTGCTGGAAGGCGAAGCAGCGGGTAGATGAGACTGCATACCTGCTATCATTGCCAGGACTCGATGGCTGCTGCTCGGCAGGAGTCTGCAGATACGGTTCCTGTGCCAGTGTCAAACAGATCCGACTCGCAGGTAATGGCGGAGTCGGCAAAGCACGCAGCCTCTTCTCGCAGATCACGAGTAAGCGGAGTAGGTGCTGACAGCAACGGACTGGCAATTCCAATATTACGGCCACAATCGTCTACAAGCGGCTCGGCTCTCTACCAGGGCGGCAAATGGCGGTGGAGACAGGAGAGTACGAAGGCACAGAATCGATGGTTGGTCGACCGATCGGTGCAGCATGGGAGGAGTCCGACCCTTTTATGGTTGACAAAAGCGGTGCCCAGCTGAGCCACGAGAATCTGCTAGATACATCAACTGACCTGCTTTTTAGACGCAAGCGACAGCGCACATTGCAACACCAGGATCCGCTGCAACATAGCGGGCATGGGTACGCTTTTGGCGGCAGACAGGAGACATCGTCGTATATGTCATCTCCACTCAACTTTGATCTGCAATCACTCCACCATTTGAGCCCAGAACCCAACCCGACGCATGTCGCTGCGCATAGCCTCCCTTTGGTAGCCCGTGCTCCATCCCGGCCTGTCGAAACAGCCGCTCCTAGGGTTAACAACGACAGCGCCTCAGACAAGGCTGGTCTGGCTGATCTCTTTGCACATTGCAAGTTCACATCCTTGGGGTTCTCAGCAAATGACGTTGCGACACTGGAGAGGGTAGTGAATGAGCATGGCGGGTCATACATCAATCTGCTCAGTTGCCTGCCTGAGCCGCTGATCAGCCAGCAGGGAACCAAGGCGCTAAAATCGGAGGCATCGCTTCGATCGGCACTGGGGGCGCTGGCTTGCTTCGCTGACGGCGAGGATGTGGCCAAAATCTATGTTGTGGTGCATCTTAGTGGGCTGCCTGAGGTACATCTCTGCGAGTCGGTATGCGAAAATTACCCATTTATGGATGTTGTCACGGAATGCTGGATCGAACAATGCCTGCAAGAAAGTGTGCGCTACCCTGGCTTCAACGAATTAGCAAACAGGCAGGGTGCCTATACCGGTCTCAGCAAGGGCCAGTATGTGCTATTTCGTCCTGTTCGGGACCACGTAATCGAAGATGCTGGTGCCATGCAGCTGAGCATTAGTGGCTATGAGGGGATCGAGCGCGACCACATTGGAAAGCTGGCGTCGGTTCTCAAGATTCCGTTTAGCGAGCGGTTTACACGCCAGACAACGCACCTTATCTGCCATTCGCCGTTTAAGGGCCCGAAATATGACCGGGCAATTAGATGGGGCATCCCGGTTGTCGAGTCATCATGGCTATATGATATTGCACTGCGCAGTTCACTAGACGGTGGCAGGGCTAGGGGCGTGGTCCCAGATAAGAGCAGTAGCACAGCCAAGGCGCTGGTTGATATGGAGGTTGATCATCAAACGAGGACAGCTGCAGACCAAAAAATGATGCCGCCGCCAGCGCCAGTGGTTCGCAAGACGGTACAGAGCCCTGCGGCAACTATCCTTACGACGCCAAACTCGATTGGCAAGAGCAAGGCGCTGCTGAAGACGCCACTGAGCAATATATCCCAGCGCGAAGTGTCTAATGGTACGCCCGGAGTGACACCAATGGATGTTTCGCTCGAGCGCAACATGCAGCAGGCGATTGATCGGCTATCAAAGGGAGCTGGTGCTGCGCACATAACGCCGACGCGCGCATCTGGCACACTCATGCCTTTCGATTTACAGACGCTCGGTGATCCCGGTGATGGTGACAGGTCGCTGAATCATATATTGGACGGCGTGGTCATCGCGTTGACAACACGTCTCTACCATCGGCGCAACGAGCTGACCGGGATTGCAACAGAGCTGGGCTGTCGTATGCTACCGCGGTTCGATCCTACCACGACCACACATCTGGTCCACCAGTCGACACGAGAGAACGAGACGCTGCGGGACTACAAGACTGCAACGCAACATGGCATCAACGTTGTTTCCCCATGGTGGCTGTATGCATGTCGTGATATGAGGGAGCGTGTGCGGGAGAGAGAATACCCATACATTTACCAGCCTGAGCGGCGTTTGCGGCTGGTGGCTATATCTCCCGAGAAGACAGTACCGCCAGCGTCGGCGCCGATGTCCAAGCCTAACAATACCAGCGGGACTAGCAGCAGGGCAAGTAGCAGGGCAAGTAGCAAGGCGGGAAGGCTGGCAGAGCCAGTACCGGCAGCAGCAGGTATGCTCGCAGGTAGCAATGCTGGGCAAAGGAACTCGCGAGCTCATGATCAGACATCACAAAACACAGCTGCTGTTGGCACTGTTCTACCTAGGCATGCTGAGACAGGTGCCGCATCAACACCACGGGTTCCAATCCCACCTACTGGCACCAACACAGCATCGATTGGCAACCTATTTGGCGAAAAGGTTGCACGGACACGCCGACGCTATCGCCGGGCTGCCGGCGACCCAGCTGATTCTGCCAGCGGAATGTCACATGTTGCCGGTGACGGCGAAAAATCCGCAAGTGGTGCCAAGCGGGTGGCCGAGCCGCCCAGCTCAGAAGGCGCCGACGCACAAAGTCTTCTCAGAGACGGCCAGGCGACACGATCCAGCTCGCTCCACGACGCAGCCGGCCCTGTTCCCGTCTCCTCAAGTGAGGTGGGCAGCAAGTGGTGGCGAAACACTGGGCAGCAGTCGGTCTCGCCATACGGCACTGGGTTCCCGACTGATCTGTACTCGCAGGATTTCCAATTTGGCGGTCCCGGCGGTGTGGATAGGAGAATCAGCATGGGCGATGTGGAGGTATCGCCTGTATCGTCCGGGGCTACTCATATGGATGACACGCCAGCCAGACCGGGGGATCAAAGAGATGGCACGCCTACCAAACAGCAGGACAGCACATCTGATCAGCAGCCAGCAATACCCCTGCTGTCGAGTCCCTTGGCTGGTCAGAATACGAGGATCTTCTATGAGGAGGACGCTGAAGCGCGGTCGGAGCGGGACAAGTTCCTGCAGCAGCTGAAGGGGAAGCGTTAGGCTGCCAACGGCCATGTAATTCTATATTTATCCAGCAGACTTTAGTTTTTAATTAGCAAACCTTCAATTTACATGGCGGTAGGCTCGAGCGTCTTTGGGTCGAAGCCAAACTTTGCCAGATCAGCACGGGTCTCCTTTGGGTCGTCGAGGGTTTGGGCAAGGAAGAAGGTGGTGAGAGACTCTGCATCCCAGCCCATCAACTTCCGGCCAGTCTTTGTCCTGACCTGGCCGCCGAACGCACCGATGAGCTGCGATACCATGGGGGCAGGTGCCGGCTGGCCATTGGTGATCTTGACCATCTGTGCAAGCTCGCTGCTGTTGAGAACACCATCGCGGTCCTTGTCGAGCCTCTGGAAGATAATTGCGAGCACCTTGGTGACCTGCGGGCTGAGGCCAGAGCCAGCGGCATTCAGCAGCGGGGTCTCACCCTCACTGCCGTAAGCGCTGCTGACAATGGAGCTGACTTCGGCCATTAGCTCGTGGATCGGCTGGAACTCGGCGTTGATGGCGCGACCCACGGCCAGGATATCCAGCGACGGCTTGAATGCATTCAGCATGTAGCACATCAGAGCAAGCAGGTAGTAGCTCTCCGCCGAATTCGGGAAGTACTCCTGCACCAGGATCAGTCGGTAGGCAGCTTCGGCGAACACCTCCGGGCCAGCCTGCGGCCCGGCTCGCAGCATGCTCTTGACCTCGTCCAGCTTGGTCTCGGCAGCCCTTGTGGACCGCATAGAGTCATCGTGCGAGGCAGGGAACACGCGTGAGTATCGCTCGCGGTAGCACTGGATCCCGAATCCCGTATACGTCCAGTCGTCAGTGTCCTGGACAGGCTGCTGGCGGCGCCAGGGTGCGAGGTCAGTGCTGGCAGCCAAGTGTTCGGTCAGATCGATGCCAGACTCAGCGAGCAAGTCGACAATGTAGCCCCGATCGCCGAAATCGGCTGAGACCTTCTCGAGCCAGAGCTCGTCGCAGCCAACCAGTCTGTTCAGAGCCCGGCTAGCCATAGCCAGCGATGCAAGATCGGCGGCTTCGAGCTCGAGCGCGATCTGGTTGAATGCCTCCTGAGGCAGCGATTCGATTGCAGACGCCATGAGTGCAGAGGAAAAAGTCAGTAAACAGGATGGGGGAGTCCCCGCAGGACCAGCATACGGAATGGGCCCTAGCGCTATGGCGGCTAGACCACCAAATGTGGGACGCGAGTGTGAAATAGGGAAAGTTTAGTTGAAAAATAAGGAAAATGGAGATCGAGTTTTACACAGAAATCTGGTTCGGCCCTACATCCCAGGACGGATCTAGCCCGCCTTACTTGCTGGCATCGGCAGGGGCGGTGGCCTTCTTGGTCTTCTTTTTCGGAGCCTCAGCCAACCCGTTGGCAGCAGTCTTGGTCTTCTTGACCTTCTTGACTCCGCCCTCGGTCGACTTGGCTGTGCGCTTCTTCGAGGGCGAGGCAGGAGTGTCCTCGGCAGGAGCGGCAGCAGCCTTCCGCTTCACCACCTTCTTGTGGTGAGTGGGGGCAGCCGCAGCCGCCTTGGGCTTAGCAGCAGCCTTGGTCTTGGTGACAGCCTTGGGCGAAGCGGCCTTCTTGGCCTTGGGCTTGGGAGCAGGCTTGGCGGGCGCAACAGGCTCCTCCTCCTCCTCTTCCTCTTCCTCCTCCTCCTCCGACGAAGAATCACCATCGGCGGACTCCTCGGGCGATGAGGCAGCAGACAAGGCAGCACCAGCAAGGGTGGAGCTGATCTTAGCCACGACGTTGCCGACACTGGTGGCAGCCTTCTCCTTCTGGGCCTCGTATTCTGCCACGCGGCGCTTGTAGTCGGCACGCAGCACCCGGTGCTCGGCAATATACACATCACGCTCCTCTTGGGACAGGTTCTTCCAGGCATCGCCAACACGCTTGGCAATAGTCTGCGAGGGAGCATCGGGATCAGCCTGGCGGATCTCGTTGCGGTGTTCCCGGCTAAACAGCAGGTAGGGCGTCATCGGCCTCTTGGGCTCGAGCGGGTCGCGCACGCGAGCGGCAGGCTTTGACTGCTTCAGCGGGATTCCAGACATGCGCTCAAGCACCTGGGACATCTTCAAAAACATCTCGGCCAGCTACAGAGTGAAATGCCAGGAAATTAGCACCCATGACACGCATAGCTGCTGACCTCTGCTGCAAGGAGAGAGGAGGCAGAGAGGCTAGCCCAAACCAATATTCTCTGCACATCCACGCATACATACCTCGTTCGTGTCCTCGGCTGTGACCTCGATGGCGGTCTTGACCTCAGGGGTCTTGGGAGTAGGCTTGCGACCCATGGTTGGGAAATAAGAAAGCTGTAGTAGGGCTGGGTTTAAAAAGTACTAAAAAAAGCAGGAGAAGAGCTGATGGTGTAGAGAGAAAATGGGGAAGGAGGCCGGACGCGTCGCCCTTTTACCACCAGGTCGAAATTTCGCAAAAAATCGACCAGCACTGGGGGGACGGCCGGCTAGCCAGAACAGCCCAAAAAAAGGCGTAAACAGTATCTGCACTGAGGGCGTCAGCAATGTTTGGGCGGGCCGGCCGGGGCAGGCTGGAATTTCGGTTGAAAAATCGAAATGTGCAAGCAGCAGCCCAGCGACGCTTCTGATTCGTTGGCAGGAAAGCAGGGGGCTTTGCCCCGGCTGCATGTGCTCTGGGGATTGTTGCAGTTTCTCAGGCTCTATGACCTCTTTCCTTATCCGGGAGCGGCATTTCCCGCCCTCTCCCGCTTGCCATTGATCTGGAACAGCGCACTGAGCTTGTGGAAGGGCTGACTGGCCTTGCTCCTACACCGTTCCCCAAGCGCATGTAGGGTATTTCCCGGGTTGAATAGCGGCTGCTGGCTGCCACGCCCGGCTACCCCCTTTGCTGGCCTTCCCAGAACTGGTGGGCATTGATCACCGGGGGTTGGGCGTGTCCCAGGGACCCAGCACACCGGACAACTGAGCAAAGGAAAAAGGGCAGCCGCTAATGAACGTAAGATGGCCGTTGGAAACCAGAGCTGCGAGTGTGCCATCAAGTGCTCGGCAATATTCTGTGCATGGCGTCGTTTGTGCCAACTGGTGGCCAGCAAACAAGCCAGTATTGCGAGTCCCAACCTCCCTAATACTCTGGCCAGCAGCCCGTACAGTTGTTTAATACGATGCGCACACAAGTGTACGCCCCTTCGTCCAATTACCGCCTCCCTGCAGCTAACTTTTGGAGGCAGCAAAGGCACCGTGCATGTAAATAGATACCAGCGCGCAGCTGCAGCCATAGTGGCCACGGGTGCTGTCATGTTGTCCCATCAGTATTGCCTGGCTAGGGCATGGCCAATTTCTCCAAATAGAGAGGCAGGTATGCCACCTGCATAGCCTTGCCCTTGAACCGCAAATATAGCCGCAAACATATTGAACTTTCAGTGTGGCGAAATGGCTATAGTCCTATTGTCGTTTGCCTCGGTGCATTTGGTGGCAGATGTAGAATAGCATGTATATCCCTATTTAGCCATGTCGATATGCATTGCATTCGATGAGCACCAAAATGCAAAGAACATGCTGCTTTTGAATAGCAAAACCATGGCGAATATCTGGGCTTGTGCGATATTATAATATGCACCCTGTCTATGGTCTGTGTGCATGTACGATACGTGGTGAAGTATTGGGAATATCTGTGTGTTAGCCACCCGACTATTCATTAGCCATTCTTGGGCAGCGTTGGATAGAATATGCTTGTTCAATGCACTGTGTTAAATAGCGTGCCTTACAGCGTGCTGGCGTTGCTCGGCTTCTCCTCTTGTCGACAAGACATACACACCCTTTTCTAGCTCGAATTCAAGGCCATGAAGTCATTTCTTACCCACACGAACGGAGGTAGCAGTACTGGTGCCAAATCCAAACGCCCACGCTTTGAGTTTCTGGGCATCGCCGAGCACACGTCAAGCAGCTCATCCGACGGCGACATTTTGGGTGCCGACGGGACGTACTCGTCCACCATGGACTACAGCAAATCATCTCTGCGACTGCATGCACTAATAAACAGGCTAGACTCTTCAATCAACACCATGATGTGTGAGGGCGAGGTTATGTCGGACATGTTCGTAAACATCGGCTCGCATTTCCGCCGCTACAACCAGCTGATTTCCAACACGCTGTCAACGCTCAAGGAAATAACACAAGTGTGTGCAGAGAGAGGTATTGACGCCACTGCACACAAGAGATACGGTGATGCCCCGCATGGCTACATGGTGGAGCCAATGTGCCATGAACCGCGGTCTGTTGCCACTGCCAGCACAAACATGCCATCGTCGCTGCCACTTGGTTCGCACCAAGCTCCGCCGCCGCCGCCGCCGCCACCCATGGTATCCCATGCCATGGTACCGTTGATGAATCGAGCCACACCACATGGTGCTCCATCATCGCCACCCAGATTCCACAGCGCGCTGCCTTCAACTGCTAGCATGGGAAAGCCTGCTATAACACTATCGGCAAAACGGCCACTGTCAGACTTCAACTTCTTCTGCCGTGATGCCCGCAAGCTTGTTGTCGAGGCACACCCAGAGTATACGAAGGAACAGGTCAACAAGGAACTAGGTCGCATCTGGTCTGTGCTAGACAAGAACTCACGCCAGCATTACCGCAGTATGTATATCCAGGACAAATTGCGCTACAAGCAGGATGTAGCGACGCTATCGGGCTCGGCCAAGCGAGATGCCAGTGGAAACAAGAAAATAAAAAGTGCTGGTAATGCCAATGCTGCTGACTGCAATGCACCGGATCGCGTCTGCGACCAGGTGAGGCTGACAATTCGGAGGTGTGTGTCAATACATTCCGATAACACACCAGCGAGCTCAGCGCTAAACCTGTCCATGCACAAACATCCTCCTTGTACCAGCACCCCACAGCCTGAAGCTGTACCACCAGCTGCAAAGGTGCACTCACATTTACCACAGTTCTCTGTCTCTGCAATAGCCCGCATGCTGCCAGCTGCCCTATCCAACCGACTCAGTCCCAGGACGCCGGAGGACACAGATGAGACAGATGACATAGACGAGCCCCTGGCACATACGCTGCTGCGCTCAAAGTCTCAGGTTAAGTAGGCGAGGCAAAGGTTTTTAAATGTCAACGGCACCATTCTAACCGGTAGCTAAAGCCCCAAATCCCTTTCGCTGTAGCAGTGTCACTCACTCCTGAACGACAGAAGCCAGGACGGCTCGGCGCTGGCTTCAAATTGCAGCGCCAGTCAAGACAGCCCTGCAGACACAGCAGTCACCCGAACAGAAAATGGTATCGAATGCCGCGATAATTGCGAGCTAGACAAGACCCGAAACATGCCAGCCAGACACCAAGGAGTACCCGACGCCGTAGGGCAGACAGCCGTCGTTCCCATGTCGACACCAATACCATCAACCAGCAGTAGCGACGGGCTGTCAGACGGAGGCGGGGACAGCGGCATAGCGTGAGATCGGCCCTGGCTCATGAGCCACAGTCGGACATTGAGTGTATTTTTTTGTCAGTCCGGTCAACACACTTGTGTTTTGCAAAATTCGCCCTTTTTGTCCCCTCACTACTTTCCTCACCTCTGCCTTCTTGTTTCTCTCGTTCAGCTGTTGAGAATCGTACATCAATTTTACACTCCTCGCATCTCATCCTTTTGCTGCCAAAAGGAATTAACCACAATTTGAATAAGAACCAGCAAACGACACATGGGATACGTTGGGTATGCGCGCTATGCGCTTAATGCGACAGTCGTCTTCCTGGCAATTTGGGCCGGTCTCTATCTGCTGCTGACAGGGCGTGGTGAGCGGTTCAACGTTGGTGGGTACCTTCTCCGCATATCGCCGTACATGTGGAGCGTGTACGGAATCGCGCTCTGCATTGGCTTGAGTGTGGTCGGAGCTGCGTGGGGTATCTTCATTACGGGCTCGAGCATACTCGGCGCAGCTGTGCGGACCCCGCGCATTGCGACGAAGAACCTGATCAGCATCATTTTCTGCGAGGTTGTGGCCATCTACGGCGTTATCATGGCCATTGTGTTTTCGGCGAAGGTGTCGGCAGTTGCGTCGAGCAAGGGCTTTGCTCCGTCGGACTATTACACTGGCTTCTCGCTGTTCTGGGGCGGCATTGCTGTAGGCGTGTCTAACCTGATCTGCGGTGTCGCTGTGGGTATCACTGGGAGCAATGCTGCTGTCGCCGATGCGCATGACCAGCAGCTGTTTGTCAAGATCCTGGTTATTGAGATCTTTGGCAGCATCATTGGCCTGTTCGGTCTGATCGTCGGTCTGCTGGTGACGGGCAAGGCCGAGGACTTTGTTGGTGCCATCTAAACACGCCAGCACGACCCCTCTGGATATCCTCTTAGTCTTCCCCTTCTCATTGCTGTTTTTCCAAACCAAAGATATTATCAACCACGCGGACTATGATCCTGGAGAGCTGAGCCGCGAGCCGCGATGGCACCTGTGAGCCGGTGGCGCTGCTGCAAATTTCGCGTGCCAGAAACGCGTGCGCGAGCACTTGACGCGTGGATTCTTGCATTTGGTCACCTTCTCTGCTTTGCATTCCAAATTCTGCACTTGCTTTTACCACTCCTATTATTTCAGACATGGCTACAAAGAAGACGCCTGCAGAGGTTCGCCCGCAGTCGCAGTTCTTTTCACCAGCCAAGAGCGCCAAGCTGCGTGCTCTCTCGATTGCCAGCCTGTCGCTTGATGCGAGGGCCGATGCCGCAGCCGATACGTCGGCTGGTGTTAGTGTCCGCGATGTGCTGCGCAACAAGCTGCTGGAAAAACAGCAGCTGCTTGAAGACGCCAAAGCGCGTGGTGACGATGAGTGGGACAACGCCAAGTTTGTGCAGCTGGACCGTGAGACATCCGATCACGTAAAATCACTCATCCAGCAGAGCGATGCAATCAAGCGCGTGCGCAAGGAGCGCATCTTTGAGGACGAGGTGACTGAGGAGGAGATGGACATCATCAAGCAGCGCGTTGCCCTGCAGCAAAAGCAGTTTGCCGAGTTTGAGCGGCGCGAGTTTGCGCACAAGGCAGAGCGGATCCGGCAGATGTACAGCTATCTGGCGGATGAGGAGATTCGCGAGGCGCTGAAGGAGGGGCGCAACGATGTGGACGAGGTGATCTACCAATTCTCGACGCCTGGGTATCTGATGAAGCTCCGCAAGGAGATTGCTCTTCGCCACACGCCTCTGACCCAGACGCCGCAGATGACTGATGTGCAGCGCGTAAAGTACGAGGAGCTGCTGAAGAAGCGTACCAAGATCCAGAAGAAGACAACCACGAGCGAGAACCGTGACAAGTACCGGACCATTGGCCGGCTGCCGCTGGACGATGCGCTTGCTCAGCTGCAGCGCGCTGCTGCTGCCAAGAATGGATCGGGCATTGATCTTAGCAGGGCAATGAAGGGCTGGTCTGAGGCTCGTATCAAGGCGTTTAAGGCGATCAAGACCAAACCAAACACATACTACTACCGTTTCAATGCCCCAGGTGAGGAGCAGCGCACTGGCCCATGGACGCCCGAGGAGCAGAAGCTGTTCCACCAGCGTCTCAAGGAGATTGGTGCCAACGGCCAGTGGGGCGTGTTTAGTATGACGATTCCCGGGCGTGTCGGCTACCAGTGCTCAAACTACTACCGATACCTGGTCGAGAACCGCCTGATCCATGATCCCAACTATGTGCTCGACGAGAAAGGCAAAGCACACTACCTGTTCACGACCAAGAAGAAGAACCCCGACGGTACAGCGATGCGTGTGTTCCGAAAGCACAAGAAGCCGCATGTGCGGATGTCCCGAGAGAAGTACGGGTACAGCGACGACGACGAAGATCAGGAAGAAGAGGAAGAGGTTAACAACTCCGCTTCGTCGAGCGCTGCGCGTGGAAGCAGCACCGACTCGGCGACAGGCAAGCCAGAGGCAGCAGCGACACCAGCTGAGGCAATCAATAATGATGCAGCTGGCAAATCTTCAGGTGGAACTGCCGATGCATCCCCAACGCCGGCAAGCAGCACCACTGCATCGGCTAGCACTCGCAAGTCCACCCGGGCAGCCACTGTGGTGCGCAAGCGTAAGCGCCGCGGCCGCTATGCAGACAACTCATCCGACGAGGACGTCATTCGTGCCAATGACGTTGAGCTCAGCGACGACGCTAACGATGGCGGTGACACAAGTGATGGCGAGTACCACGATTCGTCGTCATCCAAGCGTCGCCGCGGCCGTGCTGGCGACTGGTCTGGTTTCGGTGAGAGCAGCGCTACGGTTCGTGGTCGCAACCGCCGTGCCCATGGCTACAGCAGCGCCATGAACACCGACAGCGGCAACAGCAGTGCCATCGAGGCACCCCCTTCGAGCCGACTGGCAGCATCAGGTACCACTTTGGGTGGTGCAGCACAAGCTAGCAACGAAAGCGACGAGTCAGGATTCGAGAGCGACGAGGCCGGAGCTGGTGCTGACCCAACAAACCCGCTGCCGGATCTTATTGATCCGATTACGCTGGAGCCAGTCTGCAAGCCGGCAATCTCGCCGTATGGCCATGTGATGGGCTACAACAGCTGGGTGCGCTGCCTGATGTTCCCACCCGAGGGCAGCCAGCGTAACATCTGCCCGCTAACCAAGAAGCCACTGTCAAAGCGCGACCTTGTTATTCTCACGTTCGACAACATCGAGCAGTACCGTGACAAGATCACAAACCTCTGACATGCTACTAGCTTGTTGAATAAAAAGCATGCTTCCTCATCGTGCGCAATTATCGGAACGTGTAGAAATAGAAGGCATTTGCTACCGTGATGGCGATGCTGCCTACTCTACAGACGATTCCCTGTTTGTTGCTGTTCTGAGGCTCTCAAACTATGTTTCAGCAGCCACCCCTCTCTGCTAACTGACCGAAAAAAAGACACCTGTTCTTTAGAACAGAATGCATTCTATACTGGCCATTGTTTCGACTCGGTGGAGCTGGAAGCGCTGCATAGCACGATTCAACATCCCATATATGTAGTCCGAGGTGGGTGTGGCCAAAAATGGATATGAATTGAGCCTGGTTCATCTGAGGGAAATAATTCGCAATTATCCAGGTGCACCTGGCACCATATGAGACTTGATGGCGCATGGTGATCTAGAAGGTAGCTTGCTACAAACAAGTACCGAGGAAATTCCGGCATGCTGGCCAGACTATTTCTTTGCTAGCAGGCTCCCGGCGGCGTAGTAGGTTCAGATCACATTCATGTGGGTCCTAGTTCTCACTCTAGACAGTGCCAAAAGGAGAAACCCCGGGCTCAGCTGGCGCATTCATCCTGCCTCTCAGAGGCAACCAGGAAGAGTGGAGTGAGGGACTAAGGGGCCGATTTTCAAGGCAGGCACATCCCTTTATGTTGGAGCGAAAGCCGGATCTGCTATGCACAGCTGCTGTCGCTCGCTTTTTCTTGTTTTTCTTAAGAGATGCAACGCACCGCCCTCCTTTACTGTGAGGAGTGGAGCCCGTTCCTACCTACATCCCGAGTACGCTCATGTGTGGCAGAGGCGTTTCGAACAACATGCCTACAGTGGCAACAGGGGTTATATTAAGCTGGTGATCCTGTAACCATGCCAAGAAATAATGTGCTTGGCTTATTTGGGGAAGAACAGAAAAGGGTCGGGCTAGGTGCATCCTTTGTGGGTTGTTGAGGAACGAGTGCGGGTGCCGAGCAGCTGCAGCTGCAAGAGGGATGAAACCATGCAACAAGGGTTATGTGGATTGCAGGGTACGAGGGCAAAAGCAAAAAGGCGGAGCAAAGGGATGCACTGTTCCCAACCGGAATTGCACCGCGTGCATGTGTTCTTGGGCAGAACACTTCCATGAGGGTATCATCAGAAAAATGGGGGCGAGAAAGGGTGATCCACACACGCTTGTGTGCTGGACCGTTTCGGTCTAAACGGTCCGGGAGAAATGGGCCAGGCTTAAGACAACTGTGGTCACTCCTTGTTATCTCTGCTCCTAGCCTCGCATCCCCAAAAACAAATTTGCCCTTGAATTTCCCCGCTCTAGGCTGGCGAAACACCAGCCTCTAGTGTCATAGCTCAGTAGTATGAAGCAGACGGAGGATACCCGGCTACCGAGCGGAGTTTGTAATGCCGTTTGCTTCGGGCAAAGCGCCAGTGCTGGTTGCCCGCAGGTGGACATCCGTTCTGGAGAGCTTTTTTTTTTTTTTTTTTCACAAGCACTCTTTTTTGGGTATCTGTTTTTCTCATGTCGATCTGCACCATATGCGTGCTCAAGAAAGCTATGGGCCAGACTACTGTTGCAAAACTACGATTGGCAGCCATTTGTGTTCGCTGGCACCATTGCCATCACACAAGAAATCCCAGGTATCCAGGACATAGATTTGGGGCCCAAGGAGCGTCGGAGGGGTTGGGTAGCATGGCTCCTGCAATGCAAGCAGGAGGGCCGGCAGTGCCTGGGGTTGGGGATGGTGTGGGAACAGGTCGGAGGAGCCAGCGTCTCTATGTTCGGGAGGGGGATGTGCCAGGCATGTCCGGTCTCATGTGCCGTAGGAATTCTTTTTCTGGCGGACACGGTGAACCCAGCGCAACCAATGGCTCCTCTCGCAGCAGATGCTTTCCTCAGCGGTGCAGCATGAGCAGAGCCTGCAGGTCCCTCTTTTCGAATTTTTCTCTATTTCCCAGGAGCGGGATGCTGGGAACGAATGCCGTCTATATGCGGGCGGCTGTTTAAGCGAATGGTGTGATGCTAAGCATGTTGTGCATGCAGCAGCAGGCATATTGGCTGATCCTCTGAGTTCCTCTCCTTCTCATCCTCCTCCGCTGGCACCGCTGTCTCATTGTCTCACTGCCTGCTGACGCGGAGCGCATGGAATAGTGTAAGCAACAAGGACAGCAAAATCAGCGCCTTCCCTCCCAAGGAAGGGCCTCACGTGGCAGTGCTCGCTGTGTTGCAGACGATCTTTGTCCTTCCATAAACAGTGCACTGCTTGATTCAGGGCGCTTTGGCACCATCCTCCATATCTGCCTGGCAGTAGCAGCGGCAGCCAGGGGAGCTGGGGTTTCTACCACTCATTTGGTGCCATGATGTGCAATGTTTGGAATCTATGTTTGGGCGCGCAAACAAGCACACCTTAGATTCGGTATATTGCAGCGTCTTCACATATGTCGGATGCTAATAGGCGCACATCCAAATGCCCCCAAAGCTGCAAACAGTCAAGCGAGCATCCGTATCTGAATGCGTTCGCATCTGAAAGAGTGGATGTGCCATCTTCCAGATATATCGCGAATATCCTCTGCAACACAGGAAAAAGGCTGGAGATAGAGCTTTCTTGGTAAACACGCATCCGATTGCCTGCGGCGGACCCTGGGGGCTCTTGGTGCCCAGCACAATCGATCCTCAGAACCGTCTATGGGAGCCTGCAGTACCGGTTCTTTTCCAGCTTGGCTCATCTGGGGTCTGCGCGCACACCCGCACGCATCGGAAAAAGAGCCCACATTGATCCAAGGTCTAACCATGTGCCAAGCGCTTCCACAAAGTCCGGGATAGCGAGCACCGCAGCGTTTGTTAACGCAAAAAACAAGCGAGCGCCGATCGCCTGTGGAAGACTCCTGCCTCCCTCTTTTTTAACCCGCGTCTCGTCCATAGGCCGCCGTTTGGGGGATTCGGGAGGCAAATCCTGAGAGAAGGGGGGTGGTCAGCACCCAGGGTCTCCGAGCCTGCATTGCTCGGCATCACCACAGCAGTGCTCCCTGCCATTTGACTGATGCGAGAGCCAGCAGGACATTTGGTGGGCTTTGTTTTTTGCTTAGGCAGGGAAATCGGCGAGCGCGGGCATTGGGCGTGTGCTGCCAGCGTTGTTCTCTTTGGTCAACCCGGCGTATGATGCCCCTTTCTGATTCATATGCGCACGCTTTGCCAGCATTTTCCGGACCACCTTGCCCCTGCCTGTCGCTCCCTCGGACCATCCTTGGGGTGCTCAGGAAGTGCGCATTGAATGCCCATCCCCACCAGGTGCACGCAAATAAGCTATATATACTGGCCTGGCCGAAAGCATGCCGACCGAGAAAAAGGTCTGGATATCCCTTCTCTTTTTCCCTCCCATCGCCGAGGCTTCTTTTATTATTTATATCTTAACTCGCCAGCACCGGCTTATCCGGCTTCATTTTATTTCTCCTGCTCACCTGCACATTGCCAACGATCCCATCTAGCTCGCACTCAGCACCGTGGTTCGCGAGTCCATCCACCGCACACATACGGTAAGTGCAACCTCCTGCGGCGAAGACGGTCTGGCATTGTCTGAGTGCTGACCTTGGCATATACCAAAAGCCTCATTTTCCGTCCTGGCGGGCTTGTTTCCACGCAACAGCAACAGGAGGTGAGGCTTGTCGCCGCTTTGCAGCGCTGTGCAGTGCTGTAGCTCCCCCTCTATTCTTGCGCCTTGGGATCAGTTACTAAGCACGCAACAGCATGCGTGCGAAGCAGCCCATCCCGATGCACAGCCTGCTCCCTCTCTCCCTCTTATCTCCGCTTACACTCTTTCACGTCTGGTTCCCCGCTTACCTCTGTCTCCCTATATTATTATATCCCTCCTCCTCTCATCCATCTTCCATATACGCTCATGCCATTTGGGCTCACCAGCGCGAATCACAGATTATGAAAATTAGCCTTCGCTGCTAGAACCGACATATCCACATCACTCTCGACACAGGCCTTATTGTCACAGCACACACACCATTCGCATGTGCTCAGGCAACCACCAGGATATCCCTCCTACGCGTGCGCGCTTGGCTTCAGCATACTCCTTGATCCTCTCATTTCAGCCTTTCTTATTGCCACCCTCGGTCATTTTTCGCCTTCTTGTATTCCGCAAACACGGTCAGCCCTTCTTTCAGCATCCTGCACCTGGCGGATCCTAACCGCGATTTCTCCTAGCAAATCTCGTAAGTTGCATCGTGCCAGTGGTGCGCACGTCTTTTCCAGCCCCGGTGTGTCGTCCCTCCAGCAGCTACTGCCGCTGCCACAAAGGAAGCAAAAAAAACTTGTTTCTCTCTTTCCTATCCTGGGTGGCGCCGCAGATACTCAGAATACTGGGCTGGTACATTCAATATGGTGTTCTTGCCTGGGGCGCCACCCGCGTATATGCGAAACAAAGTTGGATCTCTCAGTGCCATGGCATTCTTTGCCCCTGTTGTGAGCTTGCGCTAGTGTTGTGCTCTGCGCTGGTATACGTCCATGGGCTAGCGCCACCATTGTCTCGGAGTCCACACATGTTCCGTGTCTATTCTTGCCATTATCTGAGCAATGCTTGGTGGCTTTTCTCGACCGCCTCCAAACCGCTGCTGGTTTGCGTGTGCGGGATATCCGAAGATGCAAAGCGTCGATTGCTTGTCGCCAATGGTCCTATCACCGGATACTAAGTCCTTCAACATGCCTTTTTGTAGACAGCTCGCCTTTACTATACTTTTTCAGCCCGGCTACCCAGAACCCTGCCAAGGTAAGCACAACCCCGCCTTGTTTACTAGTCTTCTGAAATCTCTTTGTGTGGCGCCAACCGCCATGTACCTTGTTTGTTCCCATGCACTGCGCCCGCAGCTGCCCGACCTGGTGATGCACATGCAGCTACAATCAGAACACCCCCCTTCGTTGACCCGCCCGGACGGAAGGACCTGTCTGCCCATATCCAGCGTGGGTAAGGGAGGGCGAGAGGATGGGCAGATAATGCCTTGTCTTTTGCTAGACGCATCATGCCCAGGACGGAAAGCGATTCAGCTGACAATAATAGCTGCCGTGGTTACCTTGGCGCGCCGCTCATTGTGCACACAATCCCTCCCGCCCATCCCCTCAGTCACTGAGCGCGGACATGCTCTCACACAGGCCAGATAAGAGCTCCAAACATCACCGCGGCATGCTGGTGGGAAATCAGTATGGTGCAGCATTAAAGTTTGTGGTTGCATATGTGCTCAGCGTCACCGTGTTCCTGCTCCACGGGTTGCATTTCACCCAGTGTCTCCGTGTCCCCAGCCTATCACCTCATTTTCACACTTGGCTCCTGGCTCGTCCCTCGCCAGCCAGGCTGGCAGCCGCATGTGTCTACCAAACACTCGTTCGAGGTACTGGCTGCAGGCTGTCACTGGGCGATGGCCAGAGACTGTGCGACCACAGCATTGTTCGAGCTCACTGGAGGGTTGTTCATCCCAGCCCTTTGTTTTTCTCGTTTTTTGTCACTGATGCGAACCGGAAGCGGCGAGCCCCAAGGCTGAACATGCCTTTGCACAATCCCCCGCCTGCCCGCCAACCTGCTCTTACCAACCTGACTCTTAAATGGCCCTATGGCTGGCTGCTTATTCATCCATTACCCTTTCGCTCCCGCTTGCTTCCAGCTTATCATTATTATCCTGCACCTTGTACCTTACGGCTCTTGCACGCACTCTATTCCCAAACATTTGTAGATAAACCTTCTGTACTATTCGCCCACTTATACAGCACATCGACATTTGCCGCCGACGCTGCCTGCCACTATTATATTCTATCTCACACTGGAAATCGACAAAGCTTGCTTGCTTGTAAGTACGCTGCTCGCCATTCAGCCACCAGTAGAGGCGAGATTCATAGTGTGACGCTGAGCTACATGCTGCAGGCTAGTCATTACTGCACATGTAAACACAGCATCCTACCTGGCTCCCAGCAGGCTGTCGTATATCTAGCTATGTGCGCTTTGTCAATGGGCCACTTTCAGAGTCAGCCTCGGCTTTCCGCTGCCCCCTTTCACACATCCCGGCGCAGTGGGCATCACTTATCCCTTTGTGCATGGGCATTATACTGCGCATGTCGACCCAACTAATCGTGCTGCATTCGTGTGGCCATGTGTATGCCTCACGTAATTTGAATGCGTGCTGTCCTCGGCGCCTGTGGCGACTAGACCATGGGCAATGCCTTTGCAAGCATCGTGTTGTCTGGTTTTTCCTTTGACGATTGGCCCTGCGAACGCTACTGAACGCCGGTTTCCCTATTTGGTTTGTGTTGCTGTAGCGCTATCTCTAAACCCCTCGGCCGACCGAATCCACCCAGTAGCGCCCGACGAGACCCATCACGCTTTGCAGATCATCGACCTCTTTACCGAAGCGCCGACCACCTTGTCGAAACCTCTGTCTCTAGGTAACTACGCTCTCCGGCCCTTCTCTCTGAGCACTCCTGCCACCGGTTCGTTCTGATATCGGCACACTTTAACCGCTCTGACCATTTCTCGAAAACTTCACAGGTAAGTTGCGGGTCTCTAGCCCCTCCACTCCTGCCTCTGTGTGTGCAAAATGCGCATCTTCTGCGGAACACCCTGTTGCGCCTTTGTCTGTGTCCCCTCTTCGTTCCCCACCCCACTGCGCATGTGAGCAGCTTGTTTGTTCCCCAGTTGTGCGTGCGGATGGGTATGTGTTCTGGCCTATCATTGGCAGGCGCGGCCTGTCTATCCTTGCTGAGTCGTTTGAGGGCCAAGGATGGCGCCGCCGGCTAAAGGAAGATCGTGAATTGGAATCCGCTATTCCCCCGGCATAATGCGGGCACGGGGTCCAGCGCAAAAAAAGCAGCGCTCTTGCATGGCCGGCCAGCGGCCTGTCTCCTCCAACTCTTTCCCTGTGCCTGTTTTCGCCTCCCTTGTTCCTGCTGTTTGCCTGCACTCCGTGCATGTTGTGATGTGCAGTGCTGGAAGCGATGGGCTGCCCACCAAGCACGGCGAATCGAGAGCGACGGGCAGCGATCCCCCTTCTTATTTAAGAGAGCAGCTATAGGCGAGTGGTCGGCCTGCCTGCGATCCTTCTACCCTTAAGGTGCAACCGCGCGTATCCTAAACATTTCGCGAGCAAATCGGTCCATCGCAATCTCCCAGACAAACATTGCTGGTCGGACACATTCAACAAAGCGGTGCTCAGCAAGCCTGGCAGGAAGGCAGCCATTGCTTTCCTACGCCAGCACTCAATGGGAGGCAGGCGAGGGCTGCTAGGGGGAAGCAGCAGGCAGCAGGTTGTTGCCCACACGTGCAAGACGCCTTGCGTCTGCCCCTCCCCGGTTCCTCGTTGCGTATTCTTCGCCCTCCAACCACGCCTTGTTTCTCCGATCTCGTAGAGGCAAACTCCGCCCATTTTGGCCCTCTTTGCCAAAGCGCCCCCTTCTTGCCGCGTTTACAGCCGACGTATACACTCCCACCGCGTCCTGCCTATAGGCGAATGCGAAAATGCACACCTTTTCTTTCTGGCCAGAGTAGCGGCCATTGATGATGGGCAAATATGGCTTGTCGCTCAATCCGACATTTTCTTTTTTCGCCTCCTCTCTGGCCACTCCCCCCGTTTCCCGCTTTTTTGGCTTTCTTTTCATTTGGCATTTCCATTCCCTCTATCGATACACGCTCCTTTCTCTAACTCCCACTATCTATTACCGCTTTGCATTGTGCGTCTATTGCCTCTATTCTATATCACCCAACGCTTCCCCTGAAGTGAGCCTTCCCTAATATTCGGTCCCCCACCTATTCTACAGATTTATACGGTTCCGCGGCTCTGCCATTCTGTTCTCGGCTGAAAAGAACAAACGCTGCAGCGACTGTCTGTTCACCCTTACTGCGCAGCGCCCCGAAAGGACCTGGCAGCACCGTTTCTCAGCCGCCTCTTGCTACTGCCAATCCCCACCACCACCCACTTGCACGGCGTGCACTCCATACAAACACGCACAGCCCACACATATAGCCCCACACGACACAGGTACGCTTGGTATGCCATTTTCTGCGGTGTTTGGCTCTCCATGCATTGCTGCCGCACGCTTCATTCAGCATTGAACATGCGCACACTACCTGACTGCACAGCACACAGCCCTTGGGCTAGTTTACTTCCCCTCCTCCCCCCAGTTCAGGGCAGGCAGAGAGGAGTGCAAGTTTCTAAACTGTTCCTACTGCTCCTGCTCTGCTCTCCACGCATCGCTGTAAAGACGTCAAAAAGGCGTGCTCGTGAGTGGCGAGAAAAGGGGCAGCAGCAGGAAACACTGGGAGTTACACACTGTCCGATGCTCATTACCTTTTTTTTGTCGCCCTTGCCAAAGAGCATAAAAGTGCTCTGCCATTTCTGCGATTGCCACGGCCTAGAAAAGTAGCAGTGACCTTTTACCTGATTTTTTTGCCTGACCAGCGTCCGTTTGTTTGTTAAGCACAGCCAGCTTCCCGTTTGCTTCTCACCCCGCATACTGGTTGTCCCCCCTCCACTCCTCGATTCTGCTCTTTCGGAATTAGCATCTTCCTTCCAGGACTACCCTGTCCCCCCTCCACCACACATCAGCGCGCCTGCACACACACTTGCAACCTTTTTTCATATGGAAATGTTTTTTGACACGTCTGTGTTTGCTGACGATCCTTCTCACTTTCTTTCCCTTGTGGAACACGGTAGTTCGCTGTTGTATCCCACACCGCCCGCCTCGATGAGACCAACAGAAGAGCCGATGATGGGAACCGCAAACCCAATACCGGCGACAGCCCTCAACAGCTCGGTGCAGATGCCGTATTCCGACGCGACGGCAGCGCACGAATCAAAGCTCCTGGCTGCTGCGATGTTTGCAGCCACCGGCAACCCCAGCCTCGACCCCAAGAACACACAGCACATGTACGGCCCCAAGCTCCTGGATGCTGCCATGATTGCTACCGGCAACGCACTGCATGGCCCCGGCCAGGGCCACCAGCTGCTGGTCAACAGCAACAGCGTGAGCCGTGAAGCGACGGCTACCACCGATCCTGCGCCCACTGCGCGCCCGCCGACATCGGGGAAGGCGTCGGACAGCGATGGCGACTCCAGCCACGCAGCGGCGGAGGCAGCGACAAAAACACCAGCCTCTGGAAAGGCCAGCGGAAAGAATGGCCAGCGGAAGCGCTCGCGCGCTACCTCCGAGCAGGTGTCAGTGCTGGAGTCCGTGTTCCTGGTCAATCGGTCACCTGCCAGCCGACTGCGCGAGGACCTGGCTACTCGGCTGGGCATGGCGCCACGCCAAGTCCAGGTGTGGTTCCAAAACCGGCGTGCCAAGGAGAAGACACAGCAGCGCAACCCGCGTGGGCTTCAGCATCACCAGCCGATGATGATGGACCCAATGGCAGCGTACCCTACCATGACGCCCGACATGTACTCGATCGCCATGGCGTCTGCATTCATGCCCCAGGGATCTGACCCTGCGTCAGTTGCCGCCGCCGCCGCCGCTGCCGCCGCCAATGGCTATCCAGGTAACCCGACAACAGCAGCAGCGCTCCTCAATGCACCCCAGCACTCGTCGCAGCCACCTGCCACGATGGATAGTCCCATGGCATTTGCTGCTGCTGCTGCTGCCGCCGCCGCAGCCGCAGGGGCCACCGCAAACCCGTGGATGCAGTGGAACAACTTTGACATGGCCCGGGCGGGACAAGGGCAGACCCTGCCAGAACATCAGTTTCTTGGGATTCCAGGTGCTGCACCTGTGACCTCAGCGGCCAACCCTGTGATGGCCAGCTTGGCTGCCGCCCCCCAGATTCCGCTGGATGCAGTCCATGCTGGTGTCGTGATGTCTGGCCAGCTTGGCAGCGCGAGCCCGGCACCGAATATGGCCCAGCCCCAGCCCGACAAGGCTATGGCAGGTGCATTGATGCCGGTGGTCTCAACAGCCACATCTACTCCGCTACCGGCAGCGCCCAGTGCAGACGCCAGTGCAGCTGGAGTAGGCGGCGCCTCCAATATAAACGAAAGTAGGCGCGAGTCCGAAGTATCAGCGGTCACTGCTGTGTCTCCGCTTGCGGTCTCTTCAGGGACGCTGGCAGTGACAGTTGCAGCAGGCGAGGCAGCAGCACCAGTGTCCTCGACCAGCGGGGCAGCAGCAGCAATGTCAGCAGCACAGGTAGGCACTTCTCCCGAGTCAACTGAGAATACTGCCGCTGGCAGCACGCCGCCTCCTGCAGCCGATGCGGCAGCTGCAGTATCGAGTGCATCCACGACATCATGTGCATCAGTTGCATCCTCTGCCACCCTGTCAACCGCCCCAAGCACAGTGCAAGTCCCAGATGCACCGGTGGTGGTTGGTCTGAAGACGACTGACGGCATCAGCAGTAGTGGAGCCGGTAATTCCCGGGTTGGCGCTGTGCGGCGTCCCGCCCCGCTGACGCTTATCACTGGCGTCAATGGGAAGCTGACAGCGACGCCTGGAGCCGACAATTTCTGGTGGCAACGCCAGCGCGATGCTGGGGGCGCCCCGGGTCGGGCATCCGATGGGCGTTAATGTCGGTCTGAACATCAACACAGCGCGCATGGGCATGACCCCTGGAGCGAGCGCTGGTACTGGATATCCGCCATTCATTCCCGACGTCCCCTCGTACATGGTTCTTGATGCGGGGCTTCTCACAGTTGGCTCTTGGCAGCGCGTGCGGATGCAGGACACAGAGCTGACCTGCTTGGCATGCGTCGAGATGCCGCAGCTGAAGCCTGTGCAGCGGCCCGGAAACCACCGGCCGGCGGAGCTCGACTCGCTGGTCGGCGAGTTCCAGTGGATCATTAGCAACCAGGGCATGCGGTACAAGATGGTCCTGCCGATACAGCGCGGTATCGCGTATCAAATTCCGCGAGATCCCCGACACAACACAGTCACTGATTGACCCGACCAACGAGACGGTGACTAACCCGCAGACGGCAATTTCGCTGCTCAACCAGGCGATCCGCAACCCGAACTCCAAGGGCGAGGTGTCGATTCACGTGTATGACCCGCCAAGATACTACTTCCAGACCGACGACGGCAACTGGAAGGAGATTGAGGACTTTTCCGAGAACCGCAGCGCGTCCAACTCGCACGTGCACGTCATTAGCGGGACGTTTGTGACGCTGTTTTGCCAGCTGCGCATACTTCTCTCGACGTGCTCGCGGCTCAAAGTTGCGGCGGATTCGCTGCTCGGACTCTGGATTGGCAGCATGGAGGACCCGTACGGTGCGATTCCTGGGATCCCAACCAACACGTGGACGCCGTGTGGCAACGCAGTGACAATGCAGACAGCCGCACGCACCGGCAATGGGCACCACCATATGTCGGGGCCGTCTGATGCGACTGCTGTTGAGCAGCTGCACGGATCAGGAGGCCTTGGCGATGTATGTCCCGCCTGTTTCAGCCGGGTCGTCAACAATCGGGAACCTCACGCCAACGCCAACATCGATGGGGGCGCACCAGCATGGTATTTGGCGCACCAGCTCCTGTGTCGGCACGCCACTCTGTGTTTGTGCACCCAGACAATATGCAGCAGTACCCGAGCGGCCTGGTAGCAGGCGATGGCGCTCAACGGGCACGGCAATGCGGCGTTCCGCACGCATCCCAGATCACCCCACCGTTCAAAACACAGCGCTCGGCCTCGCTGCCTTTTATCCGGCCGATGGGCAATGGCGGCAACGTCAGTGCAGTTGCAGCAGCAGGCAGCGATGGCAGCAGCCAATGGGACCAGTGATCCAGCAGCTCATGAGTGATGTTGGGATGGCAGACATGTCGGCGTCTGGAGATCCTAATGTGCTGATGGGCTGGAACGCCTACGTCGCTACACCACCCGCCAGCTAGCGGCATAGCTAATGCCCAGGCGGCGGCAGCAGCGGCGGCGGCAGTAGCTCAGGCCGGACTTGGGATCTCACAGACACCGCCAATGTCGGCCTCGCTGCCGCTTCGCCACCGCACATCGTCGAGCCATATCCGCAGGACAGCACCTTACCAGGTCACGCCTATTGCGGCGGCAGTAGCGGGCAGCCCGCACGTCAACAGCCCGCAGATGAGCCCGTCGCCGTACTGGTACGTCAACAGCTTAGCGGCGTACATCGCGCGACTCGTTCAACGGGCACTTCCACACGCCGTCGTCGTCGTCCTCGCTGATTGGGCTTAACGGACAGCCGGTGACACCACTCGGCGGAGCACCGCCCGGAGCCTTCATGCGGCCGCGAGTCCGACGCGGATCTGGCGCTGGCGATGAACAACGCGTTTGCCAACGGCGACGTGTTTGGGAACCACCGTCCTGCTTGCAGATGCAGCCGGGGCGCCTCCATCGCCACTCTCGCAGATGACAATGATGGGAGCGAACTACCAGCACAACCAGATGCTTGGGCTTGTGAGCGAGGCGAAGAATGGCAGCAGCAAGCTGAAGACCAGCAGCGGCGCCTAGCGACGATTTCCGGATGGGCAGCGAGACGACAGCTCGCAGCAACGCCAGTGAGTCTGGTGGCGGAAATAACGACGCGGAGGTGTCGATGGCTGACGCGACATCAGCGTCGGGCAGCAACAGCTCAGGCACCAGCTGGGGCCCCACTGGGGTCGTCGACAGGGCTGGCCATCGATATGAACATGGCGAACGACGATATGGTGATGGCGCTGTTCAATGCCATGAGCAATGCGAGCGCGGCAGCACAGCAGGGAGCCACGACGAGCCAGCCATTGCAGCAGCAACGGCAGCAGGGCGCAGCTGGGTTTGGGGCGTCTCTGGGACTCGATCCGCACGCGCTAGAGTTGCTGCAGCAAGGAGCAGGCAGGCAGCTCCAAGTCGCCAGGCAGCAGCCTGGGTCCCACGGCGGAGGCCGGTGAGGCGCAGGCGATGGACTGGTGCTTTGACTGGAGCAATCCCGTCGCAGTCGCAGCAGCAGCAGAATATATCGTCGGCGTTCATGACACCTGGCGGCACCCACGAGTCGGATACCAGCATGGACTGGACAGCAACAAGCAGCAGCGGCGATGGTACAGATGGAGGCGACGGTACCAGCAGCAAAAGTGTCGACAGGATCAGCACGCCCGCAGCAGCAAGCATGGTTGGTCTGAGTGACCCCATGGCAGCAGCTTCGAGCGGTGTGCTGGTGGGAACGGCAGTGTCTGACTCGCAGCAGAGCTGAGGCTTTACTCCCAGCACCCTTGATACACAAGGGCCTCCTTGGCATGGCAGGCAGCCGCAGCAATAAAAAAGTACAGCAGTATTTCTTCAACTTCTCCTTCGCAATGCTCTCCCCCTCCCCTCTTCATTAACATTCCGCACATAACCACCACTGACTACCTTATCCTAACACTATCGAGAGCAGTACTAATGTTAACATCATTTCCACTCCTCCTTTTCCACCCTTCGTTCCTTCAGTTTTCTAATATTTATTTCCATTACATAACATCCAAACCAGGCACCGCAGCTGCTTTCTTTCTTCGATGCTCCAAATTGCATGTCATTTTAGGTAAATGATACGTCGCAGAGTGGTATCGATGTGATGCAGCGGTGCAAGAAGGGGAGCGCATTTATGACAGATAGAACTGGATTGCTGGCTGTAGCTTATTGTTGGCTTCGCAGGCCAGCAGCCATCCGGGCTTGACGACCGGGATATTGAGAGCCAGCGCGTGGTCGTATGAGGGGCCGGTAGCGTATCTGGCGATGAAATGGGTGACGTTGAGAGAGACAGTGTCGACCCACGATGCGCCAATGCGGTCAACAGCAGCCTTCAGGTTCTCGACCTCCTCAAGCGACTCGCACTCGCCAAAGCACACGCAGACGCCGCTCAGATCGGTCAGCGCATGGGTCTTGACATGCACAGAGTTCGAGAACAGGCGGCCGGCGGAGGTGCGCATCTCGAGCTTAAAGTCGTACTCCTGGTTGACATCGAGGCCGGTGATTTTGATCGCGCGTTGCGCGTTGGCCGCATCCAGGGTCGCCGGCATCGGCTGGAACAGCCGCTGGCTGTCGCGGTACAGGTGCAGGGAGCGCAGCTCGGCCGTGGCCAGCTCCAGCGGCTCCCATTCAAGCACGACCCAGGTCTGTGTGGTGTGGGCTACGCGGATTTCGCGGCGGCTGCGGCGACTGGGTGCCGAATTGCAAAAGAATCTGGTCCTGCAGGGTGCGGAAGTCGGTGCGCTGGCGCTTCTCGGTCGCCCGGTCCCGGCGCACGTCGATGGTCACGACTGAGCCCAGGGCCACGCCCTTGGGCAAAAGCACCGAGGGGAACTCTATCAGCTGGTAGTCCTCGGTCAGCAGCATTGCCATGCCGGCGTCCAGCTTGCCAACCGTGAACTGTGAGGAGCGTGTCTGGGCAGCGGCGGTGGCCATTTTGTAGCAAAATTGAAAAAAAAGGTAATAAAAGTTAGATGAGCAAGTGACGAAATTGGAAAAGCGGAGGGGGTGGGAGAAACAAAGTGGATTAATGACATAAAGGGGAGGTTTATTTTTGGCGGGCAGCCAGCCATTCCGTCACGGCGCCCTGGTACAGCTCGTCGTTGAGGCGGCGGGTGCGCCGATGGTGCTCCTCGAGGCGGCCCACCAGACGCGTCAGCTCAGCCACGCGCTGCTCGCCACCGCTGCCAGGAGCCAGGCGCCGGACCATCTGCATATCGCGGGTTTGCACAGCATTGGCCAGGAACCGCTCCATGTCCCGAGTCGAGTCCGGCAGCTGCGTCTTGATAGTGGCGGCAAAGGCCGTGCTCGGCACGTCGCCGCTCCGGCGCTCCAAGCGCTGCAGCGGCAGCAAGGAGAATTCGGAGATCCGCGCCGCGCCCAGCTGCTGCGCTGTCGCCGGCCGCGCACAGCCCACAGTAGTCGTGGAGGACGGGCCGCCCAGCTGCGCAGGGGCAAGCATCACGCGCAGCTTCCCCGCCGTCCCCGCCGCCATCTGCCGGTCGGCCACGGTGCGCACGCACTGGCGGCTGGCCACATCCCAGACGCGCAGACCCGAATCGCCCATGGCCACCAGAACCGAGCCGTCCATGCTCAGAGCCACCGAGCTGACATTCTCTGCGTGCGGAAACTCCTTATGCGGCTCGGCCACCACATCCACAAGCGCCGCGGCCGACTGATACAGGTTGGTCTGGAAGACGCCCGACGCAGTGGCTGCAAAGACGCGCGTCTGCTGGCTATCCACTGCCACATCGTTGACTGGCGCCGGGAACAGCAGCGTCGCCAGCACACATGCATTGCCCGTATAGCTGCCCTCTCCCCGCTGCACATTGACCTGCCAGACCTTGCACGTCTGGTCGCGGGCCGCTGACACCACGCGGCCGCGACCCGCCAGCACGCCAGACATAGCGGATATGGCGGTGATAGGCATAGTGTGGTCGGTCCATGCTGGCCAGGGGCGCCACGCTCTCCTGGGCTGCCAGTGCCTGCGACAGAACCCAGACATGCACTGCCGCGTCCTCGCCACCCGACAGCAGCACGTCGTGGTCGCTGCTCAGACAGGTCACCGAGCCGTAGTGCGCATCCCAGGATTTCAGAAGCTGCCCTGTCGCCGCCATCCACACCAAGATCCGCCCCGACTGGCTCCCGCCCACAATGTACTTGCCGTCGTTCATTGCGTGCAGGACTGTGAGCGGCTCGGGCAGCGGGGAATGTGTGCTTGGCTGACGAGTCGCCGCGGTTCAATGCGTATATGTAGGCGAGCGGCTTCGCCGAGCTTGCGGCTAGGATGTATGTGGGCGTCAGAACGAAGGTCTTGCGTGGGCACGGCCATGGCCTGCGCGAGCTTGGTGCCCCGGCGCAGGTCATATACCTGCACGCCGCTCTTTGTGCCGACAGCAACGACCTCGGAGAACATTTCTATTTGAAAGTGGAAAAGCAGAAATAAGATACAGCTGAAGCGCTTGAGATCGGAAGCCAGGATAGCCATAGTCCTTTTTTTTCTGCGCTGATTCTGTCGCCAATCACGGAATCACGGGTGGGGTTAAGAAATGTTGGAATTTGTAAGGGAGGGGGAGAGAAGGAGGTTATATTTCGAGATTGCAGGGCTCAACCTGCACGTCGGCAGCGGCACAGACAACCGCCACTTGAGATGGAACACGACGCCGTCGTCCCTGCGCACGGCCAGCACTCCGCCATCGCAAGCCGGCGGCACTTGGGCCACAACCATAACACTATCGCCCTTATGGCATGTATCCGCCTCGCATGGCAGCGCCAGGTCGCCCACCAGCACCTGCATGCGCTCGAAGCCACGAACCTGCAGCTGCAGCGTCCGGCCAGCGACTGTGGGCGGGGCAGCCAGACGGGGCATCGGGTTGATGCTCTGGACAGCAGCGCGCGGCGCCGAGTACGAGTACGAGAAGCCGGCAATGCCAACGATCGTCCAGCAGAAGAAATCGTCGATCTCGACGCCGGTGCCATCGGCCAGGTCGCGCGTGCGCGTGCGCGTCAGCAGCGCCCCGTCGATGGCGGCAAAGGTCAGCTCGGGCGAGCCGTCGGGGTCGTCGAACCGCAGGCCCTCGCCGGCCTGGCTGTAGTGGCCGACGTCGGCCTTGAGGAAGCGCGGCTCGCCAGGGGCCTTGACCTGCAGCGCGACCTTCTGCATCTGGCTGACCGGCGACCGCGCGTTGGGCACCAGGCGGCCGCGCTCGACCTTGTGGATCACCATCACCGGCGACGCAAAGTTGCGGCGCGTCTCCACCAGCACAATCTCGGCGCCGTAGTACAGGGCCCCGTCGCCGGCGCCGCCCACCACCACCACCTTGAACGGCGACCAGTTGTGGCTCTGCGCGACCCACCGCCCGCTGCTGTGGTCGACGTTCAGGTACTTTGTGCGGAATGTCTGCGAGTTGATGCGGTTGAACAGCGACACCAGCGACCCGCCGCGGATACACGACGTCTGGTTGCGGGCCTTGGCCGTCTTCTTGCTGGGCTTCGAGATGATTGCCACCGGGATCCGACTCCAGCGATGCATACACCCCAGCCCCCCACGCCGCCGGCGCCATCAGGTCCAGCCGCAGCCGGAAGCTCTTGGCCTTCTGCATCCCCGTCACGTGCAGGCTCTTGAACAGCGCCACGTTGCGGCTGTTGAATGTCGTGTGGCACTCCAGCGGCGCATGGGCGCTCGACGACGCCCGTGCCTTCTTGCCGGTCTCTGCCGGTGCCAGCCGCTCGCCGCCGTCGGTCGTCACCGACAGAACCATCGGCGAGTGGTGCGCTGCACGTGCGCTGCGCCCGGCGCCCGCCATCAGCACCGCCGGCGGCGGGCACAGGAACCGCTTCTCGCCGCCGTACGACTTCTGAGCCACTGCGGCATGGATAGCACATGATCACCACCTGGTTGCTGCCATCCAGTCCCACCGTCTCCGTGCGAGCCGCCTTGTGCGCTGTCATCGGCTCCGGGGCTTCTACCTCGCGCGCCCGCTTGCGCGACTCGCCGCCCACCAGCGCCCCCAGGCTACCAATGCCCGGCAGGCTGATGTTGGACTCGCCTACCAGCGCCGAGATCGACATCGACTCACGTGTCTTTGCCGGCTCTGAGTACCGGCCATGCAGCGGCGCCAGCTTCATTTCACGGTGCAACGTCTGGGTGCGCCCATCCACCTCGTCGTCATCGTCGTCATCGTCCTCGCCATCGTCAAGCGCCAGACCGCCGCCAGTCTCGTATGCGTACTCAGCCGCTGCTGTCCTCTTGCCCAACGCTGCCGCACTCGCCGGAGCCGCCAGCGCATGAATCGGCGGCAGTGCAATGGCCGACGTCTGTGGCGAGGACAGGAGCGAGTTGATCGTCGGCATGCTATTCCGTGGGGCTCTTTGCTGCCGCGCGTAAAATCCAGGAGAGGAAACAGAGGTCACCACCGCCCGCCTGCCAATGCTGCTGTTGTTGTTGTTTTGCTCTGCATTGTCTGCCGCTCCCACGCCCGCCTGCCGCGCGTGCGGCCCGGCAGTAAGCCCCCGCTGCCGCGTACTGCGAGAATGTGCGGCACTAGTGTGGTAGTGCGGGTCTGATTGCATCACCGCCGGCGGCCGCCAGAACGGCAGCTCGCTGGCTCGCGCTATTGGCCGAAATACCGCCGGCATCAGCGGCTGCATTGCGTCCTCCTCCAGTGCCGAGTCCACAGAGTCCGAGATGTAGCAATGCACCCGCCGCGCCTCCTCGTTCAGCTTTGACACCGTCTGCACGATCGGCGCCGATGCCGTCGCTGACCCCGACGCGTGTGCGTGTGCGTACCCGCCCGGCCCACCCATATACCCCGCCCCCTTGTCGCCGTCGTACGCGCTCCCACGATTGCCCGACTCGTACCGGTAGTAGTGATACGACGAGTTGCTGCCCGTCTCGTTGTAAAACGCCGTCTCATACGAGCTGCTGTTGCTCGTCGACGGGCCTGACCCAAACCGGTACATGTCATTGTTGCGACCTGCATATCCCACACTACTGCTCTGCTGCCCACCGCTGCTGCCGTTGCCTGCATAATGCCTGTCTGCTGATGCACTGCCGCCCTGCTGCTGCTGTCTCGGGTTGTTGTATGGTGCCCGCTCCATTCTGTCGTTGTTATGAGTAGCAAAAATATAATGTGCCTGTGCGTTAGAAATACTCTCTGCTCGTCTTTCTGCTGACGGAAGAAAATACGGAGATGGGTGAGCTGTGGCGTGTGATAAACGGATATAAAAAAGTTCCCACTATGGAAAAATAAAGGGCTGGCGCGGGAAAAAATAGAGAGGATAGGTGAAATAATACTGTAAAAAAGATAGAGGATAACAAACAAGAGCCGCAGATGTCTTGCTGCGTTCTTTGCGTCTAGTGGGGTGGGCGGGGTGCAAGCCAGAAATTGATACTGCACCGCTTGCTCATCTACACGCTGAACCTTACAATGTCTACGGGCAGGAAAGAAAAAGACTAGTCGACTGTTCAGTATCTGGGAAAGGCTGTTTCTATAAAACCTCCTCTGGGAAAAGTGCAAAAAAGCGCGTTGAAATAAATGCGGCAAAAAAGGTACGAAAGGTCTGTAGAAGAAAAAGGAGTCCAAGAGGTAAAAACGAAATCTCTCAGGCTTGCTGCTGGGAGAGTGCCCGTTAAAGTACTTTTTGTTCGTCCTTCTTGGCCATGTCGGCCCTTTTTTTTCTTCTCCCTCTTGTCGCCCGGTTTATGCCTGAATTTGGGCAATCCTCCCCATCACCAGGCGCATCAGCTCGCTGCGTCGACCATGAGCTAAAAAGTTCTCGCGCTTTTGTGTTTTCACAAGCCCTGCCCACTTTGTGCTCTCCTTGGGGACCTGGCTCTTGTTTTTATTCTCACGGCACCCCTGAGCCACCCATTCACTTTCGGTTTGCTGGTGTAGCAATCCGATTCGCAGGTCCTGAGCTGCCCAAACCCTGGCCCGAGCGCCTTCGCCAGTGTGAAGGGAAACCCCGTTCTGTTTTTTTCGCACACAGCCTGCTCTGAGCCTGGCGCTTCTTAATGTAAGCTGGTTTCGTCGAGGCCATTGGCTGCAGAACTGGAAGGCGGAACTGCAATCCAGCTTTCTGTCGTTTGGCGTCCTCCCGGCCACGACCCGGTTTTTTTCTCTGGCGGCCTTCCCTCCGCTACATTTTTCCTTTCTCCTTTCTCGAAACACCCAGCCTGTGCATATCCTGCACATATTGCTTTTTCATTTCCCGCGACCCCACCATATCCGCTCCGTCCTTTGGATGACACCTCCGCCTGAGGACAAGCATTGACCGAGTGCGAAAAATAAAAAACACGAAGTGCAGCACCACATGCATCCTGCACGCCAATCGATTGCCATCGATGCCCGCCCTTCGCCTGCGTCCTAGCAGATCTCTCCCCGCTGCTGCTGCCATTGGGCGGGGCAGCTGCAGCATTCCCGCTAAGCATCGCTGTTGCCTGGGAAAAAGGGCTCCGCCCACTGCCGACTTTTCCCACCGCGCTGCACCAGCGTGACCCCGTTCTGGGATCCTTGGTGACTCGTAAAAGCAACTCCCGCCCAGTACCAATCTGCAATCCGCAGCGCCGCTCATACTCCAGGCGGCTTCGTGCCAATCGCTAGCGAACCATGTCCTTGTAGTCAAGCTGTAGACCAGGTGGATCCCCATGTCGCTTCTTGCTTATCCAACAGAAATCAGCAGATCTTTCCGCTCTGGAGAGGAAGGTGGTTCTGCCAAGCACATCCAGCGAGATGCCGCTCCTTGCTTTTTTGGCGCACTATGGTCGAGTGGGCCGGGGCGATCGCGTGAGTATTACCAATTTTTCCACCCACGGCCTGTGTCCCACCGGTAGGTTCGGCATGGCGGAGCCTCCGTCTGGCGTGGATCTCCCACACGTACCGAGTACCCTTCACGGGTCCCTCGCATAGGAGGAACTGCCTCGGTGCAGGATGGAAGCACTTTCACAGGCTGCATGATGCACTTCCATGGGAAAAAAAAGCCAGGCTCTCCAGCGCACAAACAGTCCAGCGGAAATATGCGACGAGCAAGGCAGGAGGGGGCGTTCTAGTGCATGCTATATATCCACACCTCCATCTTGCTCGCTTCGAGAACAGCCAAGGCGCCTTGCCCAGATGCATTCCAGACGACGTCCTTAGCAGCGGTCCCTAAAGACATGCAGTCTCCTCCCTTGGACACTTTCATGTGCTCTGCAAGCTCCTCCACATGGCCACAAGCAAAAAATAAAATTTCCTCTGCCGATTAACACATTTATTTTGAAAATACAACGCCTACTTGGCCATGCTCGTTACCTAAATAGAAACCTCGGCATTAGCAAATCTGTCAATACCAGAAAACCCCCTATCGAACCCATGTGCAGATTATGCGGGTAGCTTCAGAATTTTATTTACAGACATTCAACATGCGAAAGTACGCGCAGTCCAGCCTCCCCGTGAAGGAAGGCGGCCACTTTGCGGTTCACACCTCGCGTCTCCCATTAATGTCCGCCCGTCTGGGTTTTACGTCATCAGCATAAACATTGTCCACAGAAACTCCTGCAAAATGGCGTACCTTACCGGGGACTATTAAATACAACTAAAGAGCAACGAATGGATAGAGAGCTAAGACAAGGAGGGTTCTGAGCTGGACCTGCCCTTGCGGAGCCAGAAACACGATCTCAATCATTTTTTTGGCTGGGGTGCTATCAAGCAAAAAATTTTCGCCTGCCGCTGATCTGCCTAGAGTAATAAATCACTGATCTATGAGATCATTTTGCCGATCACCAGCACCCATGTTCCAAACTCTGAAAAAGAAAACTACGCTCACATATCCAGCGCATCAAACTGCTTCGTGAACCCCGAGTCATCGCCCTGCAGGGCACGCATGTACTTGTCTCCGATGCCTTGAGAGCTAAACTGCTGGCGGTAGATGGCCTCGCGCGCAAACTGCCCATCCTTCACATCGCAGCTGTTGGGGCACGAATACACAAGGAGCGTTCCCCAGTCAATCGACAGAGGGTCGTCAGCCTTGAGCCCCAAAAAGTTCAGCATCTGCGGCATGATCTGGAACTCAAACTCGCGCTGCACCCCGCACAGCTCGCACTCGGGAACATCCTCCGGAATACCAGCGTCGCTGACATAGAGCGGCTTCTCGGGCTCGCCGCCCGGTGCGCGCGCATAGCGAATGACCTGGTCCGAGTTCTGCTGGATGCGCCGCTGGAACACCAAAAACGCCTTGTCCACGTCAACCTCCGAGTCCACTGCCTTCTCGTCGGTCACCGGCACCACAGCGCCGTCCTCGGGCTTAATCTCATCCTCGCTGTCGCTGTCGCTCTCGCCGTCGTCGTCATCGCCCTCCCCGTCACTGAACTCCTCTTCTTCCGACGCAATCACCAGCTCCGGGTACCGCTGGTTGCGCAGCTTGCGAACATGGTCCTCTGGCTCCTGCTCGCTGCTGCCGCACTGTGCGCGGTGGCCTGCCTCCCAGTCAGCCAGCTGGTGGTCGCGCGAACAATACATGCGCTCATGGCACTTGCTGCACGCCTTGGTGCCCGCCATTCCGCACACCACGCACTGCTTTGCCGGTGTCACCGAGCTCTTCGTTGTCCACACGATATCATCGTCCTCCACATCCTCGCCTGTCTCCTCGTATACTGCGTTGTCCTCAGGCAGCTGCGCCCGGTACACCCGCATGCACCGTGATGCCGGCGCCCGATGGCACGAGCCTGTGCGGCACACAAATACATACATCATCCGGTGGAATGCTGAGGCAGGCTCGTCCTCGGGCGCGTACAGCTGCATTAGCAGCGCCATCGGCTTCTGGCACTCGTCACATGTTGCCTGCGAGACGTTCAGCGGGTGCTCTGGGTCGATCCACCGCGGCTGTCCGCCGATCTTGCTCGGAAAGCTCTCGCTTTGGAACTCCTCGTCCACGGGCTCTGCAAAGCCCAGCGTAACAGTCATTGTGTCTCGAGGGTAACAGAGGAGGGTGTGAATTTGGTAAATGGCAGGTCTGTGAAGAGCGAAGGCTGAGGAAAAGTGCCCTCTTCTGCGACTCTTGGGGAAAAAATCCATGCCGGTGATCTGGCACGAACTACTAATTTCTCAGATACTGATCGTTGATCAGCGGCTAGAACCATCGCTGGCTTCATACACATATCGGACAGACATTTGGGAACAAACAAGAGTGTACCCGGCGCCCACCACTATTTACACAGCTTTAATATACCTTACTTGTAATCCTGAACATGTGCTACTTTCTTATTATATACCAATATCACCTTCCATAGTTCCAGCTGTATATAGCCATATACTACCCAGTAGGATATCCGTGGGGATCCGGTTCTCTAAAAATGCCAATACGTGAACTACAGCATACAGATATATATTTTCCGAGACATGTCATTGAAAAGAAATTGTGATCAGCAATATTGCTAAATGAGCTCGTCTGCTGCTTCTAACCATTTCTCACTCCAGTAGTAACATGCATAACCTTAGTGGTGTATTCAATACTATGCTAATAAGCCGACAGTCACCAACCGACATTGATTGTATTAAAGCCGTAATTGCTTCACTCTCGGAACAAATCTTTAACCTTGCCTAGTATATTCGGCCATTGGCTCGTCCTACATGCCGCACGGCTAGCACACTGTTTCCTGCCTACCAAGATGTATATATGCGGTGCAAAGCAAAGTGCTACTAAATGCGTTGGAGGCGTCTCTTGTTGAGTGGAATCATTTTCTCTTTCCCGGGCAGTTTTCAGTGTTGAGCTGAGATACCACCCGAGACACCCAAGAAGCGCTGAATATTCGTCGTCTATCCCCACGCTGCCGCCCTAATCGTGTCCTCAGTCGTCGCTCCTCCCGCTAATGGTCGGCAGTTACTTTATTTTTGGATCAGCCACCAAAGGGATAAGGGACCTAGATGAGACATTCTAAGCGCCGCGTATTGTCGGACAGTTTCCCTGTTCACAGTCGGTGGTGGGATTTTTCTCGGCTTTTATATGCTCGCCGGTTTACATGCAAGCGGGCTGGCGTCATTGGTCCTTGTCGCGGCCTCCTATTTTTGCATGACCTTGCGTTTTCTCATCTGGCCGCAAAACTGGAGATGACGAAAAGTCGGTTAGCAGGGGTGTCAGCGATTCGGGGAGTGCGAGCAATAGCCAATTATTCAAGTGTTTCTAAATGCCAACCTAGTGCTGAGAGATGACAAAGGGTGGAAGAGTGCTGCGTTTTGGGGACTGGAGGAAAGGAGGTCTCTTGTATATAAAGCAATCGCCCTGAATTCCAGACGAGCGTTTAGGAGTGCACTGGTCATTACTACTCTAGCTTTTCTGATCTACTGCAGTCGCACCTCTGTTATTTTGTTGCCTTCACCGACTTTCTTTGACACCTACCTGCCATTCCATCTTTTCTCTCATCTTTTATTTTGTCATGGTGGAGTCCATCCAAGACTGTGGTATGTATACATCAATATGTACATTTGTGATGTCCTGGCAGGAGAGATCATTGTCCTTATTGGCTGCACTCTATTGATTGACCTGGTACACCGCTTGTAGAATCGGGTGTGGGCATCAACCTGTATGTCCCAGACTCGCAGAGCCTTTCGAGCATTCCTGGCCCTGACTCGCGCGAGAGCGGCTTCAACCGGCGAGTCCTGGCTAGCTCCTTTGCCGCGGCGCTTTCTGCGCTAAACTTTGGCTGGTGTGTGGGCGAACCAAACATCCCCGAGGCTATCATCGAGCAGTGTCTGGAGGGTCCCCAAGTGTTTGTCAACGGATTTCCCACCTGCCTCCCGATGAGTTCAACGCTATGGTAGAGTATAATTGGGCACGACTTGGGGGGCCGCTCGGCCTAATAGCCCGGATTGTTTTCAGAAGGGAAAAAGAACCGGTGGCTAACATAGCAATCAATTGTCTTTGGAACTGTAGGGGGTTGATTGTTGGACTTGTGGCACTGGGCGCGCTGGTGGGATCTCTGGTTGCTGGGCACGCGGCAGACAAATTTGGACGGAAAACAGTGCTGCTGGTCAACAACATATTCTTCATCGCAGGTGCTCTGCTCCTCAGTACATCCACGACTATCGCGCAGCTGGCCGTTGGCCGCTTTGTTTCGGGCATCGGATGGTAGGTTTGGAGGCTTGGTCCCCCTGTGACTGATGTGTGAGAGAGGCAGCTGGTACATGTTGCATTCATGCCGGTACTGTCCAGAGAGCAGTTTACTAATTGCAATGACATCACTTGCCCTTCTTTCAAAATGCCGGCTGTAGCGGGGTTGCCAGCACGGTTGTTGCGACCTACAATAGCGAATGCGCACCTGTCAAGGCACGCGGGCTGCTGGGTACAATGTTGCAGCTTACGGTTGAGATTGGAATCTTTCTCTCACAGTTTATTGCCATATTCCTCGTGCAAGTACCCAAATGGCGCATCCTGTTCGGTCTTAGCGGCGGCATCTCCTTGATCCAAGTGATTCTCTTCCCCATGCTGCCCGAATCACCAAAGTTCCTTGTGTCCCATGGGCGTCTGACCGAGGCTGAGCACGCGCTGCAATTCCTGCGGCCCAACTATGATATCACTGACGAATTCAACGACATGCTCCTGGCCAGAGATCCTGCACGTGTGTCCCAGGCAGACTTTGTCCCCGCCGCAGACAGATCCATGGCATCTGTCAACATTGCAGAAAAATCATCAGGTGACAAGCCCAAGATCAACATGGATGCATCGCCAGAGCCATCGCTGGTGGCCAGGTCGGCATACACTCCAAGGTCACTCGGAGTCATGGACATTCTGCGCGGACGCACACCCGACATCATCACACATTCTGTGTTCTGCACGCTGTTCCTCATGGGATTCCAGCAATGGACAGGCGCCAAAGGCATTGTGTTCTATTCGACAGAGATCCTGACGCAGGTGTTCAAGCTCAATCACGACCAGCTCGCAAAGATCCCAAACAAGCCGCAGCTGGTCACCATTGGAATTGCAGCGACAGGAATTGTAGCCGTGTTCCTCAGCATGCTTCTGGTCGACAGGCTCGGGCGGCGCCGTCTGCTGCTGCTGAGTACGGGTGGCCTGACGATTTCTTGCCTGGTTGTCGTCGTTGGCCAAACGACAGGGACTGGCATGCTGGCCGTCGTTGCCATGTTTGCCTACAAGATCGTGTACGGACTGGGTATGGCCCCGATCCCGTGGCTGGCAGCATCTGAAATGGTACCGTATTATGCCCTGGGCACCCTGAGTGGAATGGCCAGTGCGCTGAACTGGACCATGATCTTTACCATCGGCATGGTGTTTCCGCATCTGGCTAAGGGCCTCCATAGCTACTTGTTCTTGCCCTTTGCTGTGCTGAACATGTTGGCATTTGCGGTTATATTGCTGTTCATGCCTGAGACAAAAGGCAAGTCCATTGCCGACATTCTGCGCGACCATGGGCGCCCGATCCATTTCGTATTCAAGCACCCCTGGACCCGTCGCACAGCCGCCGAGCCGACCACACCGGCCTAAGCACACACGCGCCATTCCGTCATCCATCTCTTTCTCTAGTTAGTTGTACTCGTGTCTATAAATTATTTCAAAATGGTTTTAAAGCCGTGTCAGAAGTAGACAGTGTTTTTGCACACCAGTCGGTTGATCTTGCGAAGCTCAGGATCCTTGCCCTCCTTCCACCAAAAGTTGTCCAGAGTGGCCTGGTTGATCGGGAATTTTCCAGGGGTTGTCTTGCACTCAGCGCTGTTGGCGTAGTCAACGACAAGCTGCGCAGCGACAATAGACGCAGCTCGCATCGCCGTGGTTTCCTCAAGTGTCAGCTCCTCACTGCTATCGATCTTCTTCTGGATCGCATCGCATGGCGTCATCATGCCGTGGTTCTGCACCATTGCAGGGACCACGTTATCAGCGAACAGGGTCATCTCGGCAATATCTGGGAAGTTGAAGATCTTCTCCGAGTCCTTGAACCGCTGGAACACGTCGTACGCAATCAGCTGTGCCTTCTTGAAGAGGTAGACTGGCTTGCCATTGATCTCGGCAGCATCGCGCAGAGACGGGAAGGCATTGACAAGTTTCTCCACCAGGTGCTTCGCCGTTGCCTGCTCGGTACAGATCTTGATAATGAAATCGGCAAATGACGCAAACCCAAACTGCTCCAGCCGGCGCCCAGTGTCCTGCAGGATTCCTAAGATGATCTCAGCCAGCGGCCGCACCGGGCTTGCCTCGCTGACAGTGACGGCCGTGACACCCTCCCGCATCGGCTTCTCATCGCCAAACAGCGGAATGCCAAAGTGCTGCGAGATATCACCTAGGGTCAGCTCCTGCAGGCCCTTGGCATCAACTGGGGTTTGCGAGATATGGAGCGAAATACACCCAAACACGATGGTGTCGGAGGCCCCCCGGCCACACGCTGCGTGCAGGTCGCGCCGGAATCCGCTCCCGATCTGCAAAAGGTCAATGATGGAGAACATGTTCAGTTCCTGTGCAAAGTTGTCAAACTTGAGAGGCAGCTTGCGTGTCCACTGATTGACCTCAGTGACGTACTGGTCAAACTTTTCGACATTGAAGCTGTCGACATACGTCTTTGCTGCTGCCTCATCGACCGTAACCAGAGCCTGTCCGTTGCTCTTGATGAACTGGGCAGTTGATTCACGCACTGCGTCAAAGTAGTTTGTCCCTGGTGCCGGCAGCGGGACATGCTTGCCTGTGCACGCACGCTCCCACGTCACCGGCAGCTCGGTATTAGTGACCTCGGAAATAATGCCCATGTTAAATTCGACGGATTCGTGGAAGGGGTGTTAGAGAATAGCCAAGAAAGATAAGCGACTGGCTGCAAAACCAAGAGACGAAGGCTGGCAGCACTTTGGGGTTTTAAGCAATCTTGGGACATTACGTAGGCTTGGCCAGGCTGCTCGGCTCGCGAGTCGCAAGAGCTGCTTGTCACCTGAGCGGTGGTGGCCCATATACCATGCCGCAGCGGTGCACCTATATGGCAAAACCTTGCAATCGCCGGCTGCGGCCACTCTGTCAATAATTCGCTTCGCCTCTTCCTATCCTCTGTAAATCCATCCCAAAATGGAATACCAGTCATCTCGTAGCAGCAAGCTGTCGTTCAAGGGCGACAAAAAGAAATCGAAAAGCAAGCACAAGAGAAAGCACAAGAGTGACAAGCTGAGCGGCCCGGCAGCTGCGGCATCGGACGAGGCTGCCAGCGACGGCTGGGTGCCAGTCAGCTCTCTTCGCGACTTGGAAGGGCCAGTGTCAATTTACTTCCGTGATGAAAGTGTGCATGTTTTTTCCTTGCCGCCGCGATCCGAGACCCAGGCACTGGCAGACACGTCAGGGCTCCTGCCAGCGCTATACGAGCTAACCGACGCATCTTTAGCGACTGCGGAGCCCGCCAGCGTAGAGCAAGTGTTTGTCGGCCGGCGATCTGTACCTACAGCTACCTCCAAGGACGCGGAGGCGAATATGTTTTCGTTCAAGTCGTGTCACGGCGAATACCTCTCCGGATCTCGTAGCGGCGATGTGACATGTAGCGCAGCAGCAATTGGACCTCTGGAGATGTGGACACCGGTGCTATTGCCTGATCGTGGCGATGGCGCCGTAGCATTCATGATTAACCCTCCCGGCAGTTCAGGCGACCGCTTCTTGACTGCCGAGCCAGACAAGGCTAAGAAACACTCTGTGTCCGTGAGCTGTGAAGGCGCACATATTGGATTTTGCCAGGTATTCACAGCCAAATGCCAGGCGGCGCTGAGGAAAAAACGGACAGCCTTGGAGGCTGTCGAAGACTACGATCCTGAGAAGCTGACTGGAAACGCGGCGCTTGATGAAGAGCGTCAGGCCAAACGGTTCCAGAGCTTCCAGGATGGGCACATTCATGTATCGAAGAAGAGCCGCACAGAGCTGGACCAGGCGAAAAAGGCCGGCAGATACCGTGAAAGCTTGCTCGATAGGCGAGAGAAGGTCAAGTCGGACAGATATTGCAAGTAGCTGTCTTTAATGTTAAATAGTGAAATATCCTCAAAATTCAGGCAGACATTGCTGGTCTAACGACGGCCCAGCAGTTGTCCTTTGGGTTCTCTGGGTTAGTAACGATGTGGGACACAGCCGGAATTTCAACCGGAGCACCAGACTTGCCCAGCCTATGTGGTCCATAGGGCGCATCCGCGGGCAGCGAGAAATCGTACTTGCGCAGGATGTTGGCAAGGACTGTGTAAATTTCAAGCCAGGCAAGGTTTCGTCCGATACAAACGCGAACGCCTGAACTAAACACCAGTATGTCCTTGACTCGCTCTGCTGAGTCGGGACCAAGGAAGCGCTCAGGGTCGAATACATCGGGGTTCTTCCATGTATGCGGATTGCGGTGACAAGCGGCGATTGACACGCAAATTTGCGTATCGTGCGGGATGTTGTATCCCTGAATTGTTGCCCCCTTGGCCGGAGCGCTGCGTGGAAGCATGCCTGAGACTGAGGGGTTGATTCGCATTGTCTCATAGATGACTGCCGAGAGGTACGATAGCTTGGCTTTCGCGTCCTCAAACGAGATGACCTGGGAGCTATCTGGGAATGTAGAGCGGACTTCCTCGGTGACACGCTTGTAAATGCTGGGGTTGTGAAGCAAATGGACAATTGCGTACGTTATCGTGTTGCTGGTAGTGTCGGTGCCAGCAACGAGCATCAGCGCCACCTCCGACTGGAGCTGGCGAAGCGTTAGCTTGTCACCAGTAACCGGATCCTCTGCATCGATAAACTTTTGCAGCACATCGACGCGTGGCGGCGCACCAGCTTCTTTGATAAGCCTCTTGCGCATCTCCACTCGGCCCAAAGTCGTAGCAACCATCTGGCTGTGTGAATGCTTGAGCTTTGAAAACAGCCATGGGATCTTGACAAGCATTGGTGACAGGCTACGGAATGACTTGAGGTGCACCGTGTCCTGCATCCAGTCAATGACATCCGTGTTTCCGGTTTTCAAAATGTTGAAGCTCTCCCCAAAGCCAATTGCGCCGATAACATCATAGCCCATACGGTGGAATGAGTAAAAGTAGTTGACCTTGGCTGCCCCTCCTTGCTTGGAGATTTCAGCGTCCCACACGCTGATGAGCGAGTTTGCGCCGGCATCGACTACTGTATCCTCAACAGCACGCATAGTGTGCATCGCAAATGCACTTCCAATCTGGCGCCTGCGTATCTTGTTCTCCTCAGGGTCGATAGTCGAGAAGGTATTGGCCTCAATCAGGTGCCCCTTTTCATACATAGGGCCTTTCAGAAATGCATGGGTGGCAAGAACGAGCCGAGCATCGGAGGTGTTGGACAGAGAGACGTGGTTGTATCCAATGCGCACAATTTCGCCATACTTGGCGTGCAGTGCGCTTGTATACGAATGGTATTGTCCGCGAATGACATGGTACTTGAGCGGCAGGTTAGAAAACTTGTTCAGGAGCGGCCCTGGGACCTGGGCAAGAGGAGAAAAGAATGCAGTGTGTACCAGCTGCACAAGGTACACCGAAGCAGCAAGCAGGGCGACTGTCCACAGGACAGATGAGGTTAGTAGCTCGTTGCACGCACTAGTAATCGCCATTCGTTTCAAAGAACAGTTATAAAAACTATGGTGAAGAGATGAGATGAGAAGAGGAGTGTGTGCGAGCAGAGATGGACCTAGGGATTGCCACTGCCTTTTATCAGGGCAGGAGATCATATTTGACATCAGCCAGACATGTGCGCTTACAGAGAGCGCTCCGATGTCCGTCCGAATGCTGCAGGTCCTATGCAATATCTCATTTATGAGTGCTGCAGCTCCCAAGTCCGTCATTTCGGCTAATAAATCGAAGGGTACTATACCAAGTTTAGCCTAACAGGAATTACGCAACGTGCCTAATCCTAACAAGCATCATATTCAAGCGACAGGATAGCAGGCAGCGTTTGTGTGCGCAAGATGCACCGCAATTATTTTCAAAAGCCTGTCTCTGCCAAAGAAATGATTAAGCGGCAATCACTCTTGGGATTCCTCGGAGCAGTGACAAGAAGCGATTGCGCTGGAATTTCGACCGGAGCGCCAACCTTGTCCAGCCTATGTGGCCCATACGGCGCATCTACAGGCAGCGAGAGGTCATACCTGCGCAGAATGTTTGCAAGCACCAAGTACAGTTCAAACCAGGCCAGGTTTTTCCCAATACAGATGCGAACGCCTGAACTGAACACCAGTACGTCTCTCATCCGTGCTGCCGAATCTGGACCAAGGAAGCGCTCGGGATCAAAGGTTTCCGGGTCCTTCCATAGGCGTGGGTTGCGATGGCAAGCAGAAATTGACACACAGATGTGTGAATCACTCGGAATGACGAATCCTTGAATATACGTACCACCAGTAGGTGCGCACCGTTGCAGTATGCTCGAGAACGATGGTGTTAGCCGCATTGACTCATAGATAACAGCTGTGAGATACGGCAGCCTCGATGTGGCATCGGCAAACGAAATAGTCCGGGAGGTATCGGCGAATGCGGCGCGCACTTCTCTAGTTACACGTCCGTAGATCTCCGGATAGTGCATCAGGTTCATTACAGTCCATGTAAGCATATTGCTAGTAGTATCGGACCCAGCGGTGAGCATGAGAATGATCTCTGACTGAATCTCGAGGGGTGTAAATATATTTCCAGTCTCGGGGTCTTTAGCATCGACAAGCTTCTGTAGCAAATCGACGCGCAGCGGTGCACCAGCTTCTTGGATCTGTTTCTGGCGAGTTTCGACAGTTGTGTCTGCCAGCCTTTTGATGCTAGCGCGGGAGTCTTTGTATTTCTTGAATGCCCACGGCTGTCTTGAGAGCCAAGGAACCATTCCACGGAATGCGGCAAACGTCACAGTATCGTGAATCCAGTCGACAACCTCGGTGTTTCCTTTCTGGAGAACGTTAAAGTTCCTGTCAAAGCATAGTCTGCCAATAACATCGAACCCCATGCGGAGGAATGAGTCATAGTAGTTGATACAGGCCTGCCCTCCTTGCCTTGAAATCTCAGTATCCCATGTCTTTATCAGCGAACCAACACCCGCATCCACAACCATGCCCTCAACTGCACGCATCGTATGAATTGCAAAGGCGTCTCCAATCATGCGGCGACGGAATTTGTTGACCTCAGGGTTGACCGCTGTGAAGGTATTGACGACGAACCCTTTGCTGCTGTACCCCTTATCATACATCTTCCCCTTTGGAAATGCATGGGTGGAGAGAACGAAACGGCAGTCTGCAGTGTTTGATAAGGAGACATGATCATGTCCGATTCGTACAACCTCACCATACTTGGCATGAAGTGCAGCTGAATACGAATGATACTGACCACGCACCATGCGATACTTGAGTGGAAGATTGGAGAATCTGTTCACGAGCGGCCCAGGGATATTGGAAAGTGGTGAGAAAAATGCCAAGTAAATTAGCTGTGCCATGTATATTGCAGCAGCCAGCAAAAGCACTGGCCAGATGGATAGCTTCTCAGGATGTATGTTGAATATGTTGTCTAAATAGTCGGCAGTCATTGAAAATGAGAATTATGATATGGGCGTTGGAAAAGAGGAGAGATAGAGTGAGGGAGCTGGGGGTGCATTTAAGACGAGCCCAACCTTGACACTACCACACAACCATGCACGGCTGTGGGAGCAACTATGTCAAGTGGGAATAGTGCTATCTCAAACATTGTTCTCAGCCTTGTGGCTGGCGAAGGGTGGGTTGCATATAGTAGTGCATCGTCCTAATTGCCCAAACCAATCCCAGCCATTTACCGTTCCACTGTATGGAAGCAATTATCAATTCACGTGCCCGAGAGCGTACATCATTATGTCTGCATGCAGGGTATTGGTTTTACATACTAGAATTGCTCTGCTTGCGATGCGAGCTCGGCTGCTAGTCAGCATGGGTTGACACATCGATGATGTCCGGAATTCGTCGATCAGATAGACTTCAAAGCCATGGTGCTTGAACTTGTCGCGCCATCCCTTGCCACGAATCGGCGCATGGTGTCGGGCCATCGGCGCACTCCAATTGCCCATGATCAGCACTGGATCTGGACCGAACTTGCTCCGGAGTTTTGCGGCAAGCCTGTGGTCTGTACGGGCCTGGTTCATGAATGAATCAAGGCGCAGCTTGCGGTGAAGCGAGTACACCTTGGGACTGGTCCCGACACCCAGATGGGCCTTCCAGCGCCTCTGGTGCTGCTTGTTTGACTTAGTGGGCTGCTGCTCTGGTAACCTTCGCGCTGTCATCGTGCTGGCATAAAACGGTGCTAGGACACACCGCACAGATGCACGGCCAGCAACGTAGGCACGGAATTTTGCTGGGCTAAGGGTCCGGCAGCAGTGCTTGGAAAGCTCTGCCTCTGCTATGCGGACAGCATCTTCTGGGACTTGATCCTTTGTATCCCAACGAATCCTGTCATAATGGCGCAGCTTGAGCTCCTTATTGCGCTGCTGCCGTGTGTAGCGGTAGAGCATTTTTTCACCCTCTTTCCCATTGCTGCTATTTTTGTGCATCATGTATAGTAAATCACCCCGACCTGGATCGATGAATACACAGCAGCCTTTCAGATTCTGCAGCTCTGGCTGTGGGATTTGGTGGATATAGTGACAGTCAGCTGTAGCATCGCCTCCTGCATCACCACCTCCTGCAGCATCGCCTATAGCATTGCCTCCCGCAGCATCGTCTCCTGCAGCATCAGCCTTGGATACCTTGTCTTGCAACAAAATGCATATCGTTATACCATCTGTTGTTGCCATTCCGTGGAATTTTCTATCATCATGCGCCTTAAATGGCTTTGATGTTAAATCTGCGACCCGGCCCCACACATCCCACACAGATTGTGTGATCCCTTGGACCGGGTCGTGTGCACAGACTGGGGGTGCTGATGCATATGCATTGTTAAGTGCTGCAACAGTGTCTGCTGCTGCTGCCCTCTTTGCTGCGTTGATCTTGGTAACCTCCTCACGTGTTTTCGAAATAAACACCTGCTTGATTATTTGCTTGTCTAAGCGCACATGGCCTGGGATCCATGATGTCCGCAGAGGCAGGCATTGGGGGGAGACTTGCCAAGCTGCTCATTCTCAATAAGCTGGCATAAGCGAATATATGCACGCAGATGCTTAAGTGGATTTGCCTTGGCATCATAGTATCGGCTGTCTTTGGCGAATCTGTACTTGGCATCATAGGCATTAAGGACTGGTGCCAGCTTGTTGTAGATTGCAAGCATCGGTAGGGTGAGCACACTGAGATCAGGGTGCCTAGAGGCAACTGCCTGGCGGAGCTTCTGTGCAGGTGTATAAATACACACTTGACATGCGTTATTGAACTCAGCCTTGGACACATTGCCCATTGTACTGTGCAGTGTGTTTTTGCGGCTGCAAATATCAATCAATTTGGCCAGAATCCGCTGTAGGCAAGTGCCATAGTGCAACACAATGTTGCTCTTGTATGCTGTCATCAGCTCGGCATCCACGTATGTTGCTACTTGATTCATTTCACGTACACCATGTAGCTCGATATCGCCATTATGCAATAGATAATCATAAATATGGTATCTAACTACATCACCGAAATCTGCGCTCGACAGTTCTGACCTGTCCTTCCAGTTGACGAAATCCTCGGCAGACATGGCTGCCTTTGCCTTCAAATTGTGATATATAAATAAATAAATTGAATGAAAGATTCCCTTTTTCACAAATATTGCAGGGTCAAAAGCATCATCGTCAGCTAGTTGATGGAGTAATATCCATCGTGCAAGCATGTATGTATGCTCTTTGATGATATTGACGCTGTGTACAAATTGCTCTAGGCGGGGCAACATAGAATCACGGAAGCCAATACCACCAAGTGATGTCTTTATGACAGTAGTGCTGCGGGTAATATTCATTTGAGAAATTCAATAGGCAAGTAAGAAGAGAAATGATGCTGTTCAGCTTTGCTTTATTGCGTATGCATAGCATTAAGAACTTTTTATTAAAAATGATCTGGCTTGCATGGTTCTTGGGGCCCTTAGCACTGATACAGTCTCTTGAATCAGTCTATACAGACTGGATCCATTGTGGCCCAAATACTACTGCTTACGCATGTTCATAAGACAAATTAATTTGTAAAATAAACCCACAAATATTGCATGACCGCTAGAAGAGCTATATGGCCTTATTCAATAGGTGCTCATAAATAAATATCCTGAGTGTTGCGCAGCCGGTGATGACCGCCATGGTGATGCCATGGAAGTTATCAGGCCGACCGACAATGAGAGCAGCTCTTGCGTTGAACCAATGGAGATATCTAGTGGAGACCTGTGACCACTACAATACCAGCTTGTCACCCTGGTTTCACCGATGAGGTCAGATGCCACACAAGATAAAAAGGAGTTTACAGAGCAAGTCACTCAAACCCGTGTTGAAGCTTAAGAGTTTTATGTTTTAACCAACTAAAAAGGTTTTACCGGACAGTTGGACATTTTTTGGACTATAAAATCCTATATATAGGTAAAAGATTGTGCGTTAGAGACGGTCCAGTGATCAAGCCGCAGCAAGAGTAATGCTGACGCAGCAGTTGTCTTTTGGATTCCTCGGACCGGTAACGATAAATGAAGCGGCTGGGATCTCGACCGGAACACCAAGCCTGTTCAGTCTGTGAGGGCCATATGGGGCGTCCTCGGGCAGCGAGAAGTTGTACCTGCGCAGAATGTTGGCAAGAACCGTATAGATCTCAACCCAGGCGAGGTTTTGTCCGATACAGACCCGAACACCCGAGCTGAAAGTCAGCACATCCTTCAACTTCTCAGCTAAGTCGGTGCCAAGAAAACGCTCTGGGTCGAACACATTGGGGTTATCCCAAGTCCGCGGATTGCGCTGACAGGCAAAAACAGATATGCATATTTGTGCGTCCTTCGGGATGTGATGGCCTTGGATCGTTGCCCCATCAGCCGGAAGCTGGCGTGGTAGCAAGCCAGACACGGATGGATTCAATCGCATAGCCTCGTGGATTACTGCTGAGAGATAGGGCAGCTTGGATTTAGCGTCATTAAACGAAATCGTTTGCGAGGCATCAGGGAATACACTGCGTACCTCCTCCGTTGCCCGCCTGTAGACACCAGGGTTGTGGAGCAGATGTGTAAGCGTATACGACAGCGTGTTGCTGGTGGTGTCTGTTCCAGCAATCAGCATCAGTCCAACTTCAGATACGAGGTTATCTCCATCGAGAATCTGGCCCGTCGCCGGATCGCTGGCATCAATCATCTTTTGCAGGATGTCAACCCGTGGTGGGGCACCTGTCGTTTCAATAAGCTGTCTGCGCATCCTGATTGCGCCGCCAATGAAGTCTAAAAGTGATTGCGCAGACTTCTTCAGCTTTGGGAATAGCCATGGAACCCGGTTGACAAATGGCAGCACAGTGATTATTGACTTCAAGTGCATCATGCTCTGCATATTGTCAATTACTTCCGTGTTGCCTGTCTGCAGAATGTTGAAGTTCTGGCCAAACCCAACCGCACCGATCACGTCAAAACCCATGCGATGTAGTGCATAAAAGTAGTTGACTCTTGCTGCTCCTCCTTGCTTGGAAATCTCGGCATCCCACGCCTTGATCAGCGAGTTAGCACCCGCACCAACAACCAGGTCCTCGATACCCCGTAGTGTGTGCATCGCAAAGGTATCTCCAATCTGGCGCCGCCGCACTTTGTTGAACTCTGGATCAACAGTCGAGAATGAGTTCTGCTTTGTCAGCTGGCCCTTGGTATACGCCACTCCCTTCTTAAACCCGTGGGTGGCAAGGACAAGCCGTGTATCCGATGTGTTGGACAGGGACACGTAGCTGGCGCCGATGCGCACAATCTCGCCGTATTTCGCATGCAGCTCTGTCGAATATGCGTGGTACTGGCCGGTCATAACTTTGAACAGCAGCGGCAGACTGGAAAACTTGTTTATGACCGGACCAGGTATACTCGAGAGCGGCGAGAAGAATGCGTGCCTGATAGCAGACGCTACATAAATAGCAATGGCCAATGCTGCTACTGGGGCGATCAGAGACGACGAGATTGCCTGGTAATCCATATCGAATAGCATGGTGAAATATGAGCCAAGGGTGGTTAGAGAAAATAAGTGGTGGAGGAGTCGAAAGGAAGGAAAGGCACACTAATAGCCGCGGCACCCTTTGGCGTTTCTAGTCAAGACAGTTTACTGCTGGCAACAGCGAGCAACAATTTCACATGTGTGTACTTGAACAATGGTCACGCCGCAAAAATACCATTTTCAGTAGTTTATAGTGCCGGCGGTGCTCCGGAAATTTGCCTACGCACAAGGGGTGGCCCCTGTTTGTCAAACCAGCAGCAATTAACGGACATGCTGGCTAATAAATCGCCGTATGGTCTGAGGCTTCAAGACAACATTTATTGATGCAAACACGCTATGCTTTGGCATGCGAAATCTTGACCCAGCAGTTGTCCTTCGGATTTACAGGAGATGTGACAATAAACGATTCGCCAGGAATCTCGGCCGGAACTCCCTTGTCGCTGAGCTTGTGTGGGCCATACGGCGCATTCTCGGGCAATTCAAAATCGTACCTGCGCAAGACATTGGCAAGAACGGTGTAGAGCTCAACCCAGGCAAGGTTACGGCCGATACAAACTCGAACACCCGAGCTGAATGTCAGCACATCCTTCAATCTTTCGGTAACGTCAGGGCCAAGGAAGCGCTCGGGGTCAAACACCTCCGGGTTCTTCCACATCTGAGGGTTGTGCTGGCAAGCAGTAATAGTAATGCAGATCTGTGTACCAGCTGGGATGTGGTGTCCCTGAATTGTTGCACCCTCTGCCGGAACGCAGCGTGGAAGGAAGCCACCAACGGACGGATTGATGCGCATGGTCTCATGGATGACTGCTGAGAGATACGGGAGCTTGGACCTGGCCTCATTAAACGAAATTGTTTGCGAGGTGTCCGGGAATGTTGTGCGTATTTCCTCAGTGACGCGGCGGTACACCTCCGGGTAGTGCATCAGCTGCATCATAACCCATGACAGCGTGTTGCTGGTGGTGTCAGTGCCAGCAATGAGCATCAGGAAGATCTCCGAAATCAAGCTCTCATTGCCGAGGATCTCGCCTGTGACCGGGTCCTTGGCATCAACCATCTTTTGCAACACGTCGATCCGCGGTGGCTTGCCAGTCTCGCTGACCAGCTTCTTGCGCATGTCAATGGTATCGCGGATAAGCTGGACGATGGCCTTTGTCGACTTTTTCTTTTCCTTGAACAGCACCGGTATAGACCAGATAAACGGCAGGAGGCTGGACAGCACCTTTAGGTGGATTGAATTCTGCATGTGGTCAATGACCTCCGTGTTGCCGGTCTGCAGGATATTGAAGCTCTGGCCAAACCCAAGGGCACCGACCACATCGAAGCTGGCGCGATGGAACGAGTAGAAGTAGTTGATGCGGGCCTTGTCGCCTTGCTCTGCAAGAGCCGCGTCCCACACCTTGATCAGCGAGTTGGCACCAGCGTCAACAACCAAGTCCTCGACTGCCCGCAATGTGTGAAAGGCATAGGCATCGCCAATCTGCCGGCGGCGAACCTTGTTGAGCTCGGGGTTGGTTGTAGCAAACGAGTTTTCTTCCAGCAAAAGTCCGGTTGTATAGATCGGGCCCTTTCTAAAGCCATGGGTGGCTAGGACCAAACGCGTGTCAGATGTGTTGGACAGAGAGATGAAGTCTGCGCCAATGCGAACAACCTCGCCATACTTGATATGGAGCTGGGTAGTATACGCGTGGTAACTGCCAGTCATGGTGTGGTACCTGAGGGGAAGGTTGGAAAGCTTGTTCAGAAACGGCCCAGGAATTGTGGACAGGGGCGAAAAGAACGCACGCTTGATGGTAAGGGCAACATAGACCGCTATGGCCAGCGACACGGCTGGGAGAGCCAGCGGCGTTGAAACAGAGAGAAGTTCCGAGATCATCGTAGTGTTGGGGACGGCGTTTGGTAGACTTCTAAAGATGCAAAAGTGTAGGGCGCTGCTTGGCTATTCTAGAAAGGTGGTATATAGGCATGCTCTCTTATATACCTTGGCGCGCACTTGCAACCCTGGAGAGATGGCAAGCGCTCATGCTACTGTGAGAATAGGTGGTATATGCCGGAGCCGACGAAGATCCAAAGCGCATGTCAAAAACTCCGCCATAGATTACATCTAGGTGGCTGATTTCTACGTCGTGAGAATCGGGAGCTGTGGGGAAGGGCGGCAATACAAAGATTTTTTCGTCATTCAGCAGCATGGCGTGCCGCACAGCTGCCTGAGATTAAAGTGTATAAAATGGCTGCAGGCAACAGCAAAGGTGGACATTGGTACAGCCGAGGTGCTTCCGCAGTCCATGTCCATGAAAAAGGCGGGATGGTGAAATGCTGATCCACTGCACCGCAGATCGGCGACGACAGGTTGCGGCATTCGTGTATATCTAGATCCAGCAGGTAGCATATGCCTGCTGAAGGGATCGCTATGACCTGCAGCTAGGCAGTGGTAGTGTAGCGGAGAGTGTCAGCGACGGAGGGGCGTGTGGTGATAAGAAATGGGCGATAGGTTGGGAGTAGCATCTGTGGAGATGGCCAAGGTTCGGGTCCGCTGGGGCACTTGGATCCCGCAAGCAAAGGAATGGACGTGGTTTAGAGTCAGGCTGGCAGATAGTTCATTAGTTTCAACAGCTACATGCAGACGCAACAGTAGTAGTGGTCTAGTATTTTTCTTTGCCAAGTCCCACAAAATTTCCGGCCAAAGGCCGCCTTGCTCCATTTGGCCAGCGCCATTCCCACAATGACACCTGGTTTATAAATAAACAAGACCTGAACCCACATGGCGCGGAAATCCGGGGCGCCGATGTATCCTTTGCCCCTCTATGCGCAACCTTCCAACATGGTCAGATTCAAGCATCGGTACCTGTGCTTTGAGATCCAGTTCCACACTGCGGCTGAACAGGCGCTCGGCCATCAAAAAGCAGACCGGAAACAGCCGGCGCTGTCATCAAAAGCCATCTTCCACCTAATCAGAGATCAGATGCAGATAAACTTTGGCGACTCGGGCGCCGGCCATGTAGTAATGGGCACGCAGGTAAAATACTTTAGCTCGCGGACAAACATGGGCATTCTGAAGGTACCTCGAGACCATTACCAGATGATATGGTCAGCCCTGACGCTGACTACGCAGATCAGCCGGACTCCGTGTATGATCCGGATGTGGCATGTCTCGGGCACGATCAAAAAGTGCCAGCAGGCGGCGATTAAGGTCAATAGGAGTTTAATTGCGAAATGGCACAAGCAGCAGCAGGAGATGGCCAAGCAGGGAAGCGGTGCAGCGCTGGCGAATTCGGTCGATAGTGTGCTGACGGGGGTTCTGAAGGAGTCGGAGGCTGAGATTTCGGCGTTGGAGATGTAGTTCTTTTTCAGTTTTGGGAAATGTACTTGAGCGAAATGCGTTGTATATTTGTCTAAAGGGGTTGCAGCAATATGGATGTTACATAGCAGGGATTTCAGCATTCTCGCAGGCGGGTTCCTGGACAGGGCTGCCCTGCGCTTTGACTTTGTCAAGCGATTCGAGCGTGGATTTGAGCACACGCTGCACGAGCTTCAGTCCATCTGCAGCGATGCCGGCAGCAAGCTCTCGGTCATACGCGGGCTCTGCTGCTGCTACCTGCTCATTCTGGTCATCCAGCATCATCTCGTCCATGAGCGCCTGCAGCTGCTCCCACTGCTCGCCGATCCTCTGCGCCCGCACTGGGATCGGCTGGATGGGGCGACGGTGGTGGCGATGGTGCTTTCCGCCGCTGCGCCTCGGTTTCCGGTTTGCCCGCGATCCTGTTGACGCCCGCGACGACACGGGCTCTCTCGGCGACATCGGCGCGGGTTGGTCAAACGCAGCCTCGCCCAGCGTTGCCAAAGTGCGGCGTCTGCGCACCGGGCCATCCGGGAATTCTGCCTCTGACGCTGATGTTGCGTGTGCTGAGATAGCCACTGCATCCTGGATCCACGAGTACAGGTGGGCGCTCTTGTCGTTCTCTACACGAAAGCTCCGGCCGGTTTCCTCCTGGTGCGTTCGTGCCTCGACCACTGTGGCCATGAGCTGGCTGCGCAGATCAAGGTCGCGTGCCTTCTTTGACAGCGTGCGGTAATTGTCCAGTCGGCTGCGCATAGTCGATACCGACTCGGGTCCGTGGACCGATGTAGTCTGCGGGGCAGTGGCGTGGGAGGCCGAGCGACGACGCAAGTTCTGTGAAGCGCGGTCGATCGCGTCGGTGACAGTCTGGCTAAGACTCGATGCACGGGCTTGCGACGAGGCAAGCGTCTCTGCTAATACGCTAGATTGGGCGCGCAGATCGGCAAGCAAGGCATCGACGACTGTCGCATGCCGTGCAACATTCTTCACATAAACATCGGTCTGGTCAAGGCGCTCGAGGATCGAGTGCAACTGATTGCATGGGGTGTTGAGGCTGCGGCAATATGGACACATGGGTCTTTCGGTGGTCGCATTAGCTCCCGCAGTGAGGTGTGGACTAGAGGTATGTGGAAATGCTGGGATGCGCTGCTGTGGCAGCTGGCGGTAAGCACGAGTCATACGGGGCGACGCATTCGCTCCATCGTGCAATGTAGATGAGGTGCTCCCAACCGCAGTCGACACAATACTAGCTGTGGTTAGCTTCCGATGCAACCTGGCGCTGCTACCCGAAACAAAGTACTCAGACATGTTGCTGTCACCGGCCATGAGACGTGGAGAGCGGTATATGTTGTAGTGGTCCGTATCCCCTAGGTTATCAGCCCCACTCGAGTCGTCATCGAGGAGGACCACATCTTTGCCTGATCTCGGCTCACGGTAGGCAGGCGCATAGCGAGGTGACTGGAACCAGTGGATCTTGCGCTGGCTCGGTAGATCTAGTGCAGGCGGCTGCACCAAGGGTGGCAGATTGGCTTGCATGGGAGGTGTGGGGAGGCACGGTTTGGACACCGAACTGACTGAGCATCATCGAGACCTGGTCCTCTAGGTTGTTCAGGCGGACCTCGTCCGACACGTGTGCTTGCTGGACAGACGTCTCGCTTGGCGGCAGGTGGGTATTTGAAGTTGCAGGCTCAGCAACTCCTCCAAGCTGCTCACCAGTAGGTGACTGGGCTCCCTCGGTCTCTTCAGTTAGAATGCCCAGCGTGTTCTCGTATGGCAGGCTGTTGGTGCGGCGATGTGCAGTAGCTGTAGCAGATCCAGGTGCGTCCTCGGAGACTTCAGACAAGGACAGGCCAAGTTGCAGCGGCGAACTGAAGGAATGTGGAGCCCAGGATGCACGCTTATCCTTGGGTTTCCTATCGGGCAGAGGCGCAGGGCACTCTTGGGGCTGCAGACTGGAGTCGCCTGTTGTGTCAATACCGGGGATCTTTGGTGGTAGCAGCCGGCTGATAGAGAGGCGGATGGACATGCTTGGACGCCTGGCGTGCTCTGGTTTGCTAGCAGCAGACTGGCTTTCCTCAGCAGCATCGGGGTCATCCGTCGGCTCAGTCGCCGCTGACACGCTCGCAACACTTCTGCCAACACCAGCCTCCCTAGTATGCGCATGCGGCCGCTTGTTCTTTTTCTTCGCCGTGCGCTTCTCTTTCCTGCGCCGTGTCTCCTCTGCATGATCGCTAAATCCGCCATCGTTCGTCAGCGACTTCAGGATATCATCTGGCCGCTGCTCCAACTTTGACGACGCAGCTACTGCCACATCATCTGAGCGCACGCTGCGCGCACTGGACACATGCGACCCGGTTGTGTTGCTGCGCGGCCTCACAATGGCCTTGAGTCTGCGGCGGCGGGGCTGGCTGCCAGGCACTTTCAGTTCGCCGTCACCAGCCTGTACGCTGACTGTGTGTGTTTTGGTGTTTTTGGCCTGGACGTTTTCGAAAATGCGCGTTGGGTCGGGCACGGCGTTGGGCGAGTAGCCGTCGTATGGAATTTCGTTCTGCCATGCCAGTGAGATGTTTCCTACGTTGGCCAGGACGGTGTTCCATGCGCGCTCAATGCCCTCTTTCAGCCCCAGTGAGATTTTCACGTCGTCCTCGCTGCCAGACCGAGCACGCACATTGTTGGTGTTCTCGTCGCCGCTAAGCCGCAGCAGGGAGTGCTCAGGAATAGTAGTCCCTTCAAGAACCTGGACCTTCTGGGGCGTTGTGGGCCTGTGGAGATCCAGTGTCCCCTGATTTGGTGCTACTGCTGACGCTGGTCCACCGGCGGGTGTGGGACCGCTGCGACGGCTGTGATGATACTGTAGACATGACTACCGGGTGGAGAGCATAGAAGATAAAAATACAATTAGCATGGAAAGCAGAGGAGAAAGTGGTCAAGTGGCCTCTCTAGCCAGGCATATCGGGCATGTGAATCCTCAGGCCCACTCTGTGGCCACGGGGGTGGAGCATCTGTCGACGAAAATCCTGAGCCTTTTTTCTGGAAACCAAAAACGCCCAGGCAGTAAACAAACTAGTCGCGCATATAAGGCAAGGTCGCAAGAATCCCCCATGCATGGCCGTTTTCTGACATTGATTCTTGGAACACACGCGCGCAGTCACACTCGCGTATGCACGCACACCTAGAACGCATACCTCTTTTTCCCCGCCCAACTGCTGTGCCGGGGCCAGGTACTAGCAGCACATAAAAGTAAATGAGCGAAACACACAGGGTGGAATTGCTGGGAGCGAAGGAGAGGAATGCTGTGGCAGAAAAAGAAAAGCCTGCCAGCACACGATACAGACCTCCTGAATGAGCCCCAATGGCTTAGTGGGCGAGTGGGCGTAGCAAATGCGCAACGGGAGACAAGGGAGGGGAGCACGGGCAAACAAGGGGGAGCCAAATGAATGCTGGAAATGAAGCGGCAAATAGATGCACAGGAAGTGAAAAGTCGAAGCTTCAAACAAAAGAGAAGGAGCAAGACTGCGCGCGGGACCGCCTTTAAGTATCGGCAGCTATGAAAAGCAGTCCGAGTCTCGCTTGCTCCTCTCCCCAAAAGCATATAGGGGAGTTTGGAGGGATAGACGGCAGCCGGCCGTCTCCAAAGCACGATTGCGTTTTCATGATCGGAGCTACAGCGACGTCCAAAAACACTGTGCCTCCAGCCCAGCCAGCTGCACATTCATGTGGCGAAATCCCGCTCCAGTCCCAACCCGCAGACACTGCTGAAATCTTACAGCGACGTGGTTTCTCAGCAGGCAAATATTCAGTTTTAACCACAACAAACGCACGTGCAAAAGCACCAGCTATACAACAGTCTACTTTAGCTGGCCACGCTCACGCAGCTCGCGCTCCTCCTCTTTGGACAGCGACCAGAACGAGTCGATCTTGTTAAAGTACCACTTGCGCAGACCCGTGAAGCAGTGCGGCTTGTCGCCAAAGTCCTGGTACAGCACCATGTATGATCCGACGCCTAGCAATGGCAAGCACAATTTTAGCTAGAGATTCCTGTCCGATAGACAGCAAGAAATCGCATGATGGCGGCGTATATATGGCACATGCGCACTGGTTTAGAGCGGCGATTTACAAGACACCAAAACAAATGCAGAAATTCTCCTTACCGAACATCACGGCGTAGTTGATGACCTGCAGTCTCCGCGACAGCTTCGAGGGCGGCCCGTGTGACAAGCGCTCGATTCGCCGCCGATACACCTCCTCGAGCCGGGCATCGTCGTAGAATCCCTTGCGCCGCAGAGGCTGGCTGCCGGTTCCAGGCCGGATCGCTGGCCGTTGTGTCTGACCGTCCATGGGCTTATGTGTCTATATGTGCAGCGAAGGCAGGAGTGGTGGTGGTGGCGAATTGAAGAAAGCTTAGAGGATAAAAAAAAACAGCTACAAAATAGAGGAGCAGTGCGCAGATTTGGCCGCAAGCCAAGATTGCGGCTTCAGATCACGAACAGGCGCTAATCCGGAAGCCAGTTTGATCTGGCGTAAATCAGCAACTAATGCGGCTGTCGCTCTTGAGCCCTGCCATGCACGCGCCTTTCTCCTTTGCTCTCCTGTAAATTGACTCATTTCTCAAATACTATGTCTGCGCATAAACGGCCTGCTGGCGAGGACCCTTGGGTTGGCTAGCCCCGTCGAAGGTTCAGCGGACAAATTCGCCACATGGCCTGGAAGGCGACAGTGAAGACGAGTACGTTGAGGAGACAGCCCAGCCCACCAGCGAAATCGAGGGCCTCTACCTCGACACAGTCAGCCGGGCCAACCTTGACTTTGACTTTGAGAAGCTGTGCTCAGTGTCTCTGTCAAACAACAATGTGTATGCGTGTCTCGTCTGCGGCAAATACTACCAGGGGCGTGGCAAACAGACGCACGCATACTTCCACAGCATCAACGACGACCACCACGTATTCATCAACCTGAAGACGCTCAAGGTATACGTTCTACCAGACAATTACGAGGTCAAGGACCGGTCACTGAACGACATCAAAGCCAATGTGCAGCCGCAGTTCACAAAAGAGCTGGTGAGCAAACTGGACACGGTCAGCGAGTGCGGGTACGATCTCGGCGGCAAAAAGTTCGTGGTTGGGTTCACGGGTCTGAACAAGATAAAGTGCAATGACTACATGAACGTTGTTGTGCAGGCTCTGGCCCATGTGCCGCCGATCCGCAACGCGCTGCTGCTGATGGAGGATCTGGATGCAAAGCCGGAACTGGTGCAGCGCATGGCCGGCCTGGTGCGCAAGATGTGGCATGCGCGGCCGTTCAAATCGCATACAAGCCCGCATGAATTCGTCCAGGAGGTTGTTACGCGGTCAAAGAAGCGCTTCAGGCTGGATGCGCAGGGCGACGCATTCGAGTTTCTGATGTGGCTGCTCAACACGCTGCATATGGATCTGGGTGGATCGAAGAAACGCGGCAGCAGCGTAGTCTACAGCACATTCCAGGGCGAAGTCGAGGTCGAGACGCAGCTGATGGACAATGAAACACAAATGAGCAAGAGCGAGGCCAATACAGCAGCCCTGGATGCGTCCAAAGAAGTGCAGCGCATCAAAGTGCCGTTTCTGACGCTTTCCCTTGAGCTACCGCCCAAGCCATTGTTTACTGGCGACGACGACGACAGTCGGGTCAACATCCCGCAGATCGCGCTAACCACGCTTTTGCACCGCTACGACGGCTCAACCGTGGTGGAGCTCAATGGGTCGGCAAGGCGCTACCAGCTGCGGAGGTTGCCCAACTACATTATTTGCCATGTAAAGCGGTTCTCGAAAAACGAGTTCACAGTGGAAAAGAACCCGACTGTGGTGAACTTCCCTATCCGCAATGTCTCGTTTGGCGACCTGCTGCCTGCCGATGCGCAGGCGCGGCTAAAGGCAAAGGGGCAAGCGGGAACATACGACCTGATTGCCAATATTTGCCATGACGGACAGCCGGCAGCGTCGGGCAGCGGGCCAGTGCCGCAGCACCCGAGCGTAGGGGGCTCGGGTAGTGATGATGCGGTCCTGGCAGAGAGCCAGTACTTGGTGTACTTGCGGCATGCGGCGACCGACCAGTGGTACCAGTCGCGCGACCTGCAGATGGAGCGGATCATGCCGCAGATGATCTTTTTGTCAGACACGTACATCCAGATATGGCAGCGAAATGGCATCTAGCTGCGATGTATCCTAGGTTATAATGCAGTGATGTATACAGAATGCTGGCAGTTACCCGGATATGGTGAAGTTAATAGACATGCATATAGTGCGCCCATTTACATCAGCCGAGGGTGGCTGTAATGTTAATGCATGAACATCCGGAATTTGCCTCCCTTTGGTCATCCCGAGCATAGCACGCCACACAAGATATGCGATGCCTCGGGGAAGAAAGTCACCCCCGCCTAGGCATGTATGTTGAGGTATTTTATGTGACCCAGGCTGTTGCTTGCGTCCGAAGTCGCAGTAGCAAATAAAGGAATAAGGGATTGCGCACCTGCCGTGCCGGCATTCAAGCTGTTGACCTCCCTACAGCAGAGATGGGGAGAGCAAAATTGGCGCCGGGCAGTATCGACAGAGCCAGGAAAACATGCATTCTCGCTCACTGCGCGCCAGTCCTTTGCTCGCCAGTCCTTTGCTCGTCTTGGCAGTGTCTGCACCTTCGCAACCGTCACTTTCCTTCCCGTGTCCGTTCTTTTTTGCTTCTCTTTACGACCACATAATGCATTCTGACGAAGCACCTAGCAATGGGGCTTCTTTGACTCTGCAGCTAGAACCAAAACACCCAGTACAACGCGAGTTGCCAGGGACATCGCCAAAGCCAGAATCCGCCAATATGCACCAAAGCTGCTGCGACGCGAGCACAATATGTGGATGCGAATATCACAGATACCGTGGTCAGGACCGGGTACCGAAGCGGCACTCGACGCTCGTTGAAATGCGCTCCACCAGCAGCCTGGAGAAGCACGCAATGGCCGAGATCTCGGGCACCCAGAAAGAGCCATCGATAGACAGCGACATAGAGGACAGTCCCTATGCAGAGGTACGCGCGGTGGTCAGCCGACACGACGACCCAGCGACGCCCTCACTGACATTCCGCGTGTGGGCACTGGGCATACTCTTCCTGGGCATAATGGCCAGCGCCAACCAGTACTATTTTTTCCGCGACGCGCCGATCAAGCTCTCAGTAATCCTGGTGCAGGTCCTGTCGTATCCGCTGGGGCGGCTGCTGGCGTGGGCACTGCCGCATACCAGGCATACCTGGCGGGTGTTCGGGTGGGGGTTTGAATGGACGCTGAATCCAGGTCCGTTCTCGTTCAAAGAGCTGGTGCTGATAACGGTGTTTGCGAGCGCCGGCAGCTCGTCCGCGTACGCAATCGAGGTGGTGGTGATTAAGCGCAAGTGGTTTGGGGCGGGCTTTGGGTTCTGGCCCAGTGCATTTCTCTGTCTGTCGTCACAGTTGATCGGCTACGGGCTGGCGGGCGTAGCGCAGCCATTGCTGGTGCGCCCGGCGGCGATGGTGTGGCGCGAGAACCTTGTGGCATTATCGGTCCTCAACAGTTTCTTCCCGGACCGGCCCGCCGACCGGCTGTTCGGGGTGCCGCGGTGGACCCGCGCGCGGTTCTTCTGGGTGGCGTGCGGGCTGAGCGCAGTCTGGTATATCGTGCCTGGGTTTCTGTTCCCGGGCCTGTCGTCGCTGTCGCTTCTGTGCATAGCATTCCCCAACCGCCAGCTCATGCATATCATCGGCAGTGGGCGTGCGGGGCTGGGCGTCTTGTCGCTGACGCTTGACTGGAACTCCGTGTCGAATGCGTACTTGGCAGGACCGGTGTCGACACCCTTCAGTGTTGCGTGCAATATGATGGCGGGCTTTGTGCTGTTTGTGTGGGTGGCCCTGCCGGTTGTTTATTTCACCAACCTCTGGGGGTCGGCCAGTATGCCAATGTACGACTACCATCTGTACACTGAAAGTGGCGCACTGTACAACATGTCGTCGATTATCACGCCCGCTGGCGAGTTTGACGCGGAGGCATACCGCCAGACAGGACCGATCAGGATCCCTGCAGTCTATGCGCTATCGTACGGCATCGGGTTTGCTGGCCTGGCGTCATTGATTTCGTACATTGGGCTGCACCACGGCCACCAGGTGTGGATGGCGTTCCAGCAGTCGCGGGCGGAGACACTGGACATTCACGCAAAGCTGATGACGCGGTACCGTGCAATCCCGCCGTGGTGGTTCGTGGTGGTCCTGGTGGCGAGCAGTGCCATGGGGCTGGTGGCATGTCAGGCATTTGACATCGGGCTGCCGTGGTGGGGGTTCCTTTTGTCGCTTGCGATTCCGGTGGTGTTCACAATCCCGGTCGGGTACATCCAGGCGACCACCAATATCCAGCCCGGCCTGAACATCATCACCGAGATGCTGATTGGGTTTATTCTGCCGGGACGGCCCGTGGCCAACATGGTGTTTAAGGTGTTTGGGTACATCACGACCACGCAGAGCCTGAGCCTGGTCAGCGACTTGAAGCTCGGCCACTACGCCAAGATCCCGCCCCGCCACATGTTCATCGTGCAGCTAACATCGACTGTTATTGCGGTGCTGCTTGAGCTTCTGGTCACATACCGGCTTCTGGACAGCGTGCCGGGCCTCTGCAGCGGCTACCCGTGGTCATGCCGCAGCGCCAGCGTATTCTACAATGCCAGCATCCTGTATGGTGCAATCGGCCCCGCCAAAATGTTCCTTGGATCGTCCTACCGGGTGCTGTTCTGGGGCTTTCTCGTCGGCCTGTTATTGCCGGTGCCTGTGCATTTCTTGCAGCGGCGCTACCATCGTTGCCGCTGGCTGCAGAAGGTGCACGTGCCGGTGGTCCTTAATTTCCTGGGCCTGATTCCCGTCATCTCGCCGCTGTGGGTGCCAGCGTGGTTCCTGGTCAACTTTGGCATCAACTACGTGGTGCGCAAGTATCGGCCTGCGTGGCACCACCACTATAGCTACGCGCTGTCGGCGGCGCTGGACACGGGCATCCTGGTGACCGGGCTGGTCATGAACTTTGCCCTGGAGCCGGTTGCCGACAGGATCGTGTGGTGGGGCAGCCAGATCGATCAATGTCCGCTGGCCCGGCGGCCGTGGATCCAGCTGGCCCAGGAGACGAATACTTGACGGACCGCCGTTTTTAATCATTAATTGTACAGTATATTGCAGTCTTGGATTGCCAGAAAGGGGATATCGTACCGGATGGTACCATTGCAAGATGCCCAACATTTCGCGTACCAGTTTGCTCTTTGCGCAAGAAGGGTTGCACAGGACCATTAGCCTTTTTGCTGCAAGTCCATCGCTATAGAATCTTCTGGTTGCAGGCTAGACTGTTGACTCATGGCCGGTTCTGGGGTGAGGTGATTTTCTTTGAGCGTGTCTGAGGAAGCCAGTCCAGCTCCAGTCCGGCTCCATTCTCATTTATTTATTTTTTACAATGCACCAGCAGGGTTCACGCAGCACTTGATGCTTGGCTGTTGATCTTTTTCCCGCCAATGTCACTCCTATGCCAACTTTTTTGCTTCGTTTGGGGGTGGAGCAGGCATCCCTTGTTTGTAGTGGCCCGTAGGATGTGTGGGCTAATGCACCCGGCTGACACAGTCCCGTCCGGATAAATACAGGCGGAGGGGAGGGCTGGTATAAAAGGCAGGCGATGTCCATCCCGGTCTCCAGCCCCTGCTCCTTTCGTTTTTCAGCACGGTTCGCCAACACAATTTCCTTCCCCTGGACCTTTTCATCAACGCACATGGCGCAGCAAGCCGACACATCGGCGGAGCACAGGGCTCCGCCATCGACGCAGCCGTCAATCAGCGAGAAGGCCGCGGACTCGGCTAGCAAGGTGGAGGCCATGGACGACAGTCTGCCGGAGCTGCAGGGCAAGCTCGAGCTAACAGAAGCCGAGCAGGCGACCTACAAGCGGTACCTGCGCAAGACGGACCTGCGCCTGGCGCTCTTCATCTGCTGCGGCTACATGTTCAGTTTCCTGAACCGGGTAGCGCTAAGCCAATCGAAGCCGGTCGGGGTGGTTGCGGACATGCACCTGGACGACGTGACGGTGCCGCTGTCGATATTCTACGTGTCGTATCTGATCTTCCAAGTCCCCAGCAATATCGTTCTGAAGCACGTGCGGCCGAGCCTCTGGCTTTCGTTTCTGGCGGCGGCCTGGTCGGTGACGGGCGCACTGGGGGCATTGGCGAAAAGCAAGGGCGGGATTATCGCGGTGCGGTTCTGCATTGGCATGTTCGAGGCCGGGTTTACGTCGGGGGTGATTGCGGTGTATGCGTCGTGGTATCCGCGCGACCAGCTGAGCCGGCGGCTCGGATGGATGTACAGCTCGGCGTCGTTGGCCAGCATGTGGGCGGGGCCGGCGGCGGCCGGACTGGGCAGCATCAAGTCGGATGTGCTGCGGCCGTACCAGATCCTGTTTATATTCTACGGATGCTCGTCGCTGGTGTGGAGTGTTGTGGCGTTCTTTATGGTTAAGGATTACCCAGCCACGTGCAGCTTCCTGGATGGGGACGAGAAGGCGGTGATCAGAAAGATCATGGTGCAGCAGGGCACTTTGGCCAAGACCGGCGAGTTCAGCCGGCGCCAGCTCTACCGGTCGTTGCTGGACTGGCGGATCTGGGCCTGGTCGGTGATCGGCTTTTCCGGCAATATCACAGCCAACACCGGGCCGCTGTTCGCGCCCATCTTCACGGTCGAAATGGGATTCGGGCGAATCGCCGGCCAGGGCATGTCGGCGATTCCCAACTTTGTCAGCTTCCTGGTATCGTTCTTCTCGGGCACCCTGGCGCAATGGGCCGGCAGCAGCAGCGTATTGCTGGTGTATGCGCAGATTCTCAATATTGTCGGCTTGGTGATGGCCGTGGCCACGACGCAGAGCGCCGTAAGGTTTGTTGGCCTGTGCATTTTCAACGGCGCCAGCATTCTGGTCGTGCCCACGGCGCCCGGCTGGGCCGTGTCGAATCAATCGGGAACTACAAAGACCTCGGTGGCCGCCGCCATGGTCTCGGCCATTGGCGCATTTGGCGGATTCGCCGCCTCGTATATGTATCCGGGCAGAGATGCGCCGCGGTACCTGGCCGGACATGTAGCAAATATCGCCGTATGTGCGTTTGTCGCCGTAGCCACCCTGGCCATGCGCGTGTCGCTGCAGACTTCCAATCGCAGGCGCGAGAAGAACCCACAGGATATCTCGCAGATGACGTCCGAGGAGATTGCGGATCTGGGCGACCGCCACCCGAACTTCCGGTACCGGCTGTAATTTTCTTTGTGAAAAGCAGCTGTCGCAACTTGTTAATACGTCTTTTTATTTTTTTTATTTCATATCAGCAAGCAGTGGCCACAATGCGTCGTCCGAGCCAAGCACAAACGACAGCGAGGCCCTCTGGTAGTAGTCGGGCGCAATGTTCTCGATGTTATCGATGATAGTGTCGAGCAGATGGGCTCTGCCAGCCATCACGCCCTTGCCAGAAAAGTTAACGTGGGTGACATGTACATGGAAATGGTAGTACGACGGCTGGTAATGCACAAACATACGCAGCTGGTCTTGCGCGACGCCATAGACGGAGTCCACGGCGGCGCCAACTTTCTCCCGTATATTGCGCAGCATCGGCAGGTGCTCCGGCCGCAGATCGCGCAGCGACCGGATGTCCTTGCGCCGCACAATCACCACCAAGTACAAGCTCTCCACGCCCACGCCGTCCCACTTGAAGTCCGGCAACACCACAAACCCCGTGTCCCGGTCGCTGTCCTCTACCACCACGCGCTCGCGCTCCGCCGAGCCGTCCAGGATATTGTACACCCACTGGATGCGCGACTTTGGCTCGTTGTCAATATACGGCCTGGTCACGGCCCCGTAGATCTCAGCTGTCTCTTTAATCCACATGTACTGCTGGCGGCGGTACTTGTCGATGTGTTTTTGCTGCGCCGGATAGATCAGCGAGACGCGGACGTCTGGAGAGAGCGCATGGGAGGTGCCTGTTGCCGACGCGTAGATGTCATTCAGGGCGCCCGAGTCCAGGGTCAGCTGTGGCAGCAGCACAGTGGAGGGGCGGAGGGCAAGGGGGGAGATGGCAGTGCGTTCGAGTGTCAAGACGGCGGCGGAGGAGCCGGCAACGGGCGTGTCGCTGGCGATTGAGCCCAGCAGCCAGACAGTCTTGGTGGCTGGGTCCTCGTTCAGGACCTCGTGCAGGCGGAACTGGCGCACCAGTGCTTCGATGTCGCTGACGGCAGTTGTAGGAGAAGCCATGGGTGAAGCAGAATAGAGTCCGAAGAGAAGGAGCTGTTTGTTGCGAGTATGGAGCTTGAGAAGACCGGGCAGCCTGCATCGACCCATCTGTCGGGGTGTGGCATCAACCGACTGCCTTATGGCCAAAAAAAAACTGTATTGTAGTGTATGGGCACGTGAGACTAGCCACGAGGAACAAAGCACACCCCAGGACGCACAGATAAAAGGCCGTATGTGACAGAGATACAGATTGTTTCACAGGTTTATTCTTTTACTCAAAATACAAACACGTCAGTATTGTTGAGGATGTGTGTTGTATATGAGAATAGCTAGAGTCTAGTCGTTTTTGGCGCCCTTGCGTGCAGCAGATCCCGCGCGGCTGCTGGCGCTTGCCGCCTGGTCCTCGTCATCGGAGAACGCGGGGGCTTCAAACAGCGTGTCGGCCTTGCGCACATGCTCCTCATCAGAGTCCTCGTCATCGTCCACCACAAACCGCACGTCATCGGCCGACACGTCCTTTGGGTTCTGCCCAATGACGTCAAGCTCCAGATCCTCGCCCATGCGCGGGTTATCGAACGAGTCGCGCATATCGCCGGCCTGGTCGCGCTGCATAGCCTCTTCCTCGTCGCCCGCCAGCTCCTCGAGGCCAAAGCGGTAGTTTTGGGTGGTGGGGCGCCACCAGAACAGAATGGTGGCCAGCACGGCGAAGTACTCGAGGTTGAGCCAGCCGTCAGTCCAGAACCACCGCCACTTCCATGTGCGGTCAGCCAGCTCCGGGCGCGAATAAAACACGGTATACATGACGTTCAACACGAAGTACACAAACAGCAGAATCAGCGACAGCATCAGCAGCCGCCACAGCCGGTTGTACATGGCCAGCTTGTATGACTGCTGGCGGTCGATCAGCATATGCGTGGTGGCGATGATTGCGCTCAGCGTCCACACGTAGAACAGAGTCATGGTGAATGACAGCGGCACCACATACACCAGCCCCAGTGGACCCGCGTCGTGCGGGTCACGGAACACAATCCCGGCTCCGTACAGACACCCGGCGCCAAAGTGGGCGCCAGCCAGCAGGGTGCACCGGATCATAGCCTTGCCCAGCGACGGCCGCACCACCCCCCACCCCAGCGCTACCACCAGCAGCATGAAGAACGACAGGCTGTTGCGGCCCGCATCCACCACCACCAGCGCGACCGAGTACGCCAGCGACGGCGCCCCATGGGCATTGTAGTGCTGCCAGAAGCCAAAGTTCAGGCCCATATCCACCGCCATCAGACACACCAGTGCAAACAGCCGGTTCTGCACTGGCAAAACTTCGCTCCACACGCGCCACGACATAAACGCCCACACCAAGGCAATCAGAATATACGCGCCCATCAGCACCGCATACACATGCACCTTCGGGTATTCGCCCGCCGGCAGCTGCCCGTGGGCATTGGTCCAGTCGGCGCGGGCCGTGAAGTCGTGGGTGCTGGCTGCATCCACGCAGTAGTATCCGGTGGCATTGATTAGATACGTCACCTTCAGTGTTCCGTCGCTCTTCCAGTCCAGCTGCGCTCCCTCCACGAAGCTCGTGCGCGCCTTGCTCCGCCACGCCGTGTCATCTGAGCCATTATGCGCATACCCCCACTCCTTCGCCTCCAGCGCCGTGTACCCGACGCCAGCCCGGCTCAGCTTCACATAGTCGGCGTAGATCGTCGACTTGAACTTGCGCAGAGTGCCTGCCGAGTCGCGGTAGTTCCACCAGCGGCCGCCCGCGGTCCACCTCGCCACACAGCTCCATGTTGATTGTCTCGTCATTGCACACCGTGAACCGACGACCCCCGTCGTCAGGTTTCCCGAGTCGTCCGAATCCGCTGCCAGGTCAGACGAGTCGTCAGCTACCACCTTGCCGTCATTCACCGTCAGCCCGATCCACTCGCTGTCCGAGTAGCTGAACACCGCCACTGCGATATCCGAGGGCGGCTCCGGCGGAAACTCGATCTCCAGCCGCGACCGCTGCCCGTTCCGCTCGGTTGTTGTGCCGTACACGCCAGCACACTTGAACCCGTCGCCCACCTCGTGTGTCAGGATCCCGTACTCGCCTGCCACCGGCTGCCCCCACATCAAAAGCCCGCTTACCACCAGTCCGAGCACGCCTGTGCCTTTGAGTCCCAGCATTGCTTGTTGATTAGATGGTCCCCGCCCGCGCAACTTGAATTTGAGGGTGGAAAAAATAAAAATAAAAGTTCTGGAAGAAGAAAGCGTTGCGGCTTTCTGCCATGCTTCCCCGCTGATTTCCTGGCGCCACGCTGTGCAACGTCACCCAAATGCCCCGCCTCTCTCGCCCATGCAACCCCAGCTCCTGGTCCCTGTCTGGCTTTCGCTGATCAGATCGGCCTGCTTGACTCGTCGCTCCCCTATCACCCCAGCACATGAGGTCTGCAATTCTGCCACTCCGTCGCCCTCGTGGAATCCCCCGCCCCCCTGACGTCGTCAGCCAAGCGCTCGTCCTCCAAGGCTGTGTTCTCGAAACGCTTGGCCGAATTTTCGCTTACATACACTCTTCCCCCCACACCCGTCTTGCCCGCCATTTCCGACGCGTGACCATCAAAGGAACAGCCATTCCTCCAACCAACCCTTCCAGCCGTCACATTTCGCCCGCTCGTCACGATACCCATTCTCACCTGTATTCGCCGGCAATCAATACCTGTTTCTCCTCCTCTTGTGTCGCCGAGCAAACCGCAGGTCTTTTTCTGCCTGCACAAACCTCGCTCCCCAGGGACCTGGGGTCTTTTGACAATGCGCCATCTTTTTCACCCGACTCTGACAACGGCTACTTTCCCTCTCTCCGTCCAACTGCTTTTTGTACTATAAAGACGCGTATATGGCTGGCGCAGAAACCATCATCCCAATCCTGGGCAGTGTCCTCCTGCTGGCCCTGTTTATCGCTGCATACATTAAGACCGAAAAATCGGAGCGCACCCGTATCTTGTGCTGCCTCGGTCCTGCGGAACATGAAAACGAGATCCACCAAAGTCGCCCGGGCATGACTGAGCGCACGTCCCCACGGTGCCGCGACGATGCAGATAATCTCAGCGGATGCACTTTGGCGCCAGACACTGCCAGTCCGCCTGCCATCCGCAACAGCCATGTTGTCCAAGTAGATAGGCCGCGGACACCATCGTACGTCTACATGGTCATGATATGATATCCCCCGGGATCTTGTTAACTGTATTTACCTAATCCCCTGCTGCGCATTAGCTCCATTGGAGGGGATGCCCCCCTATGCACGCTTGGTCGACATCGTGCTTTTTCTGGCACCAGGCCAGGATGTGCAGAACCTTCTATACGGCAACTCATGTGCCACCTTCCCTCAGCTCCCGTTGAAAAAATAATTTTCGATGACTTCACTGCTGCTCATCAAGTCCACAACATAGTTCCTCTGAGCAGGGCGCCTTTCAAGCCACTTTTACTCCACTCTTGATATCACTAATACTTACTATTCTTCCTTCTGAATGAACCCAGTGTATGCCGGCCTCGGTGTCGTTGCTGCCTCCATTACTGCTATTCTTCTCTGCTGCTTCTTGCCCTCCACTTTGGCCCAGCGGCTTAAAGACAGAAAGCGACGCCCTTGCCAATGAAGAGCTGAGCTGCTGCTTCCCACACCAACGTGCCTCTCAGCAGAGCCACCACACTGACCCCGCCCCTGAACGCCAGCAGCAATGTCGATAATGACAACTGGAGCATACGTACGCTGTCTGCGCCACAGCCACCGCCGGCTGCCAGAGTTCATGATCCGCGGATTGTCGTCGATAACCAGAGCTTTGGCATCTCCAGCACCCTGTGAGCTCCCCCCATGTCCATTTCTAAACCTTATTTGCTTTGGATAACATAAAATCGCTACAGGCTTCCCCCTTTCAAAGCACTGTCAGAGGCCCATGCATGTCCATGCACAAAGCGGCCTGTCAAAAAAAACCAAAAGGGGGCCAATTACTCAGCCAACACACTCGCCAATGGCTACATCCACATTTGTATGCTCCACAACCATATTGAACCAGGATATATAGAAAACGTTGGCGGACAGATCTGAATGTGATCTAATTGCTGCATCGCATGAGACTACGCCTCCAGCCGGCCGCAGCTAGCCGTGACTCGCTCTTCCCAGAGACCATCATCGGCCAGTCATGCCATGCACCTCCTGCCTCCGCCAGAAGACAGATTGAGTAGGAGCTGCCCAGCACGCTTATTTCCGCAGGAACAAGCAGGACCACTTTTGGAAACCTGCCGAGCAACTCTCATGATCCCAATCCTTGGCCAGGTCCGTCCCATTGGAGAGGTATGGTTCGGAGAACGCCCGTCGACCGTGACTTTGCCTAAAAAATGCCACGCCCAAAGAGCTGCTTGTAACTTCATGCAGATCACTATTTTCCTCTCCGTTTATTCGCTTCTGTGCCATGTCCGACAACCACTCGACCCAGCTCGATTTGCGCCTGAAGCCTACAAAGCCATTACGAAAAGACAGATGTCCCCCAAAAGAAACAAAAACAGCTGATAGCCATCCTCCCTTGTGATGCTTGTATAAGTTACCTTCCACGGGCCATGCTCCTTTGCTTTTCTACTCGAACCACTTTTTAACACTGCTTGACTCCACTCACTCTCTTTTTATACTTTTAAGCCCCCTTACAAGATGCCATTCACTTTGCTGCGTCTACGCCTGTTCCGGCGGCACAGGCTGCGTGCCAGCCAGAAGAAGCTCATGCAAGCTGTGCCGAGGAGAGAGGAAATGCTTGTATTGGAGCCCATATCGCTACCGATAGACTTTGACCAGCAGTCAATTGTTGACGGTTGGGACACGGCGACACTCGTTGAAATGTGGCCGGAACCAAGATCGAGCTCAAGGCAATAATGCGTGGTGTATATATATAATTCCAACCACCAATTTGCTGCTAAGGCTTCTACTAGAATCATGGCTATTTGCCATGGACCATTCTGCCCTGCTCTCCCTCCATTTACCACTTACAGATTTCCTAATTGCATTATATTGAATGACATTTCATACTTTACAAACCGCACGCTGTGTGTATCTATCTGCTGCTAACCTGTGGCAACTCCATTGGCGGCTACTGGTTGGACCCATTTATAGCATTCAGATGAGTTGCCGTGCATATAACCAATACTACTTGCGTTTGGTTACACATACTCCTATTTAGTCAGCTACTCTTGATATCAAAAGGCACACAGGTATTACTAGAACCATACACTTCTCTCGTTCAGACATTTGTGGATGCGTTGGACTTTTTATATCAATATCAAACAAATAACCTGTCCAAGATAATCACAGTATTAAGAATTAGCGAATGTCCAAACTGGGCTAGGCTAGAATACATCGCAATAGCCTCCATCAACCGCCTTGGATGGGAAGTGGTGGCCGACAAACCACAAGATGTAGATAACAAAGCTGAACAGAATCGCCAGGCAGTCGAACACGTAGAACGCCCACTCGGCACTGTATATCTTTCCACCGTACCCGTCAGCAAACTCTGCCACACGGTAGATGGATCGGACGTAGAGCAGAATAGTGGTGGCGATAATAACACGCATCAGCTTAATCTTGGCCCCCTTGTCTGTCATGTCCTTGGGCCCCGCGCTGACCACATACGCAGCCGAGCGGTGGACGTAAATGGTAATTGCAAGGAAGCAGGCAAAGAAAATAAGCTGGATCGCCAGGCCAAACAGGGCAATGTACTTTCCCGCATTGCGTGTGCTCTCTGTTGCCTGCATGCTGCCGCCGGTCGCCTGGATCAGGAACGAGAATATGTCGCTGCCAAAGAAGAACCATGTGATGAACTTGGGCTTGAGCCAGAACCGGTGTGCCGTCACGTTTGAGCGGCGCACGAACCTCGCCAATTGTCTTGTAGTTGAACAGCGCCAGCGCATTGGGCGGTAGCAGCAGACACAGGTTCATGAAGACAAACAAGCCCAAGGATGTGTGGTAGATGAGGACGTTACGGACGATGTACCCGACGCTCTCTGCTACTGCGGTGCCGACCAAGATGTACATCCATTTCGGCGCGTTGTAGTGGATTGTCTGCCAGATGTGGATTGCAGCGATAATAGCAAATAGACCTGCTGCTGCTCCAGGCACACCGTTGACAGGGTGGTAGTCGAAAAGGTCTTGAAGTGTGTATGCCATTGTAGAAAAGCTAGATGTACAATCTTGAAGCTGTCAGTGGATGAGTGAGGATATGTGGGGCTGATGGAAGCTATATCGACTTCTTATATACTACATATTTTCCACACTTCTGGCCGCAGTCGTGTACCAGCGGTAGAACAAAGAAAGTGGAAGCAATTACCTGCTGCTGTTGCCAAGATTGCTAAGCAAAGTTCCCAAGAACTCACAGGAAATGCCGCACCGCTTTTCTATTATCCAAGAGCCACGGTGTGCCAAGATCATCGCCTTGACAAAATACCAAGATGGTGCGGAAAAACTGGAGCTGATCTGCTTGGCGCCTTCTGAAATTGGATCACATACAGTCCATGTGTATGGGGCTGCTGGGGGAGGGGATTGCAAGGTCTTGGCAAAGACCCCAAGTCTGCATATGCAAAACCACAGAAAGTTCCACTGTATCCTGCCAAGCTCGCCGATTAGGTAAAAGCCACGACTGTACTAGACATCAGTCACACTGGCCAAACAAGTGAAAACAGGGATTGCTCAAACAAGCATGTTCCCAGAACATTCAGTCAGTGTTGGCACAAGGCTAACAATTATTATGTAAACACAATATTGAGTTTACTTCAATATTGACTTTGGCATAACGCATGCTTGTCATCTCAGGCAGCACTCACTCCAGCTTGCTCCACATCACATAATGAGTGGCTTTTCTCATTGTTGGCTCGGAGTAGGCTCTGGACTTGTAGGGAAAGCCTCTTTCTCAAAGCAGGTAGTTTTGCAGTGGTCCCATCATTTCGGATCGGTAAAGACTCGCGTTCTAGCATGTGTTCTTTGGCCACTCACGTGCAACTGAAGTCAGGCACACTCTTCATTTCTCTGCACCCTTCCTTCGCTTTTATTGCCATAGCTACGAACAGATGGGTCGAACCTGCAAAGAAGCCCGCAGCCGCGCAGGCTATATATTTCTCGCAGGTACGGCAGCGCACAGCTGAACCAAAAACAGAGGCCGAGACAGGCGACCTGGTTCCTCACAGCCAGGCGCAGCCAGAGCAAGATGCAAATGAGCAGTCGGAGTCTCAGGAGGAAGTAAGTCAGGACAGGCATGCGTATTGCCAACATCCTGAAACTGCTCCTGTTTGGGTGGTTCTTGCGCTGGTTCCTAAGATATTTCGAGGTGGATCGCAGTCTGCGCGGAGAGCCAGAGACACCGCAGATTTCGATGACCTGGATGTACCTGGCGGCAGTGGCAGTACTGCCATTTGCTGGCGTCTACGTATTTGCATCAATCTGGAAACGGCGAATCCTGGGAGAGTCCCTGGACCTACAGAATTGGCAGGCTGGCGCCAACTCCCTGGTGCACATTGCCACGACTGGATTGCTGCTCGCGTGGGTGTTTGCGGTCATTGGGCTGTTCCCGGGCTACGGGTTCAAGTCACTGCTTATCACCGCGGTTACAACTGTGTGCAGCGTTGCCTTGGCGGACGCAGTAGAGGGAATATTCTAAAAAATAAAGACGCTATATGTGGACATCGCTAAGCGTAACGGTTGACAGTCGGTTGCCGTACGGCGTAAATCCCAGGTCCACTCGGGCGCTTTGCTGATAATTGAAGCTAGCAGCGGGGCGTGTCCTGTCGACGACATCAAAGTTGCATGTCAGCTCGACCAGCACAGAAGGCTGGGTCGCGTTCTGCTGGGGCACCGAGTACACGATCTGCGCAATCGAACTCGCCATCGAACGAACGACGGTGGGCGTAGATTCGACTGGCAAAGATCGGATCCCTGTCGATGAGCGGCCCAGTGATCAGCGGCTTGACGCCAAACCCAGCACGCTCCAGCACTGGCAGCACAACGCGACTAATCACTGTGTTGTTTGGTGCTGCTGGTGGAGAAACTGGCGACGGGTTTGGATATGCTTGGGCGAGAACCCGCGGTGCTTGCCAAAGTCAATGTAGCATGTGCGCGATTCAGGCGCAGTAAAGCGCACATCGACAGTAAACAGTGTGCCGTGCTCAGTAGAAGACGCAGAGCGCTGGACGCTAGTGACGTTGATTGCAGTGACTGGGTTCCATGTGCCATCCGCAGGAGGTACCCACGGCAGCTTGCACTGGTACATATCAGCTGCGCTCTTCGTGAAGCACACAGGTGTGACATGGGCAGGCGCCGTGCTGCGGACGACCCGGGCCAGGCCGCTGCTGTCGGGTGAGGTCAGGCTGAGCGAACTCCTGACGCAGCCGTCGGCACACTGTGTTGACACCTGGGTGGACTGGAACACCCGCACCTTTAGTGGGTTGGTGTTTTTGTCATAGCCCTCGCCCGACAGGAAGCATAGCTGGATAAACACCCACAGCAAAATCCAGGCAGCGGTCCAGGCGTAGATCATACGCAGACCAATAGGTCTCGGGGGCCTCGCGTTTCTTGTACAGTTGGCCGAGCGGGCGACGACCCAGCTCGTCATCGCCTGATTCTATGCTTGAGCGAACGCTGTTTGAGCCACTCTGGGCTGCTGCCCGCTCCTCCTCGGTGCCATTCGATGGACGCTCGTTGCCGGAGACCAGGATGCGAATATTGTCGTCGTCGATTGACTCGGGACGCGGCGACATAATCCCTTGCGATTCCTCGTCGATATCACGCTGGGACTCTGCGCGATTCGTATGCAGCGAGATCTGGGATCTTGCCGATGACAGGACCTCCAGGGCACGTGTCGATCCAGAGGACCACAGCTTTTGGAGAGCGGTGGTGGATTGATCGCTGACGTAGTGGATCAGCCAGTAGCGGTCCAGGTCGATCATGGTGTTGAGCGCATAGGGAGCCATGAAGATGAGGAACGTCGTGATATCCAGCGCTGCGATGGCCAAGCAGGCAATTGGCGGGGATCCGTCAGGGATCTGGTCCTTGAGAATCACGAGCTGACGCAGCAGGGTGTCGGAGCCAATGACCAGCGGTGCCAGCACACCAAGAATGAAGCGCATGCCAGAGAATATGTGCTGTGTTATGGCAATGTATGTGGTGGGGTTGTTGCGAGGAGTTCCCGGCACGGTCTGGCTGATGCTGGTGTTGCTGCTCGCACGGGTCAACAGCCGCTCAGCATGCTCGTCGCTCTGGCGGTCAGCCAAAGACTGGGTGATGCTATCTCCAGTGGCTGCTGCAAGACGAGCCCTCCACAGCTTGCCGATTCCGGTAGAGTCATCGAGCACGGCCGTGCAACCAGTCGATATAAGCGCCGCAATTGCATACCACTGCTCGCGGTACATCAGCCCGATTTCGTGGGCGTTCAAGGGGGCAACCACAAACAGCAGCACTGCCGAGCGCAGCAGGCCGTGTGAGTACCACACCATATGCTCAATGTCGCGCAGCCGCGAGCGGCGCACCCACGCAGTCAGCACACACATGATCGAAAGTGCAGCAGCCGAAAACTGCAGCATCACCTGCAGAAAGACATGCGTGTAGACCAGACGCGGAACCACCAGAGAGACCATTAGACCGGTAAAGATCAGCGATCCTGCTAGGCTGGAGATGCAGCTGGCCAGGAGCACCCCGAAGCCCTCAAGCAGGCCACCAACGAACCCGCTCCGCCTGCATTGCAGCCAAAGACGCTTGCCGACATGAAGGTCGGACATCTCCTCAGCGCTGACTCCAGCAACCGGCCGCACAAACGGATATTGCGCAGCAATGACGGCCAGAACACCTAGGATGCCAATGCTGATGTTGAGTGCCAACTCGTATCCGTACGAGCGCACGAACATGAAGCGGTTGAGGATATCATAGAACACAGCGCTGTTAATGGCATTGTATACGACTGGGTTGTGTCTGACCACCACATGCTGTAGGTTCTCAATGACAATCTGTTCTTCGCCTGCTGGCTCCACTGCTGCACTCAGCTGGCTGGCATTCTTGGCAACAGGCCGGGCTGGCAGCAGCGATGAGCGTGGAATTGACTTGAGGATGTCGGGTGAGTCTGCGATTTCACGCAGCGTGCTCAGCGACACGGCGCCCATGCTCAAGACGCTGGCAGAGGTCGACTGGTGGAAGTTGTCGCGCTCCGAGTGGTAAAAGTTGCGGTGATCGGCGAAGGCAATGTCAATGCCAGGGATGCCGTATTTTGTCGTAAAGACACTGAAGTCAGTGTCAGACTTGACAATGCCAAGCTTCAGGGCGTCATTTCCAATCAACGAGGCCGACGGTTTGTCGACAGCGCGCTGGTACGCCTCTAGCAGCTTCTGGTGCGATGCTCTGAACACAACTGCACGGCCACCCACACCGCCGGCTTCGAGGTTCAGGTACCCGCGGACGTCTTCGGCCCACGGGTGGAAGCGGGCAAACAACTGGGCACCGAACAGTCCATCCTCCTCTCCCCAGTCAATGTTGATGACCACGGGGTGGCGGACCGGATACCGCACAACGTTGCGAAGCAGCTCCAGACAAACTACCACGCCTACGCCATCGTCGTAGGCACCGTAGCTAATTGGCACTGCATCATAGTGGGCCTCAACAAGCACGGCTTCTTTCTCGTCGCTGGTTCCCGGCACACGCACGATCAGCGAGCTGTCCTCCCAGTACACCAGCGTGCCGTCATCGTCGAACTCTGCGGTTGTGCCATTCACCACCAGGGTCATAGAATTCGGCGTTCGAGTCCTGGATGATCTGGCTAATAGTTTTGCGCAGGTAGTCGCGCACAACCAGACTGCGCTTGTCGTTGAGCGAATGCGGGGTCTTGGTGATTTCCTCCAGGTCGTCCAGCGCGCGCTCCACGTCAAATACCAGGCGGCGGTCAAGTCTGCCTGCCTTTGTATAGCCTGCTGCCGCTACTGCCGAAACATTGGCCATGGCCCGCTCGACGCGTGCGCCCTCGGCGTAGTCGGAGGTGGAGTAGTCGCGGCCGAGTATCCAGCTGGACGGTGTTGATACCACCAGCGAGTTGGTCAGAAACAGCAGAAGCATGGCGAACCCAGCCAGCTGCACGAATATCGCCGCCGTTGCTGTCCACCATGGAGAAGTCTCACGCAGCTTTTTGTCGGCCTCGCGCGGCCGTGCATGGCTCACCCGAGGAACTTGGAGCGAGTCCATTTCGAATAAAACAATAATATTTAGGTAAGGGGAAAGGCTGAGGTTAGAATACAGAAAAGTGCGGAGGCAGAGAATGTGCACCGCCTGTCAATCAAGTCCGCAGAGCCCAAGTGCTGCTGTCGGACAAGGGCCGCCACTGCCTCGCCATGCCCGCCGTAATCGATGGATTCCACAGCCCTGAGCCCCCGCTGATCAGCACATGAAAAGGGGCTTGCGCCAAACGTCGCCAGGGCGTTGGCACATCGGTAGAATGGGTCTCCCACATAGAGATGTGGACCAGCAGATGCATTGGTAGCCGGCATGTAGACAAGCGCGTTGCCACGCACCACAGTGGGACACGGTTTAGCAATGGACACGACTTCACCACCATTGCCAAGAGCAAGACAGCTGGGGCCGGGGCTCTAGAGTATTGTTTTGGGCATGATCCTGTTGGCGGTAGCAAGGTACATCTGGTTTTGCTTTGTATTCACTCGCCCTTCTCCCTTGGTGGGTGATGCATAGCAACACTTGGCTTGTGGATACTCAGCGCTGGGGTGGAGGCTTGCTCTTCATCTTAGTTCGGTATACACATATCCCGCCAGTCATTTTGCGCCTTTTAACCAGCAAAAATGCTTGCTGGAGGTCTACACAGCCTCGAAGAGGGGGGCAGTCGGCGCGGGATGATGGATTGCATATGGTCGAGCCCGAGAATGTGCTCCCAGGCCATCAAGCCAGACGGCCAAAACACGTGACTGGATGTTGCTTTTGATCTAATACCCAGATCACACCCCACCTCCCCAGGCCGAGCCACTGCGACGCGTGCTGCTGCGAGCCGTGTGCAGCCTCAGAGTGGACAGGAGTCGCCACAGGCGCGCGCATGGCGAGCCAATTGCCGCTTTAGGAAGCGAGCCGGCGCCATCAGCAGCGCGCAGAATTGGTCTGGCCCGCCAAACGCGCGCCTTCAGCGGGCAGCAAGGAATGCCGCCCCACGCCTGCTGGCTTCGGCGCGTGCACGCGCTCGCGACACTTTGCCAAACGCGCGTTCCCAGCCAAAGGAAAAAATTTGAGGTGCTTTTTCCCCCAGCCGCTTTGCTAAAATTCTGCTATAAAAGGAGAGCGCTTCCCGGCCGCTCAATCCACGCAATCTTTGCCAGCCTGCGGATTAGCTTTCTTCCCTCCCCTTCCTCACACATTAATAATCTTGACACTCTGCTCTGACAAATCTTTCGACCATGGACGTTGACGCTGTCTCCCACACCACTGCCGCTCCTGCCACTCTCACCAAGGCCGAGCAGCAGGCTGCTCAGCAGCAGCCGCAGCTGTCGCTGCACGGCCGCGTTATCGAGGTCGACGAGCCCATCCTGCGTCCCAACCCGGACCGCTTCGTCATGTTCCCGATCAAGTACCACGAGATCTGGGAGATGTACAAGAAGCACGAGGCGTCGTTCTGGACGGCCGAGGAAATCGACCTGTCGCAGGACATGGGCCACTGGGACAACCGCCTGAACGACAACGAGCGTCACTTTATCAAGTACGTGCTCGCGTTCTTTGCTGCCTCGGACGGCATCGTCAACGAGAACCTGGTGCAGAACTTTAGCACCGAGGTTCAGATCCCCGAGGCGCGGTCGTTCTACGGCTTCCAGATGATGATTGAGAACATCCACTCGGAGACGTACTCGCTGCTCATTGACACGTACATCCGCGACCCCAAGGAGCGCGACTTTTTGTTCCACGCTATCGACAACATCCCGTGCATCCGCAAGAAGGCCGACTGGGCGCTTCGCTGGATCGATAACCGCGAGGCCAAGTTCGGCGTGCGCCTGGTGGCCTTTGCGGCGGTCGAGGGCATCTTCTTCTCGGGCTCGTTTGCGTCGATCTTCTGGCTCAAGAAGCGCGGCCTGATGCCTGGACTGACCTTCTCGAACGAGCTGATCTGCCGCGACGAGGGCCTGCACACGGACTTTGCCTGCGTGCTGTTCCACCACCTGCAGTCCCCGCCGGCCGCCGAGGTCATCCTCCAGATCATCACCGAGGCTGTCACCATCGAGCAGGAGTTCCTGTCCGAGGCGCTGCCCGTGTCACTGATCGGCATGAACGCCAAGCTCATGTGCCAGTATATCGAGTTTGTTGCTGACCGCCTGCTGGTCGCTCTGGGCCAGCCCAAGCACTACCTGGCCACCAACCCCTTCGACTTCATGGACATGATCTCGATGCAGGGCAAGACCAACTTCTTCGAGAAGCGCGTGTCGGACTACCAGAAGGCCGGCGTTATGATGGGCACCCAGGGCAACCACCACGAGGATGTCTTTGAGCTCGACGAGGACTTCTAGAAGGGAAAAATCCACCTCGTATACGCGCCGCTGTTCTTTTTGCAACCACCCCTATCCGCTCTTCGTTCTTGTACAAATCCAAAAAAAACCGATTACTTCACAATAGTTCTGCGCTGCTTCATGAAGTGGAGGAGCGCATGCGCACATGCAGCCGCCACATGCACCATCATTATCGAGATGGGCGTGATGCTGACAAGGTGAAATTGCGAAAACGCGTCGATATAAAAGGAGCGGAAAACCTATTTCTTCTTGATGACGGTGAAGTAGACAATGAGCACGATGATGATGATGAGGATGACGACCAGCGCCAGGATGCACCACAGGCGCTTGCGCGACTTCTTTCTGAACACAATGGCCTTGTCGACCTCTTGGCGGGCTGTCTCAACATGCACATGCGTGTCCTCGACGGCGCTCTCGATGTTGTCGATCATCTCCTGCTGCCGGTTGACCATCTCCGACACCTCGCTAAACATCTGCGCCAGCTCGTTAATCGTCTGCTCGATCTTGCGGATGTCTGCCTGCCGCTCCTCGACATCCCGCAGCACGCGGCGAGCCTCGCCGACCCTGGATGTCTGCATCACGGACTGGGCAAACACCTGGCCTGCCTGGTCGCTCTCAATGGCATCGGCGATTTCTGCATCGGTCGCATCGGGCCTCGGCAATCCGGTACTGGCGCTCCAGCCGCTCCTTGTTGCGCTGCGAGTACTGGTGCTCCATCTGGCGGTACCGCTGGATCTGCTCCGAGAACTTCTTTGCCAGCCCCTGCTGCCGGCTGGCGCGCGCCACGTGCTGGCTCTTTGACACCGACGGGTCGTTCTGCGAGCTCTGCAGCACCTGGTCGATGCGCTGCAGGTCGCGCTTGATTTCGGTGATCATTGCATTCGTGTCGCCCACCAAGCGGTCGCGGTCAGAGGCGGCCTGCGTGTGCTTGCTTTCGCTGGTTGCGTTCAGGGCCTGCTCGTGTAGCTGGGAGATCTGCTGGATCCGCTGGTCCACCTGCGACATCTGCTCGGTGATTTTGTCAACCAGCCCAAAGAATTCGTTGTCCGTGTTCATGCCGCCTGCTGCACCGTTGTTGTAGCCAAAGTTGTTCATCTCGATGCGCTGCTCGTGCGGGCTGGCTTGGTACCCAGACCATTGGTTGCTATTTCCGGCGTTGTACCCTCCGCCGTATCCCCCTTGGCTTTGGCCCTACAGCATTGGCAGTGGACAAAGTTATTTTTAAACCGTGAGGGTATTGTCTGGAGCTGATGTCAAAAAGAGGAAACCTTGGCGACGCCCAGGAGTTCGTATTGGCATGCATGGCGGGGATGTCAGAAATAGAACATGCAATGCAGAGAAAAGGACAACCCCCACCCCACACATGCATACGCTTATGCTCAAGTGCTGGCCCTGGCTCCTGGCTAGGTGCCAGTGGGACACACCTATCTCGAGCAATGGCTATGTGCCGCCAACGTAGTCAGCCAGAGCGCCAACATATGCCCGCTATCCAGCGGCTCTCCTAGCGCAGCACCGTCAAGAATAATGCAACTGTCCGTACCTGGAGCTCCTGGAACCTGTCGCGGCTCATGCTTCGGGTGTAATTTCAAAAAGTTTCGTTAAGAGTGCAAGAAGAAGGTCACTGTACAGAGGGCACGTACTGGTTGTGCTGCTCCACTGACGGGTTCGACACTAGTCAAAACACAGGAAAGAGTACACGTAGATAATTGGAAAAGAGGAAAGAGAAAGGAGAAAGGAGAAGAGGGTCTGTCTGTCTGTGCTAAATGGGCTCTCGATTACTAGCGCCAAAAGAGACGTCAGGAAAGTGCAGTAAAAACGCAAGCGTGTCCAGCGCGCTGATGGAAAATCGCACTGGATTTCTCCAAGAATAAAAATGCGAAGCGTGCGTCTGCAAACACACCCGGCCACTTTAAACGCAAGCTGTTGTTTACGTTGGAAGATCCACAATTCCTGCAAACATTCTGGCCTGCTGGCTAGCGAGGGGACGGATCCGCATTAGCCAGCTGAACAAGAAAACTGTATTAAAAGACGCCCTTGACCTTCAGCACGACGATAACCACGATGATGGCAATGATCAGGATGACCAGCGCCAGGATGCACCACAGGCGCTTGCGCGACTTCTTTCTGAACACAATGGCCTTGTCGACCTCGGTCTTGGCCATCTCGACGTGCCCGTGGGTCTCCTCAACAGCATTGTCGATAGTATCGAGCATTTCCTGCTGGCGCTCGGCCATCTCGGCGACCTCCAAGAACATCTGCGCCAGCTCCTCAATAGTGCGCTCAATCTTCTGGATGTCTGCCTGCCGCTCCTCGACATCCCGCAGCACGCGGCGAGCCTCGCCGACCCTGGATGTCTGCATCACGGATTGGGCAAACACCTGGCCTGCCTGGTCGCTCTCAATGGCATCGGCGATTTCTGCATCGGTCGCATCGGGCCTCGCAATCCGGTACTGGCGCTCCAGCCGCTCCTTGTTGCGCTGCGAGTACTGGTGCTCCATCTGGCGGTACCGCTGGATCTGCTCCGAGAACTTCTTTGCCAGCCCCTGCTGCCGGCTGGCGCGCGCCACGTGCTGGCTCTTTGACACCGATGGGTCGCTCTGCTGCAGCAGCCGGTCCACGGTCTGCAGGCTGCGCTTGATGTCTGTGATCACAGCGTTTGTGTCGGCGACAAGCTGGTCGCGGTCTCTCGACACCTGTGCGTGCCTCTGCTCGCTGGTCGCGTTCAGCGCCTGCTCGTGCAGCTGTGCGATGTCGCTGATGCGCTTGTCTACCTCGGCCATTTGCTCAGTGATGCTGTCAACCATGCCAAAGAAGTCGGTGTCGCTGATTCCGCCAGTGCTGGCAAACTGCGAGGACGGCTGCATCTGGTAGCCCTCAGTGTACGCTCCTGTGGGCGGGACATCACCCTATGTTGCAGCAAAGCAATAGCACTCGTGTCAGCTACAGTGAAGGGCGGGCCATCTGGGATATCCCGTATCCTTAAAGCACCAGCGTTTACCTGGAGTTCGCTGAATCTGTCGCGGCCCATGGCTGAGTATTAAGCAGGAAACAAATATATCTGAGTGTGAAACGCAAAGTGCAAAGCTGCAAAAGGAACTGGGCGATAGCGCGCTTCTGTTTTGGCAAGAAAATGTTGAGGGCGCTCAACCACGCTGAGATGCAGGCGCGGACCACTCTCGTATGGCTGCAGCTGACCAAGCTTTTTCGTCGCCGAAGAAAGCCCACAGTGCTATGAATAGCCAGCTGAGGGCGTCGGGGTGACGATCGTGTAGGTGAGTGCTGATCCACGTGTGCTTGGAGCTTTGCACAAAGTGTTGGCTGGTGGCGCCAAGGCTTGGTGCAAGAGTCTCAGGAAGAATCCCAAGAGCTCTTGGCTTCCGCAACTACTAAGCTCCTATATTTAGGACCACTGTTGCTGCGCATTACAAATAGAGCGGACTAAGGGGGGAATATTATAGAAAAATACGGGCGGAACACTAGGGGCAAAAGAAACGGGGCATGGCACTGCCGTCATTTCTTGATCACGGTAAAGTAGACAATAATGATGATGATGACGATGATGAGGATGACCAGGAAGATGATGATCCACATCTTCTTGCGCGCCTTGATGCGGTACACGATGGCCTTCTTGACCTCCTTGTGTGCGTCTTCAACGTGTACGTGCGTGTCCTCAACGGCATTCTCGATGCTATCGATCATCTCCTGCTGCCGGTTCACCATGTCGTTGACCTCGAGGAACATCTCAGACAGCTCGTTGACAGTCTTTTCAATCTTGCGGATGTCCGCCTGTCTCTCCTCGACATCCCGCAGCACGCGGCGGGCCTCGCCGATCCGCGACGAGTGCATCACGGACTGGGCAAACACCTGGCCCGCCTGGTCGCTCTCAATTGCCGCCGCAATCTCCTCGTCAGTGGCATCCGGCCGGGCAATTCTGTACTGGCGCTCCAGCCGCTCCTTGTTGCGGTTCGAGTACTGCGTCTCCATCTGGCGGTACCTCTGCAGGAGCTCGGAGAAATGCCGGGCCACCGCCTGCTGCTGCGCAGCCCGTGCCACGCGCTGCGACTTGCTCAGCGCTGGGTCGTCAAAAGTCCGCTGCAGGACATCTAGGTTCTGCTTGATCTCGGAGACTAGGCTGTTGGTGTCGGCCACAAGCTGGTCGCGGTCATACGAAATCTGTCGGTGCTTCGTCCTCGCTAGTCGCTTCGAGCGCCTGGTCGTGCAGGTGTGCAATCTGCTGGATCCGCTGGTTCACAGCTTCGATCTGGTCTTTGGCCGTGTCCATCAGGTAAAAAAACTGGCCCTCAGTCGTGTTGGTGCCTATGTGGGTCCCAGCGTACTCGCCTAGCTCAATGGCTGTCTGCTCAGGCGCCGGGTCCATCCCGGCCTGCAGCTCGCCAAATCTGTCGCGGCCCATCGTTCTGGGTGCTGTATGTGGTGATGGCTTTTTCGGTAGTGATATAGGGTTCTAGTCGGAACCCAGGATCTGCCGCAGGCCTTTGCTGCAGTAATAATGCTGGTCAGGCAATGATGCGCTTGCTCGCAGTAGCAAAGGGGCAGAACAGAATCGCGCTCTCTCGACTGTCAGTAGACGCTAGAGGGGGAAGCAGTCGGGCTAGCACAAAAGAAACAAATACTACAAAATTGTCTTGCGGAAAAACTGAAGAGAAGAAGGTGCAAACAGCCAGTGTTGTCGCTTCAGTGCTTCTGACTACCAGGCATGGACAAAGCGCTTGTTCTTTAACCGCCACAGCCCCTACCTGGGACGCTGGGCACACCACCAGCAGCGGCAGCCAACCACCCCAAAAAAAAGCACTTTGTTCCTTCCGCGCCCCTGCCTCGCCCAATTGCCATCACGCCAAGGCGCCCGCGTCCGTGCGACCATACCCGTTCAGTCTTTTCAGCACAATTCCTCGACAAATCCCCTTGGTGCCCAGAGGTCCTGGCCATCAATTTCTATAAACGTCCCCGGTTGAGCCAGAGCAGCGCCAGTCGCCTTTTGGACTGGACAGTCGATCGATAGTGCCGCCTATGCCGTCAACTCCTTCCTACAAGGGCTGAGCTAGACCACACTAATGTAAAATAGCTATCGTCATACCACTGGACCCGTTTCTGGTTACCTAATCTCCACCGGTGATTCTAACACAGGCTGGCTGGCATGTGTCCAAGCTAGATGGCGCCTTTCCATCGCACAAGGGGCAGACTTTGGCCACGGCATGCATGTGCTCTGGAGACGGCCTCTCGCTTGATTCCAGCCGTGCTCTGCGCTCCCGATTCGCGGCAGTCCCCTATCAGGAGCGAGAAGTGACGATCATTCTATGCAGATGCAGAATTGCGTGCGCGCTGCGCGAAATGACCAGCAGCCCTATTCGAAGGAGAACCTGGAGATAAGAACGTGCACCTGTCCTGCTGCCGACCACCGCCGATGGCCCCGCTGCTGGCGCTGTGAGTCACGGTTCAAGCTGCTGCGACCGCCCTCCACCTGCGTCCCCAAAGCGCCGGCCACGACCCCTTAGGACCAGGCTGCTGGCAGGGTTGGGGGCGCTAGCAGGCGGTGTTTATTCTGCTGGCAGCAATGAAACTGTGGGGGGCGACAGAGAGGCTTCATAAGGAGAGCTGCTTGGTGATGGATCTTCTTCTGCTCCCTATTCATCTATTGCTTTTTTTCGCTCTCTTAGTAGATAGAAACACTTTTCTCGCTCCCAAAACCATGTCCTACACCACTCGCGTCGTCGGCAAGCCCGGAACCCTTGACTACCGTGTTTTCATCGAGAAGGACGGCAAGGTTATCTCGCCGTTCCACGATATTCCCCTGTTCGCCGATGAGAAGAACAAAATTTACAACATGGTTGTTGAGATCCCCCGCTGGACCAACGCCAAGATGGAGGTATGTGAATTGCGAAATTTGTAGTAAACTGTGTGTGCTGTGTGGTCTGCAGGCGGTCTACACGGTGGCGGAGATGGTATGAAGTGCAGCCCTGCTATTCCACTTTGCAAATTGCGGCGCTTGAATTTCGGCTCACAAAAACCCCAGCGCCTCGCACTATTCATACATGTAGATCAGCAAGGAGGACGCGCTGAACCCCATCAAGCAGGACACCAAGAAGGGCAAGCTGCGCTTCGTGCGCAACGCCTTCCCCCACCACGGCTACATCTGGAACTACGGCGCTCTGCCGCAGACCTGGGAGGACCCGAACCAGACCAACGAGGACACCAAGTGCGTCGGCGACAACGACCCCATCGACGTGTGCGAGATCGGAGAGGCCATCGGCTTCACCGGCCAGGTCAAGCAGGTCAAGGTTGTCGGCGTCATGGCGCTGATTGACGAGGGCGAGACCGACTGGAAGATTCTGGCCATCGACGTCAACGACCCTCTTGCGGCCAAGATCAACGATGTCGAGGACATTGAGCGGTACATGCCAGGTCTGCTGCACGCGACCAACGAGTGGTTCCGCATCTACAAGATCCCTGACGGCAAGCCCGAGAACCAGTTCGCCTTTGGCGGCGAGGCCAAGAACCGCGCCTACGCCACCGAGGTCGTCAAGGAGACCGCCGACGCCTGGAACGATCTTGTCACCGGCAAGACCAGCCCCGGAGACATCACCCTCCAGAACGCGTCCCTCGGCAACTCGGCCACCGTCGAGAACACCAACGCCGCTGCTGCCGGCGGCGTGTCGGTGCCCCACCCCGAGGTTGACCAGTCTCTGCACAAGTGGTTCTACATTTCGGGCGGATCCAAGATCTAAACTCACTGTAGCTGCCGCTCTTGATCTTTCCAATCCATTCTAGCTGTCGATCGGTTTATAGCATCGCTTCGCCTTTCTCACTCCCCCACCCTGCGGCTGTTTTGGCATACCGGGCCCCTTTCAGAACCCACCTGTGCGCCGGCAGGCGTGTCTGATCAGGCTGCTCGCATGCTGTGCAATACTCTGGCTGCATGCATGGGAAGGTCTCGGCTCCCGAGCACGCAATATTGACATGAACGGAGAATACACCCATGTCTCGACTTTTTATATTAGGCTGCAGGTGTAGAGCCAGACGATGTGGTTGCCTCCTGCCTTGCTGCCACTAATTGCTTGTTGCCGAGATGTTTGAAAGCACCATGAGAGCGCCAGGCAGCTAATGCAAGGGCGATTTGCACAAGCGGCCTGGTACACGTCGCTCAAATTGCCAGACTGGTGCTCGCGCTGCTGCTGGGCAATTTCTACACCATCCTTAGTGGGCCTATTTCCAAATTGCAATATTGCTTCTCGGGATATCCAGTTTGTTCCAAGCAGAAGCTGGCTACAACGAACAACCTCTGGATAGTCTATAATGATACACATCTGCTAACCGTGCACTCCCTCCGGCTTACCAGTCACTACATTCCTTATCACCATTCCTATATCTACTAGTTACCATTTAGTCACCACACGAAACCCACGCTAACTGTTTATTCCCAATGGCCAACCCTTACAGATCACTCGACCAAGCCTTCTCGCAGGACAACAGGAGATTGAGCCGCTACAGCAGCCGCAGCCGCACCCGCAGCTGCAGCAATGGCCGGGTGGCCATGTACCGGGCCCGTCAGTGCGGCACCATCCAGCCAGCAGCTGTCACTGGTATTGCCACAGAGTCTGACTCTGACGAGCAGACCGAAACCTATGTGCAGAACCCCCACCAGGTGCGCCCAGCTGTCTCTAGCAACACTAGCATAAGCCGGAGCTCCCCTGTTCGTATGCCTAACAGCGCATCAATGGACGTGTATCGGTACCGCCGTGGCATTGAAGCCGCTAGACGGATGTCTCGCTCGCGGTCCCAGTCTAGGCACAGCAGCCGGCCAAGTTTAAGCTCCAACAGCGGCCCAGCCCAGGCCATACTGCAGCTTCCCCAGGAGCCAATGCCCAGCTTGTTGCCGCAGTCATCGCAGCCTGCACACCAAATGGTGTACAACACACGACCAGCTCAGCGTGAGTCGGCATATGAGTCGGCTGCCAGGCCTTACCAAGCAATGCAGCGGTCGCCATCGGTGCGCAGCGCTATACCGTATCTATCCACGCCCGACATGGCCAATATCACAATCCAAAAGAGCAGCATCTTCAACTGCAGCGACACGCAGAGCGAGGATCTAAAGTTCCGCAAGAATGGGCCAGTGACACGTCGTCTAAGCAAGCTGGGCCGCAAGTTTGAGGACTTTAAGCGGCTGCCGCAGAAGATGCGCGATAGAGAGACTAAACGTGAGGCTAGAGCGTACCTGCTGCAAGTCCTACGGCGGCTGCTGGTCATGATCATCTTTGTTTTTCTGATATCTCTACTCCTGATTCCGTTCCACGAGACAAGCGATCTCCAGAAGACCGACTTTAAGGCACTGACGTTTGACTGGCAGACCAACCCACGCGACCGCCTGTCGCCGATAGACCCGGCATTCGGTAGCTTTAATGTGCTGCTGGATTCGCACGCACATACGACTGTGTCGGATGGTAAGCTAACACCAGAGCAGCTGGTCGAGTACGCAATTGCACAGGGCTACAACGCCATGATTGTCACCGACCACAATACGGTTGACGGTGGGCTGCGTGCCGAGGAGTATGCCAACACGCACCACCCGGGCCGGTTCATCGTTATTCCAGGCATGGAGTACTCGTCGTGCCGCATTCACATGAACTTTATCAATGTCAATGTCACGGTGACCGAGGGGAACAAGGCGCAGCCGACCGACGAGGACATCCGCACAGCCATTGCGCGTGCCCACGAGCTTGGAGGGCTTGTTATTGTTAACCATATCCCGTGGTCCAACACTACCATTGGCACCTTCAAGACTCCCCGTCTGCCCAACCACCCGAGCATTGAGTCCTTGATCGACTGGGGCGTCGATGGCTTCGAGGTTGTCAACCAAGCCACGTTCGACCTGCCCACTTTCCAGCATCTGCAGAGCCTCAACGGCTCGGGCGAACCGAAAATGATCATGATGACGGGCAGTGACATACACTCGCCCGAGCCTGCATATGCCTGGACTATTCTCAATGCACGCCAGTTCACAAAGGAATCGATCATGCGAGAGATCCAGGCTGGGCGTACATCGTTTTTGTTCGATCCAACCGGCAGTACGGGTCGGGCCGATCACGTCTACTCGTCCAAGTACCTGGCCCTTGCTCCGCTATCGGAGCTGGCAGACTACTTTGGGTCTTTCTACGACCGGTACACTGGCCAGTACTCATTCCACGGGTCACACTGCCAGAACGAGATCGTTGACGTCCATGGTCTATCGATCGGCTGCTTCATGATGTATTTCGTTGCCGCATTAGTTCTGTTCGAAATCATCCTGAAGCTGTTCCGCGTCGTTGGGCGCAAGATCCACCGGCGTCGGAGCCACACTGCATGGGACGATTCGGTGCTATAGCTCTGCTTTTATGTTCAATCTACTACCACCTTCTCTCAGCTGGCATCATGCCCAGTGCCCCTGTATGCGTCTGCTCTGCTGGTATTTGGCTTCACATGGCTACCCTTTTGCTCCACGTAGAACTTCACAATAGTTATCAGCATTCATTGTCTGCTCGAGAATTATCTGCAGAGTGATGAGAGGCTGGCACGCTATTGTGATTGCAGGTGCTCTCCTGGCTTCCAATAGAGGGAATCCGGTGTGGCTGCTCCATTGATCCCGGCACACATTCTGGGGTAAGCAGCTGGCAGGACCGCAACCAGCGGATCCGCTGATGGAGACGGTGGCCTGCGAAAAATGCTGGATGGCTTGCTCTGCCATGGTTTCCTCCTCTCTGCTACCCTGCTGCTTTATATTCCTCTTTTACATCTAGAAGAATGATGTTTTTGAAAGACATTGACAGTGCCCACCCCGAGATCCAAAAGGTGCACATACAAAACCTTGTCATAGGCGCACTGAACATGACCTCGACCCTGAACGACTATTACCGGCTAGTCACGTTTGCCATCCGACACCCGCACCTGTGCTGCCTCATACCTGATGATGCATACAGAACACTGGTCATCCAGTGCTTTATGCTGTGTCAGTGCAGTGACAGGCTATGCTCGTGCGTGTACAGTCGCAAGTGGTTGAGCAACTTTGAGTTCCTGGTTGCCGCAGGAAAGCTCGATTATGTCAAAGAGGTCCGAATCGTTATGAACAGCCTCAGCACAGCGGCCCTAGGTCTCGATATCGCCCTTGATTTCTTGCGTATCAACAGAAGCCGGCTGCTTAGCGTCGAGCTGCTGGTATTTTTGGGGCCGGGTCTGTTTACTGCGGGGAGGATGCAGGACGCTCAGCTGAGTGTGGCTGAGGCCATGCTCACCCGAACCCAAATCACAACTCTCTATCCAAACATCGTCAACATCCAGTACTGCATTCCGCCCAAGTGGGGGCCCATTTCCAAGATCTTAGAGAACCTTGCCTGCACTGGTGTCATCCTGTTCGAAATGCTTGTTGGTCACTACTTGCCCCGACTCATCTCTGTCCAGGTCATCATGCCGTTCCCCGATAGCGTCAGCCTGACATTCTCCCGCTACCTGACTTGTCTGTCCCTGAACTCTCGATATGTGCGCTGCCTGAAGCACTTCCCCCGCATCCCAGTGCATATGCTCCGCCGGCTCGACTTGATGCAGGTCGAGGGTGTCGTCGACTGGAGCCTGTTTTTGCTAGACGACAAGGCTTTGAGATTTACGCACGTGGAGGAGCTCTCTTTGGAGTTTGCCAGGCCCGACGGCTCGCCCAGGAGGATGCCCAGCTTTGAAGTCAGTGTGCGTTTCCCGTCGATAAAGATTCTGAAGGTGCAGGGCATGAAGTACTCGTCGATGAACTTTTCCAGCTACTTTGAAGCCGATTCTGTTCCGCAGCTGATTCTGTACGAAGACCCATCGGCACTCCAGAAGATGAGCTTCCCGCTACTCAAATGCTCACGCAACCTGCATGTGGTCCACCTGGACAGGCTTTCGGCCAAGCCTGTCGTTTACAAATGTGGTGACCTGCATCCGCTATTCAACTACGGAGCCCGTCTGAAGGTTGCCAAGTTCACTGGGCTCGAGTACCCGCTTCCCATGTACATCAATTGGAAGCTGCTGCGGTGGCTGTACTTCACGGCCAGCATTGCCAATAGGGCAGGCATCGAAAATCTGCTCGAGCAGCTCCCATGTCTGGAAACGCTGATCATGCCCTGCTTCTCGATGAATGTCGACGACATCACGTCAGAATCAAGGAACAAGCACTTTGACGACCAGGCCGACCGGCCCTCTATCACTGACGAAAGCTATTTGGTGGACCGCGAGTTTGCCATCAGCGAGTCGCTCACACGATTTGATATCCTTTCCTGCAAGCCATTGCTTGTCAACGACCTGGCAAAGCTGGTCCAGCACTTGCCACGGTTGAAGAGACTCGGCGTCAACCCTGACTCCATCACTGATATGATAATGGCGATACTGCCTCTGGTTTGCGAATGCGGTGTGCTGGTAAGCGAGTTCTCTGCCGACAAATAGCAACAGCAAGCATAGAGAAAATATGCATTCCTGTCTGTATGCTCACCGCGTCTTGCCACCTACGTTGCCGTAAATTTGTACCCATCTACGTCTGAATTGCATGCTATCACCGTAGATACAACAAATAAAATTAATACCATTTGTATGCCGACCTTGCCGGGATGATATATGACGTAGATACTTGGCAAAGAGTTGGCTGAGATGGATTTATCAGTAGCCAAAACCCTGTCAATCATGATCGGAGGTTGTCAAAACGATATTCGTTTCTCTCTCAAGAAACCCTCCCGGTCGCCATGGGCGCCAGGGGTGTCTCTGCTGTGTTGACTCACTTGCAGCAGACCTCTATTGACATTTTGCTGTCAAGCTCCCCCGCCCTTGCCTAAACGAGCGGGTGGTATCGGAAGCTGATAGACTGGGAGCTGAGCAACCCAGGTTGTCGATCTGCCATTTTCACAAATTAGGTGACTGAGGTTGCGGACATGTGTATGTTGCCCATCACGTGGACAGGCTCAGAAAGGCACTAAAAGGATGTGCAGGTTATCTGTCGATTTTCTTTGCCTTTCTCGTCTTTGGCTCAGACACATATTGCTTATTGTGCACGTACTTGCTCTTAATTATAATGACGTTCCCTGCCAACACTCCTCCCATCGCTGCCAGCATTGAGGTACAAGCTCAGCTTGTGTTCGACATATGTACCCACTCATTGCACGCCATATCTATCCTAAAGGACTATTGACATAGAGACACTGGCCACACTGTTCCCTCAACCCCATGCTACAATACCCGACTTTGCGTACAGCGCGCAAATGATAGATGCCCAAACGAGCACAGGTAGAAGTGGGCGAATAACTACGGGTTTCTACTAGGACAAAACAAGCTGGCCAAAGTGAAAGAAGTACGAGTAGTAATGAACAGCATCTGCCTACATGCATTTGAGCTTTACAAGGGCATCGGATATCAGAGCATAAGTACCACCCTGTTGCCCAATGCTAGGCTTTAGACATTCTTGAGATCTGGCCTGTTCACAGCGGGTAGGGTGCAGAGCGCAGCACTGTGCGAAGCCGAGGCCAAACGCACATTTATTTATATTGCCAGCATATTCCCAAGCATCCTGTCTGTGGTTCCAAATCCTTATGATCTTAAGAACCCATGGATCAAGACCTTTAGGCCACAATGGCCGGCCATACTATTCTGAGCGACCGGCGCCACTACTTAGACGGGCACCTGCCCTTTCACCTGGCGATTCCTCCTTCCTTCTTTCATACAGCATATTTCATACGTTCAATATACGTCGTGGAAAGGTGCTTGGAGAGTAAACGTGTTCTAGACAGTTGCAGGAGGCTGTCTATCTAAGTGTCTCGTACCCGAGACACAACACTGTCCATCCGCTACAGGGTGCCATACGAATGTGGGTCAGTTTTGCAGACAATATATAGCTTGGCCACCGCTGGCACATTCCTTCTTGTCCGTCTGCTCGCGCACTTTTTGAATATCCTGGAGACAGTGCAGGTAGTCATGTCCTTCCCCCGATGACCGCAACATGCTGTTTCACTAAACCTAACGTGGCTCACGCTGGATATGCAGTGTGTGCGCATGCTCCGAAACCCCCTGCCTATTCCGACAGGGCAGCTGCCCAGACTCACCATGACGAAGCTAATGAAGGGGGTCGACTGGCACATGTTTGAGCTCGAGGACAAATGGCTGAGATTTCCGCAGCTCGAGTGCATTTCGCTCGAGTTCATACCGCTGTCGGGTGACAATGGTGGCGAGCCTCCCGAGTTCACCAGCAAGGTATCGTTTGGCCTGCTGAAAGACCTGAAAGTGCAGGGCATAAGAAATGCGACAATAAACTTCCGCATGTGCTATTCCGTGGCAGCGGTAGCCAAACTGACTGTGCACGAGAGGCCGACTGCATTCCACAGAATCTCGCTGGAGCTGCTCAAGTGCATCCAGGAGTTCGAGGTCGTGCATTTGGCAACGACGGCAGCAGACAAGACCAAGTATAGGGTCGAGTTTGTCTGCACGCTGTTCAGTCAGTCGGCCTGTTTCCGCAAGGCCATGCTCTGCGGTCTCGAGTATCCGCTTCCCATGACCATCCGCTGGAAGCAGTTCCGGTGCCTGCGCCTCACGGCTAGCATTGGCGACAAGGCCAGCATCATCAGCATGCTCATCCAATTGCCCTGCCTCAACACATTGATTTTGCCATGCTTTTCTATGAAGTACTTGGACCTTTACTCGCCGACCCGCAGCCCCCACTTCCTCAACCAGTCGACAAGGTTTGCTAGCATTGGCCGGGCCATTAGGGCATACGAGAACCGCAATGTCAGCGACACAGTGACCCGGCTCGAGATCCATTCCTGCATGGCAATTGATCTGACTGATGCTGTACATCCGATCAGCAGAATGCCACATCTGCCGATGCTGGGTGTCAGTCTTGACCTTGTCGATGGGGCGACACTGATGATTCTGCCATTAGGGGGATTGTCCCAGTGTATGTGCGTGAGTTCACACCAACCAACAGCCCACTTCCCATTTAGTGCGTGTCCATGTGTTGGGCATATTGCTGCAGCATTCATTTGGTGCGTGATGTCATACAGAAAATATATATTTGGCATGAAGAACGGGGGGAGCTTATGCCAGCATAACTAGCAAGAACGCAAACACCAAAATAACAGCAAAAATCTTGAGCATCAACCACCGATTACTCGAGATGTTCGAGTAGTATCTTAGTAGCTCATTCTGCGCGGCGCCAATATTGACGTCAATGCTCTCGACATTGGCATCAATCCGCTGCACAACATCGCGCTGTTCCGACACCATCTGCGCCAGCTGCTGGAAGATCTGGCCGAGCTCGGAGATCGTCGACTCAATCGACCCAATGGCGTCCGACCGGCTGTCCAGGTACGACGACTGGCCGTCCTGCAGCAGCAGCATCTGCGAGCTCGACTGCTCGTCCATTTCGGGCAGCGACAGGGCGACGAAATCCTCGTTCTGCGGTTGGTACCCCGACGGCTGCCGGCGCTCAGACTGGTAGAGAGGCGAATCTACAGGGGGATCAAGTTTGCGGCGGTTACGCACGCCTAAGGCAACTCGCATCAGTCGGGTACGCATACACTAGGGTCCTGCCCATTTTGGAGGATACCGCTTCAAATGTGCTTACCTGCGGGTGCAAATTCCAAACTGCCTGCGCCAATAAACTGCTCTTTGCGCGTGCCCGAGGCCTTTAGGCTCTCGCTACGCAGCTCCAGCACGTCCTTGAACACATTCGATGTGCTCGCCAGCTGCGTCTGCAGCGACACTACTACGTTCGAGTGGTGCTCCACCGCCTGCCTGCCTTCGCCGCCATTCTGCTGCCGCTGCAGGGTCTGCAGCGCAAGGATCTTGCCGTTGATCGTGGCTATACGCTGCTTCACCTGGGCCGTCAGCCCGTTGATCTCTGGCGTCTTGTCGTCGAATATTGTTTTGCTGCGTGCCACTACATGAAACTGCATGCCTGTTAGTCGATTGCTAATTGCTCACAGCTGCCGCATCTGAAGCTGCCAACACGTACATGTCGCTAATTGCTCGAGCAGGAGCGTCGTCTCCTGAATGTCCTTGCCAATTGCACCTGCATGCCGCGTAAACTCGCTCAGCGCAGCCTTCTTTGGCTTGGGCGGCTCGCTGGCTACCTGCTGTCGCTTGCGCAGGGCGTTTACGAGCAGCCGGTACTCGGTGGTTCTGTCGCGTAGTGTCTTTGTCTTTGCCGAGGACATTTCTATATGACGTTCTAATTGGATGTGCGCGGAGGGATGGGTAATAGAATGCAGAGTGGAGCTAGGGCAAAGTTGGGGGTGGCATCAACCGTCACGCTGGCAGTAGCTATTATGCGAGCGTTTCCACGTCACAATTTTTTACCTGCATTGAACTGAAAATCACGTGGCTATTTATTGGCTTTTTGAAAGAGTACAAATACTTGTATTGAAAGGCATCGCTGTTTCCTTTGAGCAAGGCAGGGGGATGGGCAAAGGCAGGAGGCTAGAATGGATAGCGTAGTAGAAAAAAGGAGATGGGTCCAGATATTAAAAGTGGAGAGGGCAGTGCAGAGATAGAGAAAGAAAGCGGGCAGAAAGAAATATAAAGTAGGGGGATAACAAGCAAATATATAATGTCTCCCATCACTCGATGGAGCCAGGTCCACGCACCCGGCCCCGCCCAGACACGGCATGGTGGGCTGGCTCATCGGCAAGCCGTGAGTACGGGTGGTGGTGGGGTCTCTGCAACTGCTGCTGCTGTTGCTGTTGCTGCTGTTGCTGTTGCTGCTGAGAGCTGCCCGCCGCTAGATGCTCGCCTCCCGCGTATGTGCTGGTGCTCTGAAAGTAGGTGGGGACAGGCAAAGCCCTTTGCTGGCGAGGATCGTCATGTGTCGCCGAGCCGTCGCTCATGGCGGGAGCAGCACCAGCAGCATTATGCACCCAAGCAGATCTCTCTGCAGACTCGGCATTACCGAGAGTAGCGGACGACTGGGCAGGCGTGTGCTGCGAAGGTGCGTGGCTATGCTGGTGGGCATGGCCGTGGTTGTGGTGGAGTGCCGCGGCGGCTGGCTCAGCTGCCACGGCCACCATTGCACCAGCAGTAGCAGCATCGGCGGCCTGCTGCACGGCGGTGTCCGCGTGGGCGTCATCGAAGCCGCCCGACGGGTTGCGCTCGGTGCACCAGTTGCGGTGGCCCTCGGCCCAGGCGCGGCTCTGGCACTGCTTGGAGCAGTACTTGGCCTTGCGGCACCGGCGGCACTTTGCGAACTCGCGCTGCTGGCGCTCCCACTTTTGGCACTTGAGATACGAGCACTGCCGCAGCCCGTTGCGCGCCTCGTCTCGCCGGCAGTTGTTGCGCATGACGATGCTGGACCAGTATACCATGTCCGACGGGAACGTGCGCTGGAATGCGAACCGTTCCACCACAGAGAACACGTCCACCACGGTTCCCTTGGTGGGCGGGTAGCGGCGGGCTGGTGGGAGCCCGGCTGCTTCATTGGCTGCCGCTGCTGCCTCGGCTGCCTGCACGGCATCGGTAAGGTCGCCTGGAGTCGCATAACCCGACATGTTGGTAGGGCAGGTGGCAGCGTTGGTCCGCCGGATCTCCGAATACAGCAGCGGGCACTCGTGGATGAGGGCGCGCTGGGCCGGTGTCTTGGTCAGGTATGCCAGCAGCTGCAGCGCCAGGACCACCTCGTCGTGACGATACATGACGTGGTCGATGGACTGCAGGCGGCGCTGGGCCGCCTCGAACTTGTCGCGCAGCCGCTCCTGCTCAGCAAACAGGTAGGGAGCGCTCATATGTAGCGGAACTGTAGCGCCATCGGGGAACACCTGCCGCGCCAAGGGATGGGCGCCTTCGCCAGGCCGCCGTGTTTGCTGTTGCTGCTGCTGCTGCTGTTGTTGCTGCTGCTGTTGCTGTTGTTGCTGCTGCTGCTGGAGCTGCTGGAGCTGCTGTTGCAATTGCTGCTGCTGAAGAAGTTGCTGCTGCTGCTGTAGCTGCTGGAGATGCTGCTGTGCTACAGCCACCTGCTGGCTAGAGGCATCTCCAGTCTGCGGCGGCTGCTGCTGCTGTTGCTGCTGCATAGGAGGAACAGAAACTGGGATAGGGTTAATACCAGACACCGCGGCGACGGCAGCGGCAGCGGCAGCCTGGGCAGCATTGTTACGCGCAGCAGCAGCGGCAGCAGCCGAGCCCGAGGACCGGGACGAAGCTGCACCGGTAGAGTGTGCCGCGCCCGACGCAATGGAGTGAACAGTTATAATTGTGTTTGACGGGTCGCTAATCTCCGAGTGTTCGTCCGCGGTACCAGCCTCATTCGGGTTAAAGTCGAGCATCTTGGGCAGCGGCTGCTCCATGTGGGCGCTCAGGGCGGCCCGGTACTGCTGCTCCAGCTGGATGACCTCGGTGCCCATCAGATATGCGTTCAGGATTTCAACCAAAATTGGCACCGCGCCCACCTGCACCACGCGCTGCCGGATTTCCTGCGACCCGCGCACTCCGACGTTGACTATGCAGTGGAACGCCATTGTCCACTTCCAGCTGTGCAGTGTGTCCTCCGTCACCTTGGTCGTCCGCAGAATCCGCACCAGCCGCTCCAGCCCGCCGTCGGTCGTCAGAATCTCTCGAATGCGCGCCGACGACGATGTCAAGTAGTTGAGGTGAGACAGTGAGTTCACCAGCGGCAGGTCAGCTGTGCAGTCCAGGGCTCGCCGGTCGTATAGCGCAGACGTAATCGACACGCACGCCTTGTTGAGCGAGGGGAAATGAAAATTGGACTCGCGCATGGTCACGCTTATTACCCAGCAGGCTGTGTTGTAGTAGAGAAAGAGCAGAAAAAGAATGGGGAGGCTGACCTCGTTTTATGCAGTTCTGGGACAAGGACAAAGAAAACGAAATATATAGCGAGCAGGTGCTGGGGCACAAATGAGGGGAGAAAAGAGGAATGGGCTCGCTCCGTTGGCAAACAACTAAAAAAACAAGCAGCAAGCGGGGGCGGCACCGGCGAGGAAATAGGCGAGAAAAATTTAAGCTCTCCAATCAAGGCAGGGGGCACAAAGAAGGAAACAGGACAGGTTTCAGAAGCCCACCAGCCAAAACAAGCGAGACGGCTTAGCAGGAGAAAAAGGGAGAGCGAAAGGATATGCGACAGAGCTATTTTATAAAACCGACGGCTCTAAATGTCTTTTTCTCTCCTCTCTACGCGGAAATTGAGCAAACTGAAAAATAACGAAATGTAGAAAAGGCTGCTTTTGTGAGAGAAAAACGGAAGAGAAAGGAAATAAAGATTAAACGGGGAGAGGAAGAGAGAAAAAATCCACTGGTTTTTTTTTCTCGCCTTGCCCGAGCAGATGCAATAAAAACGAATGCCTGGGGAGGGGCAGAAAAGAGAGTGCAGAGGCCACCCACCAATCAGCCGCCTTTTACCAACAAGGCCCAGTCAGCTAAAACACAGAGAATAGCACAAAAACCTGATTGTTGGCTTCTGGCTGGGCTGTTATTTCTTTTCTTTCAGGCATTGAGAGGAAAATGCTGCTCCCGAGGGATGCCATTGACGCCTTTGGGCGAGGGTATCGACAAGGGGCCAGGTACACACTGCCACTGGCCAGGCAGCAAACAGCGCACAGGGGAATTAGGCTGGCGAAAGGGCTGGATGATCCCGTCTCACGAGACGCGATATTCCAAATTGCCAGTGACCGCCCTTTCTCGCAGTTCCCCGATTTGGTGCGCGCGGCATGCAGTCTGCACACCGGGGCGGGGGCGATTAGAATTCGGGCAGCAGGAGCGACTCGGGGGAGAGGCAGGCGGATGACACATTATCTGTTCCCAAAAACCTTGTCCAGCTGGACTAGAGCGGCTGTGGCACAGCCCAAAACAAATATCCGCATGCCTGTCGCTGCGCACAACAGCGCCGTTTTGCTGAACACCGCTTGTTGAGATGCCTTCAAGCCTCCCCCAGCGTGCATCACGTCGCGGTGCCTTCCATGTTGTGTCCACAATCCATAACACTGACTGGCACGATATGCCTGGCAATTCCCAACCCCCGCCTGCGCCGTGGGGGATGTGTTCGGGATCGCCGCTTGTTGTCATTTCTCTCGATCATATATATTGCCACCTTTCTTCCTCCACACGCCGAAACAACTAATTGCCTGCTCCGCCATGTCGCCAATAAGCCGCGCAGCAGTGCTCGATGTCGAGCAGCGCCTTCTGCGCTTGCGCCGCGGGGAACAGGTAAATAGGCGCGCTCTATCTCTCTCGCTCCCACACTCTTCCCCGTGGCTCCGAGAAGAGAGAGAAATTACGGAAGAGAATGCGCATGCGTGCCGCCGGAAAGAGGGGCATGTTCATTAACCAGCAAACGGAATACATGCAAATCGTGCCCCACCCACGACGTAGCAGAAGGCACTCCTCGGGGGAGGATCCTGTGCACTGTCCGCCCCTCGGAACGCCCCAGTTCCTGAGTAAAAGTGCCTTAATGCGAACAGCCGGTCACATGTTCCTACCTAAATTGGGGAGGCCAGGAAATACAGGCCGCTGACAACATCCCACACCCCCTGTGCTGTCTGTAGGACGCTGAGGTGCGCGCGGCACGGCGCCGATACTTGGAGCAGCAAGACCTGTTTGAATGCAGCGAAGAACACGGAGACGCGCTTACAAAAAAGGCAAGTGCCTGCGAACGAGAGGCAGCGGGATAAGGGGAAGCAGAGGGATGGGCATTCAGCCCGACACACCATGCGTAAATTAAAGCCCATCTATTGTCCATAGGCACTCTTGCTGGCCCAGGCCAAGGCGAGTCTTGTCCTGCCTGACAGCACGCCGCTGCTGGACATCAATGTCGCCATGGAGAATGTCCCCATTGATGCAAACATCAGCATGCATATTGAGCGCAAGCTGGCCTGTGTCCAAGCCATCCCGGGCATCACCGAGTTGTCTGGCCTGCCGACGCCCGCTGACGCAGAGCACGCGCAGCTGGATCTCATCCGCGCCCATGTGCAGTATATTGCCGAGCTCACAAACGAAGCCACGCTCCTCTGCTCGTTGTGCGCGCTGGAGCGCAGCTCGCCCATTTACGAGACCGCCCAGGCGCTGGAAAGCTACTTTGGCGGACTCATCCACAGCCTGTCGCTGAAGCTCCGCATTATTGCTGCTGACATGTTCAACGAGCTGTATAGCGCCGAGACCGTACAGGCGCTGGAGTCGCTGCGTGGCCTGTTGAAAACCGAGGAGGCACGGCTGCTCAAAGAACAGGCCGTGCTGGACGAGCAGCTGGCGATCTACCGCGAGGCTGGAGAGGAATTCCAGGAGATTGCCCAGTCCTATGCCCGAATTGTCCAGGAAACACAGGCTGTTCGTCGCGACATGGCCGATTTGCAAAACCTGTAGCAAAGGAAGGATCTTGATACACTGGAGCAAAACAATATACACCTGTGCTGGCCATGCCCACCAGTGGCGATCCAAGCAGTCGTTGGAGAATTAGTAAATAGATGCCATGTGGTAGTGGATGGAATCCGAGAGGGGCTGGCAGCATCAATACACCTGGCAGCAATGGAGGTCATCTAGGGGATTGTTTGTGTATCCACGCATTATCAATGCCTAACCTGAAAGCCCATTTCAGCTACACAGCCCTATTTTTGTGCTGTGATAGTGAAACTCGGCTTGTTAACAGCTCCCTTGGATGTCTCAGCTGATATCATGCTACAGCCAGTGACGACTGTAGCACTCCAACAATACGAGCTTGCGTATGTCCCAGGATCGACATCGTCGCCCTAATTTGATAATCGGCCAAGTGGGGAGCATATTAATCCCAGCTAGTTGATCATGCTTGCGTTCTCCTTCGCTCAGCACCATCTATATAGCATCCTTTAAACAATAGCGGATGGCTTCTGATGCACCAAACTCAATGACCTCAGTCAACAATACGGCAGGCGCATTACCAGCTACCAACAATATGCGTGTGGCATGATCAAACTCAAAACGTGATATATGATTCGATTCAATATACTTGCTCATTTAGTCTGCCCATCCAACTCATCATATCACTGAGTCGCTCATGTATAAAACTCAAGCATAATATTTCTGAACTCGACAAACTCTACAACTCTTTTACATCGCCTAGGGTCGCTAAACTGTATTTAAAGCATGCGGTACTCCTCCGTTTCTCTCTCGCCCACTATCCCACTACCCATCTTTCTCTTTGAGCTTCCTTTATCACCTTCAGCAGCACAATTGATTGTTCTATCACACTATCGAGCAGCCTATGGAGGACGCTGACGATCAAGCATTCAGGTTCGCCAATGCATTGGCAAGATACCTCGAAACATCTGAGGTTTGGAGCCAAATGGAGGCTCGCCAGCACAGTGACTACAGCATCCGCACAATCGATGCCCTCACTAGCGCAAACATCAGGACTCGCAGCCTCATTGCTGCCCTGCCTGACATCAGGTACCCCATTTCGGTTGGTGAGCAACTACAAGCAGTCAGTATGGAGACTCGGCTCGGAAGCATGAGCAACCTCATAACTGCCATCGACAAGTACGCCAATAGCGCTTTGAACCCGGACAAGTCTCGTAAACCTGGTATTCTGCCGCTTGCTCGGACTAGTACTGGCCCCGGAACCTCAAATGCCAATTTGATTCATAACCAGAGAATTTTTTCGGGCGAGACTGGCAATGGAAAGAGCTACTTCATGCTCGAGATTGCGGCGCATATCATCCGGCAGCATGGCAACGGGCGAGTGATCTTTGTCAGGGACTGCAACGAATGGGTCAACTGCAAAGAGTTTTACGTCGACGGCCAGGCAGTACCCGATTGGCAAGCCAAGGTCGCGTACCTGGTGCAGGCAATGTTTGTCGCGTTTGATGAGGAGGAAGGATTCAACGAGATACTCCAGGATGTTGATGTTGTTTCGACAACCAACATTCGCACATTGGCTAGAAAGGTTGCAATGGGGCTAATCTCATTCGGTACTAGACGAGGATCATTTGCCAACAGAAACGGGAACACAATCTACTTGCCGCTCAAGCCATTCTTTTTCTTTGACAACATTGATGCTGTGTTCGGACCGGATGGACCTCTCGATCGCGATGTCCACATCATCATCCATGAGCTCAGGAGCGCAGGATTCTTTATTGTTGGTGCGCCCCAGGGCAACACAAACATGGGGGAATATTTTGGTAGTGATCCGCTATGTGTCCCCATCCATATCCAACCTAGGGTCTGATGGGAGGAGGACTATGAGTATCCCCTGTAGTTTGCACAGCCTCCCCGGTCGCAGGATATTTAAAACACATCTGGCGCTGTAACTGTGGGGGTGTTCCAGCCGCTGTCTTATGACTGCTCCCTCGCAACACTCAGGAGTAAATGCCGGTGAAATCAGTTGTAAACATCACTCACGTGATCATCTGATGGCAAATGGAATTCAAAGACCGAAAGATCGGCGCCATGTCAACCAGGCCACAAAATCTACCAGCCGGCGCAAGCTAGCGTTTGGCTTTTTTTCTCTGCTCATCTAAACAGTCCGTTTTTAAATTTGCATTCTTTCAACATGGCAATCTACTCCGCAACCGTTACTTCGCCAGTCAACATTGCTGTGATCAAGTACTGGGGCAAGCGGGATCCGTCGCTTATTCTGCCAACCAACTCGTCGCTCTCGGTGACGCTCTCGCAGGACCACCTGAGCACACGCACGACGATCGCATGCTCGGCAGACTTCAAGTCTGACCGCCTGTGGCTGAACGGCGTCGAGGAGGACATCCAGGCGTCCAAGCGCCTGGTGAACTCGATTGGAACCGCTCGCGCGCTGCGGGCAGCGGAGGAGGCCAAGAACCCTGAGCTGCCTCGGCTGTCGCAGTACAAGATCCATGTGTGCTCGGAGAACAACTTCCCGACGGCGGCCGGGCTGGCATCGTCGGCCAGCGGATATGCGGCGCTGGTGAGCGCGCTGGGCGAGCTGTTTAAGCTGCCGCAGAGCACGGCGGAGTTGTCGCGTGTGGCGCGGGTCGGCAGCGGGTCGGCGTGCCGGTCGATGTTTGGCGGATTCGTGGCCTGGCGCATGGGCGAGAAGGATAATGGCGAGGACTCGATGGCGCAGCAGGTTGCTGAGCGTGCACACTGGCCGGAGCTCCAGGCGCTGATTCTGGTTGTCTCGGACAAGAAGAAGGCTGTGTCGTCGACCGCTGGCATGCAGACCACGGTGGAGACCTCGGCCCTGTTTGCGGAGCGCGTGCGCTCGGTGGTGCCGGCCCGGATGGAGGCGATGGAGAAGGCGATCCAGGAGCGTGACTTTGCAGAGTTTGCCAAGATCACCATGCAGGACTCCAACCAGTTCCATGCGGTCTGCCTCGACACGTACCCGCCCATTGCCTACATGAACGACACCAGCCACGCAGTCACCCGCATCATCCACGCCTACAATGCTGCTAAGGGATACACTGCTGCAGCCTACACCTTTGATGCTGGACCCAACGCCGTTATCTACGCGCCCAAGAGCGAGATGCGTGATCTGGTCGAGCTGTTCGCATACCTGTTCCCGCGCGACGAGGATGTCCTGGCGGAGGTCTTCTACACCAACCCGTTCAGCCTGGTCAATGCCGAGGAGGTTGGCCAGACCATTTCGGACCCCGCGGTCCGCAAGCTTGCCGAGACTGTCGGCAAGTTCCAGGCTGGTGCGGTGCGCAGACTCATCCACACTGAGGTCGGCGATGGCCCGCGTGTGCTTGATCAGTCCGAGACCCTGCTGACTGAGTCTGGCATGCCGAAGCATGCTCGCGAGTAGGCCACCTGCACAAACCCTATGAACTCTATCCCAATACATCCTGGTAATACTCAACACTACATCTATTTCTACTACTCCAAATCAAAGACGGCCTTGAGCTTCTCGTAGGTAAAGAAAAACACTGCAGTCATGGGCACCATCTTGACGTACCCGATTGTTAGTCCGACAAAAAAACCGCGGACACCCGACTGATGCCAGAGGTCGCTGGCGACCTTGAATGCGCTGGCCCGACTGTTCGGATCGTGGGCACCAGCAACCTGCATCTTGCGACGTAAAAGCTCAAACGGGTAGCTAGCAGTCTGGGCAAACACACCGGTAAGCCCGCCGACAGTCAGCTCCGCCCAGCTCTTCAGCTCCTTCATCTTGCGCCTGCGGCCACCCGCCCTCTTGCGCTCGCCAGGCGGCAGAGCAGCAATGTGTGCAAACCGGGTGCACGCCAGCTCGCGAAGATACTCGCGCGTCAAAAACGACACCCCGCCGTAGGGCACAATCCCAGCCACCGTCAGCGGGAACCCGCGGAAGAAATTGAACAGTCCCAAACCTGTACGCCCTCTCTGTGTAGATTGTCCAGACGACCTGCAGGATGCTCTGTCGCTGCTGGGCTCCGTCGGGAGTATTGTATGCCATCCGCACTCGCACCATGTCCAGCGGGTACGAGACTGCGACTGAGATGACGCCACAGAGCGAGCCTGCCAGGAAATTTCTGAGGTTCTTGTCGTCGATATGCTGGCCCAGCCGCCGCTTCAGCTGCTCGTATGTCATGAGCTCTACCGCGGCATACGGAAAAACACGTGCCAGCTGCATGGAGTACCCTTGGAACAGCCCGCGCATGCCGTACTCACGGTAGATCGATGCGCCGGCCCTGAACATACCAAAGCGGGTGCTTGCGTAGTGCGCGTATTTCGTATGCTGGGTCTGGAACAGGATCCGGACTCGATCCAACGGCGCTACCACAGTCTTGGCTAAACCAAAAGAGCATTCAGGTAAGCCATGCAGCTCTCTTATTCATCTCCCCAATTTCCTCGTGTGGTCAACATGCTATTCATACCTGCACATCCTGCAATCCCCCCAATTGCTCCTGTCATGGTCATATACAGCGCGTTCCCGGGAGATGATGGTGGTGTCGGCACCGCCTTCTCTAGCCCCGCCAACTCACTGCCGCGTGTACTGGCAGAGATTGTAGACATCCTGAAATGGCCTAACAGCAAAGATAACAATAGCGGTTTAAATCCTGGAGCCGCGGCCATTTTTGCAACAGGAAGCCTACGGTGATCAATACCTGATGGGACTGCGGCAGTATTGTGGCTCGCGGTACTCTGCCAGCGATAAGCCAAAGGATATGTCCAATATATGCACGCCTTGCATGTGCGTACATGTGAAATTAACCACCAGGACTCAGGGAGCCCGCGCCATCATGGTATGCTGATGGATGCCAGGCCAATAATGCTCCAGCCAGTATTAAAACCACAGCCTAATGGCCTATGTAACAATACAATGTACTTTGTTATTCTAGATCGAAGATAGCCTTGAGCTTCTCGTACGTAAAGAACGAGACAGCAAACATCGGCACAACCTTGACATAGCCAATGGTCAGCCCGACAAAGAACCCGCGCACTCCAGACTTGCGCCAGACATCGCCCGCGATTGTGACTGCGCTCGCCCGGCGGTTCGGATCGTGGGCGCCAGCAATCTGCATCTTCCGACGCACCAGCTCGAACGGGTAGCTTGCGGTCTGCGCAAAGACGCCCGACAGGCCGCCAGCTGTCAGCTCCGCCCAGTTCTTCAGCTCCTTGACCTTCCGCCTCCGGTCGGTGCTAGGCTTGCGCTCAGCCGGCGGCAATGTGGCAATGTGGGCGAAACCGCGTGCGTGCCAACTCCATGAAATACTCGTGCATCAGGAACGACACGCCGCCATACGGCACGATCCCCATCAGCGACAGAGGGAACCCGCGGAAAAAGTTGAACAGCCCGAAACCTGTACGCCTTCTCTCTGTAGATCAGCTTCGCCACCTGCATGACGCTCTGCCGCTGCCGCCTGCCGTCTGGTGTTATATACGCCATCCGCACCCGGATCATATCCAGCGGGTACGAGACCGCGACCGAGATGACGCCGCAGAGCGAGCCTGCCAGAAAGTTCCTCAAGTGGGCATCGCTGAAATGCCGCCCAAGCTGCCGCTTCAGCTGCTCATATGTCATGAACTTGACCGCTGCGTACGGGAATATCCTCGCCAGCTGCATCGAATGACCCTGGAGTAAGCCCGCGCACGCCGTACTCGCGGTAGATCGATGCCCCGGCCTTGAAGAGCCCAAAGTGCGTGCCTGCGTACCGGTGTGTACTTTACGTGGTGTGTTTGGAACAAAATCTTGACCCGGTCCAATGGCGCCACCACCGTTTTGGCTATAAAGTAAGTGTTAGCGACTGGCCACTCCCTCTATTACTGTGTGGAATAATGGTTCCTCTCCTCGTACCTGTGCAGCCTGCAATTCCGCCAATTGCGCCGGTCATGACAGCATATCTAGTGTTTTCCGACGACGGTGCCTGGTCCATTAGCAGCCACAGCTTCCAGGTTTCTGGAGCCCGGCGTTCCCTGCCCGTGCGTCGTGCTGCAGTACCAGCCCGCTCTCGTGTGCAGCAGCTACGTCCGACATGTGTACAAATATAGATAAGATAACAATACAAAAAGGGGTGTGTACAGAGTAGAAGGGGGTCTGTGCTGGAGAGGAGAAGAAGGGTGGACAGGACAAGAAGGCGGGGGATCACAGGACGGCTTTCACAAGGAGCCAATCCTAGGGAGCAAATAGAAGAGCAAAAATCAGACGGGCGGCGCTGACCACAAAAAAGGTGGAAAGCCAGCGTGAGAAGTCAAAAAAAAATATTTCTCATCAGTTTTTTCTCACAAGACTGCTCGTGCATAATCGCGCCTGATGTCCACAAATGGATATCGGGGGGATCACGAGCTATCAAAAGCGATCCGCACTGATAGCGCGTACGTGTCTCTGCGGCTACCACGGCATCACTTGGGCAGCACTGGCACGGCTAGCCACACGCAGTTTTGATGGATGCGACCTGCATATCATGGAAATGCAGGTCCTCTCGTGATGGGAGGCACCGAATGTGTACGTGTACATTGTGTGAAAATAACGATAAAAGTAAACAAACACATGGCAGCTGAGGGCTGGCAGCAAAAGCACCAAATGTGGTAAGGGCACCTTCGTCTTTGCATGCATCCATACATCTCGACGGTTGCTGTCACGGTGTTATTGCTGACCACCAAACCACCAGCAATAACAATCGTGCAACCCTCGATGGCTGTCGAGAATGCATCAAGCGGGTACCTGCATAGCGCCTGATGCAACCCTGTACTGCGGATACCTAACATCCGGCTTGGTTGTAGTGATGTTCAGAGCATAGTCGGTAATGTCCATCCACATTGCTCAAAACCGCAGGTCAGCTGCTCAGCCCGCTGGCAATCGTCGTATTGTTGTCCATGACAATGATGTTGGGCGATGCCCGTGGCGCGCTCATCATGGGTGTCATCCATAAATCGTCTTGTGTATCAGACACGTCAACGGTTGACGCAGTCTTGAAGTTGAGGATCGAAGCTACCGGCGAAAATCACATAGAGGTTTCCTATCGTGCCTGCCGGTATCGAGGACCAGACAGACGAGAAGCGCGTTGTGGCCCACGGTCTGGAGACCCGGTGGTAAATGTCGACGATTTCTGTATATGCCCTGTTCTCAACATAACCACCGCCAAACAGCGCATGTTACCGGGCTGAGGCTGCACAGCAATACATGACCGGGGAGCAGTGAGCATGCCTGAATGGAATGTCCAGTCGCTAAGTGCTTTTGAGCCTGGCAGGGGGCTGGAGCTATCGCCAGTCACAGGTGCAGCAGCGGATGATGTGAAGGGGCAGAAGGCTACGGATAGTAGTCTCAGAGATGATACAGACATGGCTTACAGTAATAGAAGATATGGAAAACCAAAGGTGATTGAAGGGAGAGGTGGCATCAGGCAAGAAGACAAGATAGACAGCCGACAGTGGACTGACCAGCTGTAAATCTGAACATGGTCAGAGATTTCTAGGCTTGGGAAGATAGCGAAAGGCTAGACTCGTTTCAGCTATATTACTCGACCAAGTACGGCAAGAACTGCAGGGTGCTCTCCTCGAGGACATCAGGCAGCTGGATTGGTTCACCAGCAATCCTAGATATGGTATTTGGTTTCCGGAATGGTACCCTTCAACTCCCATTTGCCTTCGAGTGGTGGACGTATTAACCATCACTCAAGGCCGAGTAGCGAGTTCGTTGACCTCGCATACATTTTTGTTTCTGCTAGTCGTCAAGGCGTCCTGTGGGTGGAGCAGGACACATAGGCATCCTCTCCCAGTGTTCGCATTCACCCAGGTGACTTGCTTTTGTACAGATGATCTGTATGAATCTATTTATATCTTGATACTGTCCTGGCTGCACCGATGCTGCATGCCTCGCGCAGCTACATCGTATGTAAATAATAAGTAGTAGGATATATGGTGTGAAAATAACTATAAAAGTAAACAGAATACAGGGATAAATATGTGGAATAAGAAAGTGTCGAAACCATGACACTCTAGTGCTTGCATGCATTGAACAGTTCGACAGACCCAGTCACATTGCGGCCCTGGTACACGTCACCGCCAGCAATAATCAGCAGGCAGTCATCAACGACCGTCGATCCGGCATCCGTCCGGTGTGTGTACAGCGCCGGCTTGTGCTTATCGTTCTTGACGAACTTGAGTGTGCGGGTATCAAACACATCAAAGTCCTTGGTCAGCACAGTACCGTCAACAAACACAATGTAATCGCCGATCGCATGGGTGACAGGGTAGTCGCGTGCAGTGCTCAGGGACACTGGGCTGCACCAGCTGTTGGTCTTCAGGCTAAACACGTCGACGCGATCCGACACGACTGTATCTGTCTCGGTGAACTTGTGTCCGCCGCCAAACACGAACACGCCATTGGCAGCTGCGCTTCCGGCGCCCCAGCGCGGGTCAGGGAACAGCGGGCCGCGGGAAATCTCCGGCTTCCCGCTGGCCTTCAAAATGCTCGTCTGGTTCGACGCCTGGAAGTCATTGAAGCGCTCGCCGGGCTTCTGATTCTCGTATCCGCCGGTAAATAGCCCGGTGCCCGAACGATCCCCGGCCGCGAACCCGTACTGCGGGTAGTTGACATCCAGCTTCGCCGCAGTGATCTTCAGATCATGGTCGATAAAGTCCACCGCGCTGCTCAGGTACTGCAGGTCGCCGCTCAGCCCGCCGACAATCGCCGTCTGGCTGCCAAGATTGATGATCTTGGGCGATGCCCGCGGCACTGTCAGCTGCAGGGTCGACCACGAGTCATTGGATGTGTCATATACGTCGACGGTGGTCACGGGCTTGAAGCTGTCGTCGAATCCGCCAGCGAAAATCCACATAGCGGTCTCCGACCGATCCCGCCGATACTGACGACCGGGTCGATGACAGGTGCGCTGTGCTCCATTTATTGGTGGTCCGGTGGTAGATGTCGACAATGTCTGTGTATGTTTCGTTCTGCAGGTATCCGCCGCCAAACAGCGCGTAGTGGCCGGCTGAGGCCGCGGCAATACGCGACCGGGCGACCGAGAGCGAGGCTCCCTGGAATTGCCAGTTCAGCGGGTTGTCCAGCACATTGGCGCTGTCATCGGGCACCGGCACAGCAGTGGATGACGCGAAGAGGCAGAGGGCTGCCACGCACAACCGCAGGGATGGTACAAGCATGGTGTTGCAGTAAGAAGTAGAAAAAGAAAGGTGTGTGAAGAAAGGAGGAGTAGTGTCTGGTCTGGACAAGATAGAAAGTGCAGGGCGGGCCGACCGCCCTTTATACTAGGGGTTTGCAAACACTAGACCCCCTTTTTGCCCGCTTCAGTGGTTGAGCAGTAATGGTTGAGGTGGGGTGTTGTCCTGAGTAAGGCAGCTGAATACCGCAACACCGATAGCCTAAAAATAAATCCAAAGCTGTACCGTTTGTCACTCTACCACCACAAAAGCCCTTCGCGCCTCTCCCCAATAGGCTGCGCAAAAATTCTTGAACAGCTTGGCCATGTCCAGGCCAGACGCTTTCTCCAGCATGGGAATCCCGCCTACACAGCAGCAGAAATACCGACACCTAAGAATAGGGTGAATGCTGACCTTGCAGCTTTTTCCACTGTTCTTGTGCATAAGAAGCGCCGGTGCTTCCACTGGCTTGCAGGTAATTTTTTCTTGCGACTAACTCTGACTCGGGTTGCACTGCACTGCAAATCTGCCAGGGCGGTCGCACAGGAAGGCCGAGGAACACCAGGCTTTCTTTGCACTTCAAAATCCCAGACTTTTTGAGACGCCAGTTACCCGTAGATGAACAGCAATACTTGCCTTTTTGTGCTAATAAAGTGATCGGGCGGCCAATCGGCGGATGAAACCCAACCTGCCGCTGGTCCATCAACTCGAGGAATTAAGCGCCAAATCCACACTGCGTCTCAATCCATATTAGCCACACCGCTTTCCCCGCCACATTCTAAATTTAACAGCAACGGACATGGCCGTTGGACGTCTTGGGATCACAAACAAATGCATCTATTGATAGAATCCAGGATGAGAGGGGGGCGTAAATAGTACGAGATGGAGGGGAGGACGGAGGTGGATCTGGGAACATGTGTATCTTTAGAACTCGGCGTCGTACTTGCTATAAACTGCCTCACGCATGATGCGGACAGGCGGACTCAGCTTTGTCCACTTGGCCAGCTGATGCACACCCTGCTCCACCAGCACCTCGACGCCGTGCACGACATTCCATTTGTTTCTCTGCGCAGTCTCCAGCAGCGGCGTCCACCGCGGCTTATACGCCATATCCAAAGCAACGCCGTTCTCGCCAAACAGCTGCTCGGGGATCACCAAGTCGCATCCGGGGATGGTGCCAATAATATACGTCGGCTTCAGCTCAGCGGCATCCAGCAACTGCCCAACCACAGAGACATTCAGCAGGCCTGAGAATTCGTTGGCCAGCTGGTGGGCGCGCGAAGCAGTGCGGTTGAATAGTGCGACATTGCGAACGCCCAGAGTGTAGAGCGCATAGAGCGCAGCGCGAGAGGTGCCGCCGGCGCCAATGACCAAAGCAGTGGCAGAGGTGAACTTCTGCGTACCGGCGGTTGCCCGCGCACGCTCCAGGCAGCCGCAGATGCCCAGGTAGTCAGTGTTGTCGCCGACCAGCACGCGCTTCCCGTTGCGGATCTCTGGAATAACGGTATTGACAGCGCCGATCGTCTGGGCCGCGTCGGTCAGCTCGTCCAGCATCGGGATGATCTCCTGCTTGTACGGGATCGTGACCGAGGCGCCGCCAAAATCAGCCGCAGCAATCACCGCTTTGAGTGGGTCAGCAGAGGATGTCTCGTTCAGACGGTACATGTGCGGCAGACCCAGGGCAGCAAAGCCAGCGTTGTGCATGGCAGGGCTCGGCGAGTGCTGGATTGGCGTGCCAAACAGGTAGAAGCTGCGGGCCGGCAGTTTGCCCATCAGTGAGCGCGCCTGGCTAATTTCCTGCACGCTGATCTGGCCAGGCGCCGCGGCTGCCGTCAGTGCCGGGTGGGTGACCGGCGTCAGGCACGGGCACAGCACGCGCGACATCTGGCCAGTATAGCCCATGTTGAGCGCAATCAGCGGAGCAGCAGCCGAGTGGTGCCTCTGCGTGAACTGCAGGCACTTCAAGTTGTCCTCCCACGCATTGGCCACGGAGATCAGCTTGACAATGTCGCCGCACGCACGGCCACGGGCCAGGATCTCGTTGGCAAACTCGCAGTCAGTCCATGTCAGCCTGGTGCCTGCAGTGTCGTGGTACGAGGAGATCACCAGCGAGTTTTGCTTTCCTGCAAACACTTTGGCGGCCACAATGTTGTCGATTTCCACGTCGACATACTCGGCGCCCCAGCGCACCGCCAGGTGCAGCAGCCGGGAGCGCAGGGCATCAGCCGAGCCCGGGAACCTGCCGCCCTGCGGCTCGGTACGCACTGTGAACACAACCGGTAGGCTTGAGCTGTGACGCAGCAGAGTGAACTGCGACTGCACGTACTCGACAAAGGCCTCCTGCACGTCTGGCTGCCTCAGGTCGGCTGCAGCAAACTGCTGGTTGTTGAGCAACAAGTCCGCACGCATCTCGATGGCCTGTGATCCGGCAGTGACGTCACCCAGGGTATCAGGCAGGTATGCACGCACGTCGTCAGCAGTCAGTGAGACAAAGAACGACGGGCTGCTGAGATCGACGCGGTTGAGGCTGCGCGCAGTGGCAAAATTCAGCAGCCGCACAAAGTCCCGCTCAATCACTGGCCACGCATTAGCTACCAGCGACTTGTCCACCAGGAACTCGTAGTTGCAGCACTCGGCGTACAGCGGGCGGCGTTTCTGGTACACCTCATAGATATCGCTGGTGATGGCATATGCCGGGCGGGTCTTGTCCTGCTCCAGGTACTCGGCCACGTGCTTCATGTTGGGCGTCAGGCACACGACGGCGCCGCCGGTCTTGGCGTACTGTTTCAGATACGCCCGGTTCTGCTCGCTCTCGACTACACCTCCGCCGCAGGCAATCACAGCACCCTCTGGATGCTCCTGCTCCAGTGCCTGCACAAGCATGGCACGCTCGTGGTCGCGGAAGGCTGGCCAGCCGTCAGCTTTGATGATTTCGGGGATGGTCTTGCTGATTTTGCTCTCCAGGTACGCGTCCATGTCAACAAACTCAAGGCCCAGAGCCTCAGCTGCTGCCTGACCTAGTGTCGACTTGCCAACGCCGCGCATGCCAATGATGACAATGCTGGGCTTGGCTGCCACGGCCGTCTCCTTGTGCTCAGCTTCGAGCGGCTCGGGATCCGAACCGGCGGTGGGCGCGCCCAGATCGCGGGCTAGCACGTCCCACCACTGCGGCCACGTCTTGCCAACACACCGGCGCTCACGGATCTCAGCGCCCAGCGGAGCCACGCACGACAAAATCGAGAAGCTCATGGCCACGCGGTGGTCGTCGTAGCAGTGCACACTAGGAGAAACCGGACCCAGATCGCTGATCCTGACTCCGTGGACGTCGATACCGTCGGCATGGTTCTCGCATGTGACGCCAAACTTAGCCAGCTCGTCGCACATGGCCGCAATGCGATCGCACTCCTTGACATGCTGGTTGGCAATGCCGCGGATCCGCGTCACGCTGCCGTTGGCCGGGGCCACAGCGGCCAGAACCGCTGCCGTCAGGAATGCGTCGGTCATGGGTTCCATGTCAATGTCGCCTAGAGCCTTCAGCGACCCGCGTGCCGGGCCGGTCACTGTAGTCGATGTGGCGGTCTGCTCGACCGTGCAGCCCATGGGCCGCAACACATCCACAGCGAACCGCGCGTCTCCCTGCAGCGATGCCGAGCCGATGTTCGGCACCGTGACCGTCGACCCGGTGATGGCAGCAAATGCCAGCGGGTACGTAGCCGAGCTAGCATCGCTCTCCACAACATACTCGGCCGGGTTGGTGTACGGCATGGTTGGAATCAGATACTCCTTCTCCGACACACGCTCGACATTGACGCCAAACTGGGCCATCATGGCTATCGTCATGTCAATATACGGCTGCGAGATCACCTTGCCGCCGACAAGAACCAGATGCACAGGCGTCTGCGCATACGGCGCCGACAGCAGAATCGAGGACACATACTGCGAGCTGACTGTGGCCGCCAGCTCGATCGTGCCGCCCGGGAATCCCTTGCCGGTGTGCGTCACGCGTAGGGGCAGCGATCCCTGGCTCTCCTCGTACACGATTTGGCAGCCGTTGGCACGCAGGGCGTCGACCAGCGGGCCGATCGGGCGCTGCTTCATGCGCGCATTGCCGGTCAGGACCGTTTCGCCGGAATCCCCGCCGATCAGATTAACCGTCGTCGTCAGGAAGCGTGCTGCCGTGCCGGCATTACCCAGATACAGCTCGCTGCCCGGCACGCTGAGTTGGCCGCCGCCGCCACGCACCACCAGCGTGTCGCCGTCGTCCTCCCACGAGAACCCACAGCCGCCCATGTCCTGCAGCGCACTCAGCATCACCTGGGTGTCGTCGGAATGCAGCAGGTTGCGGATGCGGCACTCGCCCGAGCCCAGCGCCGCCAGAACCAGCGCGCGGTTCGAGATCGACTTGCTGCCAGGTGGCACCACCACCACCGGCGAGCCGCTAGCTGAGTCGCCAACCGGCTTGACCAGGACGCCGGCCGAAATCACCTCCTCGATCATTGCGTCATCGACATTCGAGGGCTTGAGCTCCACACATTCGCCGAGGCGCTTCAACAGCACAATGCGCTTCTGTGTGCCGACGTTCTTCTTGTCGACACGCATCACCTCCATGAGCCGGGCCGGCCGCACCTCCTTCAGCTTGGCATCGCCCACCAGCCTGCGGATGATCGGGTCGTCGATGGCTGTCGGCAGACCGTAGGCGCGCAGGCAGCGCGTCAGCCGCGCCACACCGACCTCGCCAATGTAGCCGAGGCGGCGGGAAAGCTCTGCCTCCAGCACGCAGCCCACGGCCACGCACTCGCCATGCAGCACCTGCGGCGACACAATGGCCTCGATAGCGTGGCCGATCGAGTGGCCAAAGTTCAGCAGCCCGCGCATGCCCGACTCGCGCTCGTCGTGTGTCACCACATACGCCTTGACTCGGGCTGACGCAGCAATCACCCGCAGCAGCATCTTCTGGGCCTCGGAGCGGGTTGCAATCGTCAGACCCTCGAGCCCATCGCCACTCTGCCCCTGCAGCACTGCCTTGCGTACGCTCTCGGCGCTGGCCTCCAGCACATCGAACTCCTCGGGACTCCAGATCGCCGCCGTCTTGACCACCTCGGCCATGCCGTTGGAGAACTCGCGCGCTGGCAGCGTGCTGAGAACTGCCATGTCCATGAAGATCCGCTTCGGCTGCCAGAATGCCCCCACCAGGTTCTTGCCCGCCGGCGTGTCAATCGCCGTTTTTCCGCCGATCGACGAATCCACCATCGCCAGCAGTGACGTCGGAATCTGGATGAACGGCACCCCGCGCATGAACGTCGCCGCCACAAACCCTACCAGATCGCCGATCACACCGCCGCCCAGCGCCAGCACCATCGTGTCGCGTGTGCAGCGCTGCGAGAGCATCCAGTCCTCGATCTCGCCCTTAGTCGCCCGCGACTTGCTCGTCTCGCCCGGCGGCAGCACTCGCACCAGCAGCCGCGGCGACGCCTTGGAGCCGTTGATCGATGCCCATGCGCGCGCGAAGCTATCCTGGTACTTGTGGAGGTACAGTGGTGCCAGGTTGGTGTCGGTGATCAGCACGTACGTCGACGCCTTGGTGAGGTTAGTGAAAATGTCGTGCCAGATATAGTCGGTTAGGTGGAACCCGCACACGATGCTGTCGGATCCGAGGACCGGGATTTTCTCGACCTCAGCCAGCTGCAATTCGGTCTTGCTCATTGTCGTTCTAGAAAGAAAAGAGAGGGCTGTATTGGTAATGGATCAAAAATGAGATAGAATGGAGGAGAGTTGGTGAGGAGAAAAGGGCTCAGGCTCGGCCGCGCCCACTGTTAGCTCGTCTAGTTGCCCCCTGGCCCCGACAATGGCGCATTTGTTCTCTGGGCTTCGCACTGGCCCGTTATGCTCTCCACCAAAACAAAATTTTATTTTGTGACTCAGCACGACTACAACCTGGAAGCAGCCTGGATGTGGCAGCGCGCCCGCGCATTGGCGGCAAAATCCCCGACAGATTTTGTCATTTGGCGAACAGCGCCATGTAGTCCTTTCGAGGCTGCTGCTTGGCCTTCTTGCCAGCCGCGATCTTGGCCTTGAGCTTGGTGCTCGGCGCCTTGGCCTTCTGCTTCGACACTCCGCCGCCCGAGGTCTTTGCCAGCACCTTGGGCGCAACCCCTGAGGCTGCTGCCTGCCGATCGGCGACGGCTGCCGATTTCACCGCAGCCTTCTCTGTCTTCTTCGTCTCCTTCTGCTTTTTGGTTGGCCGCTTGAATGCCTTTGCCGACTTGCCCATGGTTGGTGGTTCTTGCGATAGAGTACAAATATAGCGATTTCTGGGAGCAGCGATGAAGAGAAAAGGGTGCAAAAACTGGGTTCGGGGGTGGAGAAAGAAGTTGATTTCGCTATCCAACATTTTGTGTAAAAAGCACTAGGTGAAAAATATGGAAATTCCCCTTCTTAAGCGCGCTCCTTGCGGAGGAGAGCAACCTGGCGGTCAACAATGAAGCGCTGCTGCTTCTTCAGGCGCATGAGCTTGAAGCGGTCAAAGTCCGACATGGCGGCGCGGCGCTTGCGGGCCTCGAGCTTCTGAGCCCAGGCGGTCTTCTGCCAGGTCTCGGCGATCTGATCCTTCTCCAGGACCTTGGCCAGAGCCTTCGAGCCGATGGTGCGCGGAAGGTTCTTGACGACGATGTCGGTCAGAACAACGTTCTTGTACGCAATCACCTGGCGGGCAACCGAGGTGGTCGGGCCGTCAATGATGGCACGGTTGTGGTCAACAATGTCGACGATGGTGGCGATCTTACCGGCATCGGCTCCCTTGGTGACAAGAACGACGCGGCCAACCTCAACGAGACGCTTGAACGATCCCTGCTACACAGTATTAATAGTGGCCGCGCTGGGGGGAATTAGCAAAAGCACGTTTGTTTGGTTCTGCTGCTGTCCACCTGTGCTGAATTGGTGTTCAGTGGCGTAGCGTGCTGCCTCTCCAAGCAGCCTTTGTGGCCTACTGGGCTCTGGCATCAGGAATCACAGGTTCCCGTTTACAAGATGGAATGCGCAAATGCAGGTGCAGGGATGGAAGAGCTGGGTTGCGCATGCGTTTTGCTCGCTGGGACTGCCCCGCTCAGAACGCAACAGCCTCCGGCGGCAAATTGGTACAGGACCTGCGGGCTTCGAATTTCAGCAATTTCTCCCAGCCCTCCCTCGTCCCACAACCGATTTTTCTCCCGCCGCGTATCCATTGTGTTTTCCGGCCGACCAGCGTCCATGGATGCGCCGCGATCCGACATGGATACGAACCATTTTTATGATTTTATCGAAGTCTGTGATGGGACTGAGCGGAAAAGAGAGAACGCCCTGAGCTCACGGCGTTGGCTTGCGTATTCAGTCTGGGGCTGCGAATCTCAAAAAATAGCGACCATTGGACATGGCTCGTCACGTGTGGTAGATACAATCTGATCCCAAAACCGATTGCGCAGGATCATCTGTAATTAGATCCTGTCCTGCAGCCAGCCCGCCCTTCCGCGTTTGGGCATTGGCAGGCGGGGATGCTCACGCACGCAAGCTGGCTTTTACGGCGCAATTGTTCGCTTCTTTTTGCTGATTGCGACAATAAAGCGGCGTTATGAAGTTTTGTTTTTGGAACATGGAGTTCGCAGTTCCTAATTATAGACAGAACACCATGCTCTCCGTTGCAATTATTGCACCTCTGGCCGGCCAGAGGAGCAGCAAGGCTGACATATGCGCGCCAGTGACTCCTGACCCAGCGCCGGGCGGGCTGGGGACGAGCACTGGCCGTGCTACACCATGTTGATTGTTTGTCTTTCGCTTCGCTTATATTGACAAGCGGAGATCTTTAAACAGAACTACTGTGCAATCCTCAAGTCTGCTGCCCCGGAGGAGGATGCAAGGCGGAGGGTCCATGGATACGCCCACGGCAGGAGGGGCTCGGGAGAGCAAAACCTGCTGGAGACAGCCCTGATGCGTCGCCTGCCTGGAAAGGAAAGAACGACACAGGCAAGGGAGGAGGGAAAGATCGCCAGCGGGGCCATTAAGCGATGCATTCGCAGCCTGCGTAACAACCGTCCTTCAGCTTGAAGAATACAGCGGCGGGTCTAGTTCGCGGTGCGAAACAGGCCGCTTGTATTTGTCTCCAGCCCAGCCCCCGTCCTCAGCCGACCTCTTGGGCTTTCCGCCTCTTTCCTCCGTAATTTGTACAAAACTTTTACACTTTTTTTTAATTTCTCAGTCCTGTGTTTTTGTATTTTTTTTATTGCCTCTTTGCCCTAAGCAGACCTTGAGCACGCCCCTCCTTTCATTCTATACTCCAACACACAATGGGCGGGTGCATGTCACAGCCATATGACGAGGAGGCCCTGCGGAGCGCAGAGATAGACCGGCAGCTGGAGGAGGAGCGGGACCGGCGTAGCCAGGAAGTGAAGATTCTGCTGCTGGGCAGCGGCGAATCGGGCAAATCGACAATTGTCAAACAGATGAAAATCATTCACCAGAACGGGTACACGCGCGAGGAGCTGGCGCTGTTCCGCATGACCATATACAAGAACGTGCTGGACAGCGCACAGGAGCTGGTGGTAGGCATGCAAAAGTGCCAGCTGTTCCCGCAGGACGCGCACAACATGGACTTTGTCAACACAATACTCGGCCTGAACATTGAAAAGACGCTGGCGATAAACATCACGCCCGAGTTTGTCGAGGGGATCGAGGCCCTGTGGCGCGACCCGGTGATCGAAAAGCTGATAGTGCGCACCAGCGACTTCTACCTGATGGACTCGGCGCCGTATTTCTTCAACAACATCCGGCGGATCGGCGACCCAAAGTACCTGCCGACCGAGGCCGATGTGCTGCGCGCCCGTTCAAAGACCACAGGCATCATTGAGACGCGCTTCATGATGCACCACACGTGCATACACATGTTTGATGTCGGCGGCCAGCGGTCGGAGCGCAAAAAATGGATCCACTGCTTTGAGTCGGTCACCTCCATCATCTTCTGCGTGGCATTGAGCGAGTACGACCAGGTGCTGCTGGAGGAGGCCACACACAACCGCATGGACGAGAGCCTCGTCCTGTTCGACTCGGTCATCAACAGCCGGTGGTTTCTGCGCACCTCCATCATCCTGTTTCTCAACAAGATCGACCTGTTCCGGAAGAAGATTAAAATTGTGCCTCTCAGCCGCTACTACCCAGAGTACACGGGCGGACCCGACGAGAAGCTGGCGACGAGGTTTGTGCTGTGGAAGTTCACGCAGGCGAATCGCGCCAACCTGCAGCTCTACCCGCACGTCACCCAGGCCACAGACACGTCCAATATCCGCTTGGTGTTTGCGGCCGTCAAGGAGACCCTGCTGCAGAACGCTCTGCAGGACAGCGGCATTTTGTAAGCGCGTTTTTGTCATCCAAACATCACAGATATCTTAATCAGCTCTCTTTACTTTTTTACTCCCATTTATACGCACCACATTCAACACCCACCAGCAGCCGGCAATATGCCACCAGCCGGGCGCAATATAGCCCAGGCCTATCGCGCACATGGTCATATATAATGTCTTGTTTTTTGTAAACGTGAGTCGCTACTACCGGCGTGCTTCTTACTTTTTCCGTCCACCATTCTTCTTGGACTTGCGTTCGCGCGACTTCTGGGCACGCAGCTCCTTCTTCATGCGCCTATCTACCATCTTGTACTTGCCCGTGATGCCCTTGGGGCGTCCCTGGATGCCACGGTTGCTGTTCTTGGCCACCACCAGCTGCACCTTCTGCTTGGGCTTCGCCTTGGTCGCGCGCTTGATCATGCGGTCAATGCTGCGAGCCTTTTCGGCCTCAGTCATATCCTCGTTCTGGATAACGCCCTCAGCCTTCTTCTGCATGCCGGCAATACGCTTGGCCGCGCGCATCTTCTTGCGCGCCTTGGCCTCGGCCACCTTCTTGATCGGGCGGGCGTCCAGGGCCCGCAGCTTCTCGCGCAGCATGCGCACGGCCTCCTTGGTGACAGGCAGTGTTGGCTTGTTGTGCCGGTTCTCATCGTCGAGGAACCATTCGGGCAGGTTCTGCGAGTCGTTGAATGTGTAGCGGTTAAAGTGCTTGTCGATGAGGTCGTGCTTTGACGACTTGCGGTTCGCCAGCTCGCGCACCATCGTCATGGCCTCGGGTGTTGCCAGATCATAGTCAGCCTCGCGCTGCTCGTCCTCCAGCTCGACATTCTCTGGGTCGCTGTCGAACTCCTCAGCAGACACAACCTCAAAGTCGTCCGAGTCGCTGGCACCAACATCATCGGCGGTCTCTGTGACAGGACGCTTGCGCTTGCTACCAACCTCCTCGTCCGACAGGTCGTCGAGGTTGACGCCGCCCACACCCTTGAACATGGGCTGGTCGAACCAGATGGCAGAGTTCTTGGACAGCTGCGCAGGCGTGGCATTTACAATGTCCTTCTTGCCGCGCGAGCGCTTGGTGATCTTCTTCTCCTTTGCCTCACGCATCATCGACCGGATATCCTCATCCTCATCAGCCGACATCTCAGACTTGGCAGACGCCTCTGATCCAGACTCCTCGTCGCTCGACCCGCTCTTCTCCGCCCCCTCCTCATCGTCATCGTCGCTGAAGCCACGGAACTCCTCCTCGGCAGCACGCTTTTTCTTGATGTCATACTTTGTGTCCATCTCGCGCTTGCGGTCGACATACTCCGAGTACAGACCCTCAATCTCGTCCTCGAGCATGGCGATGCGCTCGCTGTCGGAGTCAACATCCTCGGCACGCTCCTCATCTTCAGACATCTCAGAGTCTGAGCCAGCAGGCCGCGAACCGAGCGACACCAGCGTCTCGCCAGCCAGCGCTGCCTCAACATCAATGTCATCGACATGGCCGCTGTGGAGGTCGCGGATCTTGCGCTTGTCGCCAACAGTCGACGACGCTGTGAACATTGCGTCAGCGTCCTGCTCCAGACCAATGTCTGTGGGGGTAGTCATGTTGAGCTGCATCTTGACCAGGTTGCGCTGGCGCTTGGCGTTCTGGCGCTTGCGCTCTTTGCGCAGCTTCTTCATCTCCTCGGTCGCTAGCGCGTCCAGCTCACCCTCAACATCGCTGCCTTCGTCGCCTTCCTTCTCCTCGATCTTGGGCTTCTCCTCAGCCTTCTCGAGCTGGAACCGCTCGCGCAGACCCGCACGCCACTTCATCAGGGTGCGGAAGTCCTTCTTACCAAGCACACGCAAATCCCTGCACGCCAGCAGAATATCCTCTGTGGTCTCGGGCAGCTTCACCACCTCCTTGGACTCGTCCGACACAAACTCCATCTCATTGGCACTGCCTAGAATGCCCGCTGGATCGCGACTCTTGACAAAATCCATGGCATCGATCTTCTTGTGCAGCGTGTAGTCGCCGTCCTCGTAGCCCTCGCGGTGGCGCTTCTTCTTCTTGAGCTCAGGCGCAAAGATATCGGTCGAGGTCATCGTCTTGTTGATCTCCAGATCCTCAAACACATACTTGGCGTCGAGGAACCGCGGATCGATTTTCTTGGGCGCAATGAAGTCCTGGCACACAACAAAAATTTCAGCCGAAACGTTACGCGACGACGGCGGCTTGGTCGCCTCCACTTTGCGGAACAGCTGGTTGAACACCCAAATCAAACTGTTGTAGTCCTTGGACCGGAACACCTTGGTCACAAATGTTCCACCCTTACGCAGGAACTCTGTCGCCAGCTTCAGCGACATCAGCACCAGCTCTGCCTGCGAGTACGCATCGTGCGACCAGTTGGAGCCGACGTTGGGCGCACCGTCGTGCAGCACCACATCTGCCTTCCATGTCTTCATCTCCTGCCGCAGCCGGTTGCGGCACTTGTCTGTCAAAATGTCCTCCGCAAATGTAATCACGTTCGGAATCGGTTTGATCGGAACCAGATCCACACCCAGGATAAGGCTCTGCACAGGCATGTACTTTTGCGCTACCTGCAGCCAGCCTCCGGGCGCCGCACACAGATCAATCAGCGCGCGTGCTGAGCCAAGGAAGTTGTACTTTTTGTTCAGCTGGATCAGCTTGAACGCCGAACGGGCGCGGTACCCTTGCTCCTTGGCCAAGTGGTAATACTTATCGAGACGTCCCTTTCCCGACTTCTTCTGGAAACCCATTGTGAAAATATAAAGTGCTAAATTGAACCAGGGGAAAGGAGCAAAGCTAGAGAAGTCCACAAGCCCGTACCAGCACCTCTGCTGAACGCTGGTAGGAACTTTTTTTTTCTCGTCCCTAATTCTGTTGATGAAGGTGATTTTATTCCCTATTAATCTCTTAATATGAGCAACATAAAATCAGCATCATCATGTGCCAGTGGCCGGGTACCAGGTTCCGAACACCGCTTGCAACATACTCGGTATTGTCTGGCTCAGGATATGAATAAAATAGCTTGTATATTGCAAAAGGCGCGGCTCTCACGCAAAGGTATGGGCAAGAGGAAAACTAGGCGCTGTAATAGGACATGTGGTGCGCTGGACTACCAATCTGTGGATCCGGTGCAGATGTCGCAGAGGTATCTTTTGCCCGGGTAGATGTCGTCATTTGGGATGCTGGCAATAACTGAGGCGTGCATTGGTCGACTCAAGATGAGGAAAATGAAGGGAAGGCAAATGGTTTGTCACTTGAGGAGTATGGAGAATGGCAAACTGCTTTTTCTTCCGGAGGTGTGTAGTGAACACTATGCTCTTGGTTTCAGTCTGGCAACCCTGCCCACATGCCGACAAGCGGACCTCATTTTCTGAGCCTCCTGCAAAATGAAATTTGCAATTATTCCGTTGCAAAAGAGGAGGGCAAATCCGCCTGGCATTTGCTTCGGTCAACGATGTGGAAGAAGCTGTGAGGGAAAGGGCACACACCCACAGCACCCTTGGTCGTCCTTTGATATGCAAGAAACCAATTTGCACACCACATACATGTCGATCCTGCCCACATTCTGCCTCTTGTTCTAAGCCTGGCTGCATGCTCTACATTTTGGCGTAGAGGCGAGCAGCATTGCTTTTTCTCAGAAATCCAACTCGGAAAAGCCCACATTGAGGCTATGTACCAAGACAACCTACGAGGGATCTGCATCTGACCACCTAGGGCCTGCAATATCTACGAGCAACTCTGGTTACAGATGCGTACCAGATCTTACTGGAATACCGATATATGTGCCAGCGTACGCCTGTACTGGTGCTCTCGCTCACAGTACCACGCAAAGGATTCAACGAGGTTCTCCATCACACTCGAGAGCGGCTTTTGCTGGGGGCCAATCCTTATCGACGACTAGGAGCATTTCGACATCCCTTTCTTCCTCCGCACGCATTGTGTCGAAAAGCAGTTTACATGGAGGTTGCAGAATATTTTCAGCAAATGAAATGTCGCCAAATTCAACCATGAGGGCTTGGAAATCTTGCCGTTGCAGATTGTCAGAACACACCGCCGCAAGCATCTGCTGGTCATGCGCTTGCATACGTCAGGCATCCCAGAGGTTGTCAGTTTTTCTTTTTCAACAGACACATCCCTGGAACAACCAAAAACGACTCTCACTGTGACGAGAAAAATCTGCTCAAGATTATTGCCATATCTGGGCTCAAATGAAAACCAGCATTACACACGGGCAACGTTGCCAGGTGCCATTTGGGTTTAGAGAAAATAAAAGACAACAGAATGCTTACACTGGTCACGACTCGATACTCTTGGTAAATGCCCACAGTTTGCTTGGTGGGGGTCTGTCCTACCACTATCTTTGCGATTGACATGCGGACGAACAAGTTGCTTCTCTGCATGCTGCATCTCCCGTCCCTCTTCACTTGCTCCTGACCCACTTTTACAGATGGGAGTGAAGAAGGTCGATGTCATGTGCATAATCGGATATGCATACCTGGCGATAAGCGCTGCTGCTGAGGAAGAAATCAAAGAAAGAACCGCTTGCAAAAGACAGAACTAGACCTGCTCTCTCTTGTGGCCACCTGGGGGTTGCAATCCTCTCATCCTGCACTTACCCATGGGATATGTTCCTTCCCAGCCATTTTCCCTCACTCTGGGTGTTCTTAACACCATGAGATCTACTGTCGATACTGTCAGACCAGACCCAGCTTCTGAGAGTTTATGGATATTAAGAACTCTCCTGAGTAGCATGTGTTTGCCGCCATGCTGTGTAATACTTTGCAGTTCACCAGAACATGGCCAAAAATATTGAAAGTGGGTGTTTTCACATTGTACTCCCAACGTGAAGTGCTATCAGCTAGCTGGCACCAACAACATCCATTCAAGAAGTATTTGATAGCCTTGTAACAAAAACTGGCATGTCGGAATAGCCGAATGCCGAGTGACACAAAGTATCTTGCATACAGACATCACCCTCCTATGTTCCAGAGAGAATGGCTGGGCGAGAGCACTGTACGCACATGATTGTGCGGCAGTTGTTGGTTGGGAATGCTCATGAAAATCCATTTGTCTTACTCTCACTGGCCGGCTTTGTCATATTTTGGAGAACAGCAGGTATTTTTGAATGCAGTGGAAGCCCCTCCCCACACCCTCCATGAGGTTCATTAGCTGGTGCCAAAGTAACAAGTGCAAATCCGATACCAAGTGCTATGTGACCAACTTGTGAGGGATGGGATCTACAAACTGGTGTGGAGCAGTGGCTTTGTCCAAGCGAGAGGGCATGGGTGGCATCTTCGGAAGTAAAAAACAGGACAAGTTTCCACATACCGGCACATACCATCGTCCCCTTTTCACAAAAGGGTGTCTTCCGGTGCCCCGTGGCAATGGCGATCCAAAGAGGCATACAGGCACTTTTCCTGAGAGGTTGTACGTCAGCAGGCAGAGGGGCTGATAGGGATGTACAGGAATACACCACATGGGTAACAAGCACTCCCTCTTTTTGGAGCATGCGAACATGCTATTTTCTCGAGAATCTTACTGATGAGCAAGAGACTATGAGCTAAGGCAAGTGGCAATCGTCTTTATATGAAAACATACAGCTCCTGAATAATATAGCAGATATCAGCCTCATTTTGGAGCTGGGTACTGTGCCTTTTGGATAGAGTATGCAACTTTCAACTTTAGTTTCTATTGAAGCGGAAAATGATGCTATCAAACCCAATCTCTGCGTAGATAAGCCATCAGCGATCTCTGCCCACAGGAGGCACCATGCCTGTCATCTGCTCCCTCCCCTCATGACATCCAGCGCTGCAATTGCCGTGACACAGATGTGCATCCAAATTGAGAAGAGACAAGAAAGCCGCTGCTGTTTTTTGCACACCTGCCTTGGTGCTGATTTTCCTTGCCATGCAGGTGGCAGAGCAAGAAATAGAAGGATTATGCAGACCTACTTGTGTGCTGTGGATGGGAGGGTTGGGCACTGGCCAGGCCAGGTGAAATAATGCTACCCGTTTAAAATTGTGACGGTATTTAAAAGCAGGGCAAGAGGACTTTGAAAATTCCCTTACCACCCTCTGCCAACCACTAAAGTTAATCCATTTTCAAGCACAACACACCGGATAACTCTTCCATTCTATCCTTCTTGATTACCGTTCAGTATGTACTTCCACGATATACTCCATAGCAAAGCTACTGAGCTAGTAGCTCCCATGATATGCGTAGCCTATAATAAAGCATGCCACAAAACATCTACTGTGGCGGACTTCGACCAGATAATCGCCTTCCACGACGAGTACCCCGAATATTCCCAGTTCATCCGGTCACTCATGCGCAGAGTGCCTCTCATCTTGGAGAGCATTGTTGAGAGTACGTGCGATGACAGCGATAGTAACATGAAACACTACCGTCGCTGGGTCAGCAACTGTGAATTTTTGCGCAAGCACAACCTGCTTTCCCTCGTTTCAGAGGTACGCATAGTTCAGTTCAATGAGTGCCATCTTGAACTCAACCTTAGCCAAGTGATTGACAGTCTCGATATCCCCCTTGGCGCTATCGCCAATACCAGTCTCCTAATGTTCTTGGGGTTTGGGTTGTTCTCCGCTGGTAAGAACCAGGATCTGGAAATAGCGAAGGCCGAGGCTATGGATACAGTGGATACGATTCTCACCCACTGCCCACATGTTACCAGTCTCTGGCACCATGGCCGTCGCAATTGGGGTTCATCGGCTGGTTTTAACAGGGATATTCCAGGAGTGGGAAGCGAGATTATGAAGGAGCTTCATAGGAGACTGCACTCGCAGCTCACCATGATGCAGGTGATGCGTCCATTTCCGAAAGACCTTGCTGCGCTATTTTCAGAGAATCTGCAGGTCCTTGCATTGGACAGCAAGCTGATTCCTGAGCTCGTTCATTTGCCCAAGATTCCCATCAGCAACCTGCGCGAACTCGAGGTACGTCACAATAACCGCAATGTTGACTGGACTCCGTTTCGGCTTGGGGCTGATGAGGCACTGCATTTCTGGCGCCTAGAATATCTTGCCTTGGAATTTGACAATCCACTCAGGGGTGTGACCTACTGTGCCCCACGCTTCATAAACCTTTTGTTTCCGGCGGGGTTGACGCGAGTGAAGGTTAAGGGACTGGAAAACTCCTACACAGCCATCGAGAATTACCTTGGCATAGCCCAGTGCCGTCCTCTGACGCTTGTCACAGAGCCAGATGGACTCGAGAAAATGGGTCTGCCCATCCTGCGGTGTGCCGCTTTGCTGAATGTAAGCGTTCGAGATATGCACAAAGCCGGCCATACGTCTTATCAGTCAAGAGGGTTCTATAGGCTCTTCGAGCATGGCCAGCAATACATGTCAGGGGCACGAGTCACTGGCATGTATCACCCAATGCCGCCCTTGATCAAGTGGTCGTGGCTGCACTGGCTGCATTTGACTCCGGTTGTAGCAAATGCGAATAGCATGTTGAACATCATCAGCATGCTCAAGCACCTGCAGGTTCTCGTCATTGATGCCTATTCCCTTGAACGTGGACATCTGATGGTAATGGAAAGCGGTCATCACTTTAAGGACCAGAGCAAGGCGTTTTCGGATATCGACGATGCTGTCAAGGATCTTCCAAGCCAGGTCAGCGACCAGCTTGTTCGTCTGGACATTCGGTCCCATAAGCCGCTGTGCATTTCTACCGTCGTACAAGTGGTCTCGCGCCTGCCTAACTTGACTAGCCTCGGAGTCAGCCCTGAGCATATCGGTGCTATGATCCAGGCAATCGGTAGGCGTGCATTCGGTAACCCTGAGAGGGGCTATTGTGCGATTGGTGTGCGCGAGTATTCTTTGCACATAGGGGTCTTCGACGGATAGTACATTATTACTATCTCTTTCCTTATATTCTATCTCCAACTCCTGTTCAGAACGCCGATAGTGCGAGCGCTCGATATACTCCCAGTAAAGCCAGCAAATATATCATATAAAAATATATGCGAATGTCATCTAAAACGACTAGTCGCCTACTTCATCAGCAGTATGGTGTGTGTGCGTGTAATTTACGAAAATACAATGATATACGAAAATATAATGACTGGAAAACGTTCGGAGTTTGTGAGCCTGGGGCAAGAGGCGGATGGTCTAGTTGGCCTTATTTATAGACCCATCTGGTGGCTGTGCTGCGACCCGCTTGCCACCAGTACGTCCTTTTCGGGTAGCAGTGTGTGTACGCAACAAATGGTGGAAGGTTGAAATGCTAGGATTTCTCTGACAGGAGCTGAGGAAGGTTGCTCGGACATCGGGGGTGCTAGAGTGGGTGGCGCCTTTGCATGTATAGTGTTCCTATTATTGCAATTCTTGGAAATTGTCAGGCACGCATTAAGGAAGGTGTCATGCCTAAGCCGCCAACAAAGCAGTAACGACAATGTCGACTTCTTTGTTCAAGGCGGGATGGATTGTACGCGAAGGAGTATATAAAGCTACTCGGTTGGTAAGTGTGATTGAAATGGACATCTTGGAACGACACCCATTTCAACCTTTCTATTTGCATCTTTAGTTTAGTCTTTTTGCCTCGACAGCGTTTTCACAATTATGCTCATCATCAATGTTCACTGCCCACAGTTTAGTTTCCACAGGACTCTGTTTGAAATAGAAGATCAAATCTCCCATCAATATGATGAAGATTGGTAGTGCGAGTAGGAAAATCATTCTCACATCCGAATACTCTTAACTGTTCAGAAACTCTATATCTCAAGATTGCAAGACACAAGTCGCCTTTGTAACCCACTTCAATGGTCGCAAATCATAATAAATGAATCACCAAATTGGTTGTCTTACGAGGGTTCATATAGGTCTGCCTTCCTCAAACGAGACGGCTGAACTGACCTTAGGAGTGCATAGGGGACATCCTCAAACAGGACAATTTCAAAATGCATACCTGTGCGGAAGATTCCTCCAACATAACTCAGTTTTCTCAACTCCTTTTGTCACCACTTCCATTTTGCTGCGAGTCACTCCTAGCAGCGAAATCTGCCTATTGCTTTTCCAGCATCCATTCCTGTTTGTCCCGGCAGTTTATGCAATCGGCTCGACTCACCCAACGGGTATCGCATACAGTGTACTCAGCTCTTGAGGGCACAGTAATGGACAAACCTAACCGAAATGATAACTTTGTGTAGTTGCAGGTGCGCCGTTAATCGAAACCAACATGTGCAACAACTAGGTGGGGAAGAACAAGCTGCTGCAGGAGGTAAGTACTCAAATCCGCCCACATGTCGACATGCAAATATGTGCAAAAGTGAGAAATATCGCTCACATTTACCATACAAACCCTAGCAGGCAAATCGGCATATAGGAAAGACCAATCCCACAAACCAGAAGTGAAAAATGTAGGCGGCACTGCAGTTCAACTGACCTGACAGCGATGATGCGACTGATGATGAAGCTAAGCCTAGTCCCACTAAAATGGTTAGAGATGAACCACATAAAATGCCAGATTTAGTGACAAGTAAAGGCCAGCCCCATCTTGAGCCCACATGTGGGGTGCAGGAATCTGCCGTGTACCAGCGAACCGGATGCGGAAACCTAGCCAGACTTCTGAGACAGTCCATCATAGCCACCCGAACATTAATGGCTGAGGTAGAGGAGAAACATGCTGATTTCTACCCCTGAGGTAATTCCCTTAATTGCTCACTTCGAATCAAGCCAAAATAAGGCGAAAATCAACCACTTCTATGGCCAGCTTGGTTTAGAAACAGCTTCATTGAATAACACACTGGGCTCTGTCCGGCTGGTTACAGCGGTGCTTGAAGTCCTTAGAAATCACAGCAGCCTGGGCACCACGCTGAAATATTCTATCGATACCGCGGCAATCAAGAGCTGAGCACTCAACATACGCCTTAGCGCCAATCCTCTTTGCCATGCGTCGGCCCTCTGTCTCGGTGACAGGATGCGTTCCGCTTTTGGCCAAATTCTCGACGAGCTCTATGTCGTTCCGCAAGTCTAGTTTCAGGCCAGCTATAACAACTGGCAGCCCGGGTGCATATCGGACAATATTGGGATACCACTTTCTTGAGACGTTCTCGAGGGACATAGGGTTGTCAATTCCAAAACAGACTGTTGTGTCTCGGGTACGATACACTTGGGTAGACAGCCTCCTGCAACTGTCTAGAACACGTTTACTTTTCGAGCACCTTTCCACGACGTATATTGAACGTATGAAATATGCTGTATGAAAGAAGGAAGGAGGAATCACCAGGTGAAAGGGCAGGTGCCCGTCTAAGTAGTGGCGCCGGTCGCCCAGAATAGTATGGCCGGCCATTGTGGCCAAAAGGTCTTGATCCATGGGTTCCTAAGATCATAAGGATTTGGAACCACATCTCTCTCCGCTCAGCTTGGAGCCTTGGCTCGCATAGTCAGGAACCGGCTTAATGCGCTCAGGATTCCTTTTCTCTGCGTAGGGTTGCACGTCTCTGCATAGGCCGCGATGATTGTCGGGTCTACGAAGTGTTTGATGGGTTCCCATGAGTCTTCATTATCTGATTGGCCCCGCCAGTGCACCTTGAACTGCCACTGCCTGTGGCGTTGGCGATGCCCGTGGATGTAATCGATCTCCTGGTGACCGTCTTGCGGTGCTGGGTCGTCCTCCAGATGGACTAAGTGTTTTGGTGGGACCCGCCGGGTTGGTGGTTCTGGCGCATCGTAGCCCTCTGCCTTGGTTAATTCGACTGCACCACTCGGGGTCACTTTATGGACAATGAATGGTCCTTCGAACTTGGGGGCTCCCTTGGGTGGTTGCGGCATGATGCGTGCCAAGACCTTGTCTCCGGGTCGGTATACTGCTAGCGGTCGCGAGTTGTCAAATGTCGTCTTCAGGCGCGCTTGGTACTCCGATAGGTTACGTGCGACTGTCGGGTGAATCACTGCATCTCTAAAATGAGCTAGCTGTTGGATAGTGAGTTCATCTGTCAGTTGGTTTTGTTGTCTCGTAAGAATGTGCGGGGATAGCAGGTCGCGGCCGAACATCGCCATTGCTGGAGTCATTCCAATAGCGCGGTGGAATCGGGCATTACATGCGTACTGGACCAGTGGCAAGTGGGCATCCCATTCGGTCATTGCGCTAAGGCCCATGGCTTGAAGACGTTCCTTGCAAATGCGAACTGCTCGTTCGGCTAATCCGTTCGCCGATGGGTTATATGGCGTTGTTCTCCTGTGCTCAATTCCTGTGGCCTGTGTTAGGAACTCGAGTGTTGCATTCACGAATTCACGACCATTGTCCGACTGTATGACTTTCGGGAAACCAAAGGATGAGCCTATGTGGATGAGTACTCTTGCTACTGATACCGCCGTCTTATCTGGTAGTGGATATAAGAACATGTACCGTGTGAATACATCCACTCCAACGAAAATGAAAGTATTGCCTGCCTCAGTTATCCGCATTGGGCCCGCAAGGTCAATGGCAATATGGTCCATCGGTCGCTTCGCTGTGACTGGTATCAGGGGCTGCGGCCTTGGGTTCTTTGCTGAGAATGCCTGACATATCTTACACCGGTCTGCTGTGTCCTTATACTCCTTCTCTAATGTAGGCCAATCGTAGCCATCGCCCCGTACTGCTGCAGCCATTGTTGCACCTTTGAAGTGACCCAATACGTGCGCCTGCCGTATGATCTCCTCGCGTAGTTCACGTGGTGGCATGGCAGTAATGGTGTCTGTCATCAGTGCTGTGACATCTGTTGATCCGAAACCATTCACTCCCCTGGTGGTCCCATGGAGCTCCTCTAAGCATGGGACTGCCGTTAGTGATGTGACTGGTGCCAGCTGTTCGAAGAGTAGCTGTGCAATACGCATGCCCCGGTGGATGCGGAATGGCTGAGTTGTGGTATTGATCATAAGCACAATGATCTCACCACGGTATGATGAGTCCACTACTCCTGCTGCGATGTCTATGCCCTTTGAGGCTAGTCCGGATCATGGAGCGATGCGGGTGTAGCAAGATGGGGGTATCTCTAGGAATAGACCCGTGGGTACCTTACAGCGTTGCAGTGGGGGAATGGTGGTATCCTGAGCTGCTGATATATCCCACCCAGCATCTCCAATGTGCCGTCTCGTTGGTAATGCGATATCCGGATATCTCTGGAAAGCACGCACTATAAAGGCAGAGGATGTATGTATCGCTGCTACTGTTGTGTTTGCGAAGAGGCGAGAAAGGGCATCCGGGAGTATGTTCAATATGCCGGCACGGTGCTCGAGCCTAAAATTAAACTCCTGCAGTATGGTATACCACCTGGCAAGCATGGGCGTAAGTTCGTGTTGCGAGTGTAACCATGTCAGTGCTGCGTGGTCAGTTATCGCAGTGAAATATCGGCCGTAAAGGAACTCACGAAAACGGGTAAGTGCAAACACAAGGCTCAGTAGCTCTCGCTGCGTGATGGGGTAATGCTGTTGGCTCGGGGACAATGCCTTGGCTTGGAAACTGATAAACCGCTTCTGTCCCGCTGGTGTTTGCTGGTATAGTACCGCCCCAATACCTCTGTCAGATGCGTCCGCTGCCACGAATAGTGGCCACTCGGGGTGAGGGTGGAACAAGGCTACCGACTGGGCAATAGCTTGTTTAACTATGGTCACAGTGTGCTTGTACTCAGGCGTAAGCGCTAGTTTATCTCTGCCTTTCCCTGTGCGCAGGTCGTCGAGTGGTGGCAGAAGTCGGTGCAAGAATGGTATATGCTCACGGATATAGTTGACAGTGCCCAAAAATGAACGTAGCTCTGTGCGCGTCGTTGGCAACGGCCAATCAAGTAACGCTTGAACACGGTTTGGGTCAGATTTGCGGCCGTCACCAGAGACTATGAAACCAAGAAGTTTGACCGACTGCTGGGCAAAATGACACTTGTCAATGTTCAGTAGTAGTAGTGCCGATGTGAGTAATGCTACCACCTGACGCACATGATCAATGTGAGATGTAAGGTCTGGTGAGAATATAATGATATCGTCAATATATGCACGTGCGAATGTGCATCTGCGCAATAACCGTGAAATGACGCGCTGAAATTGGGCTGGCAAGTTCTTTAACCCAAAAGGTGCTCGTGCAAATACATACTGCTCACCGGCCTAAGTGAACGCCATTTTTGGCTGGTCAGCCTCAGCAACAGGGAAACGATGATATGCCTGTGTCAAGTCAAGGGTGGTGAACAATGTACTGCCTGCCAGATCTTGAAAGATCTCCTGTGGTGTGGGCAGTGGGAACACATCGTCACGTGTTAGCTGGTTCAATGCCCTGAAATCAACAACTCCACGTTTTCCCGTCAATCGCCCCTGCAGGTCCTTCTTCGGCACGAGGAACAGCATCGAGTTGGAGGTGCATCCGGGTGGTGCTTGGACAATGACCCTATCTGTTAACCATGCTGTCACCTGCGCATCACAAATTGCCGATTCAGCTGGTGCAAAGCATGGCTGCCGTCGCTGGTTGTGTGGGTTGACAGTCGTCGGTATATGTACCACTGCATCAGGTAGTGGGCATGGTTGTGACCGATCGAACCTAGCATTGGCCTCCAGTTCATTAGCGAGTGCAGCTTTGACTTGGACAGCAGTCTCAGAGAGCGGCATCGGTTCTGGATCCGGAATGTCTGGTAATTCTGATGCTATCAGCGGGTGGTCGCCTCTGTCCTTTGTGACCGCCATCAGCTCCTGTAATCCATAGGTACTGATAACATCCCGGCCGATAATGACTGGTGGTGAGCAGGAGCCTGGTAGGACCTCGACCATGAGTGCGATGGTATGCTGAGTTGTCTGCAGTGTGATATTGGTAGTGCCGAGTCGTGGAACACTTGACTCGGCCACAGCCAAAACGATGGTGCCACTGGCTGGGGCAATCTCACAGGACAGCTCTTCCGCTAGTGCTCTCGTGATGCATGTATGTCGTGCGCCTGTGTCAAGTAAACCCTGTGTGTGGACCTGTGCTGAATGCCCTACTAGTGTGATGGGGATGATATATGGATCCAGCTTGGTTATAGTTGGCAATGGAGGTGTTACCCTATCCGCTGTAGCTACTTCAACATCAATCATGAACAGGTCGATGGAGTCGTCATCGCTGGCATAGTCCACATAATCCTCCTGTGCCTCTGTATCGCCCACATCTGACTCGTTATCATCTAGGTCATCGCCAGAATCTGTCTGTGGAGTCTCGCTAGTGCTGATGTCCATGTGCTTTACATGTACATGCCTAGGTGTCGTCGGGTCATTGCGAGGTCGCTGGTTAGTGGTCCTGGTGCGATTGGGTGCATTTGGGCGGGGCGTCCTTGCTGCGGCACTCTGTTCTGGGGTCGGCATATGCTGGCCAATCCGACCTTGGTTTTGTTTGTACTGGGTCATATACGTGGACTGGTATGTGTGACACTGCTTCCATTCCTGGCCAGCGCGTCCATGTCCAAGCATAAGAGCAAAGTCGGTCTCGGACTCCATGACAAACTTGTAGATCTGTGAGAGGTCCTGGGCATCAGCGGGTCGGGCATTCATAAAGTTGAGTGTTAGTCCACGTAGCTGCAATGGTAGGGCCTCCAAGAAGAGCTGAATGGTGCCTGGTTGCGAAGCACGGTATAATGCTGTCAGGCGCAGTTTCTCAAATTCATCAATGAAATCAGCGAATGGTTGGTAAATGTCCAATCGTAGCTGTCTGATGACCTCCTGTGCATATGTGGGTGTCAGCATTGTCGGGGATGTCTCTAGCAGTCGCAGTTTAGTATCATCCCATGAGCATGCCGGGTTAGTCCGTAAGGCATCGAGGAACCTGCGCTGTGTCGTGGGTTTCAGGCCAACCAGAATGGCACGTGCGCCCCAGAACTGTAGCGGGTAGTTATTACTGAGCAGGATCGTCTCGATTTCCGTTAGGTAGTCAATGGGGTCGCTCACAAAGTTCCTATCAGTAGGTTTCATTGATGGCAACTTATCAGGCAATTTGCGACGGTTCGCATCAGGATCGAATGGGAGGACCTGGTTCAGGTCACCAACTGCAAAACCACCAAGGAGTGCACCTGTTGCCCGGAGTGGGGACTTGTGCTGACTAGTGGGTAGCGGGCTCGAAAATGGATTGGATCTGTCATCCATAATCACACCATCACTAAAGTGGGTTGGCTGGCTTGGGTGAAAAGGCGGGGCCTGGGCTGGGGTGTACCATGTATCCGGTTTGTTCCCAGCTTGTCCTGAAAATCCCTCAACACCACCCGAGTTCATACGGTCTGGGGATGCATAGTGCACAAAGTGCAGACGATGGGCCCCACGATGGTAATCTTGGTAGTTGACTTGGCGGTCACGCTGGTTGTTGCGGGAGGGAGTGCCATGTACATTGCTTGCAGCTTGATTGTCAGCAGCATCGTGCTTGTAGTTACGGACATCATCGGACTGTCCTCGGTTGCCGTTGCGGTAGGTTGCTGGGCGTGCTGCTGCTAGTGGACTGGGTGGGGTAGGGGCAGTTTCATCCACAATGTGCGTACGGGTCTCTGTAATGTCCGGAGGCTTAGTGTTATTGTCGACCTCATTGGGCTTAGCATCTCTGCGAAAGTCATCCCAGTGCCTCCGTAATTTGCTGGTGGGTGGCGTCAGTCACTACTCGTATCGCTCCATCCATGGTATCCCTGACATGGCCTACCTCGCTCTCCGCTCTTGCCGTACGCTCCACAAGCAATGACACTTGAGTCACTAGCTGCGATATCTGGCTAGAGTTTGTTGCTAGCATCTGCTGCATATCGCTGATGCGGTGGGTAAGCTGTGCAATATTCGCAGTGGTCTTAGCAGACTCGACATTCAGCGCCTGAATCTCAGTGGTGTTCATACCAGTCTGCTCTTCTAGGGCCATCATGTGCTCCCTTGATGTCGTCGCGAGTTTCTTAATGCTGCTTTCCAGGTCGTCGAGGTCCTCGCCAGTCTTACGGCGCCAGTTGGTCAATGCTCGAGAGTGTTCATCAACCCTATCTGCCGTACGCTGCATGTCTCCAGCCATCTGGCCTAAAGCCAAATTCATCTTATGGACCTTCTCAGCTGCAGGTACCTCATCGTTGAGTGGGAAAATGAATGATTCGAGCTCCTCAGTGTCCGGTACTTGGGCTTCAGGGACAGTTGCTGTTGGGCGCAAGCGGTGGTGGCTAGCCTGGCCACGTTGCTTGTGACTGGTGTTTGGGTGATCAGTCATAGGAATAGCAAAGGGAAAATGCCAAAAGCAAAATAAAGAGAAAGAATAAAATAAAATAAGCAGTATGCTTCCTCCAGTACTCGGTAAGTAGGGGGAAGGTGAAAAAATATGTTGTGTCTCGGGTACGATACACTTGGGTAGACAGCCTCCTGCAACTGTCTAGAACACGTTTACTTTTCGAGCACCTTTCCACGATGTATATTGAACGTATGAAATATGCTGTATGAAAGAAGGAAGGAGGAATCACCAGGTGAAAGGGCAGGTGCCCGTCTAAGTAGTGGCGCCGGTCGCCCAGAATAGTATGGCCGGCCATTGTGGCCAAAAGGTCTTGATCCATGGGTTCCTAAGATCATAAGGATTTGGAACCACACAGACGATTCCGACACTAGCTTTCCGGTAGGCTAGTGGTCTTAGTCGCTCATGATATTCCAGGACACTACCATCACGCAGAACCAGCTTTGTTGCATGGCCATCGAGATCAACAGTGGCTTGCCGAGCATCAAATTCGTACATTGGCATTGCCCTGTGAGTGGGGAAAACTTTATCCAAATAGGCAGCACACAGAGTGGTCTTTCCACAATTAATATCACCAATTATGACAGCAGATGTCTCGGCATCGTTCTCTTTATCGTCAACCATACTTTAACGGGTACAATCAGGTGCATGTATGTAGTTACAATATTCCTATTCATTCCTAGTTTGTCAACGCCAATTTATTTCCCAGCTTGTCAAAGACTGTATGATGGATGCATCATGAACCTGTACAATACTTACTGGCCTAGAGTAGAGCTTTTAGACATGGCCCTGAGAACTATGCTTCGTGGCTTGCAAACAGTGTGGTTGTTTGAAAGCCCAATATGTGTAGACGTCAACCTACACAGCACTACTTACTACAGCCAGCACAAAATTTGGGAGCTGTTAATTTGCATCTGCTTCGTTCCCATCATCAAAGAAGTATCCCCACATGGAGTCATATACCCTGGAGATGAATTCCTGTGCTGTGATCCTGGCTCCCTCACTTGTATGATTTTTAGCTTTGCCCTTATGTTTTGCTGGCCTGCCTGCCTTCTTTTCTTCATGGCTCATGGCATGGCTGTCTGTGTCAGCAGACAAGGGATGCAAAACAGCAACCTCATTAATTGAGGTGTTGTTAACAGGAACAGCTACAATAGAAAGGGCAAGAAGGATCATAGGGAGAGCAAATATAAAGCATATGACAAGATAAGGCTGCTAGTGTTTTTGAGGCTAAAAATAAGGAATTATTGCTACAGGTAGTGATCTGAAGGGTGAAAACATTAGCATCCTACTTTTATATGCAACAGACTATAGTATCAGCTACCTGTAAGGTTGTGTCACTATTTGCTTCAATAACATCACTTGAACTGGATTGAGTCATATGGCTATAATTGTAAAGGGATTATTTCAGAAGATTCCTGATACACTACTATCCCTCTCCACTAACCCCAGGTTCCCTAGATAACTATAGGAGGCCATTCACAAATAAGAAAGTTCAAAGAAACTTAATATCTTTTATCAGAATAACCAATTATTAAACAATAAATCAATTACTAGCAGTTAACAAATATTTTAAAAATCAGAATGTTTAGTAATGGCCAAAATGATTTTAGCAACAAGATTAATAAATAAATAAAAATGTAAGAAAGGGTGCTTCTACGAAACCCCTATTGGCATCCTGAAAAATTTCAGTTGATTTCTTGTGACCCAGCCTCTATCTCAGTAGAAGCATATTAATTATGTATCAACTGAAATTTTTCAGGATGCTGATGGGGGTTTCATAGAAGTGCAAAAAAAAATAAAAGAATAAAAAGTTTTAAAAGTTCTAAATATATTTCACCTAGTTTAGTGATTGTGAATGACCTCCATAAGTTATTACTATTTAAGATCATTTAAGCTATAAGAGCCATATTCTGATGGACCAGTAGAGTACTATAAATAATGGTAAATAATGCTAGGCTGAAGTGCAGCAGAGATATTTGGCACTATAAGTTTAAAATGTAGAGAAAGAGGATGTCAAAAAGGTATAAAGTATGGAGTATAAAGTATAGGGTGAGTATGCTTAGAGTGTCAGTCTGTTGGGCTGACCATCATCTCATAGGTCAAATATGAACTGGAAAAGCCAACAGGATCTCCTTGTCTGCTATATAGACTAGGTAGCTACTGCTGACATTTGGAATTATTTCTTCATCCTCATTGCTACTAATGCAGCGAATTCCTTAATCTAATTACATACATCACATATGATTAAGGATTTAGAAGGAGTTCTGTAGGTCTTGTTAGTGTCAATATACACAAGCATTTGCTCTCTCTTTTCATTACAGCCTTAGCTTTTCGGCTACACTAGTAATTTCACACCTCCTTGACATGGATTTATCGCAGTTGGAAAGCCTTTTGGGCAAGTTTCTAATTGCCTAAGCAGAACGAGACGAGAAATTGAGGACAGAGCAAGCTGAGCGTGATGAGAGACGAGGCGCAGAACAGGCAGAGCGTGACGAGAGACGAGATGCAGAACAGGCAAAGCGCGATGAAAAGTTAATGAACCTCCTTGTGGCTCTCAATAACAAGGGGCCAGCCAACAGTACCAACGTAAGAAGGGGACGGGACTCTGGTCATAGCTCGCAGATAGGTCCAAAAATGGCTAAGGTATGATATCACAGCATCTGGTTTCTCGTTGTTTTGTGCAAGCCCTTGTCATTCACTGTGCTAATTTACACCTTTATTTCCTCGAACTAGAACACATCTGGTCAGCAAGGTGGTCAGCTATATAAGGGCCACAAAAGAGGATCACGAAACACAAGTAGTGTCACTGATAGGCGTAAGTATGCAATATAATAATCCAGCATCTGCTTGCTTGATATTCAGCTGCAGGAGTATCCTCTTACTACCCAGAGCAATAGGCCTTACAAGATGCACATAACTCAATCAATACTATCTCATATAGGCTCAACCTACGCGAGGGGCGAAATATCCTCGCACAAGCCGGGCCATGTATCAGTATCGGGGCGCAAAATGCAAGGAGTGGCTTGCCATAACTACTGGCAGTAGTATACTGGTGGACTTAAAGACCAGCCTTGCTCATAGTCACCCCCTGCCTGACGGCGCCGATCTTGTCACCAATATTATTTCCAAATTCGAGAGGCGGTACCGCAGCCACACTCCAAGAGCTGGAATCCCTAATGTGCTCGAGGGTAAGGGGCTGCACAAAGAAGATTCGGTCGAAGCCGGGTTCGCACTCCTCCTCCAGAGCATTGTCGAGGAGCTCGACAAATCGGTCCCCGGTGCGCGTACTTTGGGTTACCTGGTGACATCGAACAAGGAAATCGATGGGAAAGGTAAGCCGGACATTAGCATAGTTCCGACGGGATGGTGCGAAAATGAGCATGTCAGGTGGCATGACATGGCTTCATTCGTCGAGCTTAAGGGAGCGCGTATACCAGCTACGGATACGAAAAGCCATGGCCAACTCTCAACTTACCTTCTCCGCATGTGGGAGAGCTACTGGCGAATCCATTGCGTCGGAATGATGGTGATTGAGGGCAAGCTCTGGGCCTTCTCCAACACACGCGGTGGCATCTGCAAAGCAGAGGTTGGTAAGCTGCCGTTCATAAAGTACAGCGACGATACGGCTAAACGTTCCAAAGGCATCGGGCACTGTGTGCTCTCCATGGACCAAGCGGGCGAAATCTCCCGGCCCTCCAACGTGGATGCCTGCAAAGATACTGTACGATTCCTCTTTACCATATTTACTCTGCCTATTAGCCACTTTGGATGGCTTTTCCCCTGTGAGAGGAGCTGTGTTTCCCCCTTCACATTCGTGAAGCCGATCGTTGTTGCTCCTGTGGAACCTCTGTGGATGATTCAGCCTAGCGCTATTTCTGATCTCTTCGGCGCTGCAGCTACATCGAGCAGCCTTGAGTCTATAACCATCACGCCTCTCATTGGCAGGTCAGAGCTATTGGGGTGCTGCCAACGGCCAGTCGGCACAATCTCGTGGGGCTGTAAAGCCATTTCGAATGCTACTGGTAGCGAGACCCCCTGCTTCCTCAAAGTGCTATGGGGCAAGAGTCGTCTTCTACGCGAGTCGTATATCTATGAGCAGCTGGCTCTAGCTGGCGTTCCGCACATGCCAAAGGTACACTGGCACGGGCAATTTGCCCACATAGGTGGTGTCAACGCGAATATCGGATCGATGTGCGGTGAAGCCTATCTCATGGAGGACTGTGGAGATACGATCGACGAGTTCGTCGCTAATATTAAGGCGCACTCTGCCGATGAGTGGCGCTTGGTCAACGTCGCTACTGGATATCTCCACACCCTATTTGCTGCATCGGCTGGCGAGCCCTCAACGATCCACCGCGATATCTCATCAGGCAACTTTCTGGTATGCAACAGAAAGCAGTGTGCTGATGATGAGCCATTTGTTATTGACTGGGAGTTTGCACTCCTTCTATGTGATGGCCGCCGTGTAAATGATGTTGGCGTAGTTGCGATCACTGGGACGAGGGTTTACATGGGATGGTGCATTCTCAGTGGCACGGAATGGAGGTCGCTGGTCGACGATATCGAGTCTATGTTTCTCACACTCTTCCACGTGATCTATAAGGTATTCCCTAACACCAGCAGGAGCAAATCGGAAATGGATGCCATCTGGGGCAACAGCGTTGATGACAAGGAGCTGCTGCACAAACGCGAGGACTGGTTCCAAACCGAGAAGAGTTGCATGGCATATATCTCCGAGAGGTGTCACACAAGTTGGCGCAAATTGCTTAGGCTTGTTATGTTTGTTGAATGTGAGGGGATTTTAAAAGTTATATTTAATACTGAAGAAAAGAGAGAAAAAGGAATAGACAAGTTGCGCAGGGGAGTTTTCAATACGACCGTCTGTGCAACTTATCAGAGGCTAGATTCTACCTCTATATTGTAGGCTGTAGCGGGGCTCTTGTTGGCGCCTGGCTTGCTGTCACCTGATTCGGCTGACATGTCGACGTCAGGGACAGCTGCAGCGGGCGCACAACAGGCTCTTTTATCGTTTGCTATTCAGCGAGCACAAGCCAGGTACTACCCTCAATATTAAGGATAGAGATCCGCGCCTGGAGTCAACCGCAATCCACGACTGGGTTACTAGTCTGGCCTAAATCCTTGGTGATCTGGTCGGGAGTTCAAAGCACTTCCACAGCTTTAAAAGCTACGCGGCATTGCCTGAATATGAGGGTCGGTGTATCCGGAAGTTTGCTCAGGAAAACGCCGGAGGCAACGACAGTGGCGATAGCGACAACAGCGACGACGGCGACAGCAACGATTCAGACGATGACAACGACACGAATGAGCCAGATCCGAAATGCCAGAAGGTTTAGCCCTATATATTTGCAACAGTGGTTTTGTGTAAAAGAGGAATCTATTATTGTTGCGCACCTAGCAACAATACCACCGGTGGTATTGTCACCATGGACACCCACAGTGATGCCAACATAGGGGCTGATAAGGAGCCCATGTTCCCACCCTTCTCAGGAATGCGCCATTTTGCTACAGACCTGAAAGGGGTGCAGCTCCAGCATCTGGTACCTTTTCTATTATCTTTTTGGTTTCGAATATCTGCTCTTTCCTTGTAAACATTTTCGCATGCTATTGCCTTCACAACACCACACATAGCCACACAAACAAATGATACAGGTATTTAACGCAAAATCTACTACTGTGCGACCGAATTCCTAAATATATTATTATGTTTGGTGTCTTGAATCTAGATATCCTTTCATGCCAGTTTGGATGAAGTGACCCTGGACTATTTGCTGATAGCATTTTGAATTCTGACCATCTTCTATTCTTCATTTTGCCTAGAGATAATGTTTGTTACCACTCAGGATTACCCAAGTTGCGAGACCCGTACCCCCGGAGAACCAGTGGAGTGCCGTAAATAACGGCAAAGAACCCTATGCTGAAGCGCAGCAGAGATATTTGGCACTGTAAGTGTAAGATGTAGAGATAGAGGACGTTGAAAAAGTATGAAGTATGAGGCGAGTGTGTTTGGAGTACCAGTCTGTCAGGCCGACCATCATCTCCTGGGCCAAATATGTACCAGAAAAGAAATACCAGCAGAGGGTCATGCTGCTTGCGCGGCAGATTGAGCAGCTACTGTTGACTTTTGAAATGAGTTGTCTTCGCCATGGTAATGCCACCATGACCGCCTAGCTAAGTAGAAGAATGAAGCACAGACTGAGATCGTATTACCTTGATTACGATCACTTGCCGTAATCCATCACCGATAGGAGCAAATGACGTCTGGTCTCCGAGTCTGCTCGATATCTTGCGCTGCGTGAAGGGCTGGTCTCCGTATGTCTTACAGTAAGTATCTCCTTTCTGTTCTCTTTAGCTTATTGCCTTTATACCTAGCCATACTTTTCCTTTGTACAAGAGTGCAGGCTGTTGACATTCGGGCAACCCCATGCCCTTCGCTACCATATGCAGATCCAAATCCCCACCTGTATAAACATTGTGGGCCGGAATGGCCCATTCTCCCTTCTTCTCCTCAGCAATTTCCAGCTATACTCATTCCATAAAGCTCATAACTACTGGACTCTCTGAAGGTTAACAATGTGGATTTGGAACCACAGGTATATATCGTAGTGGTTTGGTAATCGCTCGCTCTATATTTATAGTCATGCTGGATTAGTTTCAATATAGAATTACATTTACATTTTCACTAGTACAGCACTTGGCGTAGTTGGAAAAATGCTGACCATTCTAGAAGAGCGTTTGATAGGGATACTATCCGACCAGTAAGATATACAATTAGCTGCAATGATGGTAACTGTGCCGCTATTCGTACCTCCTTTCGGGCTGGACTATTACGTCTCAAATGTTTCACCAAGAGTCCTAAAAGAGGAAAAGCATCACATATTTTCCAAAGACTATGTACGGATATATATCGTCGATAAAAATAATGAAAACTAAAGTAAACTGAGATATTATACGCGAAATTTTAGAAATAAGAAGTGAGAAAATACTAGGCGGCTAAACCGATAAAGAAAATAAAAAGAAAAGTTCTTTCAAACAGAAGCTCAGTGCCACATAACTGGTGTGTCACCAAGTCAGGATTCTCCTAACCTAGTGACTTGCCGATTTATGACTAACCGTGTAGTCCATCGACTAGTGTCCAACAAAGCATACTAGGAAGAGGCAGGCCATTTTTCCTGTATGGAGGAAACTAAGAGCAAAACACGTGGTAGACCAATGTGACCAAGATGTTGATGAGGTCCCTGGAAGTGCCAACAACGGCGTTCTTGTGGTGATCAAGATTGTGTGGTGGGTGTTGGATAGACTGCTTGAGAGTGGATGAATGCATATCACTTTTATGCGCATCTAACCGTACCATGGTTTAGTCGGTTCGTGCAAAGTGGCTTTCATGCCACACATGCCATTTGCTAGGCAAGGGACTGAATCGCTAGTGCGAGGATACTAATAGACCCCAATAGTCAACGCCATTCGCTAGGCCACCTTTTCACCCCTCCCTAATTTGCGCCTCCAAAAGAATGATATGCATGGGTTCTTTCCGACACTCCTTGGTTCATGTTGTTCGAGAACCTGTTGCTGCTAAGTAGACATTCCCCTGTATGTCGACCGCATATTTGCAAGTGGCCGAAGTAAGCCGATCGGCATATAAAAATGCGTTGCGGTAGCTAATCTTGGTACGATTTTTGGGTTTGGCGTACAAAGCAGGTGTTTTCTTCAACCACTAATGTGAACTATGCACGTACGAATGGACCAGATGTGCTGTATCTGGCACGTACAAATACTGCATCACTCGCCCACTCCTGAAGCAGGTGGTGCATGGGCCATGGTCGGTTTGTGCAACATGCAGCATGCAGGGTACAGGGGGTGTCGCTAGGTGGCAGAGGGGGTATTAGTAAACGGCTAGGATATATAGGTTTCTGAAAGATGGAGCAATTGTGGAAGCAAATGGAGCTTACAGAATTCGAGGATACAGCAAAAACAGAAGAGATAGTAAAGGGGGGCTATATGAGGGCAGTGAAAAGCAGCAGGACCGCGACAGGAGCTCCAGAGAGTAATAAAGGCGTCGGCATACGCCAAAACTACTTGGGCATGCCCAGACGCAACACATACCACTCCAATTCCTTGCCACATACGCTTTTTCTCACTCCTCGGACCACACTGGGGAGGGGGCGTTTAGCAGCAGGCGGCCTTGTTCGCATACCCGTTGCTTTGGGCATCGGCAATGTTGACCTTGTCCTGGCCACCGGCGGCAGCGGGCTGTGCACGGTTCTCCGCGGATGTATCGAGCAGGCGCTTTTTGATATCCCTCGCGAGACTGAAGAACGCTTCATCAACGTTGGTGTTTGACTTGGCGCTGGTCTCGAGGAACTTGATGCCGAGCTCGTCAGCCAGCTTCTGGCCCTTCTCCTTGGGCACCGCCCGGCGCTCCTCAATGTCGCACTTGTTGCCGATCAGGATCTTGTTCACGCCCTCGCTCGCGTGCTGCTCAATGTTGCGGTACCAGTTCTCGATGTTGTTGAACGACCGCTCGTCCGTGACGTCGTAGACGAGCAGAATTCCCATCGCTCCGCGGTAGTACGCCGTCGTGATCGTGCGGAAGCGCTCCTGGCCTGCAGTATCCCACTAGAGACATACAAGGAGTTAGCGGTGTGGGACCTGGGGACCTTTCAGCGGTATGTAAAATGGAGTACTTACAATTTGCAGCTTGATGCGCTTGCCGTCCAGCTCGATAGTGCGGATTTTAAAGTCGATTCCAATTGTTGTGATGAAAGACGGCGTAAACGAGTCGTCCGAGAAACGCAGCAGCACACAGCTCTTTCCGACACCTATTGGGGCGTTCTCTTTGGAAATTCAGCAGAGCGGCCGCGTGTTGTATGCCGAGTGCCCTTCTCTCCTTGCGCTCGGTATATGCAGATGAGGCATGGTGCTTCCATCCAGTACTTACCCGAGTCACCGATTAGCAGCAACTTCATCAGGTAGTCGTAACTCGCGTTCTTCTGAGCAGTCGCCATTTCGAATATAGATAGAAAAGGGTGGTGTAAATAAGCGTGCAAGAGTCAAGAAGAGCTATGCAAAAAAAGCAGCCATCTGGCGTGAGCCACAGGCGAATGTGTCGCTGCCCGCCAAGCAGCCGTTGTTTACGTGTGGTGATTTCGGGATTAGTGATCTACTGTTGCCACCATGTGCTGACTTCTGTCCCCGCACAGACTTGCTGTGCAACTACCCCACGTCGTGTGCTGCTGGAGTATGGATACGTGGGGGTAATGGCGGCCAGAGGATGCCACTATACGACGTAGCGCTGGCTAGCCACAGCATGCTGAGGCCGGCGAGCACTGGACTGCTTGCCTGCTCCCTCCTCACCATACTATATGGTCATGCGGCCACAGCATGATGTTCAAGCGCTCCATTGCCATGGAGGGATCTTCGCATTCAAGCTACATGCTACTCTCCCAATGATTTTGCGCTCCGACCAAGTCGACGAGGGACTCCCGACCAGCCTCATTATTCTGCTCATCGTGTGCGTATTTGTCGGATTCGCCGCAATCCTATGGTGCTTTTTCACGACATGCGTGGGCCGCGAGGCACTGCTACAGCTCAGACACTGGCTGCGCGAGCGGCGGCAAGGGCGGACAAGTAGCGGACAAGGGTGGACGCCCTTGCCGATGCACAACCAAGACGATGATCAGCGGTGAGCAAGAGGGCTTTTAAATTTTTCACGCTGACTTAGAAATGTTAGAACTACTTTGCTCGCGATGCGAGTTCGATTGCCAGTCAGCATGGTTTGACACGTCGATAAGGGCATCACGGCGAACCGGTCATTTGAACGTGTCGGATGATTGTTGCAATGGCGGCCATGGTCATCTCCCACCTTGGTGGCCTGCTCAGCGCATGCGTTTCAGTGCTGACTCGCTGCTACTGGCAGCAGAATCGCCTGTAGCTGTACCACGCCTCTTGCACGGCTTCTTCGTTGCCGCAGTGGCGCCAGAGAGATCAGTAGCAATGACTGCAGAACGGCAGAACCATTCAGGAATATGGCCCGAACCACAGAGTGACTGGAAAATGAGTCTGAAGTTTAGAACCGCTGCGAGATCGCGGTTCAAGAGCCAAGAAGAATAGGCCCGCCTGTATTGTGCCATGGCCCGCTTACATGACTCGCTTGTACAGCGGAGAAGGCCATGGCATTTTACAGTTGGGTTCTTCGATCTCTGATAGGGGCGCAGGCTGGGAACATGCCCGAATGTCTGCAGTGACTTTTTGCAGCAGAACAGGCACATCGACGATGTCCGGAATTCGTCGACCAGACATACTTTAAAGCGGTCGTGCTGCTCGTTTGACTCGGTGGGCTGCTGCTCCGACTGGGGAATCTGGTGAATGTAACATCAGTCAGCTGCAGTATTGGCGCCCATGACATCAGTGCCTGTAGCATCGGCATCCGCGGGGCATCAGCCGTAGACACCTTGTTTTGTAACAAAATACACATCGCCACGCCGTATGTTGTCACCATTTTGTGGATTTTTCTACTGCCATGCATCTTAAATGGCTTTGGCATTAGATCTGCAACCCGGCCACACACTTTCCACAGATTGTGCAATCCCGTTGACCAGGCTGGGTACAAGGACTGGTGGTGCTGGCTTGTATGGGGTTTGAGACTGCCAGCGTTGATACGGTCCCTCGGATCGGCCCTCATGAAGACCAAGTCCGCTGTGGCCCAACTACAACCGCCTATGTGTATTCATAGAACAATTTAGTTTATAAAATAAATACATAGTTATATCATGGTCGCTGGGCGAACTTCGTGGCACCATTCAATAAGTGTTCATAGTGTGGGCGCACGCCTTGGAAATGCTTGTACACAACCCCAGCAGGAAATGCAACTGTAAATGGGATGCAATTTTGCAGCTGCATAAATGTGCATGCTACTAAAGCACCACAGTGCTACCGCTGCCGCTAGTATATATCCCGCTTCCGCCAAATGTAGCCCAAGAATACAGGTCAAATCAAAAAGACAGCTGCGTATGCTATCTTCAATATCCTATGAAAACAAGTTCGTTTTAAATAAGAAAAAGGTGCGTGTCGGGCTTGCTAGCGGGCTTGCTCGAGCGCAGCGATTTCCTGGCGCAGTTTGGCGATTTCGACTTCGGCCGTTTTCGACCGGTCCTTGTAGTCGTTGTACTGGCTTGTGACCTGCGCAACAGCCGACTCCAGCCTCTTGCACTCTGCGGCTTCCGACCCGAGACTGAAGATCTGCTGCCCCGATGCCTTGAGCGGGATCTCCGGCCCGCTGGCGCCTTTGGTCAGCATCTCAAAGAACTCCTCTGTCGGCTCGCTGAAAATGAGCTCGTCGTAAAAAAAGTTATTGACCGGCTTCCCCTTCGGCCACGACTGCACCTGCGACTCCGGCGGGTACAGCTTCAGCATGTGGTATAGGGAAATAGGCTTTTCGCCCGATGCCGGCGGGAAGAATATCTTTGTGATGATTTCGAATTCGCCCCAGCCCGTCTCAGTCACCTCGTAGGGCGGGGATTTGAAGACACGGTTGTTATTCACGAACGTGTCGTGTAGTTTGAATTCGACTTTGTGGATAAAATACGAGATGTCTTGGTTGTTGGGTCCGCGCAGGAATACGGTCCATTTGTGCGTGTGGTCGGTCTTCTTCGTCAGCAGCTCGGTTGCTATGTTGCCATACATAATCGGCTTGCTGATGACAACACCCTTCATGCGCTTCCCGGCCTTCATTGCTGTCGAGTTGAAAATATGAACAAGGGTTTCAGAGATGCTGATTTCGGGGTTAGGGCGAGATCAGATCGTCTGGCAATGTCACCAATGGAAACCCGTTTCGAGTTATGGTTCCTTGCTTCAGATTGTGATCCGCCGACCCTTTTGCCGGGTGTCGGGCATGGCTTCCACATAGTTCGCATTCCAGCTCGGGGATACAGGACACAATGTGAGTGCTGAGGTTTAACCCACCAGAAACCGGGTCAATGCCTTTTTTAATAGCCGGAAAAGCGCTGACAACCTTGGAGTACAATGGCGTGCATGTATGCCAAACCTAGTGCCCCTCGCCGTTCACAGTTCACTGGGCGTTGCATCTTGCCAGGTACTTAAAGGCCATTAGCCGATAGGGGTAGCCAATGTCAGCGCACACCCGCACACCTCTCTTCACATATGGGCTTTCAAAAGTCAGCAGTGCTTGACGGCCCTTCATACGAAACCTACGGCCAAGTAATCGCCACCAACGGGCAGGCAGCACCACGCTCTCCGCACAGCAGCTCGGTCGACGACCCGCTCTGGTGCTAAGCTCCACAACAAAGCGCACAAAGGATAGGTTTTTTGTTGTCTAAAAATAACATCCACTTTTCTCAAAACGCATTGTCAATCAAGTAGTTGCTGGCCTTGTTTACATCGTAGTCGTACATCTCCAGCGCCTGGATGGCCTGGGGCTCGCTGAAACCCATGTTCATCAGAGTCCGCAATTGCTCGACGTGGCCGCCCTGGCCCGACGATGACGCGGCTGCCGGTTGCTCGGGCACATCCGGCGCAAAGTCATATTCGCTGAATGCCGGGAAGGGCTTTGGCGGCAGCGCCGGCGCCTGCGGGTCCTGCTGCGGCCGACGCGGGGGCATTGGCGGCTGGGCAGATATGCGACTAGCGCCACTGGCTTCGCCGGGCTGGATCGGCTGGGATGTAGTGCTTGGCTGCCACTCGACGGGCTTGGGTGGCAGGACGGGCCGGGCAGGCGTTACTGGCGACACTTCTGAGCGGCTGGGCAGGGAGCCGAATGAGGCCGAAAATGGCGTGTATGCGGAGTCGGGCGCGGGCATGTTCAGGCGCTGTGGGATTGGCTGCGGTGGCTGTGGCTGGATGCTGGCCAGGTTGACCAGCGGCGGCTGGGCTGCACCCATGGCCGGCATGGGCTGCGCTGACGACCCAGCGGCTGCGCCCTGCCCCGAAAACACAGTGGAGGCGGTGCTGGCAGCGCTGATTCCCACCGGCACGTACTGCTGAGGTATATTTGGCGACCCGAAGATAGGCTGCTGCACATAGTGCTGGTTCGCCGGCCCGTACTGCGTGGCCATCTGCCCGCTGCCTGTGCTCTGCGGAGAGGCAACCGCCGAATACGGCTGCGTGTTCTGCACCCGCTGTGAGAACACATTTGGCGAGCTCGCATTCTGCAGCTGCTGCTGTTGCGGTGCTGCCAGCTGAGGCTCTGCAGAATGCGGCCGTTCGGTCGGTTGCGACGCTGCAAATGCCGCTGCGGGTGGTTCTGCGGGCTGTTCTGTACCCACTAGCGTCACAGGCCGCTTCTGCGCGCTGCTCGAGCTTTCCCCGATCCGCGCGCCGCCCGTCTCACTGCTGGGCTTGGATAGCGGCGTGACGTCGCCAAGGTCGGCCTCTTTGCCCTTGTGGCGGCTCTTGCGCGACGCTATCAGGTCAACCATGTTCAACTGTTGCTGCGCCTGCTTCAGCTGCTGGTACTGGTCCTCCTGCTTTTGCTTGGCAATGTCTTTCATAATCTTCTTCTCCAGGGAGAAATCGTACTTTGGAATTTGGTTCGGCGGCTTAAAGTCCCCGATAGACTCGAAGGGAAAGGCCACCGGTGTGGGAAGCTCAAACGGGAGCTCAAACGTGAGCCTGACGCCCTGCACATACTCGCTCATTTGTGGAAGCGCAAGTCTGGAAGTGAAGTAAAAAAAAAGGATGCGAGGAAATGTAGGAAAAGAGGGTTGGGCAAGTAGAGAAATAGACAGGCGTTGTCTACGGGCTTGGCAGGGCAACACCCCAGGAGCCTGGTGACATCGCGCTTTAGCTGGTAGAGATCACGTGCTGTATCCCCTGTCGGATTAGCCACTGATATGTCAGCAGGCGCTGGAGGAGGAAATTGCATGCTGGCTCCAAAAATTTTCTTGTATCCCACACCTTGACTCCCAAGTTGTTCTTTCTGCGTTAATGCACACTCCATTATGACGAGCAATGACGGTAGCAACGGCTTGCTCGAGTTTCCGTCGGCGGTCTGGCCCCTGCACTGTCGCGGGGGCAACGGCAAGCTCGCTGGCCTGGTGCCGTTTGGCCAGGGCACTGCCGAGCGACTCCTACCGCTGATCGACGGCGACGGGCAAACGACATGGCAGCCGGCGTCAAAGTACCATAAGCCCGGCGAGGAATTCATTCTACAGAGCCACGATCCAGTTCTCTTGCGGCCGCGGACACGCATGCCAGGGTTGCTGAAGCGCCTGCAGCGGCAACCAACAGCAGCCAGCAGCTACAGCGAGGCAGTATCCTATCTGTCGGATATGCACAGGGAAATCGACATACCATCTGACCTGCTGAAGGAGTTGATATATGAGGACCATGGCGATTCGGAGTGGGAGCGGGCTGGGGTCACTGATGGGAATACGATGGCTGTATGCCGACCAGAGCTAGACAGAGATGCACCTATCTCAGACGATGCCGCACATAAGCTTGGATCAAAGTGGCGAGTACGGGAGCAGTTCCAGCAAAACGTCAAACAGGTGGATACTGCGGAGCCATGGGGCGAGGAGACACAGTATGCGTGGTCATCGAAGCACGAGTGGGCGCTGTATGCGGGCGGCGAGTGCGGGAACCAGCTCCTCGGCATGCCGCTGCCAGAAATCAACGACAGCGACCAAACCATATTCTCGACGGTTCGGCCTCGACAGAATGCTGGCTCGAAAGACGTGGATGTCGTGCCGGCCCTTGAGCTGACGACGCCTATCAAACAGATCGTGACGCGCAAAGAGCATCCCGGGTATGCCTGCGTGCGCACCATGAGCACGGTGGCTCTGCTGCGCGTCACCCAGAAGCCCAACCAGTTCACCGGCGTGCCGCTGCTGGAGGCAGATGTTGCTGGCAATCCGTACTCGTTCGGCACCGGCGATCAGTGGACCAGCCATATGTCATGGAGCCCCTGGGATATGTCGCAGGCTGCGCTGGCGTCCAGTACCGGGAGCATGCGGATGTGGAACTTCGAGCTCAACAGTGACACACTTATAGAGGAGGAGCTGGACCAGCCGTGCCAGTGGAACACCTGCGAGTACTGGAACTCGCCCCGCCATATTCTGCGCGCGAACCCCGACGAGCTGTACTTTCTGGACACGCGCACCGACCGCAAGCGCGTGTCGGTTCTGGACCTGCGTGAGTCACGGTTTGCCTTCGAAAACGAGCTGTTCACGGCTGCAGTGCCGTCAGCCATGCACCCGATGCATGCGGCTGCGGCATCCACACACGTGATCCGGATCTTTGACCAGCGCTACCTGAAGCAGCCAATCATGGCATGGAAACACAACTGCCTGGGCGACGACCCGCCAGTGTTTCTGGACACGGCGGTGCTGCCAAACTCCACATATAGCCGCGCCACAGTAGTGATGGCTGCGTCGCGCGAGTCGCTGGATGTGTCCAGCTACATATATGGCCAGGACAGTGCTGCTGGCCCGTTTATTTCTATCGAGCAGCACATGCTGAAGGATGCGGCCCCAGTGTCGAATTCCTTCCGCACTGCGGTGCAGGAAGTGCTGGCGACTGATCCGTTTGTGGATTCGGTGACGAGTGAAGGCGTTGTGAGAACCGACCAGCCGGTGACCATGCCAATGGCCGGCATGGTGCTGCACACGTTCCCCGACCACTGCCATGACCATGTGCTGTCTGGCGTATGCGTCACTGTGGATGAAAGCAGTGCGGTGGTCGGCCGCCGCGTGTCGTTTCTTGCTGACACCGACAGCCAAATCTCCCAGACCACCTACGACAAGACCATTGAGAAGTGCTGGCATGACGCCAAGCTGTGCGACGATGGGTCGATTATCGACGGTCTGGGATTCATGCTCGATACAAAGGAGACGCGGGACCGCAAGAGCGAGTGGTATATCAATCTGATGCGTTCCCACGGCATTCCGTTCCGGCGCTTCAACGTCATAGAAAAGTACAAGAACCTGGTGGGTGTCGATGTCCAGGCCAAAGGCAGAAAGCACATGCGATACGGCAAGCTATTTAAGACACGCCCACCTCCAGCTGTCGACCGCAAGGAAATATCGCTGTTTAATCTCGCCCGGATTGCTGCGTCTCCGGGTGCGACCAACTATGTCCCTGCAGACAAGCTGCCATCATGGACCGCTGACGGAGTGGCGCTTAGAGATGCTCTGCTGAGGATGGATCCGGCTGTGGTTGAGGATGTGTGGAAGCGCAACGGCATCAGTGGTCTGCGGGAGCTTGCCAGCAACTCTGAACGCAACAAGGCCGGCAGCAGCTCGATCAAGCTTCATCGCGACACATCCGAGGATCCCAGACACATTGCAGAGGCAGAGGGCAGCCTAAGGTCGATCTTCAATGTCCAGGACGCAGGTGCGCTGGCCGAGGCATTGGAGCACGCTGCAGAGGACGTTGCGCTGGCTGACGTGCGTATAAGCACTGACCCAGGCCAAGCAGTCTCCGGAGACACGCCGGACCCAGTCAGTCTGCTCGAAGCCAAGGTCGCCCAGCTGACAAAGCCCGCCCAGCTCCTGAGAAAGCTCTGGCGCTTTGACCCCATGACTGATGGCGACGGCAGCCAGACGCACCAGCCGCAGCCAGCGCTGTCGTACCACTCCAGCAGCCAAGCGGCGAAGCGCCAGAAGAGGTCCATGCGCACAACAGCTACCGACACCCAAGACACGCAGCCGCTGACTGGGTCCCAGCTACCGCTTACACCGGCGTCGCCATTGTTCTCTGCAACCCGGGCCAGCCAGTTGCAGGGAGTGCCAGCTATAGCTCGTGCGACTCCGGCTACCCAGGGGCCGCCAAAGGTGGTGTTCTCGCGGCATGTGGCGAATCTGGGCCTGCAGCCGGCTGGCAGGACGCAGGGGTCGGAGACGCAGCTGACAGTGCCCGACTTCTTCTCCCAGGTGCCAGCGCCGTCGCAGGCTACGACGCAGCCGGCGGTTGTTACTGCCCAGTCGCAGCGTGTTCCTGGCACAGTCAAAAAGAAAAAGAAAAAGCGCCGGTCTGGATTTTGAGTCACGTGAACAGGGATTCTGTTTTCAAAACATGCTTTGCGCAGAATTCAAATCTCAGTTCCTTCTTCTTCCACTAGGCTCATTCAATTACACCGTCTATTTGCATCTGCTTATCTAAGGAGTAACTATCTTTTTTTGCCATGCCTTCTGGTTCTCGAGGATGGGGCTCGCTTCGCGGCCGCCCCAAGACAACGTCGATTTTCCGCTCGGAAATCATGTCGCTGATTCAGCTCTACATCCCGTCGGATGTGTCGCGCTACACTGTGTCGCAGCTGGGCGAGCTCGGCCTTATCCAGTTCCGCGACCTGAATGCCGATGTCAGCGCCTTCCAGCGTTCGTTTGTGCAGTCTGTGCGCCGCTTCGACGAGGTCGAGCGCAAGCTGCGCTATCTGCGCACGCAGATTGAGAAGACTGATGTGGACGTCTACGAGTTTCTGGACGAGGACTTTGCCAACGCCGCACGCAGCCCGCGCGATATCGACGAGATGGAGGAGAAGATCAATGCGCACGAGGGGCGGGTGCTGGACCTCACCAAGGCGTACAAGAACCTGCAGCTCAAGCACCTGGAGCTGGTCGAGAACAAGTATGTGCTCGAGGAGGTCTCGTCGCTGTTTAGCGAGATGACTGGGCGCCAGCAGCCGGCGCAGGGCGGGTCGCTGGGCACTTCTGCTGGATCCCGCGATGGCGCGCCTTTGCTCGGCCGCCAGGAGACCATGAGCCGCCGCAGCATCGGCAGCCTGGACGCAGCGCGCTCGGCTGGCGGGTTCGATGTCGAGCACGGCTCGGTGGTGGGCCATGACATCAACGTGGGGTTTGTGACTGGTGTTATTCCACGTGACCGCATCGCAACCCTGGAGCGTGTGCTGTGGCGCTCGCTGCGCGGAAACATGTTCCTGAACTACGTGGATATCGAGGAGCCGATCCATGACCCGCGCCAGGAGGAGCCGGTGTACAAGAGCGCCTTCATTGTGTTTGCTCACGGCGAGTCGCTGCGTGACCGCGCGACCAAGATCGCCAACAGCCTGGGTGCGACGCTGTACCACGTGGACAGCAGCGCTGAGCGCCGCCAGGAGGACCTCATCGACACCATGTCGCGCATCGACGACCTGCAGCAGATTCTGGAGAACAACCACGTTGCCCGGATCACGGAGCTGACGGGCGTATCGGAGCAGATCAACACGTGGTTTACCGTGGTGCGCAAGGAGAAGGCCATCTACCACACGCTGAACCTGTTCAACCACGACAACAACCGCGACTGCCTGATTGCTGAGGGCTGGTGCGCGACCAACGACATCCCGGCCATCCAGTCGGCGCTGCACATTGCCACCGAGGACGCCGGCTCCAACGTGCCCACCATTCTGCACGAGCTGCGCACCACCAAGGAGCCGCCCACCTTTATCCGCACCAACAAGTTTACCGAGGGCTTCCAGAACATCATTGATGCGTACGGCGTGCCCAAGGCTGGCGAGGTCAACCCGGGTCTGTTTGCGACCATCACCTTCCCCTTCCTGTTTGCGCTGATGTTTGGCGATCTCGGCCACGGCTTCCTGATGACGCTATGCGCCGGTCTGCTGTGCGTCTACGAGCGCAAGCTGGCGTGGCTGGCCAAGAGCGAGTCGCTGGCCATGTTCTACACTGGCCGCTACATTGTGCTGATGATGGGCATCTTCTCGATGTTCACTGGCTTTGTCTACAACGACATCTTCTCGCGCGCCATGTGGACCTTTGCGTCGGGCTGGGCGTGGCCCACTGACAAGGGAGGCGAGGGCGTGAGCGTCGAGGCGACCAAGCTCGACCATGTCTATGCCATTGGCATTGACCCGGCGTGGCACCACGCGAGCAACTCGCTGCTGTTCACCAACTCGTACAAGATGAAGATGTCGATTGTGCTGGGCGTCATCCATATGACGCTCGGAATCTGCCTGCAGGTCCCTAACGCCCTGCACTTCAAGAAGCGCATCAACATCATCCATGTGTTTGTGCCGCAGATCATCTTCCTCTTCTCGATCTTCGGCTACCTGGTCATCATGATCATCATGAAGTGGTCGACCGACTGGTACGCGCGCGACGCTGCCGGCGAGCTGACGCACATCGGCCCGCCCAGCCTGCTCAACATGCTGATCTACATGTTCCTAAGCCCCGGCAACGTCAGCGAGAAGGAGCGCGTGTTCTCGGGCCAGGCTGCCCTGCAGGCGTTCCTGCTTCTGACTGCGCTGGTGTGCGTCCCCTGGATGCTGCTGGTGAAGCCCTTGATTCTGCGCCGCGAGCACCAGAAGATCATCGCCGAGGGCTACGGCCGCATTTCGAGCCATGTGCGCGTCAGCACCGACGGCGACGAGATGGCGGGCGCCGTGGTCATGGCCGAGCAGGAGGAGATGGAGGAGGACGACTTTGACTTTGGCGACATCATGATCAACTCGACTATCCACACAATCGAGTTCTGCCTGAACTCGATCTCCAACACGGCATCGTACCTGCGCCTGTGGGCGCTCAGTCTTGCCCACGCCCAGCTGTCCGAGGTCCTGTGGTCCATGGTCTTCATGCCCACGCTCAAGACGACGGGCGCCTACCAGCCTGTGCTCATCATGTTTGGCTTTGCCATGTGGTTCTGCCTGACCTTCTTCATCCTGATCTTTATGGAGGGCCTGTCGGCGTTCCTGCACGCCATGCGTCTGCACTGGGTCGAGTTCAACAACAAGTTCTACGATGGGTCGGGCATCAAGTTTATGCCGTTCTCTTTCAAGGCCATTCTGGACGAGGATGAAGAGTAGCTTTTTTTTCTTTGTTTGTTTGTTTTCCGCTGCAATATATGGCATCTCCTTCGTTGCCATTTGTATGCGCAAACATGGGTGCAGGTGTCTGCATTTGGTGCGGACTTGCTATCATAGCCACCGTCACCTGATCCGGCCTGCTGCAGACATGTCTGCATCTGGGTATTGCCGCATGTCAACAAGCATTTCCGTTCGGCAGCTGGCTAAAGAAGGACAGGAGCGGCGGATTAACCGCGGAACAGAGTTAAGGAGCGCTGCCCTTTCTTTTCTCGCCAACAGCCCGCCCTCACCTTTCTATCTCCCCACATACCATCCGCATGGTTTCCATCACCGCGCTTCTTATACGATCGCTGAAACACGCGCCGCCAGCCAAGAGGCTGCCAGAGCTGCCAGAGCTGGTCCTAGTGCAAATCGCCCGCCACCTCTTGATCGACAGCCCAGGGTCCGGGGGCACTGCGCGGCTGGGTCCCATCCAGCGCCAACTGCTGCCGCTGATGGCCGTCTGTCGCCTCTGGCGCAACGCCGCGGCTCCCATGTACTACAGCGACGCGTACCTCGACCTATCGATACCAGCGCGCGAGCACGCAGCCGCCCAGCATGTCGACAGAATAGTGGAGCTTGGATACGCGCGGTTTGTCCAGCGGCTGCGCATCGGCCTGATGCCTAGTGTGTTTGCCGACCGCACACAGCTGGCGTATCTCCGAGATGTGCTGATACCGGGACGGTTTGTGCGCGCGCGCACGCTGATTGTGTGCTTGGAGGGCACACAGTGGGACCACATAGCAAAAGCAGACGGCGCACGTGATGTATGCCAGCTGCTGGTACAGACCGCGCCCACGGCAACGGGGCTGGTCTTTGCCAGCCAGTTCGCAGCCAGTCTGCACAGGGATTCGGATGCATTGGCGTTGTTGCAGAGTCTGGAGCAGGGGAAGCGCGAGCTGAGCGTGCTTGTCACCCCCGCCACTGCATATTCTGCTGTCCGGGAAATGCAGGTGCCGAGCGGGCTGGTGCGGCTGGATGTCAGTGCAGATGCGTTCAGCAGCAGTGTGCTGGTGGAGCTGCTGTCCAGAAACGCACAAACACTGCAGGCTGTTGATCTGGCGCACCTGACGGTTGTCCAGCTCGGTCTGCTATGCAGCAAGGCGGCTGTGTTCCCCAGGCTGCGCAGACTGAAATGGTCGATGCTCGTGGACACCGAGGTCAATCGGATTGCGCTGGGCGGCGAAACTCCATTCCCTTCGCTGACGTCGCTGACTGCCACAAACCTCTACCCGTTTGCCGACAGCACGCTGCTCCTTGGGTGTGCCTTGACCTTGCGGCATCTCTCGCTGGCCGTTGACGAGCCCATGCTCGAGCAGCTAGCGTCTGCGGGCGCACTGGCCGCCGGCACATACCCGCAGCTACAAAGCCTCAAAATGCACCACGTGTCGCACAGCATCCGGCCGATTCCCGAGCGCCTGTTCTCGCAAGTCTGCAACATGGCACGGGGTGCCAGCACAGTATTCACATCCATGTTTGGCACCGACACCAACCAGGCCATCGAGCTGATGGCGACGAGCGCGAGTGTCAGGCACTTGCGTATTCCAGGTCAGCATCTGGATCTGAAGCAGTTTGCGCTGGTCGCCAGACTGTATCCGAACCTGGAGTCGGCGTTTTTCCATTTCTCAGAGTCCTTTGACTGCTCGCACGTCAATGCGCTGCGCGACAGCGGCGTTAGGCGGATGCTGGCCAGCGTGCGGATCGTCTCAAAAATAACCCTTCTTGAGCTCAACTCGCCGGTTCACGGCCGGTACTGCCCCACATGCACCGGCGAAGGCGCGGTCTTGCTGGCAGCGTTTTTGCCGCAGCTCCAGGACATCCGGATCCATGTGGCGGCACGGAATGTGTGTCGGACTGTGTTTGACTCGCTGGTCAGGGCACACAAGCGATCGGTATATAAGGCTCGGCCGCATGTGAGACGGCTACGGCTCAATGTCATTGCGGAGGGGATGCATTTGAAGAACTACTAGGCGCTCCGCCTGATTGTCCAATGATGCAACGCAGCATAGGAATGGTGAACAAGCTCGCGCTGTTTTCGCCAAAACTGCTTGGTGCAAATGAAGTCAAAGCCCGCCGTGCATTCTCCCCCGTGCCCCCTCCACATGACCGAATCACACCCTATGCCATGTCGCAATTACGGCCTGCTCCTCTGGCCCTTTATCGACTGCCAGCCCCGCATTTCTCCTCTGCCTCGTTCCTCGCTGCACCTATATGCTTTATGCTCCTTCGCAAATCAGCTACTAGACCATTATCACATTTGTCACAATGCCATTATCTAACACTGCCGGCCTAGCCTCGGAGCTCCCCGACCTTGTGCTGCTGCAAATCGTAGAACTGGCATCTGGCACCAGCCAGGTGATAAATAGCCGCCACTCAGCAGCACTACCTCCTCCTCCTCCTTACGCCCTGCTTCCTTTCCTCAGCATCTGCCAGCAGTGGCGCCGCGCAATCCTCCCGCACTTTTACAGTCGTGTGTGCCTGTGTGTCTGCCGACATTCGGTTTCCAACATGCACCGGGTCCCAGCACTGCAGAACATTTCGCATGTCGTCAAACTAGGACACGCATGTTATGTTCGGCGACTGCTGATATGCCTTAGCCGCGATGCTGCAGCCGAGGGCACACTGCTGCATAGCCTCAAAACAATGCTTGTCCCTGGCATGCTACCTGGCGTGCTGGAGATTGCATTGAATCTTGATGGCCCTAGCTGGGATTGCCGGATAGCCGCAGGCAAGATCCAGGCGGCAGCAGCTGACACGCTGGTGCAGATTATCCGGAATGCTGCGCCCAATGCACGGTCAGTGGCAGTGGGATCGAGGGGCCGGATGCGAAACATGCTGGCCACCGACCTGCCGTATCTGGTGCAGTCGCTGCTGAGGGGGACTCGGGAACTACGACTGCTGGCGCCTCCGTTTGTTTTGCGGCGACTGACGCGCCAAAGCACCTTTGAGCATGGGCTCACAGACATAACGGTCGGGCGCAGCGTCCTGTGGTCGGACGACCTGGTCAAATTCATCCGCAACCACGCGGCAACCCTGCAGGTACTAAAGCTGGAGCGCGTCTCTGTCGACATGTTCCACAGGCTGCTTTGCGGAAACAGGCACGAATCCCAGCACATCTATCCCAACGTCAGCCGGCTGGAGCTAGCAGTGTCCACAATGTCAGTGCTGCGCGAGTCGTCGTACGAGCTGCCGCCCTTTCCTGCCCTCACGCACTTTATAAACCACCATTCGCACCCGTTCAGCGACGACACAATCCTACGGTGCAATAGAAAGCGGCTCGAGGCAGTGAAGCTGCCGCTCTCAGTGTCGCAGTTTGAAGCGATGCTGGCGAAGGGCGCGTTCGACCAGGGGCACTATGCAAAGCTGGCAGACATTGCCCTGTCGCTGGACGGCGTGCTGCCGACGTCCGAGCCAGGCAACATCCTGGTTCGGCTGTTTGTCAGCGCATGCAGCATGTCGGCAATGTCAGAGAGGATCAGGGTGGCTATGTGCAACACGGACATAACCCTGGCCCTTGCAAAGCTCAAGCCAATACCAGCCCTCCGCGAGCTTGCGTGCCCCCAACTCAAACTCGGCGCCTCGCAGCTGCTACCGCTCCTAGCAAGGTTTCCCCAGATACGCCGTATAGGATTCTGCTTTGCCGAGTGTGCCAGCGATGCAGTGGCAGCCAGTCCCAGCGACCAGGGAATACAGGACCAGTGGCTACTGCGCTCGTCGCAGTCAAGCCTGGTGTCCATGGAGTTGTTTGATACCGGACATACCTGTGGGCCGCAGTGCATCGGCCAAACTGTCATCCTGCTAGCGTCGCTTTTGCCGAGCCTGAGGGAAATCACTGTCCGGCCACACACAAAGGTCAACGCCAGGGCGCTGCTCCAGCACCTGGTGCAGGCGCAGCAGCGCGAGGTGTACCGGCAGCGCCCCCATGTAGATGCACTGAAAATCAGCATCGTGTCCCGTGCTCACCGGTTCAACAACTGAGCGGCCGCTGCTCATTTCTGCATGGGCACCGCACTATATTTAGGACACGCGCTATCTTGGGCAGGTTCCCCTTGGGCTTTGTCATTGACAGCTGCTGCTGTTTCAGGAAATAAATATCTCCACCCTGTAGCCTGTTTGCAGCCAGTCTTGCCTCCTCAGCTCACCTTAAAGCCTTTCTTTTCTCTTCTTTTCATCCATTTGTCCCCACTCGTGCATGCTATATTCCTGTGCCATGAGCCTGTTCTCCCTTTTCAACTATTCGAGTCCTGGAAAGTCCATTCCCTACCTGCCCGACACTGTGCTATTAAGACTCGTTCAGTATGCAGCTGGTGTGCACATGCATCTGCCCGCATGCCACCAGAACACGCAGACAGACCAAGCACCACGCTCACTGCTGCCGTATATGGCGGTCTGTCGGACCTGGCGGAGTGTGATCGGCGTGCTCTACTACCGAGAGGCAGTCCTGAACCTTGGCCCAAAGAATGCGCTAGATATGCTTGACCGACCAGCTCTACACAAGGCAGCATGGATTGTGCAGATTGGGCATGTGTCGGACATACGGCGCTTGCACGTCATTGTTCCGGTGGGCGCACTCGGCACCAGTGCATTAAATTCAATCGTGACAAAGGAGCTGACACCGTTTTGGTCGGCCAATGTGCTGGAGATAATCCTGCATCTACATTCTGAGACGCCAGACCTTGAAATCAAACTCGGCAGTAGAGCTGACCGAATTGCCTGGTTTATTGATACCCTGAACTATGCAATGCCCCGAGCAACCTCACTATCGGTCATGAATAACAGTACCATGCGCGCTGGCGACCTGACTGGGCTGCTGGAGATCATCAACAAAACTGTCCCTAGCAAACGGTCACTGGGGTTTGAGCTGGACCTGCAGGGCCAGCATCCTTTCCTCACCATGTCTGGCCCACCAGTGCTGACTAATATCTCGATCGCAGCGCGCAACTGGACTGACGCGCACATTGGGTTTGTTCGCTACCACTGCGACACCTTGCGGACGCTGACCGTGCATAACATTACAACATGGTCGTTTGAACAGCTGCTGGTCGACGGCGAGCGATCCAATATAGTCTATCCTAACCTAATGGTTCTGGATGCAGAACTACGCCTCTCAATGCAGGCACCGTCGCTGAACCTTCAGCGCACACCCTTTCCTGCATTACGTTGTCTCCGGAACAAGGGGTTCTACCCGTTCAACAGCGACATCGCCCTGTACACTGGCCAGCCGTCAACACTCGAGTATGTACGGCTGCCGCTGGATACAGTTTTGTTCAATACCCTGTCCGCAAGCAATGCGTTCAAATCCCGCAAGTACCCGGTGCTGCGCACCGCTGAGGTTTTCTTCAACAACAGCCCGTTTGTAGTTGCTGAGGCTGTGCAGGGGTGGTCGATGTTTGCCACTATTTTCGAGATTGCCGAGGCCGCAAAGGTGTTCCGGTGCAATATCCGCGTCAACCGCTCGGCACCCGTGCTTATCAACATGCGGCCGAGCTTTTCACTTGAGCACCTTTACATGCCATGGTTCGGTATCGATCTGGCTGGGTTTCCGCTGCTCTGCCTAAAGTTCCCGAAACTTCGCTCTGTTGCCTGCACATTAATTGACGCCATTGACGGTATCTCGGAAGATATGCCCAAAGACGAAAGCATCCAAGCCGCGTTGTCTACGAAGCGCATCCGCTCAAAGCTTGCCATCCTGGAGATCTTTGGTGAAACCTGGGTACGCAACTACAGGCGCTTTGCACAATACGTGGTGCTGCTGGTGGCGCTGTTGCCGTCGGTGAAGGAGCTTGTATACTGGCCGTATGCATCTGAGGAAGCCCCTGAAGCCAAGAGGCAGCTCACGGCCGCATTGAACCGCACGGCATACCGCGACATGTATCATGTCAAGAACCTCAAAGTGGATATCAAAACGCACTATACATATCTGGAAGACGTATACCGCAAACAATTCCCCCTTCAATAGTTGATGTAGCTGGTGCTTAATAGAAGCAGATTCGCATATGGCGATACACGATGCCAATACGCACTACGTGAGCATTTCGGCTGCATGGGCTTTCTGTGGTAAAGATGATTAAAATATACTCTTGATAAAAACAGAACCGAGATGCTGTTGCTGGTTCACTTTTGTTACATAGGGTGGTCGGACTCATTACCAGCATTGGAAGCTCCGTTCTCTTGCTCTTGCTGGTCCTTGAGCAGCGCAGCATACTCCATATCTGCAAACTCGATCCAGGGATTCGGCATGCTCGCCAAAAAGTCGATACGCATACGAATGACGTCGTCAAACGACGACGCTGGTAGAGCGCGTGCTGAGATCTGGGCAAGCTGGCGCTGCAGAAAGGATGTGCGGCTTTCGTGCTCCAGGAATCTCGTCAAATTGGTGAACGCATCAATGAAAACCGGGATCTGGGTCGGCGGGACCTTGCGCAAATCTTTGAGCGTGAACATGCCCTCGCGCTCAGGCCTGACCATATCCGAGAGCTGGCATACCAAGTCATCCAGCATTATCAGGTCACCTGCCATCTCCTCCTCCATGCGGCAAACCTGTTCGTCGTAGAAATACTCGAGCTCATACGCCGTCAAAACCCCATCGCCGTCTAGATCCAGGCACCGGAACCAGTATTCGAGCGCTGCCGGCGTGGTCTTGTCAATCTCCGACAACAGGAACCAGATAAAGTCTTTGAATGCCATCCGGCAGTCTGACAGCCGTACGTTAAGATCGTACCGCAGCGGACCTTTGGACAGGCGCTTCTCCTGGCGTGCCTTAGCTGCCCGCGCAGATTCCCTGCGACTAGACTTGTACTCAAACGGCTTGCCCTTGCCCATCATGATACGGGAAATTATGCGCCGCGAGAGCGTTCCTGTGAAATAGCACAGCAAATCCCGCGCATCCAGCAGCTGGTCGCGGTTCGAGTCGAGCTCAAAGAAGCTGCAGTATAGTACGTAAAAGTGCTTGTACGAGAAAACGCCTGGCGAGTCAACCCCCACATCGATTCCGTCCTCGACACCGCGCAGCATCCCAACCACATCGGCCTTGCGGAACTGTGGCAGTGTGATTTTGCCGTCCCACGACCGATTGGCCACATAAAATATCCGCTCAACCACGGTCTCCGTATATCTCTGCGAGAACAGACCCTCACCTTCAAGGAATTCGAGCTCAGGGTGGTGATCCAAGACGTCGGTGACCAGGGGCCTGATGTCATCACGGCTCAAGGATGCACGTGGAGCTGTCGCATCCTCGACCAGAATATTGAACAGCATTGCGTGTACATCTGCGCTTGTGCGCCTCAGCCGGGTCCACACATCACTGAAGTGCGCAAACGACGGCCATGTACCGCGGTCTGCCGGGCGTATACGCTTTCCAGTGACTCTGCTGCCAGACGTGGGCGATGCTGACTGATCGGGGCACTGTCTGGTCACATACCGAAATAGCGCCCGATTGGCAAACTGGGGTAACCCGCATGTCTCGGTGACCTTTACAAAGTCGGTTTCTCGTGCTCCAAAGCAGCTGGCAAAATAGGGCTGTGCCTGTTGCAGCTGCAGCTTTAGTGCATGCTCGATATCGCCGTCGACCCGCGGATTCAGAGGTGATACATGCAGCTGGGGGATCGTGCTCTTTTGCTTACGGGCCACTAGCATCTGCTTGTTGTGCTCAATTTTGGATGTTGCAGGGAGGTCACTCAATGAGCTGCTTCCACGGCGCGCTGGTGTGACACCTGTGTCGCTGGCTTCATCAGCAGAAACTTGGCTGAGGGAGCTGCATAGCTGTGGGGTTGTAACTGGCGCTGCTTTCTTACCCGCCTCGCCTTGCGGCAAAGGTGACAACGCACCACTATCACCTTCGCCTTGCTGCAGCGGTCGCCGTGGCGTTGGAGAATCAAGGTCCAGGTGAAACAGCAGCGACTGGCTCACCTGCGACATGGTTGGGCTCTCATCATCGTCCGAGTTGAGCTCTAGCTTTTCATCCAGCGCCAGCGATGCGCCCTTTGTCCGCATGCGCGACAATGTTGGTGACTCCAGTTCACCCCTGTCGCCGACTGGTTTTCGAGACTCAGTCGGAGAGAGTGGCGACGAGGGTGGGTAATTTATGCGCAAGCCAGAGGATGTGGGTGAGAATGGGAATGGTGTGTCCTGCGTCAGGTCGCTGCGGAATGCACGCTTCCTATTGCTGACCACTGGGCTTAGCGGCGGTAGCGTCTCTGAACTGCTGCTCTGTATAATACGGGCCCGCTTACTTAACGGGCTGGTGAGTGTACCAGCACTGCTGGCCTCTGATGACGGCAGCGATGCAACCATGATGTTGCTGCTACCGCTCTTCACAGGCGAATTCTGCAGTCTGAGTCGCGAGGAAATTATGGAATTTGACCGTGGCGACTTTAAATGAGGCGACCACCGCGGGTTCAGGCATAGTTCATCGGCCTGCACTATCGGCGACGATAGTGACTGGCCCTTCCCTTGTGTCGCTGTGCTCTTTCTTCGCGGCGTTGTCATGGCCAAGGCATTTTCAGCAGTAGTCGAACCCATTGCAAGTAGCGTGAATGTCTTGGTTGCAAGCAGACAGCCTGGAGAAATACGTATTGCGCGGCTTAACAGAATAGAAGGAAAATGGCCTATAGCAGGATGAACAGCACAAAAAGAAGCAGAGCAGAACAAAGAGGTGCGCAGGATGCTCCGGGGCTGTCAGCGAAAAAAAATCGACAGCACTGGAGCCAAATCACGCCGATTGTTGACGAAAAGGCTGATCAAGAAACATGATTGGCTGCCTCCGATCAGCTCCAAGCAGCGGCAGGAGGGGACGCAGCAGCAGACTGCCCGCTCCTCTTGCAATCCGTGCATTCAAAACCAGCAGCACAATCCGATATCGAGGGGCATTCAGGATACGCCAACAAACTTCTTTATTTAGCTGGACTGGATGAGCTGCTGCAGCTTGGTATCAAATAGCTCGGACCTCACTGGCATCTCGAGGCTGTGGAACGGGTTCTTGAGTGCGTAGTCGCTGTACAGACCGTACATCTTGGACAGCACATCGTTGAGCTGCAGGTATGAAGGGTCGGTGACTGCAATGAACTTTATGCCAGTCGCTGTCTGGTAGCAGTGGATGCGGAAGCTGCTCGTATCAATTGTCTGGATCCCGGTGTCTTTGCTGCCATCAGACCGCGACGCCGGCGAGATGCGCGACGCGAGCGCGTGGATGCCATGGAAGGTGCCTGCCAGGATCAGCGCCTCATTCGACGAGAGCTTTACCGTATTGGTTGAGTAGTCCCGGTTGTATATCAGGCCGCCTGCCTTGTTAATGATGAACACTGAGTGAATCGGCATCGAGATATGTGCGAAGAAGTGGCGATGAACGGATGGCTGCTGGTCAACAGCAGACACGTGACCCAACCATCGCCAAAGATCTCTCCTTCATCTCACAATTACATAGTATGGTGACCAGCGGAGGCAGGCAAAATTCCCTACCTATGGCGCGCAATAAACGGCACAGCACATAGCGCTTTTGTGTATATATTGGAAACGAGAAGGTGAGGGAAGATACTATGAAAAGGAGGAGAAAACAGGCAAGCCAGACACGGGCAGCTTTGCCGATGCACACAGTTGCTCCAATTTACTCCTGCTGGACGTACTTGTCCTTAATGTCTTCCCACTTTGTGCCAGCGGTCTTCTTGTTCCAGTAGCTGTCAAAGTAGGTGTTGAAGCCGATCGAGAACAGGACGCCGCTGCCCACGATGGTGGCAAAGTAGGTCGACTCCTTCTTGAAGAAGTTGCGGTAAACAACCGAGCTGAGCGACTTGGTGAATCCAGAGACCATTGTAGCGAGCTTTCTATTTAAATCCTTTCGGTCTGAGACACGGGCAAATGCGAGAAAACAAAACGACGAATCGTCAAAGAGACAAGGGTGGAGAGGTGTTGGAATTAGGAAGAGAGGATACTACCGCTGGTCGCAAATTCGAATTGCGACACACGCCCCTCGCCACAAACCCGCCATATCTCTGGATCTTTATCTGCCTGAGCTCGATCGCAATTACATTTGGGGATCACTGGATCTAGTGCGTCCATTCTCTGGCCAATCCTGGTTTCCCACCGGTTCTACTGCCTTTGTCCCAGCAAGTAAGGCGTGGCCGAGCTCTTGCAGGCCATGCCGAGGGCACACCATCGGGGCGGGCATTGTGCTCCTGCTCCTTCTCTCCTCCTGACTCTTCGTGGTTTCTATACTTCCTCTCTTATTCACCTCTGCTATAGACCCTCGTCGCGCGCCTTTCCCCGTTACACGCTTTTAAAAACAAAATAAAATGGCTCCCGATTCGACAGTTGCTGTGGCAGATGAGGTCCAGAAGACCGTTTCGGTCAAAAAGCCCCGCCCGAGCAGACCTGATTTTGACCAGCACAAGAAGGAACTGGCAGCGCTTGATGCGAAAATCGACCAGCTGCGCAAGGAACAGGTAACATACCGCGAAGCATATGCCCACACTCGGTGCTGAGACTCGTGTGCACAGCCTTGCGTACTAGTATACTCATGGCTGCCCCCATTGTGTACATGCTCTGTAGGACGGCATCAAGAACGAGCTGCTCAAGACCGATACACGCAAGGGCCCCTTGGCTGACAAGCGCAACAAACTGCTGTCGCGCTTGCAGGCGATCCAGCGGGAGCAGGGCGAGCTGCGCAAGTCGCGGGGAAAGGTATTTGACAAGCAGGCGTCACTGACCACCTCGATCAGCCGGAAGGTATCTGACCTAAAGACGCTGAAGGCCAAGTCCACGTTCAAGACAGTGTCTGAGATCGACGAGAAGATTGCCAAGAACGAGAAGCGGATTGATTCGGGCAAACTCAAGATCATCGATGAGCGGCGCCTGGCCAGCGAGAACGCACAGCTGCGCCGTGCCCGCAAGGCTGTGGAGCAGTGCGAGGACGCGCAAAGCACCATTGAGAAGGAGAAGGCGGAACTGGCGGTCGTCGATGCACAGCTGGCGGACACAAACGCGCAGCAGCTGGCCGATGAGTACGCGCAGCTGCAAGCCGAGCTGGACCAGATCAAGGCGACCCAGGACCAAGGGTGGGAGAAGCGCTCGGGGCTTCTTGACGAGCGCACCCGCCTGCAGAAGGCCATTGACGCTGCCTGGGACGATAAGCGCGCGCTGCAGGAGGAGCACCGTAAGCAGAACAACGACTTCTACAAGTGGCAGCAGGAGGACCGCAAGCGCCGTGCCGAGGAGGAGAAGCAGCGCCGCATCCAGGAGCAGCGTGAGAAGCGTCTGGCCCTTGCCCAAGAGCAGCGTGAAGAGGCCGAGATCCCGGCCTTCCAGGACGAGATCAATGGCTGCGATTCGCTGATCCAGTACCTGGGCAGCTTCCAGATCAAGTCTGCTAGCAATGCGGGCTCGCGGTCCGAGGACAACACCCGGCCGTCATCGGCTGCAAGCAACCAGCGCGAGGTTGACTCCAACGACCATGTGCCAGCTGGCATGGTTGCCATCAAGAAGAGCTCGAACGAGGAGTCGTACTTTGCCGGCGCAGCCAAGCACAAGAAGAAGGCAGGCAAGAAAACTGCCAGCAAGAGCGATGCGCTCAAAATCCCCCTGGCTGTTGCTGAGCGCTTCTTGGAGCTCAAGGTTGATCTGCCCATCAACATGGCTGCTATCCCGATTGCCCTTGACAAGCTAGCTGACCGGAAGCAGTTCTTTGTCAGCAACCAGACCAAGGTTACCGAGGAGAACAAGAAGAAGGCCGAGGAAAAGATCGCCAAGCTCATGGCTGAGCTGGATGCGGACGAGAAGATCGCCCAGGAATCTAGTTAAACACCAGCAACATTTCGGAACCGCTTTTTAGTCACATGGCTACTTTTGTCCTTACCAAACACGTCAAGTTAATCGTATTCGGTGTGTTGTGTTGGCTAAATGTGGGATTTTGAATAGGTGATATTTAATATTGAAGAAAAGAGAGGACGAGCTGCGCGGACGTACCTTCAATGCAGCCGTTTGTGCAACTTGTCAGAGGCTCGATGCTGCCCCACCATTTCTTGGTACTGCCACTCCTCCTCATCCTCACTTTCCATCAGTTTCTGTGTCATGTCACAGTTCTCGATGTATGGCAGTGGCAACGGGAACCGCCTGAAAATGCACCTTGGCTGCTTTGGAAACTGCGGACTAGGCTATTGCGCCTGTGGTACATCCTTGAGATACTCTGTGTCCTGATAATCAATCTCGCGTTGGTACTCACTGGTATCGATATTGGGTACCACTGGCACGGCACGCCCCTACAGCACCAAAGATGGAACACCACATTCTGACGACTGATATACAGGAAACTTCGCACTGCTCAGACGGCTGACACACGAGGCCATGGAGTGGCAACAATGCATAGCCACTATGGACTGATTGAGGCGGAACAACTGATGGTACCGGTGAAGCAGCCGACCATGTGCGGTTCCTCACCTAGTCTCCACAGACCGATTTCATGCTACCGCAAACCAATCGCAATAAAGTATTACCAGAAACTCTTAATGCTCAGGGCAAGTGGAGGAGAGAAGCGTCGGAGCCTGAGGAGAAGTTGCTCAATGGGGTTTATCCTTGACAGGAGTTTGCATCTAGCTTGCCAGTTATAATTATAATTTTATTTTGAATATAGGAGAGCAAGTGAACATATACTTTTCGCCAGACCTAGGCGCCGACACCAACAACATCGCCAATGGCGGCACTCGGGTTCAAGCACACGGAGGTGAAGATTCTGATCTGGCTGCAAACAGTAGCAGCATGGACTTTGATCTTTAAGCGCACACATGCGATGAATTAACTTTCTCTACTGATGCTTGACAGGCAGCTTGTCGTTTTAATGACTTTATTGAACCAATGATCAGGGGGTTTTCCCTTGATTCTACACTAGACACTCTTAGTCTGGCACTGACTTCGCTTTTGGTCCTACATGGCAGTGCATCTGATGGTGAAAACGAATACTACTGCCACATGGATACCAGAGGCTATGTGATACATACCACTTCTATCCATACTTCAGGCTGTTTTTCAGCCACCTCCCATTAGGACACCAAACTGAGCATTTAATCCACCTTGGGAGGCGGCAGATATGCATTAGCAGTTGTAATTATTGCTCTCTATCCCTCACCCGCTCCTAAATTTTCGATGGCAGCGTAATGTAAACGGAAACAATATGTACATAGCGTGCCGCTGTCTCAATCCGATCTATTCATGTTTTTGCTGGAGGTAGTTGTACTGGCTTCGAAAAATCGATCTCTATGATTGGGTAGCAGGAGGAATTTATTCCATATCTTATGTCACTCCAACTTTTTTTACTTGATCCAATGCCTGAACCGCTGGGGCACTGGTAGTTTGTTAGCTATCGATATGTAGTTATACTTGTGGAAGGTGTCAATATGCTATGAGACATCTCATGTAGAGTTCAGCAACAAAGCAAAGCATGGACAGCTAATGAGTATATATAGCCGGTAAGATAGCATGCAGTTGTGAACCAAACCATGCAGTGTTTTGACATTATACAGTTTCATGTGGATATACATTATGGATTCATAATGAACCTGCTTCCTAGCGCGAGCGGGTTGCCAGCTATAGCAGTTCGGCAAGAGACAAGGCGACCCAAGCCCCCTTGCCTGGAGCTGCCATCAAAACTGTGCTGTCAGTGCCAGGCTACCCCGTCTGACTGCTGGATTTGTGATTATTTGTAGCCATTTATCTGTTGCCTCCCCGAATAGCACAATTGTTGGCACCAATGCGAACCACCCTAAAAACCTTAATCCCGATCAACGCCTCCCGCTTGCAAGGATGATCCAATCAGACAATCGCATGAAAATCAACATCACCAAAAGTTTGTAAGCTGCCAATTATTTTTAGCACAAGCACCAGTCCACATTCCGTTCACGCTCCTAGGCCTTGCCCTCTCCTCTTCCCCGTATTTCTGTTTTCCATTTGTTTACCAGCACTTGACACACACCAAAAGCGCCCCCGTAGACACAATAATGGCAAAGGAGGACAAGCGCATAGAGGAGGCAGCGGTAGATCAGTCTGCTGGTGTGGCCCCAGTTGACAAACCAGAAGCCGGCAGAATTAAGAAGAGTGGAAAGAAGGGCAAAAAGTTTGCAACCAAGGTACGACACTGCTGCACATAAATATTCTGCATTGGCAGAGCCCACTCGCCAAGCACTAGTGCCTAGGCAGCGACGCGGTCCACACAGCTATCCACAATATCTTTCTCATCTTTTTTCGCTTACCCACCTACACGTTAATATTCTTAGGATTCAATGCTCAGCATCCTCAGCCAGGTCAGCGGCATCGAGGAGATGCGGCTCGAGAAGAAGATGAAGCGGCAGCAGGTTGTAAAGTCGTTGACAAAGGAAAAGGAGAAGAAGTCGATGGAGCGCAAAAGCAAGATCGGCCGGAAGCTGGTAAGTTTTGGATATTGCATCTCCAACCTCCGCAACGATATTTCCCTCCGCACACAATATACGAACCTAATAAGTGGTGGAATATAGGACGATATGAAGGCCAAATTGCTGGAGAAGACGATGCAGAAGCGGCGGGCGAAGAAGCAGGCCAAAAAGTCTCCGGGCAAGGCTGGGCTGTCCCGCACGCTCAGCGCAATCAACCGGGAATGGGACAGCGATGAGATTGCGTCCAGTGGCAGCGATGCTCTGGCAGGCGCCGCCAAGCCTAAAAAGACTGTTTCATTTGCCATGTAGAGGGCATTCGGCTTCTGCCCCTGGAGATAATATTAGAACGAGAGGCCTGCCCCTCGTTTTTGTGTATTGCATGTTTTCAATAGCGCATTCTTATTTGTTTTTCTGCTAGTTCGTTTGTCGACATGCGTTACACCTTGCTTGTGTGTTTTCTGTTTGGTGTAGCACGCGCCGCGACCAACAAACCAGAGCCGGCATCCGACCCGCAGCTCCAGGCGCTGCGGATAGCTGGCGATGAGTTTGATCGTGCGCTGCAGGGCACCAGGAACATCATGGTGCTGTTCCATACGCCGTCATGTGTTTACTGCAATAAAATGGCGCCCGAGTACGGCAAACTGGCGGCCGGCTTCGAGGGCAGTCATGACGTCAGGATAGCGACAGTCGACTCGAGCCGCGATCGCGATCTGTCGCATAAATTCGACGTCCACGCCTACCCGACCATTCTCCTGCTTGCCGACAATGGCAAGCGCACAATCAAGTACGACCGGTTGCGCACGGCGAAGGACATGGCGTCGTTCATCAAGGACAAGACCGGCGTGGCTAGCCCCAAGCCTGTATGATGTGTCTCTCAGAGCATCAGTGAACCCGGCAGTATCCGCAACCCAGGCTGTGATGCGGTGATCCGGGAAGGCACTGGGAGATCACGGTGACGTGTCAACAACTGATTCCACAATTTGGCAAACGTTCTTTGCTTGGCCCGATGTGCGACAGCGCGTCCATTTTGCTGGTGCAGCTGCAGCTCGGCCTTTTCGCTTTTCTCTTCTCGAGTTTTTCTTTTGTTTTTTACTTGCAAACACAGAGAAGAAATCGCCCTTTATCAGTAATGTTGTTCAATATCAAGGTTGCAGCCGTCGCGGCTGTTGCTGCGCTGGCCACCGTCGCGCTGGGTGCGGGCAGCGGCCCTGTTGTAGATTTGACGCCCAAGAACTTCAAGCAGGTGGTTGATGGCAGCAAGGATGTGCTTGTCAAGTTCTACGCCCCGTGGTGCGGCCACTGCAAGAACATGGCTGAGGACTACGAGAAGCTGGCCGAAGGCTACAGCCATGCCAGCGACATTGTGATCGCCGAGGTCAACGCCGACGAGCACCGGGACCTGGGCAACCAGTTTGCTGTTCAGGGATTCCCGACGCTAAAGTTCTTCCCCAAGGGTGAGGACATCAAGACCCCTGTCGATTACTCGAGCGGCCGCGACCTGGACTCGCTGGTGGACTTTGTTCGCGAAAAGACCGGTGTTGTTGGACGCATCAAGAAGCCTGTGTCGCTGGTCGAGGAGCTGGACTTTGACAAGTTCAAGCAGATCGCCCTGGATGAGGACAAGTTTGTTTTGGTCGAGTTCTACGCCCCGTGGTGTGGCCACTGCAAGCGCCTGGCGCCCATCTATGCCCAGCTGTCCGAGGTGTTCCAGAACGACGACAACGTGGTGATTGCCAACTATGATGCCAGCGAGGACACCAAGATCCGCGACGAGGTCACGATCCAGGGCTTCCCGACTCTGATCGCCTTCCCGGCTGGCAAGGACGCCAAGCGCATCGAGTTCGAGGGCGACCGCTCGCTCGAGTCCCTGGTTGCCTTTGTCAACAAGCACGCCGGCACCCAGCGCACTGCTACAGGCACTCTGGACCAGACTGCTGGCCGCCTGGCTGCCCTTGATGCCCTGGCACGCGACTTCATTCGATGCTACCACCGCCCAGCGCAAGAAGATCATCTCCAACGCCAAGGTGGTCGCCAGCGAGGTGCACGACAAGGCCCAGGCCAAGTTTGCCAAGTACTACGTCAAGGTCATGGAGAAGGTCAGCAGCGCATCTGACTTTGCCGCCAGGGAGTCTGAGCGTCTGGCTAACATTGTCAAGAGCGGCGCGGTCAACGCCGGCAAGCTCGACAGCTTTGCCATCCGCCAGAACGTGCTGGATGTGTTCTTGGGCAAGGCCAAGGATCTCAAGAACCAGGATGAGGCTGCCGAGGCCGAGGCCGAGGCGAGCATGTCAAGGACGAGCTCTAAGCAATATTTTTCTCGTATAAAAATCCAATTGTCAGCAACATTTTCTGTTCCCCTAAGCAGTTGCCAATGGGCTACTGGTGCCAAGTATGAATTTGTCGAAATGCGGCGAATGGCGGGAGATTTGGCACTACTCGCTGACTAGTACTGGTTCCTTTTTGTGTATAATGGCCAACGAGGCGACGCAGACACCAAACCCGATGTGGACACCCGACGCAGACTTGTCGCTGTTCATATCGATGATCGGGCTAAGACCTGTCGGGATTCACAGACACTTTCGCATGGTCAACATATACACGCGGCTAATGGGACGGCTCAGCAACAGGGATGTAAAGCCAGCAGATGTATGGAGGCGACTCGAGACACTGTATGATATGGAGCTGCTAGAGGAGATGGAAGATGAGAACGAGGACGACGAGGACGACGAGGCCGAAGATGATGCGGAGGCAGAAGAGGAGGATGCGGCACAGGACGATCAGGCCGAAGCTGGTTTGAGGCCAAGCAAAAGGCGGAGGACCACCAAGGATGAATCTGAGGAGCCAGATGATGAAGAAGACGATGAAGAAGGGGATGAAGACGAGGATGGTGAAGGCGAAGGCGATGGTGAGGGTGATGGCGAAGATAGCGCTGGAGAAGATCAGCACAGCTCAGAAACCAATATTCCACCATCCAGTATCGGCACCGTACTGGACACATCGGACCCGCTGTTCTGGCGCAAGGCCAATGCAGAATTCGCACTGCCATGGACGGAATTTGGCACGATGATGGTAGAGCGCGCAGGGGCGGGTGTCGATGATACGGATGACATGGCATCTGCTGCAGATCCCTCATCGTCGAAAAACGCAAGCCCAGAGCCTGAATCCGACGACAATAACAACGACGATGACGACGACGATGATGATGACAATGATGATGACAATGAGGACGACGACGAGGACGAGGACGATGAGGACGACAAAGAAGACAAGTCCTATGTCTCGACGCGGCGTCGTGGGCGCTCATCGACACCGGTGCCGCGCACCCGTTCAAAGCCGCTGGCCAGCACACGTAGCAAGCGGTCGAGCAGAGGAAAATAGCGTTTTCTCGTGTTAACAAAAAAGAAAACGGCGGTTTACTTCTTAGCGTCAGTCGCTGAAGACTCGTTGTCCTGGGGCTTGGTGTTGTCGGCCGACGTGGCTATTGTGGCCGCAGCTGTGTCGTCATCTTTGCCACTGGAGATGCGTAGGTTGTTCATGATGTACTTTGTGACCATCTCGCGCAGCGCGTCCTCATCGGCGTCGTCGGCGTCGTCGGCCTGCTGCATGATCCAGTTGGAGATATCCTGCAGTTTTTCCTCCGACACATTGACCTGGTGCTGCTCCTCGGCCTCGTCGACCTGGTCGATCTCTGGCACCGGGATCTCGAGGCGCTCGCACAGCAGCTCAGTGACCTCAATGGCTTCGTTCTCAAGGGTTGTATGGACAGGCGTCAGGCCCTCGCTATTCTTGCACTCAGGATCGGCACCGTGCTCCAGCAGCAGCTCAGCACACGCCTTGTCCTCACAGATGTGCAGCGGCGTGTCGCCGTCGGCATCAGCGATGTTGACGTTACCGCCATTCTCCAGCAGGTACTTCAGCAGCTCCAGGCGCTTCCACGAGGCGGCAGCGTGGAGGGGGCTGTATCCGTTGGGGTCCTGGGCGTTGACCTGCGTCTTGTCCGCTTCGACGAGCTGCTTGACGCGCTCAATGTCATCGTCGCTGACGGCGATCCAGATGTTCGACTCCTTGGCCATTGTGCTGGGCGATAGAACGGCTAAATATCGTGTTTCAGGTGAAAAGAAAGGGGGAGAGACGAAGAGCAGTGACAGCGAGAATTTCCTCTGGCGGGCCGGGCTATTCCACCCGCCCCCCCCATCGACCCAGCCTGGCCCGCATCAATCCAGTTATGGCTGGCTCTTTGGGACTACCACCAGGAGAGCCGTGCTTTTTGCCACCGCCCTTTAAAAACACTGCTATCCCCGAGTCGAGTCCTGCTCTTCGGTTCTGTGGTGCCTGCTGCGGCTCCACGAGTTTGGGTGAAGGACGTTTTATTTTTATACAAGGTTTGGTGGTGAGGCGTCTGAGGTGCCATAGCGCTGGCCGCTACTCCGGGCGGCAGCACGTAATAAGCAGATTTGCGGCAGCGGGCGGAGGAGCGCGGCCAGACTGGATCTTCGCAATACCGAGCGACTGCTGAGCGCCAACACACAGAAAGAGCAGGCTTGTGAAACGTCGACGACGAGTCATTCCGAAAAGCTGACAGGGACAAAGGTGGTGTATAGAGATCCGAGCGCTTATTTTTCCGAGCGGTTTCTTATCTCTACTGCCCTTCCACTACCACGACTATTTATACGTTACCCATAGACTATACAGGCTTGTAACAATGAGTAGTCTGCTTCGGGCTCCGATTCGGACAGCAGCGCGTGCAATCCTGATGCACAACCGGGCTCCCATGGCGCACATTCTTCGGCGAGGTAAGCAACCCCCCTCTCGACCCACGCCCTGGGGTTTAAGAATAGTGAATCGAGGAACAGGAAGCTGCTGCAAATTTGTGGCTGCACCTCAGGCCGCTTGTTCAGCTTGCAGTTCACAAGTGCAAGGAGCAGGGCTTGTGAATCGAGTGCACTCAAGACACTCGCCTCCTGCCCGCCCTTAAGCGCCAGTCTGCGTGAAGCTGCCACCCTTGCCCCAGTCACATACGTGGTTGACTGAGGGAAAATCAGCAACCGAGCTCAGCGCAAATCTTTTGTGGCGACGCGATCCGCGAGCTGTGCTTGTGCGGGAACACCGGTCCCCGCTCACAATTGATTTATAAATAGCTGCCTCTCTGAAAGCTCCAGTGACACGGTCTTGCCAGTGAACCAGTCAATGCCTTGCACATCCCGCCTGCTGAGCTGCAGAGTGTGTTGCCACGTCTGCTTTCCTTGGCTGGTGGGGGATAGAGATACGCATATGTGAGAACGCGGGATTCGGCTGCAGCGCCCGCTCCCCCACATAGATTTTCTCCGACAGCTGGCTACACTGGCAAATGTTCCCATTGCATGCCTGAGGAAATAGCGTTGCCAGCAAATGAGGGAGATGTAGTGGTGCGAAAAAAAGTCTGCATTATTTGCACCTTGGGATCTTGGGCTGAGCGCCTCCCCCCCCTCACACTTGAAAGAGTAAAGTTGCGGTTGTGTGGCAAAACAAGGGGGGGCGTCCATATATATAGGTCAGCATTTCGCGCACCTGCTCAACAACTAAACCCGGAACGCCTTATTCCTCACCCACCTCCCCATTTGTCATTGCCATTTACACCTCTGCAAATATTAGAGATAACCTCTCGACTGCAATATTCGACTAGGAATATCTGTTTGTACCTGTACAGTCTCTTTACACACAATTCCTATCCATCTTTATTAGGACTGACCAATCCTGCCAATGTTCAACGCTGCCAAGAGATACGCGACAGTCGCAGGACCCGGCGCAGAGAAGCAAGGTCGCTATTGTCGATGATGCCGGCGAGCACACGTACGTGCAGCTGCTGCAGGATGCGCGCAAGGTCAAGAGCGCCCTGGGCGATCGGGACCACAAGGGCGCCAGCATTGCGATGCTGGTTCCCAACGGCTACCAGTATGCCGCCGTGCAGTGGGGAATCTGGGCTGCTGGTGGTGCAGTTGTGCCTCTGAGTCCCATGCACCCGGACCGCGAGCTCGAGTACTTCATCACAAACTCGGAGGCCAAGACCCTCGTATGCCACCCGGCGCTGCTGCCTAACGTGCAGCCTGTGCTCGACCGTCTGCAGGGCCAGATCTCGGTTGTCAGCACCGATGTCATCCATGACCTGCCCAACCTGCCTCAGGCCGACGACCTCGCTGTCGATGATGAGCAGGGAGCGCTGTTCATCTACACCAGCGGCACCACCGGGAAGCCCAAGGGTGTGGTTCTGACACACGCCAACATTGCGGCCCAGATTACTGACCTCGAGGAGGCCTGGGGATGGACGCCCGAGGACCGTCTGCTGCACGTCCTGCCTCTGCACCACCTGCACGGCATTATTGTCGCGCTGTGCACTGCGCTGTGGTCGGGAGCCACCACCGAGATGCTGCCCAAGTTCGACAAGGACCGCGTCTGGAACCGTATCATCGACGGGCCGCAGGACGTCTCAATCATCATGGGCTGTGCCCACCATGTACGCCCGCCTTGTGCAGGCTGCCGAGGAGATGCCGACCGAGCGCCAGCGCCAGGCATACACGGCCATGAACAGCCTGCGGCTGACGTGCTCTGGCTCGGCGGCCCTGCCGACATCGGTGTTCCGCCGCTGGCAAAAGGCCACGGGCCAGATTATGCTGGAGCGCTACGGCATGTCTGAAATCGGCATGGCTCTGAGCAACGACGGCCTGAACCCGCAGAACCGCAAGGCCGGGTCGGTCGGCAAGCCGCTGCCCAAGGTGCAGGTGCGCCTGATAGATGCCGAGGGCAAGGACGTGACTGAGACGCCAGGCGCATCAGGCACCATCCAAATCAAGGGCCCCAATGTGTTCCACGCCTACTACGGCCTCCCCGAGAAAACCGCCAAGGAATTCACGTCCGACGGCTGGTTCATCACCGGCGATGTGGGCACGCGCGACTCGGACGGCCTCTACTACATCATGGGCCGCATGAGCGTCGACATCATCAAGTCGGGCGGCTTCAAGCTGTCGGCTCTCGAGATTGAGCGCGAGCTGCTTGAGCACCCGAACATTGTCGATGTCGCGGTCGTGGGCGTGCCCAGCGAGGACTGGGGCGAGGTCGTGGCCACTGCCGTCACCCTCAAGCCCGATACGACGCTGACCATCGAGGAGCTCAAGCCCTGGTGCTATGAGCGCATCTCGCGCTACAAGACCCCGAAGCTGCTGCGTATCGTCGACGAGCTGCCCCGGAATCTCATGGGCAAGCTCGACAAGAAGGCCGTCAAGGCTATGTTTGCGTGAGGGGGCGGCTGCGTCGGACACACTAGATGTATGCGGCGTGGCGTCTATTGGGGGGGATCGATTCTCTTCCACATATTCCCACATATTGTTTAGTCTACCTTTTCTTCTTCTTCTTTCCTTTCACAGTGCAATATAGGCTGTGCCCAAGCACTCCATCTTGCCCTCTGGGCTGCGCTAATCTATGTCCTGGAGATGGTGCGGATAGTGCAGCTATTGTCAAACGCCGATTGCCAATGCGCTCGGTCGCGGCGATGCTGCTGGGCTTACTAACGGTGCAGAAAGTCGAGCACGGTCTTACATGAGATGAATGCGGAGTTATGTGTGCATATTATGTCCCAGATTCCCCACTTTCCGCCTACGATCGTCTTGCTAATACAAAAGTCAGAAACATACTTCCTAGTGACATGCTAGGACCCGCCCGAGTGACATGCATCCAGGGCTTACTCGGCAAATTGACCACGGAAAAACTGGCAGCGAAATTGCGACGAGAAGGCCGATCTGCCTATGTTGCATGGATCGCGGCTGCGCTGGCTATCGCCCCCAGCCCCCACTCTGCTCCCCAGGCGCTTTCATACAAAGCACGCTTTGGTTTATTTTAGCTTAAGTCGCCGCGCACATCATGCAAGAACACGATATGTGGACCTCCATTAGCTGTATAATCTACTGGAAATCATCGCTCTCCGCTCCAATCTTGGCGGCTGCAGCGGTCGCATCGCGCAGATCGTCAGGGGCGGGGCCGCCATTTCTTGCGCTCTTCTCGGCACTAGCGTCAGCCGACACTGCAGCCGAGCCTGCCGCCGCCGCGTCACCCAGGGCGGTCGCCATCGAGCCATCAGAATCCCCGGTTCCCATGGCACCATCTTGCTTGGGCTCGGCCAGCAAGGGAGGGGTCGTCCCCAGATCGCCAATCGTCGATCCCGCTGCAGCGCCCCCATTCTCCCCACACTGCTTCGCCTCCGCATACGCCCTCGCCAGGTCCGTGGCCAGGTCCAGCATCCCCTTCCGCTTCTGCCGCATAAGCCCGGGGGCGAACCACTCGCGCAGACTCACATTGTTGACTGCCAACGCCAGCAGCGTCTGCGGATCGCGCAGAAACTCCTCCACGTAGTGCAGCACGAAGACTCCGCAATCGCACATGTTGGTCTGCAGTGGCACCATTGCATACCTGCCAGTCACCCGAAGACGCTCCGGTGCTGGCTCGGCTGCTGCATCGCTGCTGTCTGCTGCAGCGGGGGGACTGCGAGACTCAATCTCCGAGTTTATGTACTCGCGCAGCAGCTTGAACGTCGTCTGGTGCTTGCTACCCAGTGAATCAAGGATCAGGATGTACGGGTGCTTGCTGGGATCCTTGTACTTTGCCGCAGTTATCTTAAACTCGCTGTTCTTGAACCGAATCACAACAGGCTCAGGCGCGGCGCCATCACGCGGCGACGCCTCATCCATTCTCACAGCTGCGCTGATAATGGTCCTGGGAACCCAGGGTGGGCGGCGACGACAGGTCAACAAAGCTGCAATTTCCCCTCTCAACCCGTGTCGAGTGCCCAGCGGTAGCAGCTCTCTGCACGATCGGCGACTGGCGTCTCGGGAATTAGCATTGTTGTAGCGCCCCTCTCGTTGCTGGTGCTGCTGCTGCTGGCGCTGCTATCTGCTGCTGCACCCGAGTTTTCATGTTTCTCTGAAACTGCACCGACAGTAGCAGTCTGCTATGCAGCCATGCCGCCGTCCATACGCGCATCTCCGTCCGAGTCATAGCTAGCAGCCCTGTGCTCGCTGCGCTGCGGCGATGTCTTCTGCGCTGGGAAAAAGCTGTTGATCTCGTACTCCTCCAGGGTCTTCCGCGACTTTAGCCTGCTGGGTGACTCTGCAGCCTCTGCAGGTTTGGCTTTCGGATCACCCTGATCGGTCCCATTTAATTCGCTGGCATCGACTTTCACCTGCCCCTGCGCAATGTCGCTGCTCCTCTTGTCATCGTGGCCAAGCAGCAGGACCCGGGTTGGTGATGATGGCCAAGTACCAATGCAGGTTCTCGTTGATCGGCACGAAAATGTACTTCTTTGCCAGCAGGTCCACACTGCCAATCCACCGCTTCAGCTGCCCATGCAAGGCCGCTACCGGGTTATTCTCTCTGACCACAGACCCGGCGGCTGCGCGGCTGCGCTGCGACGACAGCTTTTTGAAAAAGAATGTGTTGAAAAAGAAGCACTCGCTGTGCAGCACTGGGTTGTTCCTGCGTATGTCCTCGGAGATATAGCGCATGTAAAACTCCATGATCGTGTCGTTGAGGAACTCGCCTCTGTACAGCCGCGAGATGTCGCTGCCCATCACCGACGTCGCCTTGCGCTCGCCCAGCGGGTACTCAAACTTTAGCGTGTAGTCAGTAGTGGAAAATTCGCGCTTGTGCACCACAATATCGTCGCTACCAGATGAGTCCGAGCCGACCTCTGCCAGGCCACCTGGCGTCCGGTTTGACCGCCGCCTGTGCTGAGACGTGGGTGACGAAGGGGCCGCCGAGAACTGGTCTGGCTTGGCAGCCAGGGTGTTGCTTGCTGTCCCGCAGCCTGGTGCTCCTTTTCACGCCCCATTCGTCATCGCTGTCATCACCGCTGTCGTCATCACCGCAGCAGCTGTCCTTGGCGGGTGCTTGCTGCCAGGAGCCAGTAATGGTGCCTGATGTAAAGGGTCTACGGTTGGCCGCTGCACTGTCAGACGCTGGACCCAAGGCCGAAGCTAGGCCTGGTTTTCTGAAGCTTGCTCCAGCCGAGATCTTTTCGCCCTGCTCATCCTCTGACGACGAAATCAAGTCAATGCTGTAGGCCTTGGTCAGCTCCTCCGCCACGGCAATATAGACACTCAAATCGTGTGTGCCAATCGCATGCTGCGCATCAAACACCTTGGCGATCCGCTCAATCACTCCGGCATCGGCCTTGGACTGGGACTGCCAGCACATGAATATCATGCTGAATGGCCATGTCGCTGCTGCTCGGATCAAACACCAGCTCCTCAAACACCGACTCCATCGTCGATTTTGGCTTGACCCGCATAATCACAAAACCATTCGTTTCAAAGTAATCCAGCGCGTCCATGTCGTTGGCGTCAAACTTCATCGTGACGCTGCCGTCCTGCAGACCGGTGATTTCAAACGAGCGCCGCATAAAGTTGACTGTCAGCCGCAGCGTAGAGTGAGCAGACTGCACTGCCGACATGTCGGTCTGCTGAACGTGGGTTCCGATCTTCACCCCACGCAGCGTCAGATGCTTTGCTGGGATGTTCTGCCGAGGACTATCAAACACAGCTGCAGTCTGTCGACGCTTTGCCCTCCGGGCTGAACTAACTGAGAGCCTGGGTGCTGATGTGGGCGATGTGGGCGATGTAGGTGACGTGGGCGGAGATGGCGACTCAAGAATAATTGACGCCGTGTCCATTGACTTTCGGCGCCCGGTCAGCACAGGCCCCGGCCTAGATGGCGAGGTCGTCGGACTGATACTCTGTGTATATTTCTGCAGCCTTTCGTCGTGATCTAGCCGAAGTAGAATACCCGCTCGCAGCGCCAGTAGCCGATGTGTGTGAGCTATTCACCGCTGGTTTGATTAGGCGCGGTGGCGAGCAGCCCCGCCTCGGTGGTGGTGAGGATGCTATGCTGCTGCTGCTGCTGCTGTGGCTATCGTGCTGCTGCTTGGGTTGCAAGCCCGCCGCAATTGACACCTTTGGCGGTTTCATGAGGCCCTTAATCGACGCAGTATCCATACAGTCTCCGCGACTGTTGCCTGGCAACGACGACAGCGGCGACGAGTACTGCATCCTCTGCAGCGAATTGGATGGATCTCGCAGGCTGGCCAGCCGGGCATTTGTGCCAGAGCCTGGATATTGCTTGCTGAAACCTTGTACTTTGGCAGCAGTAGATCCTAGTCCATACTGCGTTGCTCTCAAGGCTACTCGGCTGACCGACTCATTTGCCTTGTGAGTCACCTCTAGCAGCGGTGATCCTCTGCCCACAGATGCTGCCCGGGTCAGATCCCGCGCACTTGTTGGACTAGGCACATCATCGACCTCAATCAGCTTCTTCGCCTCGGCCGTGGCCCCATCTTCCGGGTCGGCATCTGAATCGTCAATATGCATCACCGAACCGTCCTGGCTGTCGCTGGGTTTGCTGGTGGCAGCCGATGACCTCTGAAGATTTAACCGGGGGATCTTGCTCTGCGGGGCCATGCTTTCAAACTGACTGACTCGTGACTGGACAACCCCTTTGCTGCCACTAGCCTCGCTGCTGGGTCTGAGATTCAACTGCCGCGTCCTGCCGCCTATCTCTTTGACTCTGTTTGTGCGCTGCCGCCCAGTGCCCCCGCTGGCCGTCTGTCCGATGTCTCTGCTGTACGGGTGGCCTCTGCTGCTGCGCGTCTGCGGCAGAATGCTTCTTCCATTATATTCTATGAACTGGCGGCGCTGCTGCGCTTCCTATGATAAAGAAAAAGGGGACGCGTTAGAATGCAGGCGCTTTGCAGCTGCTTTTTTCTCTCGAAATGCTCAGCAGCATGCCAGTACCTACCTCTGGTGTTTGCAGCGTAGTGGGGATATCAATGACCGTCGCTTTCCGCTTGAATGACAGTGGTTTTTCACTAAAGTGCAGTTCGCAATTTGGCTGTGTTAGCGTTTATGTTCACTGGCATGGCCCGCCAGCCACGCTCGGTGGTAAATGCACGGGCGCTACGAACCTGGTCTTGTCGCTCATAGTTTGCTGTAAAAGGCGCTCGCCCGCTCGTTTGCTTTGGCGGTGGAAAGGTGCAATGGCCGATTCGCAGAAAGAGTTGAATGAATAGAAAGAGTAGTGGTACACGGAAAATATGCAAAAAGCAGACAAGCTGGAATGAGTGCAACAGAAATGCTCCTTGTTGGAGAAATAACGCAAGATTATACGGTGCGCACGGTTGACTCGGATGAAAAGACGCTGCGCTAGCCATATTTGCATATATGGGTGTTATTGGGAATAGGCGCCCGCTGTGCAGCCTACCAAGCCTGTTGCACCCGTCGTATATGCACCACCATGCCCGCGCTCACTCACAAGACACTTTTGGCTGTTTTTGAAGGTTCTCTTTGCTTGCTAGAAACAAAAGCTTGAATTTTACACTTCAAAATGCAAAAAAGAACAGGAAAGGATACGATAAAGGAAATAGAAAAACAGAGGTAGAGGTTGGTGAGGATAAGTAGTGGGATAATGAGATCAGACGGCCCGGAGGCGCGGCTCCACCTTAGTCTATGCGAGTGAAGCTACGGCCGCCCTTGGGATGGTCGTTGATCTTGGGGTTTCTCTTCTCCAGGTCCTTGCGGTCGCGCGACATAAAGTCAAACTCGCAGGCGTGCTGATCTGGGAATCGGTGGGTGTCGCAGAAGATGTGTTCGCACCGGCACTTGTTGGTCGTCTGCTTCACCAGCGGCACTCGCGAGCGGCACTTGAAGCACCGGCCCTTGTTGGCCTGTGCCCGCTTCGTCGGCGTTGAGGAGCCCGAGGCCGACGGAGACAGCGCGACCAGCGGCGAGGGCATGCCGGAACCAGGCGCCGAGCTCGACACGAGGGAGGATGTGTCGGGGTTGGTGTGAATCAGGGATTCAACCAGTGGGTTGTGTGCAGTGGCCGGCTCCGAGACCGTGCTTGCCGACTGCGCAACTGCTGCAGTAGTCGCTGATGTGGTGGTGGTAGTGGCAGTGGCAGTGGTGGTAGTGGTGGTGGTAGTAGCAGCGGCGGCAGCGGCGGCAGCAGCAATCGCGTTGTTCATTGCAGCCTCCACGGCAGGTGACTGAATGGTAGTGGCGGCCGTTGGTGTCTGGCTGGCGGCAGCGGAACCTATTGAGCAGGAACATTGACAGAGGCGTTTGGGGGAGTGTCAGTAAGGAAGAGTGCCGGGTTAGAGCATCTGCGTATAGTGTTGTTTTGGCTGTGTTCGGACATGGCAGCAATATAATGGCTCATCTGCGCGGCATACGGGAGAAGCCCAGAGTCGGAAATAAGCATAGGGGGACGTGCATGAAAGCTGTTTGTACACACATCTCTGTCCCAAGAAAACACCCCAGAGTCCAGAACTGTGCGCTGGCCCTTTCCGTCACAAAAGGGATGGGTAAAAAAAAAGAAGCTCTGGCCCCCTCCCTCACACCAGCAGCGGAACAGCAGCAGTATTGGCCTGTGCCCGTGTGTGCCCAGACTAGAAGACAGGTGAGAAATGGAGCCAGATAGGCAAGGGGGACGCAGAGGGGAGAAAAATGGCAACACTATATCCCAGCACGTGAGAAACGTGCTGACACCAGCCGTCGCACCTTTTTTCTAGCGCAATTGCCGTGGCCCGCCTGACACAAAAAGCAAAGACGCTGGGTGGAAGTAAAACGTACCTTGCGCAACTTTGCTGTTCTGCTTTTGCTGCTCCTGCTCCTTGAAGCATTTCGAGCACATGTTGTTGTAGATGGGGTTGCCATAGAAGCCGCAGTTGTTGACGCAGAACTCGGGCTGCTGTGAATCGGGGTTCTTCTCCATTGCTGTAAAGAAAGGAGGTGCTGTCGATGCGCTGTTGCTGCTGCTTACGAAAAGAGAAAATGAGGCTGCAAAATGCAAGAATAAAGGGGAGAAAAGGAGAGAAAAAGAGCCTTGGTTAAGGGAAATAGCTCAACTCCAAAAAGAACAAAAAGCACTAGATTTGGTGTCCCAAGCAAAAGAAAAAGTGAGGGAGCGAAAAGAGAGAAATATTATGAGCGTGTGTGCGAAAAAGCAAGAGAGTACACGCAATCGGGGCCGGCGAGGCGGCCTTTATACCGGCAAAGGTTCAAAAATAAACGCCCACACGCCCCATTGGCCAGCCCCCCGCCGAAGCGATCAAAGTTTGGCCAATTTATAATTTGTGGGCTTGGCCTCTGCTGCGGGCGGCACTTTTGTATTTCCGTTGAAGGCGATATCGCTCGATGTGACAAACAGCCTGCTCTCTAGAGGATTAGTAATTACCGTATTTGTTGGTCTTGGCCGCGCCTTCTCTCCCGATAGCGGCACGACGTCTTGTGTTGCATTGGGAGCGTGTGTACCGCCCGAAACCTGTAAACAATGGTAGTTGTGGTTGTGGTGGTTGTGGTGGTTGTGGTGATGGTAGGGGGTAGCAGCTGGAGCTGGCTGCAGGAAATTAAAGCAAAGCGGTCACAAGAACAGCTGGCACATAGGGCCCACATCAGTCCGTCTGATCAGCCAGCCAGCCAGCCATAGCCGCAGCCTCAGTAGCAGCCAGCTTCGAGTGTGTTCGATCGCGTTCTGCCTCTGAATACTGCTTGGCTCATCGTTCTGCTAGATGATGCACCAGTGCCGCAGGGGTTCCGTCCTGTCCAGCGAATCGAATAGCAGTTACCCGGTGCCAAATATAGGAAGGTGGGCCCACACAGCAGGCACAGGAAAATCAAAATTGTCACCGCTGAACACGCGGGCGACAAACAGCGCAAAAAGAGCCCCTGCTTTCAGCAACACGCAAAATGCGCGGTCGATCGGGCTGGCGACTCTGCGCCTATGGTCCAGAATACTGCCTACTGATCGGCGTATATTGCTGCTGGCCATGCTACGGCCCGCATTATCGTATAAACGGAAGAAATGAAATGAATAGAGAAAATCGAGCGAAACTAATGCGTTTCTACGACTTAGACCTTGGAGTTATCGACAGGCAGGGGCTCGATGTTCCAGACCTCCTCGGCGTACTCCTGGATGGAGCGGTCAGACGAGAACTTGGACATGCGGGCAACGTTGAGGATGGACTTGGTGATCCACTCGTCGTGGTCGCGGTAGGCCTCCTCGACGGCCTGGTGGGCCTGGATGTACGAGGGGAAGTCGACAGACAGCAGGTACACGTCACCGCCGCGCAGGATCGAGTCGATGAGCGGCTGGAAGATGTGGGCCTCGCCGAAAGTGCCGGCCTGGATGAGGTCGAACGCAGCCTGCAGCGCCTCGTCCGGCTTGGGCTGGTGGAAGCGCAGGTAGTGGCGGAAGTCCTCGACCTCGTGGGCAAGGCAGCCAAAGAAGAAGATGTTCTCCTCGCCAACCTCCTCGCCAATCTCGATGTTGGCGCCGTCGACAGTGCCAAGGATGATGCCGCCGTTGAGGCAGAACTTCATGTTCGAGGTACCCGACGCCTCGGTGCCAGCAGTCGAGATGTGCTGCGAGATGTCGCTGGCCGGGATGATGGACTCGGCGGCGGTGACGCTGTAGTCGGGGATGAAGACGACCTTGAGGACATCGCCAATCTCCTCGTCGTTGTTGATGACCTCGGCCACCGAGTTGATCAGCTTGATGACCTGCTTGGCAACCCAGTAGCCCGACGCAGCCTTACCGGCGAAGATGACGACGCGGTGGAGCTGCTTGGCGCGCTCCTCGGCAGACATCTTCTTGAGCTGGCCGTAGCGGTGGATGACGCTGAGGATGTTCATGAACTGGCGCTTGTACTCGTGGATGCGCTTGACCTGGATATCGAACAGGGCGTTCGGGTTGACCTTGATGCCGGTAGTGCTGAGAATGTACTCGGCCAGGTGGGCCTTGGCCTGCTGCTTGGCGGCCCACCAGCGCTCGCGGAAGTCGGCATCGTCGACCTTGGCCTCAATGGCCTTGATCTTGGTCAGCTCGTTGATCCACGAGCTGTCGCCGACGACCTCGGTGATCAGCGCGCTCATGGCCGGGTTGCACTCGTTCATCCAGCGACGCGGCGACACGCCGTTGGTCTTGTTGATGAACTTGTCCTCGCCCTGCACCTTGACAAAGTCAGAGAAGATGGTCTGCTTGATGATGTCCGAGTGGATGGCAGCGACACCGTTGACCTTGTGCGAGCCGACGCATGCCAGGTACGCCATGCGCACCTGCTGCGGGTTCGACTCCTCGATGACGGAGATGCGGCGCAGCAGGTCGCGGTCGTTGGGATACAGCTTCTCGACCTCCTGCAGGAAGAACAGGTTGATGTCGTAGATGATGCCCATGTGGCGGGGCAGGATCTTGTCGAGCATGGGGACCGGCCACTTCTCCATGGCCTCGGGCAGGATGGTGTGGTTGGTGAACGCAAACACGCGCTTGGTGATGTCCCAGGCGGCGTCCCACTCCAGGCCCTCCTCGTCGATGAGGATGCGCATCAGCTCGGGCACGCCCAGGGTCGGGTGGGTGTCGTTGAGCTGGATGGCGACAAGGTCGGGCATCTCGACCCAGGGCTTGCCGGTCTTCTTGAAGCGCGCAATAATGTCCTGCAGGGTGGCCGAGCAGAACAGGTACTCCTGGCGCAGACGCAGCTCCTTGCCCTCGTTGGTGTTGTCGTTGGGATACAGCACGTCGGTCAGAACCTGGGCGGCAACCTGGCCGCCGGTGGCACCGGCATAGTCGCCCGAGTTGAACTTGTTGAGGTCAAACAGGTGGTTGGTCTTGCAGCTCCACAGGCGGATGTTGCCGACGTTCTTGGTGCCGTAGCCCGGGACAGGCACATCAAAGGCCATGGCGTCGTACACAACGTCGCTCTCCCACTTGAAGCGCCGCGGGTTGGTCGGGTCGTGCACCAGATGGCCGTAGAACTTGACCGGGTACGTGACGTCGGGACGCGGGAACTCCCAGGGGTTGGGGGTGTCGAGCCAGCAGTCGGGCGCCTCGACCTGGTAGCCGTTGATGATCTGCTGCTGGAACATGCCGTACTTGTAGCGCAGCCCGTAGCCCCAGCCGGGGTAGTCCTTGCACGCCATCGAGTCGACGTAGCAGGCTGCCAGACGGCCGAGGCCGCCGTTGCCGAGAGCAGCATCGCGCTCCTCGTCAATGATATCCTCGAGCTTGAAGCCGACCTTGCCCAGCACCTTGGAGTACTCCTCGCGCAGGTTGAGCGCCAGAAGGGCGTTGTCAAAGGTACGGCCGATCAGGAACTCGAGCGACATGTAGTAGATGCGCTTGGCATTGATGCGGTCGTGGTACTACACAGATGTGACAGGTGGGACACGTTGCTTAGTGACCAGCGATGGCATTAGCGGCACCATTCTCTTTCGGCCAATTGCCGCTTTTGATGTAGCTGATTTTCTCTGGCTGTTGCCAGGGTGAGGGCTGGTGATGCACACACCGCCGCAACGTCATCATTCTCCGTGCAGATGTGTGCGCAAATACATTGTGTATAGCCACTTACCTCGTTGGTCAGGTTCCAGCGCTGCAGCAGACGGTCGCGGACGGCAAAGGCGCTGGCCAGGTAGGCGTGGGCCGAGTCGATGCTGGAGGGGGTGCGCAGAAAGGTGGCCGACAGGTGCATGATGACCGTGTTCTTGATGGTGACCAGATCGCGGGGCAGCTCGTAGTGCGTGTAGTCACGGAACTCGGCATCGCCGTGGCTGGGGGTCTTGGGCTGGCCGGCCGAGCCCGCCAGCAGCTCCTTGAGGGCGGCGCCAGAGACGACGCGCTTCAGGGGAGTCGGCAGGGTCGCCACGGGCACATCAGACTGGACGCCTGGGGTGGTGGCCTTGGCAGTCGACAGAGGAATAGTAGTGCTAAAGTATCCGTTATCGAGCGTCATAATATGAAAAAGGCGGAGGGTGGTTAGCAGAATGAGCGTGTAATGAAAGACTGAGAGGGAAACGAGGGAAAGAAGGAGGCGCTAGCTGTTCATATGTGCAGTGTCGAAAGAGCCACAGCGTTCATGTACTCAGCTAGAAGGCGTGTGCTCCCCTCGCCCCCGCTGCAGGATGTTGAATGCGATGCAAGAGAACAACCGGGATGGGAGGGCCTCATGACTGGAACGAAATCTGCACAACCGGCATCCGATGCTCCGTGACAGGGGAGAGCCCTCCTCGCGGCTGCGCTCAGCGATTCTCTCCTCTACATACACCGCAGACGTGTGACTTGCACGAGAGAGCCACGCACACATACACGCAGGAGGACGAGGCGAGCCCCTCCCCTCCACGCCGTGTAGTAGAGAGATCCACAGCAGCCGCTGCGTGACCTGGATGGCAATGATTGCAAATCAAGGATGTTCCAATAGAGAAATACGCCGGGCACCTGGACAGCATATATGCCCGCCCAAGCGACGCTGCAATGGAGGAGAGGGACGGAGGGACATCACCGAGTAAGAAAACAGGCCCGCAGGGGAGGGCTGCGCCTTGCGTGCTTGGATCGGGGGGCGGCGGGACATGTGCATTGATGCATGCACAGGCATTGGCGCGCTGCGGAGCAGAACAAGATGCCGGATTCTTACCTAGGGTTCCTGTCCATCTTGAAATAGAGAGAGAGAAATAGAGGATGTGTATAGAGTGTGCTTGGAAATAAAACAAAAAGGCGGGAGGAGATAAAAAAGGATTCTGCTGGTATCATGGCCAAGGTGTGGTGGGTCACGCTGCCCTTTTAAAGAAATCTCGGGCGGCCCTCCCCACACACCCGCTCTGGCAATGCGCGCGGAGCAGCTATGCTCGGCCGCAACCTGTCGCTTCTCGGAGCAGGCATGCGAGATGTAGGGCGGGCAGGAGTGGTGGAGGGCTTGTGCTGCGTGTGCGGGCGCGCAGAAGGGACACACTTTTCATGCGCTGACCCGCCCCCAAAATAGAGATGGGAGAGTACGTCCTTCTAAAACAGGCCCGAGGAGACAGTGCGAGTGCTGGAGATCGGAGAAGGCCTCTCGTCCCACTTGCAAAAGAAGACCAAAGCGGTCGCGGCTCTAGCTTGCAGCAGGCAATCGATCTGTGCCATCGATTGCAACTGCAGCGCACCAGGGTTGGGGGAGCGGCAGTGGTGTTCACTCGGGTCTGGGAAGACGTCGGAGTGGGCCCGAGTTCCAAATAGCCATTGGGCAAAACACGCCGCCTGGCTGGGCAGGCGAGGCATTGCGCCCGCTTTTGATAGGGCTCTGCAGTCAATCACTTCTGCAGGCTGTTCCCGAAGCGGGCAACGGCGCGAGCCCAGCGCCTACCGATAACACACCCAGCTACACATGGCGCCATGGCACCTGGTCACAGTTGGTCAGTGCCTGAGCAGCAATTTAATTCTTCATCTTGCGCGAACCAAAGATACTGGAGCCCACTCGCACGTTGGTCGCGCCCAGCTCCAGCGCGTGCTCGAAGTCGCCCGACATGCCCATGCTCAGCTCCAGCTCCTGGCCGGTCTGGCTCTGGATCGCGTCGCGCAGCTTCACCAGGCGCACAAAGTCGGGGTTGGGGATCTGGTCGGATCCCTCGATGGACCCGATCGTCATCAGGCCAATGACTCGCAGGTTCTTGCACTGCTCCCGGATTGCCTCGACCACGCCGGGCACGTCGTCGATCTCGGCGCCGCCCTTGTTTGGCTCCTCGCTGGTGTTCACCTGCACGTAGATGTTGAGCGGCCTGTCGCGCCCCGCACTGGCCCACGCCGCATCCAGCTTGCGTGCCTTGGCTGCATCGTCGATGGTCTCGACTGCCCACAGGTTCGGGATTGCCGCCAGCATCTTGCACTTGTTGCTCTGGAGCCGCCCAATAAAGTGCCACTTGATGTCCGTCGCCAGCTCCTGGGCCTTGTCCGCCAGCTCCTGCACGTAGTTCTCGCCAAAGTGCCGCTGCCCGAGATCGTACGCAATCTGCAGATCCGACGACGGCTTCAGCTTGCTGACTGCTACCAGCCGCGCAGTCGGCGTGGTGCGCTTGGCCTCCACCAGCTCCCTAATGTGCGTGAGCCCCTGGGCAATTTCCGTCTGGCGTTGTTCGGGCGAGGCCATTCTCAGAATCGAATACGTGCAGCTTGCAAATTGGTTGGCGATTGGCGGTCTGGTGCAGAGAATGCGCAACGACATGCGGAGAAAAAAGAGTATGTTCAGAGACGTAGGAGTGGGAAAAGCCGCTCCGGCCAGGCTCCGACAATGGCGCTGCCGCTGCTGTGGTCCAGCCTATCAAGCCGCAGCGAGCGAGGCATCCAATTGCATGGCCCTCATAATCGCGCCCCTCCACTCGCCTGTTATCTTTGCCACCGCTCGTTTTCCAGCTGACGCCCTTTCTGCTTTTATCTACCATCCGTTTCTACACCAAACCGCGCTACCAAAAAGCACTGCCCCACCATGCTTCTGGCAGGACCGAGGGGCACACAACCAGCCATGGCGGCATTCCGACTGCTCAGCTCCCGGGCACGCCTTCTCCGCGCCAAACAACCACGCCGCATGCACACCAGCCAGGCAGACGTCCTCGAAAGCAGCATTCTGCAGTCAAAGCGCTTCCGCCGCACCGCAATTGTTACCGGTGGAGCCCTGGCACTCGGCAGCTACACAGTCTACAACTACGACACTGCGTACCTGGTGTTTGCCAGTCTGCAGCGATGCTCGGTGGCGGCTAGCGTCACATGCAAAGTAGCGTACGACTACCTGCGTCACTTCCCAGAACTGCCCAGTGAGCCGGTGAGTGCTGCCGAGATGCAGCAGATCCTTGACCAGCGGTCGCTGGTGCACCAGCGGAGCGCCGAGCGCGTCAAACTCGCGCTGATGAAGAATGGCGGCGTGTATATTAAGCTGGGGCAGCACATTAGCGCCATGCAGTACGTGCTGCCGCTCGAGTGGTGCTCCACAATGCAGGCCTTGCAGGACCAGAACACAGCCAGCTCCCTCGACGACGTCAATAGTGTGATCCACAGCGAGTTCGGCCAAGCCATCGACGACATGTTCAGCGAGTTTGATCCGACACCCATCGGCGTGGCCTCGCTAGCGCAGGTGCATAGAGCCGTGCTGAGATCGACTGGCCAGCCCGTGGCCGTCAAAGTACAGCACCCGACGGTGCGCAAGTACAGCGACATTGACATTGCAACCGTCTCGGTGATGTTCGAGTTCATCCACAGCATGTTCGCCGACTTCAAATTCATGTGGCTCAGCGCCGAGATGAAGGAGAGTCTGCCCAAGGAGCTGGATTTCCGCAGCGACAAAAACAACGCCGAGCAGGTCCTCTGGAATTTCTCAAAACGGCCCGACATTCCGCTGGCCGTACCGCGGATGATCCAGGCGTCGGAGCGCGTCTTGATCATGGAGTACGTTGACGGCAAGCGGTGCGACAGCCTGGAGTATCTGAGGCAGCACAACATTGATCCAGCTGAAGTCTCCAAACAGATTGGCAGAGTCTTTGCTGAGATGACGTTTGTCGACGGATTCCTGCACTGCGACCCACACCCAGGCAACATGTTTGTCAGGCCTCGCAACAGATCCGAGACCGCCCACGGCCACAATTTCGATCTGGTTCTGCTGGACCACGGGCTGTACCGCCAGTTGCCCCCACGGTTCCGCTACGAGTACGCCGAAATGTGGCACGCCATGATGCGCGGCGACCAGGAGCAGATCCGGTACTGGTCGAAGCGGCTATCGGGCACTGACCTCTACAAGCTGTTCTCCACCATCCTGACTGGCCAAAACTGGGACACCATTGAAAACAAGGCGCTGGCGTCTACGACCGAGCAGGCGTCGTTCAGCATGGACACGATGCTGCAGCAGCATCCGAACCTGATCGCTCAGATTACTGAAGTGCTGGCATCGGTGCCGCCTGTCCTGCTCTTGGTGCTCAAAACCAACGACCTGCTGCGCATGGTCGACCAAAAGCTGTTTGCCGACCAGCCGCCAGCTGTGCAGCAGCATGCTCAGCTGAAGACGTGGACCCGTCTCAGTCACTACTGCTTAATGTCAATCCGCGACACCCGTGCAGTGGAGATCCGCCAGTCCGGCTCACGCTTCAGCGTCCGACGTCTAACAGGCATACTGGCCAACTGGATTGGGTTCTGGGCCCAGGACACGGCGCTGTGGGCATTCGATCTGTTCCTGTCGTTCGAGGATATGCTTATCCGGTTCAAGTCCCTGCTGAAAGCCCCGTTTCTAAGATTTTCGGGCGCGCCATAACGCCATGATTGACACATTGCGCAGCCAGTTTCAGAAATGGCCAGATGCCATGTCTCTGGATGAAACAGCTTTGGTGCTCTTTAACTCCATATATAATCACCATGTTCTCGTCTCTGCAGGATGCGATAAAGAAGTTGCACGAAAACAAGAAGCAGACGCAGCCGCCACCAGCAAAACGACCCGCTGTAGCCCCTACCGCAACGAGCAGCAATGCTGACGCCAGAGGTCAGGATGGCGCTTTGGATTTTGATCTGGGCACACTGGACGAACTGCACGGCGCTGATGGCCTGCTCGACGGCCTGCTGGACGAAGACCTGGGACTGGATATGCCTGAGCCCAGCCCGTTGCTGTGCCCACCACCCCCAGCGTTCCAGAAACGCATTCAGAGGCCAGTGCAGATATTGCCCCCAGCCCGCCCTGCTCCCAGACCGCAGTCGCCAGCCCAGAACCCCACCAATCAGCTCTGTCCACCAGCATCCACACCACACCGCCCAGTGCCCCACCAGTCACTGCAATTCACCACGCCACAGCGCCCGTCGCCCCCATCCCAGCCCAATATTGGGTCGCAGCCCTTCCGCAGCCCCTACTCGACCCCGCGCCCGCCCGGCGCCCGGCGCCCCGGCAGTGTTGTGCACCAGGTTGAATCGGTTGCCAGAACTCGGCCCACCACCACAGGCACGCCAGCCACAGGGCCTGCGTCTACAGAGATTCCTGGACCGGCAGGGCTAATTGGCAAGCAAGTGTCGTTGAGCTCGGTCACTCAGCGACCAGCACCCCAATTCAGGACACCGCTAACAAAGAAGGTCCGCAGCGAGTGTGCGGCAGATTCGGATTTTGCAAGCGACACATGGGCAGAGCTACTAAAGTTCCTGAAGATGCCCGATTACAAGCCGTCAAATGCCGCCAGCATCACTGCAGATATCGATCACGCGAAGTGGCCCATCCGTACAGTCCTTCAGTACACCGAGACAAAGCGCGTGCCGACGATGCTGGTGCGCATCAGCGACGTGCACTCGTCCGACGTTGACAGCAGCGCAGTACTTGTCGATCCCACCGGCGAAATACGAGCCTCAGTCCACAAGCAAATCATGCGTAAATACGGCCAGTTTCTGACCGCTGACAGCTCTATCGTACTGCGCGATGTTGTATCGATGAAGATGCCCGGCACCCCGCCGTTTCTGGTTGTCACGGAAGCGTCGATTGAGAAGATCTTTGCCCCAGACCACGCAAACCGGCCGGGCCAGATCACGGTGTCGCAGATGAACAGACCCATTAACCTGGTCACGCAGGACTCGGTCCATCAGATGACAGCGGCGACACCCAGCAGGGCTTCAAAGCAGCCAGCACAGGAGAACCCGATGCTGGGATCCAAAGACCAGCAGCAGAAAGCCATAGACCTGGATACCGCACAGCCGGAACAGCCCGCAGATGACCTGTTTGATCTGGGCAGCATCGACATGAGCTTTTTCAACGACGACTAAAATATATTCCAGACATGCTACAGCGAGTTGTTGTAAAAGTTTGAGCGCTTCAGCTCCAGCGCCTTCTTGTACGGCGGGTTGATCGGCGACTGGGTCGGTTCCCTTGACTCGTATGACGGCGTGCCCTCAAACTCCAGCCCGTACGTCCGGTCCGAATCAAACCCGCGCAGATCGCCGCACGCAACAAACGGAACGACCACCCTGTTGCTGCCGACAATCGGGTTCTCCATGTTATATGGCACATCCATCAGCGGATTTGCCATGTTTGGCACGTAGTCGGCTGGCGGGTTGTAATCCAGACACACAATGAATGCCTCGATGCTCGAATTGCGCGACGACCTTGGTTTCGCCACATGCACCGTCTTAAAGAACACCTTGAGCTGCGCATACAGCAACGTAACGTCCTTGCCGCGGAATATCTTGGCCACAAATGTCCCGCCTCTTCTCAGAATATGCGTCGTGATGTTCAGTGCTGCCAGAATCAGCTGCGCCTGGATGTACTCGTCCAGGTCATGCAGACCCGTGACGTCAGGCGCACCGTCGCTTACCACCAGATCTGCGCTCTCGCCGTCAAAGTGCCCGATGATCTGCTCCGCCGTTGTCAGCTTTGTAATGTCGCCTTGGATTTGGATCACGCCCGGTAACGGTGCCATGGCCTGCAGGTCCACTGCAACGATCTTTGGGTCCACATCACCCTGCCGCTTCAGCTTCTTGCTCAACACCTGCGACCAACTACCAGGCGCTGCACACAGATCAACCGCTCGCGTAACACCTACTTCTGCACATTTAGTATTGCCCCCATGTGCTTGAGAGAAGCGCCCCCTGTTTGTACCTACCGTCGAATATGTTGAACTCTTCATCCACTTGCAGCAGCTTGAACGCGCTGCGCGCTCTCCAGCCCTGCTCCTTTGCCAGCCGGTAGTAAACGTCACGCTTGTCCTTTGACGATTTGCCCATTGTAAAAGACTGCAATTGTTGGAGAGAAAAATTGGTCGGAACGCTAAACTGTGAAGCGAGTCGGGGCTAGAGCCCAGCGCTTCAGTGAAAAATGTTTGACAAAATAGGAGCGGCTGAGCAGAGATCGGCTCGACTCGGCAAATCTCACATCGGCTCATCACGTACATGGAGCGGCTTCGAGCAAGACGCAATCTTTATATCGGTCCTAGGCCGTGAAGCCCCGTGGCAGATTCCCTGCCACATTATCGACTGTCTAAACCATACTGACTAGCCGAGCTCGCATCACGAGCACCATAAATCTGGTATTAATACTAAGATATAGCAACTACAAGAGAGTACAATGGAATCCTGGTGGCGTTTAGCGACTTTTTGCCATCAGCCAGAGGTACATCCACAGCGCCTGTTGGGGTGTGTACTGCCGTGCGCCTGTAATATACTGTGGGTTGGGATTCGGGATAGGTGCAGCAGAAACTGATGTAAGAAGCACAGCAAGCATAAGAGGGGAGATTTTGGCTACGTTCATCTTCTAAAGAGCATACAGATTGAGATTATAGAAAAGGCTGGTACGCATTTTTGTGGAAGCATAGCGAGCGAGTGCGGCAACAGCAGCATATATACTCTGTGGTAGACAAGTCTGCGGAATTGGAGGACAGAGAAACTTTTATTCTGGGTGAAAGGCATCGCTTGGCAGAGCACGACACTGCAGCAGTGCCTTTGCATGTAGCTCGAGTACAATAGCCTGTGTTTTAGGTCATTGCGCCTACGCTCATGTATGGTGAGGAGTGGAGCTAATTCTGTAATTGTAACAAAAATGCCACCAGGCAATCCCGCATGCTGCGCTAATTGTACAATATCCGAGTTCCAAATTCAATATCGCAGGCGGTGCTTCATAACGTGATTACTTATTGTGCTTTGTGCATATCTTTCCCTTTCGACCAAATAATCCATGCGCTGGTGTGATCCCACAGGGCATGTTGCGCAGACAGGCATCCAATTAGGTGAGCATGTGCAAATCCGGCTATCCTTCCATGTGCTAATACTCCATCCCCAACAAGCATGACGAGTTCGAATCAGCACTGGACAGTCGGAATTGCAAATAAATCAAATGGAACACAATGGATACGAGGAGAGAGATCATATCTCCCGCTTTGCGTGTATTGGAAGAGCTTGCCATGAATAACTTCGTTTCCAATCATCTATACACCTTGTATTAAAGAACAAACATGTATCAACCGAGAAATGTAAATGGGTTAGACAGAGATCATCGAAATAGCCTCCTCAGGAACACGGGGTGGGAAGTGATGCCCAACAAACCACAAAATGTAGATAACAAAACTGAACAGAATCGCCAGGCAGTCGAACACGTAGAACGCCCACTCGGCACCGTATATCTTTCCACCATACCCGTCAGCAAACTCTGCCACACGGTAGATGGATCGGACGTAGAGCAGAATAGTGGTGGCGATAATAACACGCATCAGCTTAATTTTGGCCCCTGTCCCCGTCTTGTCCTTGGGCCCTGCACTGACCACATACGCAGCCGAGCGCTTGACGTAAATGGTAATTGCAAGGAAGCAGGCAAAGAAAATAAGCTGGACCGCCAGGCCAAACAGGGCAATGTACTTTCCCGCATTGCGTGTGCTCTCTGTCGCCTGCATGCTGCCGCCGGTCGCCTGGATCAGGAACGAGAATATGTCGCTGCCAAAGAAGAACCATGTGATGAACTTGGGCTTGAGCCAGAACCGGTGTGCCGCCACGTTTGAGCGGCGCACGACCTCGCCAATTGTCTTGTAGTTGAACAGCGCCAGCGCATTGGGCGGTAGCAGCAGACACAGGTTCATGAAGACAAACAAGCCCAAGGATGTGTGGTAGATGAGGACGTTACGGACGATGTACCCGACGCTCTCTGCTACTGCAGTGCCGACCAAGATGTACATCCATTTCGGCGCGTTGTAGTGGATTGTCTGCCAGATGTGGATTGCAGCGATAATAGCAAATAGACCTGCTGCTGCTCCAGGCACACCGTTGACAGGGTGGTAGTCGAAAAGGTCTTGAAGTGTGTATGCCATTGTAGAAAAGCTAGATGTACAATCTTGAAGCTGTCAGTGGATGAGTGAGGACATGTGGGGCTGATGGAAGCTATATCGGCTTCTTATATACCACATATTTCCATACTTTTGGCCGCAGTCGTGTACCAGCGGTAGAACAAAGAAAATAGAGCAACAATATATTGCTATTGCCAAGATTGCTAAGCAAAGTTTCCAAGAACTCGCAGGAAATTCCGCACAAATTTTCTATTACCTAAGGGCCATAGTGTGCCAAGGTCATCGCCTCGACAAAATACCAAGATGGTGCGGAAAAACTGGGGCTGAGCTGCTTGGCGCCTTCTGAAATTGGACCACATACAGCCCATGTGTACGGGGTTGCTAGGGGGTTTGCAGGGTCTTGGCAAAGACCCCAAGCCCGCACATGCAAAACAATAGAAAATTCCACTATTTGTTGCCAAGCTCGCCGATTAGGTAAAAGCCACGATTGTACTAGGCATCAGCCAGTTCAAGCAAGTGTAAAACAGGAATTTCTCAAACATGCATGTTCCTGGAATATTCTGGCTCTACCCGCATGGTGCTCAATTAACGTTTAACATTATGTAAACATGCTGGCTGCTAGTTGCTGGTTGCTGGTTGCTAACCTAGGGGATGAGTGGCTATTAGGTATATATGAATAATAACTTTTCGAAAGTAGCTGAAGGGAAGAAGAAAAGGCGATCGCCTGTCTGGGCCTTTGTACGTATGCGTTCCGGCCTTGCCCATGGTGGCGCCGGTGGACTCCAGACTCCGAGTGTTAACACTGGTACTTTTTCAATGATAGCATATCCGAAACAAATGAATTCAAATACATTGCCTCATCAATTACTGCCGAGACGTGTTGTGGATTGGATTTTGGCGTTTACAAGCACATCGTCAAAGTAGTGTGCCTAATGCTCGCAAGTATTTCTCATACCATCTCCTTTGAGGATGCAAAGCTGTAGACCAAATGAATGATTGCATATGATATCGTGTTGTTGGTAGCATCTGTTCTAGCAACCAGCATCAGCCTAGCTTCAGACTCACTATTATCTCCATCGGAAAACTGGTCCGCCACTGGGTCGGTTATAAAAGTCATCTTCTGCATGTTCTCGTTCCGCAATGGCTTACCAGTCTTGCTGGCTGGCTTCTTGTGCATCCCAATAGCACCACAGATATGCTGGACCGTTGTCTTTTTTGACTGCTTCTTTTTCAGATTGCCCCAGGTCAAATCAGATAAACCGCATCATTCTAGCCAGCACCTTCAGGTAAATAGCGTCCATCGTTTTGTCGATGGCGCTAGTGTTGCCGGTCTTCGCGATATTGAGGCTATGGCCGAATCTTACAGCTCCAATAACGTCAAGCACCATGCAATGTATAGCACAATAGTAGCTGTCTCTTGATGCCCTTCCATGCTTCGTAATCTCAGCATCCCACAGTTTAATCAACGAGTCAACATCTGTGTCAACGACCAGGTGCCCAATGGCTTGTAGCCTGTGCATAGAGAGGGGCAAATTTGTTCTCATTAATCACCGTCATTTCTTGCTAAAGCAGTTTACTACTGCCAGCAGCGAGCAGTGCTTTCACATAGTGCTTTCACATGAGTGCGCTTGCTAAGTGACTACTGCAGCATGCATTCCATTTATGGTAATGTGTAAGCGATGCTTCGGAAATTTGCTCATACATGACAGGTGGCCCCTGTTTTTCTAAACAGTGAGCGTTGACAACCTCGCTGACAAATGTATTGCCAATGCGTCCAGCACCGCAACGGCATATTTACTGATGCTAACACACTAAACCTTGGCAAGAGAAACATTAACCCAGCAGTTGACCTTCGGGTTCACAGGAGATGTGACAATAAACGACTCGCTTGGAATCTCAACCGGAATGCCCAGATTGCTTAGCTTGTGAGCACCATATGGTGCATCCTCGGGCAGCTCAAAATCATACCTGCGCAATACATTGGCAAGAACCGTGTAGAGTTCGAGCCAGGCAAGGTTACGGCCGATACAGACCCGAACGCCTGAGCTGAATGTCAGCAAGTCCTTAAGTCGCTCCGCGGAGTCTTGGCCGAGGAAGCGTTCAGGGTCAAACGTCTCCGGGTTCTTCCAAGTGCGCGGATTACGTTGGCATGCTGCGGTGGAAACACAAATCTGTGCGTCGGCTGGGATATAATGTCCCTGAATTGTCGCTCCCTCCGCCGGGGCGCAGCGCGGAAGAAACCCGGCAACCGAGGGATTGATACGCATGGTCTCATGGATGACAGCTGAGAGATACGGGAGCTTGGATTTCGCCTCACTGAACGAAATGGTCTGCGAGGTATCAGGGAATGTTGTGCGCACCTCCTCAGTGACACGCTGGTACACATACGGGTGGTGCATAAGCTGCATCATGACCCACGAGAGCGTGTTGCTTGTGGTGTCAGTACCAGCAACGAGCATCAAGAAGATCTCCGACATCAGGCTCTTATCAGCAAGCATCTCACCCGTCACTGGGTCCTTGGCGTCGATGAACTTTTGCAACACATCGATTTGCGGCGGCTTACCAGTCTCGCTGATCAGCTTCTTGCGCATGTCGATGGTGTCTCGGATCAGCTGGACCGTCGCGTTTTGCGACTGCTTCTCCTCCTTGAATAGCGCTGGCACAAACCGGGAAAACGGAATCATGCTAGTCAGCACCTTCAGGTGAATGGCGTTCTGCATGTTGTCAATGACCTCAGTGTTGCCGGTCTGCAGGATATTGAAACTCTGGCCGAATCCTAGAGCGCCAATAACATCGAATCCAGCGCGATGGAACGAGTAGAAGTAGTTGATGCGGGCCTTGTCGCCTTGCTCTGCAAGAGCCGCATCCCACACCTTGATCAGCGAGTTGGCACCAGCATCAACAACCAAGTCCTCAACTGCCCGCATCGTGTGCACAGCAAAAGCATCGCCAATCTGCCGGCGCCGAACCTTGTTGAGCTCGGGATTGGTTGTCGAAAATGAATTTTCTGCCAGCATCATACCAATGGTATATGACGGGCCCTTTCTGAATGCATGGGTCGCTAGAACGAGACGTGTGTCCGACGTGCTGGATAGAGAGACGAAGTCTGTGCCAACGCGAACAACCTCGCCATACTTGGCATGGAGCTGGGTAGTGTATGAGTGGTAGCTTCCAGTCATGGTGTGGTACCTGAGAGGAAGGTTGGAGAGCTTGTTCAGGAACGGTCCAGGAATTGTGGAGAGGGGCGAGAAGAATGCACGCTTGACAGTAAGGGCAGCGTAGACCACTATGGCCAGCAATATGGCTGGGAGAGCCAGCAGCGTTGCGAAGGAGAGAATCTCTAATATCATGGTAGAAAAGAAATGGCGCACGGTAGAATTCAAATGCTACGTTAGCGGGCAGGTGCTTGATTTCTCTTGAAAAACAACATAAGCATTCTGCCCTTTTATACCCTGGAATCTACCTGCATTGCAGATGGGGTAGCTATGTGTGTATTGCACGGTGAACGCAAGCAGTTGACGCCGGGGCCGACGAATGCCCATTGTTCATAGTGAATGGGTGTTCATAATAAATGGGTGTTCCTAATAAATAGGTGTTCATACTGAACTCCGTCCGCGGTTGCATCGGCAAAGTGCCTCGCTGTTGGCAGAGGCGGACATGTTCCTGGCCTGTGAGCTCCCATGTCCGTGATAAATGTGTGACGTATTGTGATTGTCGACGCCCGTATATGCCAGCTGCATGCAAATCCAAAATTGCTGTTTGTCAGCCATAGTGCTTGGAGAACAGCCTTTAATTCTGATTAATGCAACGGCGGCATATTGGTATTCAGCCTGAGTTTCAAGATAATCCGGCTCAAACCGTAGGCTGCCACCAGCGACACTTGGGACTACGGCATAATTATACATGTAACATAAGGAATATGTGCGCTGGAACGTGTGACGCCGGGTTAGTGGATCGGCTCGTCGATAGGTGGGACTGAGGTAGATAAAATAATGGTTTGAATGATAGGCCATGGCCAGGTGCTTCGGTTGGACAAAAGCAAGGATAGACGGCAGGTACTAGTACCATGTTAAAAGGGGTATAGGCTGTCCTAGCAACGTGTATTAGCAAGTGCAAAAGGATAGCACGGATATATCCAGGTATAACTCGGGTGTCTGACAGCTGGGGACAGCATCCGCCAACATAACCATGGCTATCAAAATCGTACCTCAATGGATCATTGGACCACATACGCCTTCACGAGCACTCCCCTCCTACTTTCACTTGCCCACAGACCCTGATCTTTTCTTGCAATATCTGTCAGACTTTTGTATCCTTGATACCACAAGGGTTACACTTAAAGCCTGCTGGATAGGCAAGTAGCTGGTAATTCATGCTAAATGTTTATATTTCGCCAAATATAGTCTGGTATTGCTGGTCAGATAACGACTCAGCAATTACTCTTTGGACTCTCCAGGTTAGTACCGATGTGGGGACACAGCCGGAATTTCAACTGGAATACCAGACTTGCCCAGCCTATGTGGTCCATAGGGCGCATCCGCGGGCAACGAGAAATCGTACTTGCGCAGGGTGTTGGCAAGAACCGTGTAAAGTTCAAGCCAAGCAAGGTTTCGTCCGATACAAACGCGAACGCCTGAAATAAATACCAGTGTATCCTTGACTCGCTCTGCTGAGTCGGGACCAAGGAAACGCTCAGGGTTAAATACATCGGGTTCTTCCATGTATGCGGATTGCGGTGACAAGCGGCGATTGACACGCCAATCTGCGTATCGTGCGGGATGTTGTATCCCTGAATTGTTATCCCCTTCGCTGGAGCGCTGCGTGGAAGCATGCCTGAGACTGGGGGGTTGATTCGCATTGTCTCATAGATGACTGCCGAGAGGTACGGTAGCTTGGCTTTCGCGTCCTTAAACGAGATGACCTGGGAGCTATCTGGGAATGTAGAGCGGACTTCCTCGGTGACACGCTTGTAAACGCTTGGGTTGTGAAGCAGATGAACAATCGCATACGTTATCGTGTTGCTGGTAGTGTCGGTGCCAGCAACAAGCATCAGCGCCACCTCGGACTGGAGCTGGCGAAGCGTTAGCTTGTCACCAGTAACCGGATACTCTGCACCGATAAACTTTTGCAGCACATCGACGCGCGGCGGCGCACCAGCTTCTTCGATGAGCCGCTTGCGTATCTTGTTCTCCTCAGGGTCGATAGTCGAGAAGGTATTGGCCTCAATCAGGTGCCCCTTTTAATACATAGGGCCTTTCAGAAATGCATGGGTGGCAAGAACGAGCCGAGCATCGGAGATATTGGACAGAGAGACATGGTTGTATCCAATGCGCACAACTTCGCCATACTTGGCATGGAGTGCGCTTGTATGCGAATGGTACTGTCCGCGGATAACACGGCACTTGAGCAGCACGTTAGAAAATTTGTTCAGGAGGGGTCCTGGGGCCTGGGCAAGAGGAGAAAAATGGAATATGAGAAAGCCGCTCAACAGAATTGCTGAACATGTGTACAGAGTATTCAGTGGACACGTTGGACAATTACAGGTGTTTTAGGTGCGTTGGCAGGGAGGGGGTAGCCGAGAATACAGACTAGTAAAGCACCACTTTGACCCAATCACCTACATATGCATGGCTGTGGGAGCTGCAATGCTAAATATAGCTTGGGCAGCAACAGAGGCTGTCTCCAGCTTTGTATCTAGCAGCGAATGACCAGGGTGTAGCTTTGAGCTATTGGTCAATTGCCAAGCACACCCCAACATCTATACTAGCAGAGTGTTATACCAGCTTTAATTTTGAGATACTTCTGCTGCTGGCGTATGTAGCCCTTATTGACGTAGTGTTCTGGGCGCATCTGTGCCTCTGGATGGCTTTTGACCATGGACATGAAGACTGGTGCCAGGACCAGCTGGCCAAGACACCCAGGAGATACAGCTTGGCACCAGCGGCTGCAACAACAATGGCGGAGCTGCTGGCTGTTTGTCTTGTCTGGCACCCAGGGTCTGCGAAAAGCGAAACAGCGTGGCAGAGACGAGCAGAAGACTGACGCTGATGCAGCATCGGTGCGGGTCAGCGAGGGAATGAGGGGCAATATAAATATCTCGGACACCCACAGCCCGCAACAGAGCCAGTGTGGAGGCAGGCGCTGCCATTGTGGAAGGCGGGGGCAGAGCTGCTTGTTTCCCGCACAAGCAGGCGCCAGACGTGTGACAGACCGGGTGGGGAGAGGCAAAAAGCGCTCATCGCGGCATAGGGAAAGGAAAGGAAAACATCGTCGCAATCCGTCGATCCCTTTTGTGGACAGAAGCTCATGTGAAGAAGAGAATAATCCACACCGAGGGGACTCGGAAAAGGCAACATCGACGCTGGTTCGGCTTGGCAGGCCAGCGATTTGCTGGAAGGAAGGAGTGAGCGATTTTTGCTACTGAATGAGCAGCCACATTTGTAAAAAAAGTTGTTCCTCAAAGATTCCACCGCCCGCAAAAACCACTCATCCTCTTTCTTCTCCTCTTTTTATTTTTCGCTCGCTTTACTTTCTTACTCCACGCCTGTCTCTCACGCCTGCAACACTTTATTTGTTCATTTGCCTTGTTGTGCACCACCATACAAAACACATAGACCATGTCAACGGCAGCCAGCTCGCCTGAGCCCCAGGAGAACGCCAGCACATGTGATGCTGGAGACCGCATAGTGAGCGCCAGCTCCTCACCCATCACTGGCGAGCTCCACAAGCAGCACGAGGGTGACAGCGCCTCACAGAGCGGGAAGAAGCCGCGGCTGGTGATCCAGCGCACGCACGCAGCTTTTGTCTCGAAACTCTACGCAATGGTCAGCGACAGCAAGACCGACCAGCTGATATCGTGGACAGCCGATGGCGACAGCTTCCAGGTCATGGACCCGATGGAGCTGTCGCAGGAGATACTGCCGCTGTACTTTAAGCATGGCAATTGGCAGAGCTTTGTGCGGCAGCTCAACATGTACGGGTTCCACAAAGTCAACGACCTGGAGTATGGCGGCGTCTTTGGCGATACGCAGCTATGGATGTTCAAGCACCTGCACTTCCTGCGTGGCCAGCCAAAGCGCTTGCAGATGATTAAGCGGCGTGGTCCCGGATCCACAAAGCCCTGCGGTCCCCATGAGGCGTCCGAGCACAGCACACCAAGAGCGGCTGCGTCGCCGGCCACCCCGACCGGGACTTCTCTGGCTCCGATTGCTGTGCAGCCCACAGCGCAGCCTGCGACGCCCGCAGCACCCGACCTCATGTCCAGATTCGAGCGGCTCAACAGCCGCATCTACCAGCTCGAGGAGAGCATCTACAACATGCAGCGGGCGAACCGCGCGTTGTACGATGAGAACCAGGATCTACGCACAGCCCACATGAAGACGCAGGATGCATTTGCAGGCCTGCTCCGCTTCCTAGAATCTGCTGTGGTCAAGCCTAGCATGCAGGGCCAGAGCAGCGAGACAGCCGAAAGGTTCCAGCAGCTGGCCGAGGCGACGGCCCCGCTCATGGCGAGCAGGTACCTTGGTCCCCCGCCACTCGCCTTTTCCACACCTATGGCGGCACCGCCAGCCGTGCAGGAGGCCAAAGTCCCTCCGACCGCCTCGTTTCGCCCCGAAGTGAGAAGGCACGAAGGGCTGCCGTACATTCTGCCAAAGCGCACCCCTCAGCAGGCCCCCTTCCAGCTCCGTGTCCCCAGTCTCTCACCACCCACCTCATTCTCCACCATGAGCCGCAGCCGTGATGCTGTGCTGGTGCGCAAGCGCCGATCGAACAGCAGCTCCAGCAACATGAGCGCATCGTCCAGCAGCGAAGCAGGCGATAATCCAACGCCCTCGCCCGACTCACTGCTGGCCAACACTCCACCTGGTGCGCAGACGCTGCCATCCATGCGTGTGGTACTGCCGCCGATCTCTGGCATGATGGAAGGTGCAAAATGCAATGGGCAACAGAGGCAACAGCCGCAGCTGCAGCCGCTCAGGTCGCACCAAGCAGTGGTGCCAATCCTGCCGGCGCCAGCGTCACTACAGTCGCTGCGCGAGACGCTGGCCAACAGCAGCCCGGCCAAGCGCCGCCGCGCCGATTAGCGGGCGGCAAGATCGCCAGCAGCCCTGATCCATCGACACTGTAAATTGTTATTTCTATCAAATCAACTGCAATCCATGATCATGAGATTACCACCTCGCTTGCGCCGCCTCCCCCTTTGTTCAGGCAAAGTGGAAAACACAGCCAGCGCGCGTTTGCGGTTTGCATTTTTCTCGCCCTTTTAAGACACAGTTGCGCACCATTTATTCATATTTTATAGCTGAAGGCTCAATCTTTTTTCAATTTATTTTTTCGTTTAGCACGCGACCACGAGTCTCTGCCCATCACCAGCACAGCGAGAAGAAACAAGCAAAAACACGTATTCGCAAATGGCGTCGCTTGCCACCCATCAGTGTCAGCGGCAGACGTGGTCAGCGTACTTCGCATCCGAGGACGTGGTGAAGCAGTTTGAGGACATTGTGGACTCGCTCGTCACAGAGGTGGAGATCTCAGCATCGACGGCCCCGTCAGACGCGACCGCGCCCAAAATCACAGCTGAGCTTTTGGCGCAGATTACGCACCAGCTGCAGATAGCGCAGGAGCGAGTCTTGGGCAAGAGCCGCGAGAGCCAGGTGCCTGGCTCAGCAAAGCTGCCTGCCAGTTTGTTTTCTGTCCCCAGCGACTCAGTCAAGGAGCTAGGGCCGCTGTACAACATGCTCAGCGCGACGCTCGAATACGCAGTCCTGAATGGCGTGGATCTTGACAGCACGCAGTGGGCCACCGGCCCAACGGCTGGTCACATTCTGACGCAGGTGCGGCAGAAGCTCGCCGATAACCGCCAGTTGCCAGCGGTACGCGTGCACCTTGCGTCTGACATCGCTGCTGACGATGCCGCCAGACTTGGCAAGACTGTTAGCGATCTGGGTGGCCGCATCGTCAGCTCGGAACAAGAGGCGACGCATATTGTAGAGAGCGTCAAGGTGCGCGGTAATGAGGCCGGCGGAGCAGTGTCGGGCGACGACGTGTGGTTCCGTACGCTCAAGAAGCACAACGAGATGGTGCTCGTGCACTGGTGGTACACACCCGACTCATACGACGCCTGGGTGACTGCCGCACCGCCATACGCGGCAGAGCCAGAGGACGCGCCTGACCATACTGGCCCGTGGCGCGTATCGGTGCAGTGGATCGAGGATAGCGTAAAGTACAACGAGTGGCTTAATGAGGAGGACTACGAGTCGAGTGCCAGCGCCGATAATGCCGAGGCGGCGTCAGGCGAGGCCAGCAGCAGCGTGGGTACTAAGCGCCGCGCACATGTGTCGCTTGCCGGCGACGAGAAGCGGCTGCGCGTGGACGGCGAAAACGGCGAGATGCCCGAGGGTGTCGAGGCGCAGGATCTCGAGGAAGCAGCGCTTGCAGCTGGGAACCGCAAGCGCAACAACGAGTTTGAGCCTCTTGTGAACGGTGAGCTGGCAAATGTACCTGCAGAGGGTGTGGTTGACGAGTCCAAGAGCAAGGAGGCGGATAATGAGGCGAGCGAGCCCAACAAGGAAGCCGCTGTTAACGGCGAGGCAGGCTAAGGAGGGTGAAGCTGACAAGGAGAGCGATAGCATGGATGTCGATAAGAAGGAGACCGAGACAGCCGAAAAGCCCGCCGAAGACAGCGAGACACAGCAGCAAAAGCAGCACCAGCGTGAGGAGGATGCTCGAAGGCTGCTTGTGGAGCAGACGCAGGAGATCATTGTGCCGAGCTACGCAGCCTGGTTCAACCTCTCGTCCGTCCACGATAACGAAAAGCGCGCACTGCCCGAGTTCTTCAACTCACGCAACCCGTCAAAAACGCCGACAATCTACCAGGAGTACCGCAACTTCATGGTCAACAGCTACCGGCTGAACCCGTCAGAGTATCTTACTGTCACTGCCTGCCGCCGCAACCTCGCCGGTGATGTGTGCGCGATCATGCGTGTACACGCTTTTCTAGAGCAGTGGGGCCTGATCAACTACCAGGCCGACGCTGACTCGCAGCCCTCTGCTATTGGGCCGCCATTCACCGGCCACTTCCGCGTCACCGCTGATACGCCGCGCGGCCTGATGCCATTCCAGCCGAGTCTCTCTGCAGCGAAGCTTGCGGGCAGCAAGGCCAATGGCGGAACGCCGGCGCCGGCTTCCAAGCCGCAGACGTCCTGGCGACGTTGCCACGACCAACGGGCTGGCGACGCGCAAGGCCATCTACGACTCGCCGACGATCGGCAGTGAGGCAGCAAGACCCGCTCGCGAGACCAACGCATCCGAGAGCACGCCAACCACCAAGGATGTGTTCTGCTACACGTGCGGCGTCAACTGCACAGCAGCGTACTACCACTGCGTCAAGAGTCTGCGGCAGCGCGTGGACCTGTGCGGGCCCTGCTACCAGGACGGGCGGTTCCCAGGCACACTGTCGAGCGCCGACTTTGTCAAACTGACGGACTCGACCACAGGCAACCCTGGGTCGGGTGAAGACTGGAGCGACCAGGAGACGCTGCTATTGCTGGAAGGCATCGAGATGTTCGATGATGACTGGAACCGGATTGCAGAGCATGTCGGTACGCGGTCGCGCGAAGAGTGCGTGCTGCATTTCTTGAAGTTGCCGATTGAGGACCCGTATGACGTAGCGCCGACCAAGGACGCAAAGCTCGCACAGGCGGCAGTTGTGCCGTTTTCGCGTGCTGACAACCCAATCATGTCTGTGGTTGCGTTCTTGGCATCGAATGTCAACCCAGGTGTCGCTGCGGCAGCCGCGAAGGCGGCGCTGGCTGAGCTGACAAAGAGTGCAAAGCCTATTGAGGTAGGCGGTGCTGATAAGGAGGCTTCCGAGAAGCCTGCCGAGACCGCTGAGGCCGCCGAGGCCGCCGAAACCACTGAAGCCGCCGAAACCACTGAGGCTACTGAGGTCACCGAAGCTGCTGACAAGGTAGGTGGTGTCACCGAAAAGTCTGCCGACGCGGAAGGCGCTGCCGAGGCTTCTGAGAAGCCTAAGGACGATGGGGCTATGGATGTAGACAAGGAGGAGGAAAAGGCCCTGCCAAACGGCATCAGCGCCACAGCGTCCGACGCCTCAATGAAGAGCGACGATGAGGCGGAAAAGACCACCGACGATGCACCCAAGCAGCCGCGTCCAGCAGTCTCCCAGATGGCGGTTGCTGCGGCTACAGCACTCGGCACGGCGGCGGCCAAGGCGGCCAAGCTGGCTGAATATGAAGAGCGGCAGCTGGAAACAATGGTACACCGTGCGGTCGAACTACAGATGAGCAAGCTCGAGCTCAAGATGCGGCAGTTCGAGGAGATGGAGGCAGCAGTGGAGCAGGAGCGCAAGGATCTGGCCAGACAGCGCCAGCAGCTGATCGAGGAGTGCTGGGCGCTGAAGAAGAAAATGGCGCTGTTCGAGTCTGGTAATGCAGGGAGAATTGCGCAGGCGGCGCAGACACAGATGTTTGCTGCCGATGATAATGTCAATCAGATTGTCAGGCCGCCGGTTGCGCCGGCTCCTGTGCCAACCCCAGCTGTGGCACCAGCTCCGGCTGCGGCAACAGGTGCAGCTACAGCCGCATCTACAGCTTCTGCTTCTGAGGCGTCAAGCACTCCAGCGCCAGCGCCAGCACCAGCACCATCAACACCGGTTGCGGTGACTGATGTGATTCCTACCCTCCCAACAGCTCCGGCTGTCCCAGCAGCGCCTCAGTCGGTCCCAACTGCTCCGTCACCCCCGTCCGTCACGCCGACAGGTGTGAAGCCAGCGGTGGGTGCGCCGTCCGCCGTCCCTGCGCTGCCTACGGCTCTATCTGCGGCCCCCTCTGCGGCTCCAGTGTCTGCTGCGCCAGCCCCTGAAACACAAGTCCCAGCGACGGCTCCCACAGACATGCAGCCCATGCCACCCACCGATGCACCCGCGTCATCCTCTGCTTAATTTCTCCTCTTTCCTTTCCTATACCACCCTTAACAAGCCTCGACAGAATATAAGCAACATTTAAAAAAAAATACTAACAGTTACGCGTAGAACAGAATATATTCATCCCTGGAACGACTCGAGCAGTGTCAGCAAGAATGTCTGCTCGGCGGATGAATTCGCAAACACGTCTTTAAGGTCGCTGACGGGGTTCCTGAGGAACGAGGGCCCAAACACGAGGGCCAGATTGCTGCTGTCCATCTTGGTCAACTTTTCGATCTCGGGATCCAGCAGATGTTTCAAAAAGCGCAGCAAAAAGTCCACGACGCAATACGACTCCTCGGGCAGGGCGCTCAGGATCTCCAGGGACGCCTTGCGGTCGCCAGAGCGCGCAATACACTGGTCATAGAGCACCTCGGGGATCAGTGGGTCAGCCAGGTCTCGCAGCCACTCCTTCAGCAGCGACGCGGGCACATTAGGATCGCGGAGATTCGGAAAGTCGGTCTGCTGGCCAGCCTCGATCATGAGGCGCGCCATAGCCACGGCATCGGCATCGCCGGGCACGCGGAACAGGCCCTCGGTGCGCTCGCCACCTAGACGTGTGATCTGGGCGGTCAGCAGCTCCAGGACGCGGGGCAGGCGGCCCTCAGCATTGACCAGCTCGGGGTTCTGCATGATCTCCTTCAGCGACCCGCCAAACACCAGGGGGCGGCGCGGCACGAGCAGCGCCAGGCGCAGCTCCTCCTTCGTCATCGGCGTGGTGCGGCTGCCAGTGCGCTTGATGCGGCCCAGCTGCAACAGCAGAAAGCGCTTGAGGTTCGCCGACTCCAGCTGCGCCGACTCCACAAAGACCTCGAGGTGCGGGAACAGCAGCTGCGACGGGCGGAAGGCATAGAACAGCACGCCCATCAGCACCCAGCCGCGCTCGGCGGAATCGTGGCTCGGATGGCCAGTGACCTGCTTTGCCAGCTGGCAGAAGACCTCGTCGCGCAGCAGCTGGTGGCGGATGCCCTGGTTCGCCAGCCACAGCACCTCAGAGAACAGATCGGTGTCGGACATGGCACCCTCGAGATCGCGCATGAAGCACTGGATGATGGCGAAGCTGCGCGCGGCGTCGCGGTTCAGCTCGCGCGGAAGGTTCATCAGCGGGCGCGCCAGCGGCTCGGCGCTGTATGAAATCAGCTCCTCCACCGGCACCTTGCGGCGCAGGAAGCCGCGCTTCTGGGCAGCAAAGTGCGCTGCAGCAAATGCGCGCATCCCGAACAGCGCACGGTCGGGGCGGATCGACGGCATGCTGCGGTTGCGGTGCGAGCCAAGCGTAGCCATGCTGCGACTCGGCTCAAACGCCGACTTGCCCGATACCTCGCTGAGCTCGCGCGGGCGGCCGCGGCTGCCCTTGCGTGGAATCTGCTCCGACATGCGTGCTGGCTCCTGCGTCACCTCAAAGCTCACCTCCGTGACACGCCGGCCCTGCTGGCTCACCGCATACCGCATCGCCACGCTGTCGGTGTCGCTGTCGCCCGACCGCTGCTCCGCCCCATCCTCCTCCTCGGCGATCCGGAGCCCTCCGTCCATTGCTTCCTTCAGCGTCTCCAGCGCCGTCTCCGACTGGCTGTGCCGCTGATTCGACAGCCGCTTCTTCTGCCGCTCCGCATCAGCCGCTGCGCTGCCGCCGCGCCGCCCGGACTCGAGCCGCGCCTGTGCCTGCGCAATCGATGGCGACCGCGCGCCCACTGCTGTGGCCGTTACCTGTGGGCTCAGTGTCGATGAGCCGCCGCCGCCCGCTGCGCTGTTTTTGCGGTGGTGCGCTGCCAGCGAGTTCTTGCGCGACACCCGCCCCTCGACGCTCCGGAGCGATGCACGCGACGCCTTACGTACCAGCGGGTCTACCTGGTCGTCGCTGAACGCAATCGATGCCCGGCTGGCCACCACCATCGACAGCCGTTTGCCCACCGACGACCCCAGCAGCGCGTGGAATGGCACGACCGTTGCGTGCCCGGGTGGATCCCACTCGGTTGCGCCTGTCCGCGAGTTGTAGTAGTACGGGATCCCGGTCTCCTCGTCCTGCAGCTCCCACCACTCGCCAGCTGGGTCTCGTGGTTTGCTACAGCAAACAATGCCATCCTGCTTAGCGAAAAAGCAACGCAATAAAGCTCTCCTCTGCCAGAATGCCTCCCCTACTTACATCGTGCTCTGTGGCCGCGCCCAGCTGCATTCGCCTGTTGCCTAAAACCAATAACAGCCTGTTAGAGCCTCCCACCAAACGCCTCCAGTCCTCCCCCTCACCCGTGCGTCTCGTCTACATACTGTGTTGGCATAAACAACCCGGCCTGTCTGCGGGTCGTGGAGCTCCAGCCAGTCGGGCACATGTGCGTGTTCTGCTGAGTCCATTTTCCTCAGAATGTGTCTGTCGCGCTTGGCGTAGAGAAAAAATATTAGTTTGAATAAAATATTACAGGGCTATGGAAAAGAGGCGAAAAGGAAAAATGAACGAGGTGCTGTAGCCAACAACGCAGGCTCCGGCTGTGGCTCCAAATAAGAAACTGTTCGTGTATGGTACTTGCTCGTGAACCCGCAAATCGTGCAATGCATCCATTTTTTAACCAAATGGATTGCCGGGACAAGGTGGTCTTTGGTCCGCTCCTGCTTCCTGTTTCTTGTTTACCTTGTATCCACACTATTGCTCGGAAACCATAAGGGGGGTGTGCGATTTCCTCCCTCGTTCATTTCCTAACACCTTCAAAAGAGACTGAATCTGGATGCCAGCCAGGAGCCAGCAAGCAAAAACAAAAACACTGCTCTTAATATATACCAGCCAGGATCTGCACTCATTTGAGCAGCGTCGCCGTGCAGCTCCTGGCCATTATTGTTCAAGGCCATGCCTTCTCAAGCCGAGTATGTCATCAGAAACTGCTTCAAACCAAGGTCAGGTGCAGGACCGCAAGGCTGGCAATCCCACACCTGACGCACGACCATGTGCTGAAGACTCCTGCGCTCCTTCCAAGACAGACCTAGTAAACCAAGCCCACGAGCTAATCGCAGCCCAGTTTGCCAGACAGCCTGAGAATATGGTACTGCAGATGCTGCGCCCGCAAGCATTCGTCTGTGGAAGCATTCTTCATCACTTGACAAGTCGGCTCGAAAAGTGCAACGCGCCTGCTCTCGGCCACCCACGCTCTGCTCACAACGGACACATTCCCTTCTGCCCGACCCTCAAAGTGCCAGCAATCCTACCTTTACCAACTGCGCCCACAGAACTAGACAGTGGCCATCAGAAAGCACCGGACGTCATCCAAACAAAGCCCAGTGGACCGAGGAGTGGAGGAGAAAACGACGGCCAGCAGGCCTTGACCAAGGACGACAAAAAAGCACATAAACCATGCTCCGCACCGCTCTGCACCTCACGATCCCAGCGTCCCAGCCAAATACACGCTAGGCAGATGACATGGTTGCTTTTTTTTGGCGGGCTGTCCAGGAAATGAACATGTCACTGCCCCATCCATCCCTTGGAAAGTTCACTTGGACACGAGACAGCGTGAGCTGAGGGAACGCCAGAAGAAAAACAAAAAAGAATTGTCAAAAGAAAAAACCCTCACTAGCTCTTGCGACATCCAGCACACACAGGCCCACACCCTCGTGCAACTTTCGGAAGACAGAACAGGGAGGAGCACACTACGTAATGTACTCCTCAGCTCCGATCGTCCTACGAGGCCGGCCGCTCACTCTCGGTCTGACGTCAGTGCGTTTCCTCTCAGAAGCCTTTTCCACGCACAAGTAAATCGCAAGCCCCCTACGCAATCGACATTCAGTCGAACTCGGCCAAAATGCCTGCGCATCCCTCGCAGCAGAGTGGGGCCGAGAGAGGAAATGCACGCCAGGAATGAGAGGACGCGTAGCAAAACAAGACACTCCAGGAATCGGCCGGATCCGACACCTGTCCGCCGACAGAACGTGCACGAACGGCCCACTGGGCTGTGCCACGGAATGCCCACAAAGGAACAGGAATGGTTACGTGGTCTACACTAGCCCGTCACCACTAGATAAGAAGGCCACCATGGAGAGGGCCCTCACCCGTGGCAAGCAAGCATCAGTGCGATTCTCCACATCCTCAGAAAGATACAGCCGTCAATTGACGCCTGCAGCGGGAGCACGACACACGAGGGGTTAGAAAATTCCTTCTGGCGAGGCACAAAAGAGCTGCCCCATCGGAAAGGACGAACTCTTCGTCCGCCCCTCCCCATATCAAGGCACAGTCTCTTTCCGCCTGGCCAGACGGATTCTTGCATGCAGCCATAGAGTCCGCATTTGGAAGAGCCGCCTAGGAGCGCACAGATGAGCTGAGTGACTGGGCCGCGAGGGCATGGTACAGAATGTGATAAATGACCTTTTTAGCGTCTGCCTTCTCGGACAAGGTCTGAAGCCACTGAGGAGCACTTTTCCTCTGTTGCTTTCCCCCGACCGTTCACCACGAACACAAGTTACCCTTAAACTCCAGCTTGGGGAGGTTGCGGATCGAAGCGGACTCTGTATAGCGTGCTCCAATAGCGCTGCGGCCAAAGACCGCCTGCCATCCTCGCTCAGCGCCGTCGGTTCTGGCGGCACGAGAGCTGCTAGAACTAGATGGCCGAACAGTGGCTGCAGGGCTGCCGTCTGGTGCAAGCAGAATAGAGTGTGGAAATTGGGAAAGCGCGAATTTCGGAGCAGAGGAGAAAAGGAAAAAACCTTGGAGATCGCACCAACCCGATCCAGTCCTGACGTGGCTGGTGGGAAACAGCCGGATTTGGGCTGCATCACACAAGTGTGGCAACCCGCTCCTGTAAACAAGAGCTGCAGGAACAGCGCAGAGCTGTCCTTCGGCGCCAGCCTTGGGCCGCGAGCTGAGAGCGCATTGCGTGTTAATATTCTGGTTGGTGGAGCTTTCCTTGTTCACCACAAAACGCAGGCTGGCTCAGCAAGCCGTGTTCTCAAGCCTTTCGCCCCCTGCCCCTTGCTGCAGCCCTTTTGCCTTCGCTTCACTATTTTATTACTCGCTTGTAGAATTAGCAGCTTTTCCCCCCCTCTGCCAACGTGCATTTCGCAGACAGCAAACCCCTCTCTCCCTTCCACTCGTTCCCTTTGCTTCTTTATTAACAGCGTGTTGCGTGCTCGAGAGCCACTAAACAAATGCCGACTATTGTACAGCGCGTAGCTTCTGTGGCTAATCTGAACGAATTCTCTGTCAATCCCAATTCGCACTGGGTCAATCACAAAGGTAAGGACAGGACTACGCCAATAGTGCCTGGGCAGACGCAACAGCACCAGCCGTGCTAACAGCAGCTCTTGTGTGTAGGCTCGTGGACAACCAACATTGTGATTATTATCGTCTTCCGGTTTGTATTTGGCGTTATTCCATGGTCAACGCCGGAGCTGAGCTGGACACTGACGAATCTGTCATACTGCCTATTCCAGTACCTGATGTTCCATGGCATCATCGGCACGCCATTCGAGGTCAACCAGGGCGAGTACGACAACCTGACGCTGTGGGAGCAGATGGACAACGGCGAACAATATACCCCGACAAAAAAGTTCCTGACCGTGGTCCCTATTATTGTGTAAGTGTCGACCGACGAGTCGTCGGATATGCATACACTCCCTAGTGTATTGCGTGCCAAGACATGCAACGGAATTGCCCCTATTTGGGGCTACCCGAGAATCATTTTAGCATGTGCGTAGTGCAGGACCTGTGGCATGTCCGCGCTGAAAAAGAGACCAGAGGTTTCTGCGTAGAATCCCTACAACTAACACTGATGATCTTTCTCCGTGCTTCCCTGTAGGTTCCTTATAAGCACGCACTACACAAACTACGACGTACCGACGTTCATCATCAATTTCACCGCCTTGCTCATCATTCTCATTGCAAAGCTACCGGCGTTCCACCGGGTGCGGTTCTTTGGAATCAACATGGGCCAAAGCAGCATGCATTGAGTTGTGTCGCAAGCCATCCATTTTCCATTTCCTCCAATATTTAATACTCAATTTCCAACACTCGTCCTCCAAGTCCACCCTCCACATCTTACCTTGTTGTCTATATTTCAAATCAAATATCTTCTACGAGATAGGTATTGTTGAAACACGCACTGGTGGGGATTGGCAATTGGTAATTGGCAAGGGTGCGGGCGGTATATGGAAATTGCCGCATGCACGCCATATACTAGAAAGCTTTGATGTTGCATGATAACAAGTACCATCGAATATAACCACCCCCTTCGTTAGAACCAACATAATAGTATCCAACGCAATGATAACGATAGTTTTGAGGAGAGGTGGTGTACAAAACAAAGGAGGATGCGAAATACTGGTCCTAAATCTATAATTTGTTTGGTTTGGTATTCCGCACATAGTGATAATGCGTATGAAGGCGAATATCGCAGCCCATAGGTAAGCTAGAAGCAGGAAGCTGGTCTTAAGGAGTCGCTACAAAGGCAAAATATCTAATGGCACATGCAAAACTGAAGAAATGAGCGCGAGGCAGTGAATAGCGAGCATTTATAGTACTACTTGAGAGGCATGACCAATTATTGAACATATAGGTAAAGGAGTATAAGAAGGTGCTAGTGGCAGTAATAGGATATTGAAATATGTCAACAACGTACCAATACATGCCATCAATCGGGGATACCCACCAGACTAGTATCAACAAATGCATGAGCTAATGAAGACAGAAGCTATATTAGTTATTTAGTGCATAGAGCAAAGGCTTTTTTGGAAATTAGTTATTCTAACACAACATATATGTGGTGCCAGGTGCCTTTCTTCTGTCAGCACTCATCATAGCCCACAAAATATACTTCAATAATACGGTGCGTGCCTAAAACGACCTAGGTCAATAGTCAGGGAAGAGGAAACTAGGTAGCGTGTTCTCCTAGTGATGATTGTAAATGTGCTGATAAAACCAAAAGTAAGCGTTCACAAAAATATATTGGAAAAACCAGAAGGAATCCCTGCTGCTAGGAGCCAGCAAGGGGTATTTAAGCAAGCGCCGAGTGCGCATACTGAGCCCTCATCTAAGCCGCGTATGGCCCTGGATAAAGCTGCGCCACTCTCAGTGAGTAATCCGCCTTGGGTGAGTCGGAACCACCCTAGCGGCATGACATATATGCCATCATTACTATTATCCATGTAGTTTATAAAAAAAAATCCTATAGATCTTATTTGTGCTCCACTAGTCTATGTGATATAGTTACTTATACTATTGTTATAGGTTTGCTTTGTAGTTTATACTACTTATCCAGTTTGTTAAAAATGTACTAAATATACTTTTTTACATGATGCACTAGACTTACTAGAATAAAGTTGTGAGGAGTGAGGTAAATAAAATAATATATCAAACTTAGCTAGCATTTATATATTTTGACCATAAATAAAATAGTTAATTAGTGGTATTATAGGGGTCATTCTTGAACTTGTAAATTTTAGTAATTTGTAATGTACTTAGTTATATATTTAAATAATCATTTTCTGAAAAGATTTTTGCTACTAGTTATTTTTAGTATTGATATTACTAAATATTATATCTAGAATGTTTATATACTTAAAAATGAGTTCTAAAATAGAAATGCTTTTAGCTATTTCACTGAAAGTACTAGAAGTTATAATATGCTAAAATAATTGATAAGTAGATAGGTAGATAAGTAACCCTATATAACCTCCTATAGTGATTACTATATTTAGATCCCTAAGAGGAATATAAGGAGCAGAATTGTTCTATTAATAAAGCAGTGTGCTGAGTCTTATGTTTATATTATAGGTAGTACCTTATACTTATATGATGTTATCTTGACCCAAGTCTTAATCTTGATAGTAGACTTCATTACTTTCATATTTATTCGAGTTGAGCAAAAAATGTCATACCATAACTGGTCCATAGTTGGACTATGACATGGTTACACATCAAGGGTTCTATTTGTATTCCCTTTTTCCATTACTTCTCTTCTCTCCTTTGTCAAATGCTACTGTTCCGCTATCAGTGCTGATGCCCCTGACTATTGCAGGTCGAGCTGATACCCATAAATAGATTTATTATGATGTGTCTGGCTCGCGACGTCTACCAACAGATGGCCTCCAATGTGTATACATCAGGTCTATATGAATGTGGGAGAACTATCCCGTGGTCTCCCAGTGGTTGATAGCAGCAAGTAGCATACTCCATTTGCCAAAGTCCATCCCACTGAACGAGTATAAATAAAGCCATGAGCAGCGAGCAACATTTGGTTTTAATTTCTACTCTTCAGAATATGATCTCATAAAGAATAGTTTTACTGAGATTTATTCTATTGAGGTATCCAAAGATATTAGCCAAGGCCGCTACAATCGAAATCGTAGACTACCTTGCAGGTTTCCACGAATGAGAGAAAAGAGCCTGGTTGTTTACCATTTCACCAGGATATTTATATTCCCGCGACCGTTTTTATTATTATTCTTGTAACCCTTTATTCACGGATATCGTTTCAAGTGGGACCAGTGACTACTATGTCTTTCGCAACCGACCAAGACAGTGCTGGCAATCGACCCACTGATCAAACCTCTCCTTCACTCCTTTTAAACACTACGAGTATAGCTGTCATGTCGTAATCAGTCCATGGTCAGATCATGACATGGTTACACAAAGCAACTGGACCAAATTGTTTCTTTTACCTCCGTTCTTTTGCCGCTGTTCCGTTATCTGTGCTAACCATCCCTGACTATCGCGGGTCAAGTTGACTCCCGCGAATGGATTCGATATATGTCTAACGCCCGACATCTACCAACAGATGACCTCCGATATGCATAGATTGGCTCTATCTGGATGTAGGAGCACTATCCTGTGGGCGCCCGGCAGCTGATAATAGCATGTATTATACTCCATTTGCCGAAGTCCATCCCACCAAATGAGTATAAATATGGCTGTGAGCAGTGAGCAACTTTTAGTTTTATTGCCAACTTTTTAGTATATGATCTCATTAAGGAACAGTTCACTGAGTTATATTTCTATTTAGTTTTCCAAGTTATTAAGTCAGGACCGTTACAAGCAAGACAAAGCGTTACAAGTAAGACAAAGCGAGACAAGCGACTACAATGTCCTTCATGACCGATCCAGTCAGTGCTGGTAATCGACCCACTGATCAAGCCTCTCCTTCACTCCTTTTAAGTACTGCGAGTATGACAGCTTGAAAGACGATTCTCTTGGGAAAGCGTCTCAAATCCGCAATGGTCCAGTGGCTAGGATCCGACGCTCTCACCGTCGTGGCCGGGGTTCGATTCCCCGTTGCGGAACTTTTGCTTTTGCTGTGGTCTGCGAATCCACCGGCAGTTCACAGCTGTCTCTCATTTTGTTGAAGCCATGCCACTGTTTGTTTAGCGAAATGGTCTGTATACTGTGGTGATCACACCACAGTCACTCAAAGCCAATGCTTATGCGACTCAGCCGATCACAGATGATGAGACCGATTCATCACCCCAGGCTAGGCCACATAGTTAGGGCTATAAAATAGACACCGGATCACTCCAGGAGTGACCCGGGAGGAATCATCTCTTCTTGTTTAATAATATTAACTGTCCCTATCAATTGATTAGTGTCATCAACATGTTCGTCGAGATCATCTGCGGGTGACCTGCCTTCCCCCTCTGGCTCGCGAGAGTCAAAGTTCAGGGCTGGCAGTTCTGGTGTGGGCAACAGCGAATCCGTCACTGCTGCCCTGCACCTTTTCCCGGCTTCTTGGTGCAGTTCTGCGAGACATGACCAGGATCACCGCAAGTAAAGCAACGGCGTTGTGCACGTAGCCATTGCTTACATGTGGGGTGGTCCTTGGCTAAGGGTACCGAGACGGAACCGACCTTGATCCAAATGATCGAGCTACCCTTCGTATATACCGCAGAAACTTCCATTGGTTCTGGTTGATCTGGCAGACTGGATACGCCAGTTGCTGCTGGCTGCAACCCCGTAGCCTCTGCTGCTGTCTGTTCTAACACATCGGCATTGTTGACTAGCCGTAGTGCTTCTACAAACTCAGTAGGCGCTTTCCAAACCAGCGCTTTATAGAGACTAGGATTCAGCCCATGCAGGAAATACGAAATTCGCTCAACGTCTGCGATATCGCTGCCGCCTACGATTTCTGCTTCCGCCGCGATATATTGCTGTAGAGTTTTACCCCGCTGGTTCAGCTCAATCAAGCGGTGTCGGAAGACATACAGGTGGTCAGGACGCGAAAGCATTGAGTCGAATTCTGCAATGAAGAACGCCGGTGTGGCCATGATCAAAGCTTGCCGCCCCGGGTGTCGGCTTAAGTGCACGTCGATCATCGTCTTGGCCTGTCCGACTACTGCATTTCGTAAGTACAACGCCTTTTGAGGCAACGTGCCAGATTGCATTGTGTCCATGTACGCTGACCATTTATCTCCCCAATTCTTAAAGGTAACATTCGACGTCACCATGTCGTATGGTTCAATATTCGGTGCTTCGTTGGCATGGACTGTCACTGCTCCTGGTTGGTTCTGGCTGTCCATCCTCTGCTGGATATAGCCCACGAGACGATCGCCCAGGACAGGATGCTCGTTCAGCAGCTGCAGGAGTTGGTTTAACTGGGCCTCCTGCTGCTCAGAGGTCGGGTTAGCGTTAGTACTGGCATTGGCGTTGTTGTTCATGGTGCTGAAAAAATGGAGTGGACGTAGACAATAGTTCTGAGGACAGAATAAGGGACTTAGGTGATGCTACCAATGTCGCGACCCTATTTAAAGGTCATGAGCTTCGTCTACTCGCCCAGGCACTAATCAATTGATAGGGACAGTTAATATTATTAAACAAGAAGAGATGATTCCTCCCGAGTCACTCCTGGAGTGATCCGGTGTCTATTTTATAGCCCTAACTATGTGGCCTAGCCTGGGGTGATGAATCGGTCTCATCATCTGTGATCGGCTGAGTCGCATAAGCATTGGCTTTGAGTGACTGTGGTGTGATCACCACAATACTACGCTGAAAGGCTGTGCTATGTTTTATAGTTGAGATTATCAACAAATCGGTGAGCGTGAGGTTTAAATATTATTTATCATTACCTATGATGTGCTCAATTAATCAAAGTTGGGCACCAATTTAAAACTTCAAATGCTCTGAATCAAGTACTGCTGGTATATTCAACAAGGATGCAGTGGGCTGTACCACAGCTAGTAGGATTATTGCCGCTAGGGGCCGACAAGAACTATTTATCTATGTTGAGTACAGATGATAATTTCCTAGTTATATCACAAGCTTAGCTAACAATGACACTCCATATAAATCAGCTGCTTGGAGAGGAATATAAGAACCCCTGTTGCTGGACAGGGAGAGATAGGGGGCATTGACTGTATAGCATATGAAAGTTCTTGTTGACATGTTGACTAAGATGGTAATCACAGTAACTCACAAATATAGTACAAGATGTCCTTCAGCGAAAGAAAGTAATATCTAGAATCTGTATTTGCTAAATAGGCTTTGTATTTCAAAGGAATATTGTGTTTGAAATGCACAGCGAAACCGTAAGAGTCCACCAGCCTAGCCCAGTCTTAACTAGATGGTCTATATTTCTAACTCAGGCAATAATGGGGTAGAGTATGAAAGTGAATTGGAACAAAAGCTTCAGTCAGCCATTGTATGTGTTGACATTCGGGGTCCGGAGTCCCCCTGTGCCATCATAGACAAGGCCGAAACGCATACGTACAAAGGCCCAGACAGACGACCAGCCTTCCTTCTTCCCCTCAGTCAATTTGAGAAGTTATTTTTCCATATATTCTATAACCACTCATTCCCCAAGTTAACAGGTAGAAGCATTCCTGAGGTCGGCTCTGGCTCTTTATTTTCTAGGCAGTGTGGCACAAACAAACTGGTCTCGCACGAGCCAAATCTGTCGGATTGCCCTACCAAAGGGCTGGAAGGATAGAATGAGATATGGAGTTCTTGGCCAAGGGTATTTTGGAATAGCATCCAGCCGTTACCGAGTGGGATTGGTTAGAGTTCTAAAAATATCCAGAGCCAAGCCTGATCGAGTTCATGCATAAAGCCCAGCAACCATAGTTGTCGATATGTGGCATTCCAGCCATTTCGGTGTTTTGGATAATGTTATTTATTGCAGCATAAAACCGCACTTCATACATCACACCGCTGCCTCTCGTGACCAAGTATCCCCTAACTTCATTCAACGGCAAATGTCAAAACGGCAGATAGTGAGCTACAATGACCTGTTTTCGGAGACGGAGGAGGCAGGGCAGGCGGGTACGTCCGAACCAGCCCCTAGCAGCGTAGAGGAGACAGCCAAGGTCGATGTTTCTGAGATCGTCTCCTGCCAAGGAACATGGGATGACAGCGAGCTGATTCAGGCATGGGACAGCACAATCGCAGATTACCGCAAGCAGCATGCAAACGTTCTTGGCGATCAGCAGGCGGCCGAGGAGCGACGCCAGACAGAAAGCAAGGTGGGGGAGTGGAAGGCAGTGGAGGACATTGAGCAAGTGGATGCGGGTCGGACAACCAAGCGGGCACGGACAGAAAGCGCAAGCGAAGGCCATGGAGAATCTCAGTGCGAATATGGCGGGTGGCAAGTGTCAAACCCAGAGCCACCGGCGTCAGGTACGTTGCAGGAGGAGGAGTTGGCTGGTCTTGAGTGTAGGCCGTCTTCTGCAAGGAAAAGCAGTGGCTGGGTTCAAGCTATGCGTGACTGGGGCCGGATTAATGGACAAAGGTGAATGTTCTACTTGTAGAGGATGACGCATTGTACCGGCTCAACATGTCGTGGTACTATGCGGGATACTACGCAGGATACTACCAGGTAAGAATTCGGAACAGCGAAAGAAAGCATTGCATAAAGTGAATGGTTTATTTTTCACTGCAAGAATGCAAAAACTTGGCAGACCAAAAAAAGGGGAGGTTATATATGCAGTATATCGGAAGGGGTCGAACAGCAGCACGAAGAGGGTTCTTCAGGCTGACATTCTTTTTGTAAATAATTCGAGGTGTAGGCATATCGACACGGCAAGAGCCAAGCCAACACAGACTAACAGGGCTCGCGAGGTCAGGATAGTTGGTGCCTACTTCGCCTGGCAAAAGCTATGCTTTGCCCTCCTTCTTCGCCTGAGCCTTCTACAGAGAAAGCAGACCATGTTTAGCTAGAGAACCATTCCGCGCTCAAATAAACCCCTCATGCGATTTGTCTCGTTCGTCTTTACTTACGGCCTGCTTCTGGCGCATAATCTCCGCATCGTGCTCCTGCTTCGACTTGAACGATATACCGTCGTCCTTCTTGTTGCCACCGGCCTTGGCCTGCTTCTTCAGGTTCTTGGCACGGGCAAGTTCGCGCTGGTTTCCACGGGTCATGGTGTTTGCTGAGAGTAGAGTGTATTCAAAGGAGAGGGGAGTGAAGGAGAAATGGGATTCGTGTCGTTCCCAGGCGGACAAGGGGGCAGGGCATGCTTATATTTCCAGGCGGTTCTGCAAAAATTCGCTGGCGGGGGTGGCGTGAATAATTAATCCACGCGTTGGCATGCAAAAAATTACATGATTTTGGCCTAGCCCAGGTACTCGCAGATCTTGGCCAGCAGCTCGCTGTTGTAGTCCTGGGTGATCTCCCAGATCATGACACCGCCCAAGCGCCGGCGCAGCACATAGTCGGCCTTCCAGCTCACTGACACGGGGTCGTCAAAGGTAATCAGCACGCACTCTTTTTCGCTGTACAGCACCGGTGCCTGGGCGCGGTCGTCCCAGTACGGTGTATATGATGAGTTGGCCAGCATCTGGTCTGCTCTCAGCGCCTTGTAGTCAAAGACGCCATCCTCCCACGTGCCCTTGGGGACGCCCGAGAAGGGACATCCAAGGCCTGGCACTGGGCCACGGCCCTGCTCGTGCTTGACGTGGGCGAATCCACGGCCGTAGAAGCCGATGCCAAGGACAACCTTCTCAGGAGGCACACCAGCGCGGATGTAGTCAGAGACGGTCGTGTCACCGGTGATGCCCGAGGAGGCCAGCGATGACTCAAACAGGTTCTGCTGGTGCGCAGTGGTGGGCGACCAGGCACCAGCATAGTCGTATGTCATGATGTTGATTGTGTCAACAACGTGCGCGATGGCGGCGAGATCCAGGTGCCTGTAGACGCTGCGTGCGGCTGACGTCGAGATGCTAATCTCGTAGCGGCCGAAGCGCGGGGGCGGCAGCGAGTCCAGGTGCGTGCGCAGATCGTACAGCAGGTGGGCGTAATTAGTCGCATCGGCTGGCGAATGTGGGTTCCCCTCCATGCCGCCCTCAACGGGATGCTCCCAGTCGATATCGACTCCGTCGAACTGGTACTTTTGCAGGAACTCGCCCACGGACCGGATGAACTCCATGCGTGACTCGTACGCCGACGTCATCTTTGAGAAGCCGGCCGACCACGTCCATCCGCCTACAGAGATGATGGACCGCAGATGTGGGTTGCGGCGGCGCACCGGGCTGGCAGGGTTGTTGAACTCGCCAAAGCTGCCCTTGATGTCACCAGGCTGGTACTGAGTGTCGGGCCACGGCTTCTCGACGTCGGCCCAGGGGTCGCCTAGCGCAATCTTATTGTTCACGAGGTTGGCAAAGCCGTAGTTGATGTGAGTCAGGCGCTCGACGGGAACGTCGGCGGGGTTGAACTTGCGGTCGTAGATGGCCCATGCCGGATAGTAGGCGATTTTGCGCGGGCGGTGCATAGTGCCGTTGTTCGTGTAGGGGATGTATAGAATGAGGGAAATGAGGAAAAAGGACACAAGAGAGATAGTTGCTAGCTGGGGTCGGGTCAAATTGGTTGCGGCATTCATTCCCAGAGGCGACAGCTTGGCTTAAATAGGGTGTTAAAAGGACAGAAAAAAAGAAGCAGGGTTGTCTTGGCAAGCAGCAGTGCCAGCATCCTATTTATAGGCTGGCGCCAATGCCGCGGGCTTCCATCAGCGGCAGTGGCAGCAGCAGGGCTGGTGACATCACCTGCAGCTGCTCAGGGCGGCAGAACGAGTACCCGACAAGGCCCAGCGCCGAGTGCAGCGGGTCAGGGTAGTCGCCGGGCGTCTTGCCAACACCGCCAAACTTGCTCTGGCACGTCATCAGGAAGCCGAAGGTGCCGTCGCTGTCAATCAGCTCGTGGCCGCCGAGCATCTCCACGGCCGCGCCGACCCAGAAGGCATAGCACGCATCAGGGTCCTTGTTGACACGGCCGTTGTAGCCATCGTTTTGGCGATACAGCGCCCACCGCAGCACCCGGTCCGTCGGGATGGCATCCAAGCGGCCCATCAGCGCCAGGCTGGCCACGCAGCAGTAGACGTGACCGCCATGGGACTCTTGGAACGGTACCTGTGTGAGTCCGCCGTCATAGCACATGCAGCTCTGGATATACGCAACCGCAGCCTGCTTGTCGACCCCAGACCAGTCGCCCAGAATCTCGGACACAGCGCACGCGCAGTAGATGAATCGCGGGTCGCGCTCAGTCGTGTGCGGGTGGGGCGAGAAGCAGCCGGATTCCTGCTGCAGCTCGCGCATGACGCCGATAATTGCCTTCTTGTCGACCCGCTCCAGCGAGTCTCCCAGCAGAACCAGGGCGCTCAGTGCTGAGTACGTGGCTGCCAGGTTGCCGCAGTTGGCCGGCATATACTCGATCTGGTCGTGTGGGCCAAACATACTGCTGCCGCGGAAGCCGCGGTACTTGGCGTTGCTGTTGTCTGCGTTTGCTGGCACCTGCTGCGCATAGATCCACTCGATGATGCCGTGCCTGTCGTTGCTGGTGAGTGCCTCGTCGATAGCGCCAAGCGCCGCCAGTCCCACCAGGCTCAGCTGCACCAGCATCATGCGCGTTGCGTCCAGCGACTGCATAGCTGCTGGCAGCATCTCAAGGCAGCGCTTGAAGTAGCGGATGTGCAGGTCGCGGTTCAACATGCCAACAAAGACTAAGAAGAGGAAGAAGAAGAAAAAGCACGGGTTGTTGTGGTGCAGCGCCACTCGCCCGGTTTCCGATTTACCTCGTAATCGCCATCAAAGCGCTTGTTCGTTGTGGGTGCTGACTACTTCAGCTCATGCTTTATTGTCCTTTGTGCATTTATCAGACGCTTGTGCTAGGCCATGCCGCGGCTGGCCAGGAACTCCTTGACACGGGACCGGTCGACGGTCTGGATAAAGTACTCGCCGCCGTTGTCGGTCCAGCTGACGCACTGGCTCCAGTACTGGTACCGCTTGACTGCCAGGATGCTCTCGGGTGCCTGCACGTTCCGGGCATTGATCTTGTAGTCGGGTGTCACAAACGGCTTCAGCGAGATGATCCGGGTGCCTTCCTTCAGATCAAGGAACATCTGCAGCAGGTTCTGGTTCAGTGCGCTGTCAAACGCGTAGTTGTTCACCAGGAGCACGTCGGCTTTCGGCAGCAGTCGTGTGATCTCGGGCGCTTCGCAGAAATCCCCGCGCCAGATGTCCACTTGCCCGTGACTGAACTGCAGCTGGCGCATGCGGTTGCGGAACTCAACTGCCTGCCGCCTGGCGAACCGCGCTGGGACCTTCATGATCTCGATGCCTGATGCATGGCAGCCGGTCTGCGCTGCCACCTGCAGCACGACGTTGCCGATTCCGCAGCCAAGGTCGATAAACACCGAGTCGTGGGTTATGCCTGTCCGCTCAATGAACTCGCTGATCAGCATCGGCAGGATCTCGCCATACACGTTGTTGGAGAATGCCTTGTACTGTCGCAGCAGGTCCACCGTCGGCGCTACCACGCGGTTGTACGTCTGCTCCACCACGTGGATCGCCAGGTCAGCCGGGATCTCGCCCGCACCAAACCGCATCCGGACATTGCCCTTGGTCTGCTCGGCATCCAGCAGCGCGTTAAAGTCTGCCACGGCCTCGACAAAGTCCTCGCCGTTCTTGCGATTCCGCGCCCGCTCCAGCCGCCGCGCAATGCCGTTCTCCTTGTCGCCGCACACCCGCTGCTCAAACGACTCCGAGTCGACCAGATAGCTGGCAATCATCGATACTGTCAGCATCAGGTCATTAACCGGCAGGTACTCGTCTTTGGCCTCGGCGTCGCGGTCGTAGCCCTTGGGCATCAGCAGCGAGAACTCCTCGGTGGCCCCCGGCGCCGGCAAGTGCAGGGCGACCTGCACCGGGTGTGTCTTTCGCGATGCTGCCCACGAAAAGTACTCTCCGTAGACTGTTTCGCTCAGACGGACCGCATCCACCGAGCTGACCGCCTCCGTTGCATTCCCGGCCACCGGCGATGCTGGCGCTGGCGCCTCGGCAACCTTGAGATTGCCCAGGCTTGCTGGGACGCTGCAGCTGCGCTCGATCCCGCCTGCAGGCGGACTACCGCTGCTGCTCTTCACCTGCAGCCGCCGCTTCGCCGCCCTCTGTGGTGGCGACTCGTCGAACCCGCGCCGCTTCGGCGTAGGCGACCCAGGCAGCGACCCAATGCGCTCCCGTCCACGGCTGACAGTTGCCGCTGAGTCGCGCGGGCTGCGCCTGCTCGTTGGGTCGGTTGCATGCGATGTGCGTCGCCGCTTAATCTCGCCACCGCTAAGCGGCGACTGCGCATGCCTTACAGGAGACACGCGCTCGGTGCTCGTCTGCCGCACTGTGTGTGGGTGGCTGGACCGCCGGGCGGTGCTGGCGGTGCTGGCGGTGGTGGTGCTGCGGCCTACTGATGCAGGCACATTGGTTGTTGACAGGGGCCGTCGCCGCTCGGTACGCCCGGATTTGCTGACTATCCGCTCCTCGATTCGGATGCTCACGGTTGGTGGGGCGGCTGCCTTGCTGCTATTTCCAAAGAACAGGTCCATTATCAAAAGGTAAAGTGCTTGCAGAGAGCGTAAAAGGGGGGGGGTCAAAAATACAGAAACTACGAGTAAAAAAACAGCTTTTGGAGAAGCAAAGGGAAGAAGGGAGAAAATCGGGCGGGAGCGGGATAAAAAGGGGGCAAAATTGTTCCCCCACTTGGCGCACTTGCGTGATTGAGCAAATTTCTGCTGGGACACATCTGGTTACAGGTTGGCCGCAATGAACGCTGCCAAAATCATCACCGCGCCAACATAGTACGGCAGCCCAACAGCAACGCCCTTCCACAGGATATCGCCGGCCATGCTCAGCGGAATGGTCAACGACAGCCCCAGCGTCACCACCAGCGGCGAGGTCATCAGCACCGCCATCAGCCACAGGTAGTCCGACAGGAACGTGCCGATGAGCGCGTTGACAAGGATCATCAGCCAGAGGCTCGCCGACCCCGGCAGCGCAAACGTCTCAATGCCCAGCCAGTGCAGCAGGAAGAACCCGGGCCACAGCAGCACAATGTTCGCCAGCCCGACCGACCCAAAGAACAGCGACGAGTCGAGCCTTGACTCGTCGCCGATCTTCAGCTTCAGCAGCGTCGTGTAGCAGCCGTACAGGAATGCGCTGCTCAGTGCCAGCAGGTCGCCGAACCATGCCAGCGGCATGGCCTGCACGCCCGCCGGGTCGGCCCCGTAGTGCATGATGCTGTACACTCCCATGATGCTCACCAGCACCGCTCCCAGCCGCATCGCGTTGAACCGCTCCACGCCTGCAACTGCGCCAATTGCCAGCGTAAACAGGCCCGAGGTCGCGCACAAGATAGACGAATTGGCCACTGTCGTGTATGCCAGAGACGCATTCTGAGTGATGTTTGCTGCAAACCACAGCATGCAGAAGCTGACTCCCAGCTGCACCGTCTCGCGCACTGTCAGCTTGGCCTGCAAGAGTGGTGGTGCGTGGGAATGCTGTGCCGGCTGCCCATCGCTGACTAATGGCGAGCCCTCCTCGCTTGTCTGCGAGCTGAGGCTCTCTTCGCTCGCTGACCGCTTGCGCTGGCCGATGCGGTCGTGCGAGTGCCGCCGCGAAAAGTACGCCCCGACCAGGTAGAACGAGAATGTGCCTGTGTTCAGGTATGTGATGAAAAACGGGTGGTTAAAGTCTTGCTCGCCAAACAGGTTGCTGACCAGGAACGACGAGCCGACCCAGATAAACACCACGCAGAGCAGCAGAAGGAGGCCCACTATACGCCGCGACGACAGTGCTGAAGCCATAGGGAGGGATGTCGCGCAAAAGGTAGAGAAAAATCTGTGTGGCAGAAACGGAGCAGAAGAAAATTTTACAGGCTGAGCCAAAATGCCGTTTACCGTGGCGGAAATGGAGGTGAAGGCTCCCTTCCTGCGGCCAACGGGCGGTGCGATCGCTGTTTGGTACTTGTGTGAAGCATTTGGAGCCTTCGACGCGCGGATTAGCCGATTATCGGCGCCAGGATCAGCCAGATAAGTGAAGGCCTGCCTGCGCCAAACCCCTCGCTTTTCGAATTCAGACCTTGTCTTCTGAACCGGGTCTCTTCAATTCAGCCTACATTCTACAATGTCTCTCGCACGCTTCATTAAGTTCTCGCTCAAAAACTCGCCGCGCCAGAACTTTGAGATCTACCGCAAACTCGACGACGCAAAGTGGGGTACCCACGTCGGCACTGATGAGCTCGGCAACCGCTACTTCATGAACCCGACTGAGCGCTACGGCCGCGAGCGCTGGGTCATCCCCGCCGGCAGGAGCCGTTGATGTCGATGCCAGCAGGATTCCGCCCAGATGGCGTGGCTGGCTCCACAAGGTCACCGACGAGATCCCCAAGGCCACTGCCGAGGAGGACGCAGAGTACCTGTGCCGCCCCAAGTGGATGGCGTTCCCGCACTACGAAAACTACACTGGCACCAGGAAGGCCTATGTCACGTACAACACGGTCAAGCCAAAGTACGAGAGCTGGGAGCCCGCCGTTGCTCCGCGCCAGTAGGGGGATGATGCTTGGGGGTTTAGAGAATAAAAATCGGTGACTCTGTGACTGCTGGCCATGTACAGTGTAGAGGAGGGGACTGGAGGCATATTCATCTCGTTTGGAGAGCATAGAGAAAGGCTAAGAGAGCGTTAAAATGCAAAAGGGAAAATGGTCAATCGTCATTATCGGCAATAAGATTCAGGGCAAGACTCAGGTCGCCGTTGGTGACCGACAATGCCCTCAGGTTCTTGTCCTGGTCCAGGAACCCCATCTCCTCGAGCTGGTCCAGCTCGCTCTGGAAGCGCTGGCGCAGCGACGCGCGCTCGGCCTCGGAGATTGTGTGTCCAGGGGCTGCTGCATTGGCGGATGCCTGCTGCACGGGTGCCGGTGTGGCAGAGGAAGATGCAGAAGCACTGGGATTGGTCATGTACATGCTGCTCATCCGTGGCGGCTGGCTGCTGCTGCTGCTGCTGGATTCCGCCAGTACTAGGCGGAGCCCTGGTGGGAAAAGCCCAAGCGTGTCCGATGGCGGGTACGACGACAGTCCCAGCGGGTTCTGCGCCATGACGTTGCGCGACGCCTGCTGCTGAGCCGAACTGCCTGGGCTCGAGAGATTGAGCCGCGCCAAGCGCTCGGCATTGCGGGACACCTGGTCGTTCAGCGACGCGTGCAGGCCCTGGCGCGCATATGCCGGCGGTGCCGACGGCCTGGTAGGGGCAGCAGCAGCCCTGCTGGGCCGGCGTGCCCACGGGTTGGGCAGCGGTGATGTATTGATTGAGCTCTTGTCAGGAATCGTCACGCCCAGCACCGCGCCCGCCGTGCGTTCAGCGCATCCAGCGACTGGTTCGGGCCGTCCATGGCAGCGCGCGACAGCGGCTCTTGGAAGTTGTTGTAGACGCGGCGGATCTGGGCCAGGCCACCGGGCATGGCCTCCAGGTTTGCCAGCGCTCGGTCGTTGCTGCGCTGCAGCTCCTGCATCAGCATCGGGTTGGACGCAGCGCTCATCGTCTGCCGGAGCATCTCAGGGTCGGTTATCATGTTCCGCAGCTCGGGGTTCTCCTCCATCGCCTGGCGCAGCTGCGGGTGCATGTTCATCATGCTCTGTGCAAACTGCGGGTTGGACATCATCGTCTACAAGTCGCACAGGAGATATGCATGTTGGTAGGTGATGGCGATTGCAAAGGGATTGCGTGGCCTCATCCAAGTGCCGCTTCTTACCTGCAATATCGGGTTGTTCATTGCCTGGGCGGCCGGATTCCGACGCTGTGCGTTGGCTCCTCGAATGCCGCTGACATCGCGTGCGGCAGACTCGTTGTTTGCCAGCTGAATGAGTCGTAGCACCGAGTTTTGCTCGATACCTACTTTTTTTTTTCCTTCACGAGGCGAATTTAGAGCACGGCGGTATATAGAAAAGCCCAGGCCAGCTCCCACCCCTCTCATCACTCAGCCAGCTACTTACCGTATGACTCGAGGTTCTGGTCGTCGGCTAGAATTGAGCTGTTGAAGAGCAATCTCATTCGCTGCACCGGCAGCTGTGTGTGCTCTGCCAGACGCCGCTTGACTTCAGAGATGAGCGTGGTTTCGCTGGGCAGCTGGAGGTTCACCAGCTCGCCCGACGCCAGCCGGACCTTGATAACAAAGCTGTCGCTCATGCTCAGGCTGTTTTGCTGTCCTTCTTGACGGTTCTTCTCAGGTGTGCGTGTATACTAGAAGAAAAAAGCAAGGCGTATTAGAAAAATACAGGACGAGGAGAAAAAAAGAGGTGATGAAGAAAAGAAAAGCGACGCACGAAGAGAGAGGGAAAGACAGCAGACGGGGCACGGCCGTGGAAATTGGCATGACGTCCATTTGTCAGGCCCTGTGGAGCATATCGCAGGGCTCCAAAGTCAAACATGCGCGCCGCAGGTTTCGGGCCCGTAGACCGAGCTTTTTTCTCTTTTGCTTCGTACTATTTTTCTTATTTACCGAGCCCCAGGACCTAATTTCGCAATGAACAACGCTAGCAACCGCGGCAGCCAGTCGAAGCGCAACATCTATGTCAAAGTAAGGGCCTTCCAGTACGAGCAGCCGCAATTCCTTGCATTGGCTCCTAATTGCTTTTTTGCACTGTAGGCTATTATCTTGGGCGACAGCGGCGTGGGCAAAACATCGCTGATGCACCAGTTTGTGCAGGGCCGGTTCAACAGCCAGTACAAGGCGACCATCGGCGCAGACTTCCTGAAGAAGGACATCGACGTGGGCGACGGCCGCGTGGCTGTGGTTTCGTGCTGGGATACGGCCGGGCAGGAACGGTTCCAGAGCCTGGGCGTTGCCTTCTACCGCGGCGCCGGACTGCTGCATGCTGTGCTTTGACGTCACCAACGCACGGAGCTTCGAGAACCTGGACAACTGGCGGGACGAGTTCCTGCTGCAGGTGGGCCCGCGCGACCTGGAAAACTTCCCGTTTGTGGTGGTTGGCAACAAGGTCGACATCGAGGGCAAGCGGGTGGTGTCGCAGAAGCGGGCCATGGAGTGGTGTGTGGCCAAGGGCAACATCCCGTACTTTGAGACCAGCGCCAAGAAGGCCATCAACGTCGACGATGCGTTTAGGACTGTCGTGCTGAACGCGCTGGAGCAGGAGAGCGAGGATGTCTACAACGACTTCCCGGATCCCATCAGAATCGACGCCGACACTGAGGATGACCAGTCGTGCGCCTGCTGAAACCCACTCTAGAACCTTTGGCTCGACGACTTCAATCCCAGGCTTTTTTTGTCCTTGACTGCACTAATCTGGTCCCGTGATTGCGTCAATGCCGCGCGCAGCCGAGGGAAGGCAGAAGACCTCTCCGGCTCGGCATAAATTCTTCTCTCCCTTCCGCTTCAGCGTTCACAATTTGCAGTTTTTTTTTATTTCTTTCTTTCTTCATAATGCACGGCACATTGCAGCTGCCTCCATGGGAGGCCAGCATTGTACAGCAGGTGACGCAGCGCGAGGCTCGTGTCGCGACAGTAGCCAAAGTAATCGAGTCATACAATCGCCTGGCGCTGAAGGTCGGCGACTACGCAGCGAAAACGCGCGACCTCGAGGCACGCAACAAGGACATGCACAACGAGCACGAGCGGCTTCTCGAAAACGTCGACAGAGGCGGCGGTGTGCGAGCCATGCCGCTGGCCCAGCAGCGCATTGCCGACCTCGAGCGCGAAAACGAGTCGCTGAAGGAGGAGCGCACGGAGCTGTACCGCACGCAGGGAACCAATGCCCAGCGGCTGCTAGATCTGAGCGACAAGATGCGGGAGAGCGAGGAGACGATGCGTAGGCAGACGCTGGAGCTCAACGACAGCAGCGAGCAGCTGCGGCGGGCGACCAACAAGACTGAAGACCTGCGGGCCACGCTGAAGGAGAAGGACGGGACTATCCAGGTGTTGCAGGACGAGCTCAGCGCGCTGCAGCTGGAAATAACGCAGATTGAGCACAAGTGCGAGCGGCTGCAGGCAGAGAACGACGAGCTGGTCAAGCGGTGGCTCAAGAAGATGAACGACGAGGCCGACAAGGTCAACGCTGTCACGCAGGAGCTGGAGCTGATCCGCAAAACCGCCGCACTGTCGCCTGGAACCGTGCACGTGCCCATCGAGGACGACGACTTCTTTGCGCTGCCAAACATCAACATGCGCGGCGCATCCGTGGAGCCCAGAGACGTGGTAGGCAAAATCGACACCCGGTCGAACGAGCTGCACTCAATTGCCATCGCCGGGTCTGGGCAGCTGCTGGCGTCGGGCGGCCAGGAGAACATTGTCAAGGTGTTTGACGCCGAGACGGGCGAAAGCATCTACCGCCTGGCCGGCTGTCTGAAGGGCATCAACCACGTCGAGTTCAACTCGGACAGCTCGCTGCTGATGGCTGCGTCCAGCGACAACACTGCGCGCATCTGGCAGCTCGACACCGGACGCCAGTACAAATCGCTGTCGGGCCACATTGGCCGTGTGGTCAAGTCGCGATTCAGCCTCGACTCGTCGCGTGTATTCACATACAGCCAGGACCGCACAGTCAAGGTCTGGGATCTGCAGCGCGGGCTGTGCGTGAAGACGCTGTTCACTGTGTCCAGCTGCCACGACATCTCCCTGCTAAACACCGAGGGCTCGCGCATCGTCACGGCCCACATGGACAACACCATCCGCACATGGGACACGCTGACAGGCGCCAAGCTGCAGGAGGCGAACATCCATAGCGAGCCGGTGATGTCGGCGTCGGTGGGCCGCAACGGCCGCTGGATCCTGACCAATTCGCGCGACGGCTCGCTGCACCTGGTGGACAGCTCGACGCTGGACGTGGAGATGACACTGACGGCTCCCGGGTACTGCCCGAACCGCAGCTACGCCAGCGCGTCGCTGAGCCCCGACGAGCGATTCGCCCTGGCTGGGTCTACGGACGGCCGGCTGTATCTGTGGGATCTGACTGCGGGCGGCAGGCTGCTGAACAAGATGGACGTGCACCGGTCGCCCGTGTGCGATTCCGTGTGGAGCCCCAGCGGCAGCCGCGTGTTCAGCGCCGAGCAGCACCGCTATGTGATGATGATGCAGTGAGCGCTGGACCTGATATCCAGCTGCGGCAGTTATCTCGATCTCGCAGCTCCCTTTTTTCTCCCTCTTACTGCAATACTCGTATCAATTCATTCCTTTTTGCAAATGCTTCGACAGACCCTTGGCCGTTTCGCACAGCGCAGCAGCAGCCGTATTTGTCCGGCACCTGCCCGGCGGTTCTATGTGGCTCCCCCAGCGACCTTTGGCACGGACGGCGAGAAGCACATTTTCCACAAGCTGAATGCAGGGCTCAGTCCAACAAAGCTGGCAGTCACGGACTCGTCGGGCGGGTGCGGGTCCATGTACGTGGTGGAGATCGAGGCCGAGTGCTTCCGCGGCCTGAACCGCGTCAAGCAGACAAAGATGGTCAACGCCCTGCTCAAGGACGAACTCAAGGAGATGCACGGCATGCGTGTTCTATGCTCGGTCCCGCCCAAGGAAGAGGCGTGACTGATAATCCCGCCCGCCTGCGTCCAAGGAAGAAAATAAAACAACGCTTGTCTTGCTCGCCTTTACACTCCGTTTTTTACATTTATTCTATCGGAATGAACTGGATTCGCTCGCTGCAGAAACTGGATGCCTTTCCAAAGGTCGACGTCGCATATCAGGCACGCACGTCCTCTGGCGGGTTCCTCAGTGTCGCCGTCATGCTCACAATGCTGTTCATGTTTTTCAGCGAATTGCGCGATTACTTGCGCTACAAGGAGGACCACTCGTTCACGGTCGACGACAAGGTCGGCCAGCAACTGCAGGTAAACTTTGGTGTCACAGTGGCCATGCCGTGTGCGTTTATCCGCGTGGATGTCATTGACGAGGGCGGAACCAGCCACTACATGCGGTCCGGCATCGAGATGCTGCCGGTCTCAAAGACGGAAGCGTTCAAGCGGGCACAGGGCCACGCTGCTATCAACAGTCTCGGTGACATGCATGTGCATGACATTGTTGCCGAGGCACATCGCAAGCAGCGCGGGGCGAAGGCCATGGCCGAGGACCGGACGCTGGAGGGCGCGTGCAAGATTGCTGGCAATGTCCACGTCAGCAAGATCTCGGGCGTCCTGCATATCACTGCCCATGGCCACGGCCACGGAGGGGCGCATGTGCCGCACAGCATGCTGAACTTTACGCACCATATCGACGAGCTGTCGTTTGGGCCATTCTATCCGAGCCTGGTCAACCCACTCGACGACACCATGCATCTGGCGACCGAGCACTTTGCCGGGTTCAAGTACTTTATCTCTGTCGTGCCCACGCACTACATTGACGCCAGCGGCCACTACCTGCCAACCAACCAGTACGCTGTCAACGAGTATTACCAGGGCGACATGGACCACTCGCTGTTTGACAGCAGACCGCCAGGCATCTTCTTCGAGTACGGCATCGAGCCTGTCTCGGTTACCATCCGCGAGCGCCGTGGCAGCTTTGTCACCTTTGTCGTGCGCATCTGCGCGGCTACCAGCGGCGTGTTTGTCACTGTCGGGATCATCCATAGCCTCATGTCGGCGGTGGCCAGCGCTCGACGCACAAAACCCCCAAAGTCGTCATCTACCGGCCTGCTCGGCGCCGGCACTGTGACCAAGGCCGACATCGACGCCCCGATCTCTCTGTAAAGCCCACCCGATCACTTTTGCATTAAGCCTACGAATCATTCATTTCATTGACAAACCAGCCCGTCCAGTGTACCTCTCCCCTTTTCAAAATCCAGCCTGCTCCTCGCTGTGTGTCCGAAGCGGCGGGTAGTCCTTCAGCGGCTCGGTCCGTGGCTCCCACACATCCAGCATGTTGGGCTTGCTCTCTCGCTCGGCCTTCTCCTTCTGCAGATGCTCCTTCATGATCTCTCGCCGCTGCTCTGGCGACCGCATCTTCAGGCCCATGCAGAGCTTCAGCTTGCTCCAGTGCTTGCCGCACCCCTGCTTGTCGCCGTACCGGTAGTAGTTGTTGAGCTGCTTGCCCACCGTCAGACACGAGAACCACTGGTCGAAGGCCTGCGACGCCTTGCACTGGAACTCGTCGTCAGAGAGCGCCTTGTGCTGCTGCCGCGTCGTCTCGGGCTTCTCGTCCCAGTCGATGGCCACGGTCTCGGTCCTGTCTGTCGCCTTGTCTGCCATTTTGCGTCGGAATTGTGCGTAGATAAAAGAGAAAACCTGCGTCCCCTCGATTTCTGCTTTATTGGGTCTGTACAATCGATTTTGAATTTTCGGCGATCAGCAATGGGAGGGGCTGCTCAATAAAAATCTAGGCTGTGGCCAGGGCTGCAGAGGTTGCGCAACGGCAGCCCTCGTTCTGTTGCATCCTGGCTTTGCTCTTTGATAGTTTTGAAATTACCTTCCTTTCTGCCCTCAATCCCACCCTCCCTGCTCTTTGCTTCGCTACGTGTTGATATAGCTATTCCACAGTACCCATGGTGCCACCCAGGCAGATGCGGCCCGCGCCGCGTTACGACACTCTATGCGTGTTTGTTGTTGAAAGCACACAGCGCATGCAGAATCTGTTCCCTGATTTATACGAGACGGTCATTAAGCAGGTCATAACACAGCTCCGCACCCCCGTGCTGGTCGAGCCCGCGTCGAAAAAGGTTCCGGCAACAAAGGCCACGCCATGCGTGAAGCTTGGCGTCGTGTTTTTCGGCGACTACTTTCCGTACTCGACGCGCACATGTAGCTCCCAGTACTTCACCTCAAACTACCGCGAATTCGCAAAGAGCCTAAAGGCCCACAGGTTCCGTGGGGGCGGCCGCCTGCGGTGCGCATCGACAGAGGGCTTGGTGGGTGCCTTGGAGATGCTGGATGACTTTGAAGAGAACGACCCCGAGGCGCATCTGCTGAACGTCCAGCAGAGGCACGTCATTCTGGTCACGTCGACTCCGCCGTATGCGGAAAAGTGCCGCGAGAACGTCCATATGCGGTACGACAACTTTGGACTCGACGATGTGGGCCGGAGAATGCGTGAAATGCGCCTGTCGTTTTCGCTGGTGCTGCAGAGAGGGCAGAAAATCGACGATGTCGAGGCTCTGATGACATCGGCCAACCATTCCACCAAGGCCCCACTGGTGCTGCCGCTGGCCATGTCGCCAAACTTTGACGTGCGGCTGACAAACATCAGCTTGCCCATGGCATCGACGTCAACGCCGACGTCGACGTCGGAGGCGACACCAAGCGCCCGCCCACAGGCCTCCATTGCCCCAGCCCAGCCTCCAAAGGTATTGCCACAGCCGAGCCAGCCCGTTCAGATCCAGCCACAGCCACCACAGCAGCAGCCACAACCACAGTCTCAGCCACAGTCTCAGCCTCAGCCACAACAACCACAGACTACCCAGTCGCCACCGCAGCCTAAATCACTTAAGCACAAGGCAGCGGATAATGCCGATGCACCGCCAGCAGCTGCCTCCCCGCCGCTAAAGAAGATAAAAACGGAATCATCGCCGTCGAATCCAGCTGATATCTCGAGCCCGCCAACCGAGGAGCTCGGGAAAGTGCCTGCCGCGCGGTCTAAGAGCCGCCCAAAGAACGTTGCTCGAAAGCCTTCACGCATCTCAAATTCGCCTGCAGTTGCTGCCAAGCCCATGCCCACTGTGTCCGCTGCAGGTTCGGTACCTGGTCCCACTACCGTGCCAGTGTCAAGTCCACCCAGTGCCGCTACTGCCTCTGTTCCTGCTCCCGCTCCCGCGCCCGCTCCTGTCAGTACTGTTTCTGCCCCTCAGCCGCAACTAACAGCAGCACAGCAGCAGCAGCGTCTGATATATGCGAAGCAATTGCGGAGCAAGGGCATATACAACGAGCAGGTAATCCAGTTGTTTGCTGACCTGATGGTTCAGTTCCACGATCCCTCGCGGACCCCTGAGGAGAAGGCAGAAATTAAGCACCGCCTGGAGGTTCTGCTCAAGAACACCACGCAGCAGCAGCAACTGCAACAGTTGCAGCAGGCGCAGCAGGCGCAGCAAGCGCAGGCGCAACAGCAGCAGCAGGTTTCCAATCCTGCGCTGTCGGCTGCCATCACTCAGCAACAGCAGGCTGCGGCAGTAGCAACCAGCCAACCGCAAGCCCAACCGATGATGTCACCGGCTATGCAGCCTCAGCAGCCTCAGCAGCAGCCTCAGCAGCAGCCTCAGCAGCAGCAGCAGCCTCAGCAGCAGCCTCAGCAGCAGCAGCAGCCTCAACAGCCTCAGCAACAGCCTCAGCAGCAGCAGCAGCCTCAGCAACAGCAGCAACAGCAGCCCGCTCAGCAGCCTACTCAACAGCAACCAGCACAGCAGGGATCTGTCTTGCCCACAGTGCCAGATGCTGACCGCATGACGTTCTTGACTGTCCTTAATGAACTGGTTGGCCGTCTGAACAAGGAGGCTCACCAATTCATGGGGCTGTCCCCCCACGACTTTGCGCAGGTCCTTCGTGGTACCATTGCGGCTGGTGGGTTTACTCCAGACCATGTGACTGCCGTTCGTGTATTTGGCACTCTGAAAGCAAACCACGCTCTGGCGCAACGGCAGCAGCAGCAGCAGCAACAACAACGACAGACGCCGCAGCCACAGAATCAACAGCAGCAGCAGCAACAGGTATCCACACCAACCTCACAGCCTCAGCAGCCTCAGCAGCAAACGCCACAGCAACAACAGCAGCAGATCCCACAGCAGCAGACACCGCAGCAGCAGCCGGCAACCACGCTGGGTCAGCCAAATACTCCTGCACTTGCTGCCAGTCAGCCAGCGGCAAACCCACCCCAGGGCACTCAGGGAATGTCGGTTGCGGGCGGAAACCCGTCGTCACTGGCTATTGCCCAGTCGATTGCGGCATCGACTGCTGTGCCTGTTCCAGGGGCCATCTGGCGCGGCGGCATGACGTGGGCGTCCAAGCAGCCCAACGGCCAGAATCACGAGCTCTCGTGCCCGATCACCGCCCACACCTTCCCAGGCATGAACTACAGCCCCCAGGACGTTATGCTGGACAAGTGGCCCGAGCACTTCAATGTCAGCGGAATTATCGCCGGAACCGACAAGTTTGCCGAGTACTGCATCAACAACGGCATCCCAGCCGTGCGCATTATGTGCAACCCGAACGCCGAAGTCGAGCAGGCAAAGTACTTTGAGGAGTTTGGCAAGACCCTGCGCGAGAGCTCGTACATGGCCCTGGTCCGTGTGCATCTGCAGCCGCAGCAGCCCAACCTTCAGCAGCAAGCCAACGGCATCTTCATCGTCCACTACCGGGGCAATCTGATCGGCCTGCTCTTTCTGCACCACTCGATTCCGCCTAACGTCAGCCAAGTCGTTGCCCAGCTCTCTGGCAGTACGATAGCCACCGCTGCTCCCAGCGCTCCGGCACCGGCTCCAATTTCCGCCACATCGACTCCTGCGCAGCAGCTCATGTCCGGCACCAGTGCAATTTCTGGCGACACGGCGGCTGCCGCTGCGGCTGCGCTGACCAGCGTTCAGATGACCCCGCAGATGTCTTCGGCTGGCCTACCAATGTCAACTATGCAAAGCGCGGCGATGCTGGCACGGAGCATGGGCATCACCAACGCAGGTATGGTGAACTCGGTGCCGCAGTTGATGAGCCCACTACAGGTCCAGAGCGTGCGGCCGAACATCACCAGCCCAGCAGTCCAGGCGGCCATTCCCAACCGGCCCAGCATCAACCCGGCAGCGCTGCTAGCGCTGCAGAGCGCAATTCCGCCCGATCAGTTCCAAAGCCTACTGAGCATGCCCCCACAGCAGCAGAACATTGCTATTGCGCAGCTTCTCCAAAAGGTGAATTCCAATAGCCAGCAGCAACAGCAGCAGCACCAACAGCAACAGGCCCAGCAGCAGGCGCTTTTGCTGCAGCTCCAGCAGATGCAGAACCAGCAGGCTCAGCCGCAGGCACAACAGTTCCAGCAGACGTCACAGCAGCCGCTGGTGCAGCTCATTGCCCAGCAGCAACAGCAAGCGCAGGCACAGCAGCAGCAGCAGCTGGGCAGTCTGGGAGTGAATAATCTCGGGGGTCTCAACTCGGCTCAGATCAGCGCTGCCCTGATGAGTGCCATGGCTGGCAGCCAGCGCAGCGCCCAAGGCCAGCAGTTCACCCCACAGCAGCTGCAAAGCATCCAGCGACTGCGCGAGCAGGTGATGCGGCAGCAGCAGACACAGCAGCAGCGACAGCAGTGATGGCCAGGTTGCACACTGAGGATGTGGTTCTATAAACATTTTCTTTCTTGTTCGTGTTATGCCAAACTGGAAAACCAACGCATGCTTTGAAACGCACTCCTGCTTCAAATGTTAAACCGCGAGGGTAGCCCGGGCGCAGGCTGCGGGCCTACATGGCCGGTGCTGCCGGCATCTTCAAAGTAGATCTTGTGCTTGAGGGCCTCGATCCTGCTAGCCTCCTCGGGCATCAGGTAGATGTCATGCAAGTCTTTCACAACTGCGCTGATTTGGCGACGCAGGCCGTCTTGTCCGGTAACACCCATCCCCACCAGGTCCTGCATCACAAACATGACTGCCGAGATGTCGCGCCGGGTGGCCCATGCCGTGAGCAGCATCTCCTCGTACACGCGAGAGTCCAACACCCGCAACTTGTCTATCAGGTCCAGCTGTGTCCGGCAGAGGTTGTAGATATAGTATGCCATGGGCGGCGCCTGCATTTCGCGGGCTAGCCTTATCGCCTCAGCAACCACTGCCGCACTCGGACGGGCAGGCAGCTCAGGCGATGCAGCTGTCGCATCTGCCGTAGCCGCAGGGCCCTGGCCCCCTAAGGCTGATGTGACGAATGCCGCCAATGCGGACACTGTCTGGCACTGCGCCAGGCGCGCCAACAGAATTTGTTCATCCTGATCCTCCTTGTTAGCATCTGCCGGCGCCAAGGCTGCTGCTGTCGTCGTTGCCTGCCCGATTATGCCAGGTGTCTGCAGCAGCCCCTGCTCCTTAGCTATCCGGTCGGCCTTCTGGATCCGCTTTGCCAGCGGCGAGATGGCACTGGGGTTGCTAGTCAGCTTGCGCGCCGAGAACAGCGACACCAATGGCCCTTCCTTGAACAGGCCCTCAGGGTCAAGGGCTTCATTGATCTTGGAGTCCTGCGCCCGCGACAGCTGTCCACTGGACTCATCCCAGAAGCCAGGTGCTGGACGGCTGCGCTTGTACACTTCAGTATCGTCGGACGCCAGATCAGACAGAATACGCTCGAATTCCGCCATCGGATCGTACTTGTCCTCTCCATGCTTGGGACTCTGCGGAGCCTTTGCTGGCGACCGGCTCTGATTTGTCGCTGGTCTGTCTGTTGCTGCGCTGTTTGCGTCAATAAGCTTGAAGATATCGTCCAGATCAAAGTCGTCAGTGGTGGGCTCGGCCTTGCGCGAAGCCCTTGGTGGGGTTTGTGGCGCGTCCGGCAGATCCAGCATGTCGAACAGCGAGTCCAGGTTGGGTGCGCCTGCCTTGGTATCTGCCGCAGGTGTGCTGTCTGCTGAATCGGCATGCTTATCTGACTCCTTGGCTTTGTCGTCGCTATACGCCCGAATCGCCTGCAGATAGTAGCGCCCTTTGCCTCGTGGGGGCTGGCGTTTGGATGCAGCAGCAGCACAGATCCACGGCCTGGCGTACGAAACAGCAAATGTAGCTCTGGGCAGCATTGCAGCTAATTCAATAAATGCACTTGAAAAATGGAACAGAGGAGAGCTAGCCGCTCCCTTTGCTGCAGCCCGCCTCGGCGAGTCTTTGGTAAGACGATCTCGAATGGAAAAAATCACTCGGACGGCTCGGGCTGGCGATTGGTCGACTCGGCTCATAGGTCAAGTAAGGATGCTGCATTGCTGAACTACCCACAGAACAGTGTATTTACTCGTCGTCCTCGGCCGAGGCCAGACCAAACTTCTCCGGCTCGTTGCGCTGACGCTTCTGCGGCACACCGCCATCGGACGTGTCAGTGTCACGGCGACGACGGCCAAACAGTAGCTTGTTCACCTGCGAGCCAAACATGGACGAGAACCCGCGCACAATGTCCTGACGACGGTCCTCCCAGAACAGCTTGGTATGGCGCAGCTCGGCCTTCAGGTCGTCCAGCTCGCCCAGCAGGTCCTCGCGCGTGCCGCGGATGTTCTTCTTGATCTGCTCGCGGATCTCGGCCATATGCTTTTGGATGTTCAGCTCCTGCTCCTTCAGGAACGAAATGTTGAGTTCCTTGGGGCTCATTCCGCGCTCCAGGTTGCGGCGCAGGTACTTGTCGTAGTCGCGCACAATGCGGGTGATCAGGTCAGACGTCGACACGCCATCAGTGCGCTGAGTCGGCAGGAAGCGGCCTTGATCCTTGACAAAGGCGTAGACATCGTCGCACTCGGAGCTGGCGTACGGCAGGTCGTCGTGGCAGACAAAGTCAATCTACAGTCAAACAATCGGTCAGCCAGACGCTTTCCCTGTGGCCTCGAGTGATCGCCACTGCTGGTTGTGTCGGAGAGATGCGCTGTCGATCCGTTTTGGGAGCGAATACATTGAAGTCGCAATGGACCGACAAAAGCCTGAAAACGTTGAGGACCAAGCAAGGCGCGAAAAGACCAGGATTCTCACACCTGGAGCACACCGGATTGCTTTCGCTTTTCCTTGCCCACGCGCGCACAGATTCGCGCCAGGACCTCCGTTGCCAGAGATGCCTTGTTCCTGGCCCACAATGTTGGTCTGGCAGGCAGCATAAAAGCGTATTTGGACAATGGGCCAGGTGGCAGGTGAGGCACTGCGGCGGCGCTCGGGCATTAAAGGCCCGCATCCCACCCGACACGTGCAGAGCCACACGCGAGGGAACCAATTTGGCATATGAAAGGCAGGCGCGCTCCTTGGCAGCGAGCAGACCCGCGCCATAGACGTCAAGCCGGCAGATGCATACGTACCTCGTGCTCGTCAATGAACTCCTGTGTGATCACCCATGGGGCATCGGTAATGACCTCGTCGACCCAGCGGCAATGGCGCATCGACTCGTACCGCTCGTTCTCTGTCAGCACCGTCTTGCCCTTGCGCGAGTGCGTCTCGGCGTCGTTGCACATCCCGACCATCAGGTACACGTTTGGAAACGACTTCTTGGCCTGCTCCAGGGCACGCGCGTGGCCGTAGTGGAACAGGTCGTAGATGCCGTCGCAGTACAGCCGTACCGGGCGGTCCTGCGGCGGCGCATTAATCGGGTACGGCTTGTCTGTCGGCACATCGTACGACTGGTTCACCTCTATCGGCTTGAAGCTGTCGAGAACGTTCGGGTCGCTGTCGCCAAGACCCATCGGGCTTCCCGGATCGTAGTTGCTGAGCGAGCACGCGCTTGACGACGGCGACCGTGAGCCCATGTCTCTGGCCGCGCCCTCCTCGCTGCTGCTTCTGCTGCTCGAAGTGTTGCTCATCGCCTGAATTTGTGTGGGTATTAAAAAGAGTATTGAGGGGAAGGAGAAACGAAAGGCGCTGAGGTGGTTGCGACAAAATGAAAAAAAAAAAAAAAAAGTTGGGGGCTGAGAATTAAAAGCCAGAAGTGCTCCGGGGCAGATTCGCCAGCAGGCAATAGCCGGGCGATTTTTCATCTCCGAGAATCTATTGGCTGGCGCTCCCAGCATAGTAGCTGAGACCAGAAATGCTCCCAGCGACATTGGGGGTTGGCGACGAACCAGTGCGTGAACGTGGCCTGGGCTCCGATAGCTGGAAATGACACTCTCATTGTTCAACTGCTGGACCGCCAACCACCAGGCGACCGGGGGCAGAAGACAGCCTTCATCCAGGTAACTGACACTGGCAGTAGTCTCCAACCCAAAATCGCCATGCTGCTCGTATTCCGCTCTTGCCCACTGCGGCCACTGGTGGTTTCCTGAGGCAGCACAACTCTGGTCCTTTCGCTTTCCATTCCACTGTAGCTGTTTATTGAAGTGCTTGCCATCGAGACATGTGGAGCCAGATCGTTCTCGTTGCCGGCGCCTTTGGTCTCGGATACTACTTTGCCACCCGTGGCCAACCGGGCAATGCAAAAAAGCAGACTGCGCCAGCTGCTGACGTAGAAACCATGGCAGGCACATTCCCTGAGGGTAGTGCCACGCACGTAGAATCCGACCCGCAGCAAAAAGCAGCAGCACGCAAGAGCAGCACCGGCAAGAAACCGTCGAAGAAGGGATCGAGGCCAAAAAAGCCCAGCAAGAAGGCTGCAAAGACGACTGACGAGGCTGCTACCCCTGCTGACGACGCTACAAAAACCACTGCCGCGCCAAGAACTCTCGAAACGAAAAAGCCCGTCGTTGTTGCGCAGCCCCTTGCTGCTGACCAGTCACGTAGCGCCAGCGAGCCCGGATCAGACGAGGAGCCAGAGCCACAGCCCGCTGTGGAGGAGGACGTGTGGGAGACAGTTGGGACCGAAGGCTACCGCCCTGAAAAAACCGCATCCAAGCACATTCCGGTACACGAGTCAGCATGGGGTAAGCTGGAGCCGGACAAGGATCTGGGCAAGGAGCCCGAAGCAAAACCTGCTGCCCGAGTCCTGCGCATTGGCGCAGCAGCCCATCCAGGACCTGCGTCTTCACCACGGCGCACTGCACGTAGCTACGAGTACGAGGAGGCGCTGACGAAGAAACAGCGCCAGAACATGCGTAAGGAGGAACGCAAGCGTGCAGAAAAGGCCTATGTGGCCGAGCTGCAGGCACAGCGGCTGCGCCAGCACCAGCGCGGGCTGGTCGAGGTTCGGTCGCGCGAGCAATGGGAGAAAGCAAAGCGCAAGACAGCAAACACCCCCAAGCCTGCTAGTGCAGGAACGAGCAAGGTGAATGGCAAGGCTTCAGTGTTTGAGGACAAGCTCATCTGGGATTAGGAACTTGGGCTGGACCGCGCAAACTGTGGATTCCCTCGAATCGTGGATGCGACAAGGTGTATTTCTGTCGCTTAGTACCACATTCAGGTCTCAAGGGATTTCCAATATATAATTCCGCATGGGTGTTATGTATCCTACCCCATTGCAGCTGTAGTTCCCAGCGCTATCGAACATATGATTAGTATGTACTTGGTATGTAGTGCGGGCTGATTGTCCGCAATACCATGTGCAATGGCGTCTGTATGGCTTGTGATGCTACTCGCACATATGCGTACAGATCTGAAAAACTATTTAAAAGCGATGCGATGAAACCAAAGAGAATAGAAAGGAAGGTGCATTTATGTGTGCATGTGTGTTTTGTGTCTGGCTCGCTGGTGATTACCAAAGAAGCGGTGATTGCGAGCCTGATGCTGCACCGCACAGGATAGAGGGAAGGCCAGCATTCTGTATGAAGCATGACCCAGGGTCAGTTGCTGGTTCATATGGCTGTTTGATTCATAGTAGGACCATTCTGACAACTGAAGATGCTATGATGACGCATTGACACCGTGGACCCGTCGCTCATATTCCTTCTTCCCTGCATTCAGCGAATCAATCACCGGCTGCACCATCTGCTCAATGGTGCTGCCCAGATTTGCATTCTTGCTCTCGGCAGAGTTGGCCATGGTGATTGTGCTACGGATATGCTTGTGGACATTGTCAAACGCGGCAGTAATCTTGTCTGCCTTCTGCCGCTTCTCCGGCGTCATTGGCAGTCGCATTATGGCCCACAGATGGCGCAGCATCTCTGTGCCTGCACCATAGCACTCTTCCACCGCCTTGCTTAGTGATGGCGGGATGTTCAACTCCTTGATGCGGTTGGGCCGGCTCTTGAATGCTACCCGCCGTACCGACCCAGTGAGCGCGGCCATAGTGCGCTGTGTGTTGCCACAGTCCGAGAGTGGGTGGGACAGATCAAAGTTTATCGAGAATGTCGACCGCTGCTGCAGCATATCTTCGTCGCTTGATCTCATCGTCACGTCACCCTTGACCAGGCTGGTGAGATAGCGCGACTGGTCCTGGATATTGAGTTTAACACGCTTCTCAGCTCGTGGCTGCTCGAGATCCGGCAGCATGGTTGCACGGCCCAACTCTCTGTCGACAGTGGCAGAGGATACCGAGAGCTCCTTGCGCTTGGTTCCAATTGCCGATTGCAGCACAAGTTCTGAGTGGTGGTTGAACCGTCTAATCAGTGACAGGCTTTCGCTGAACCGCCCGGGACGCATAGTGAAGTCAGGCATATTGCCTGTCTCGACACTGTCTTCCTCCGTGCGCGACAGATCTAGCAGCCGCATGATGAACTGCGAGCTAAATCGGTCGGGGTCTCCCAGCATGCTGTCTTCGTCACGCAGGCACACGTCAAAAATCGAGTCCGGGTTGCCCTTCATGGCTGACGTTGATCGGTTGCGGTTGAAGAAGCGCGATGCGAGAAACCGCTTCCAGAACTGCTTCTCGCCAATCTTGTGCGGCACGTTATCGATATATGCACGCTTGACCTGTGGGTATTCCTTAAAGATGCGCTTGGCGATATTGGGCGTGATCGTGTATTTGAAGTTGCCCCCATCCTGCGTTGTTGGTGCGAGATCGAGCCATGTCGACGAGTCGCCCTTCCGTAGCTGGCTCTGCACTGCCTGCGTCTCCAGAATATGCTTGCGGGTGCTCCAGAACTCCTCCTCCGAGACCAGACCCGACACGACCAGTGCCCTGTGCAGCTTGGCCAGATCTGCATTCTTGGACAGCACATCCTGCCGCAGCTTGATGTCCTCTGCCGATGCTGGATCCGTGCCAATCTTCACCTTTGCAAATTCTGGGTGCAGCGAGCTCATCGTGGCCGCGCCCTTCCCAGAGCCATTCGGCACGGCTGCTGCTGATGGCGCGGCGGTGCCACTGGTTCCTGTTGGAGCGGCATCACCGCCGGCGTTTTTGCGCGGCGTAATTTTGTACAGCTCATTCACGTACTTGTCACGGTCTGCCAGCGCCTCCTCCTTGTTTGCGTTTTTCCACGCAAAAGTGTATGTCAGTGCCGGCGCGTCCGACGGGGCCTGGCCGGGGCCCATCACCGAGATTCGAAGCATGACCTTTTTCGCATCAGCCTTGCTGACCTGTTGCAGGCGAAAGTCCTCATGCTGAATAACAATGCTCGGAGTCTGCGCGCCATGCTTTATCCACAGAATGCGCCTGTTTGTATAGTAGAGCGTGCCGTCGTCCTTGCTGCATGACGTGGGCGACGTGTGTACCAGGGTCTCTCCGTCGAGCAGCAGCATTGCTTGGGCAAAATATGAGTACAAGTGCTATTTTCTCTGGATATTAATGGAAATGAGTTCAACAGCGCACGCTGCCCAGCTCGCGCAGTCTACAAATCGCGGGCGGCAAGGCCGGTCGGCAATCAAGCAGATCAGCGGCCGATCAAGATCGCATCAAAAGGTGTGTGCTTATTGCGATCTGGCTGGGGGTACTTTTATCTTGCGACCGGCGTTTCTAATCGTTTCTGCATTTTCCTTGCTACCCTTGTTACTGAGAAATGGCCACCAATTTCGGACTGAGGTCGAACGTCCTGCGCGGTCCGCTGCTGCGCTCGGTGGCATCGTCCCTGCGTGGTGCCCAGCCCAGTATGCACACGCCGATTCAGCAGCTGCTGAGAGCCCCGACCTTGATGTCGGTGCGGCATCACTCTCACCCGCGGCAGGAGCACTTTGTGGCCAACGAGTTTGGCCTCCTGTCAGACCATATACCCGCGCCGTGGGGCAAGCGCCCGCTGCCGCTGTCGAAGGAAGGGATCACCAGCACCAAGGCCGATGTTGTCGAGTGGATGCGCGAGGTGTTTTCGCTGGTGACCTTGAAGTGGTACCTGTCGGGCTGGAAGGGCGCCGAGTTTGCCCAGCAGGCCGAGGAGCTGTACGGGCTGATGAACGAGGCCTTCGCCAGGGGTGACCTGAAGAGCCTAAACACCATCTGCTTCCCGAACATGTATGCCAATCTCAAGAACGAGATCAAGCGGCGGAAAGTCGACTTTGACTGGACGAAGGCAGCGACAGTCTCAGCACCCAAGGTGGTCCAGATCCGCACTGGCCGCATCACGTCTGACTTTGCTGTTGGGCAGGTTGTGGTCCGCGTGGACCAGGAGCAGGTGGTGACGCCGCTGGCGCGGAGATCGGTCGGCACGGCTGGAGCAAAGGCCGCCAAGCCGGTGCATGTGCGTGAGTACATTGTGCTGCAGCGTGTTATCACCGATCCAGCTTCTCCGTGGGCCATCTACGGCAAGCTTAACGTCCCCGAGTGGGATGCAATCAGCGCGCAAAAGTAGAATGTTGTCTTTTTTATTTTTCTGTCGCAGGAGCAATAAACTAGTTGTCGTGCGGCACAAGATCTTCCTTGCGCTTCAGATCCTTGAGCGTCCGCTTGATGTCATGGTAGCAGTTGAGGCAGATCTGCGCAACAGCCTTTGGCCGACCGCACCCGCGACACGGCACCAGATCCTTGCGGTTCTTCAGGCCCTTGGTTGCCATGCGCTTGCGCTTCTTCGAATGGCTCGTGCGCTGCTTGGGCACGGCCCGCAGGATCATCTCCCCGAGGAGCTCGCCCAGCAGACCCAAATGGACGCCAATTGCTGTGGCCGTCGGCCCACGCAGCGCCTGGCTAACTGCAGCGCCAACCCGCTGCGACACCGATGCACGCGGCAGGCGCGCTACTGTTGCTGACCGAGCGAGCAATGCCCGTGTTGACTGGATCGCAAACGACATTCTCTGGGGGGTATATGTAATTTGAGGCTACGAATAGGTAGGGGAAAACTGGACCAGCAGCTTTGCACAAAAATTGTCAGCAATACGCAGAATCGCAGCGCCACGGCTGAGATAAACCGGGCCATGATCCGGCGTAATCCATATCAGTAAATCACCGTGCTGTCGCTTATAGCCGTGCCAAGGAGTAAGCATGTATTTGACTGTCAAAGTAGCGCTTTACGCCATGGTTGCCTTCTGCTCTATCGGCTTGCGCGGTTTGTCGCTGGAGCCCTTCTTGTCATCGACAAAGTCGCGGTATATGCCCTCAAACCTGAGGCGGTCTTGCTCGCCCAGCGATGACTGGGTGACCTTGAAGGCAGCCTCGAAATGGCCCATTGTCACTACAGGCGTGAGTGACTCCAGCTCTGCCGCATCCATGACCTTGCTGGCTGAAGTCTCTTGCGCACTGCTCGCGTCAGCATTAACCAGCAGCCGGTACAGGCGCTCGGCCATCTGCGTCTTTTCAACAGCGGACAGCGGCTTAGCCAAGTTGCTGAGCACAGTGAACTCGGCCTGCTTCACATCGCCATCGCCATTCGTATTTTGGTCAGAATCAACAGCAGCCGCCTTGTGTTTGTCAGTCATCTCATGTACCGACTCCAGGAACGCGTTGTATACCAGGGCCTGCAGGTCAGCGCCGGTGAAACTCTCGGTTCGACGTGCAATATTTTGCCAGTCGACGTCTTTTGAAACCTTGAGCTTGGTGGCCTGCCGCCGGAGAACATCGGAGCGGTCGTTGAGATCGGGCATGCCGCACAGGAAAGCCTTGTCAAGGCGGCCAGGACGCAGAAGGGCAGGGTCGATGAGGTCGGGGCGGCTGGTTGCAGCAAGAACATATACGCCCTTAAGGCCCTCGGCGCCATCCATCTCAGTCAAAAACTGGTTGACGACACGGTCGGTAACACCGGTGTTGTCGTGACCGCGGCGCGGCGCAATCGAGTCAAACTCATCAAAGAACAGCACGCATGGGGCAGCAGCAACTGCACGCTTGAACAGGTCGCGTACCGACTGCTCTGACGAACCAATGTACTTGGACAGCAGCTCCGGGCCCTTGGTTGAGATGAAGTTGAGCCCACACTCACGAGCAATTGCTGATGCTAGCAGCGTCTTGCCACAGCCGGGATAGCCATAAAGCAGCACGCCCGATCGCAGACGCAGGGGGCTGGTGGCAAAGATGGCTGCGTACTTGGTTGGAAGCTCAAGCGTCTCACGCAGCTGGCGGCGCGTGTCCTCCAGACCACCAATGTCGGACCACCTGGTCTGAGAGGAGTGGAGCTGCACACCACGCATGGATAGCGGCTTGAAGCCCGAATGGGCGCGTATCACATCCTCGTGTCGGACTAAAATGTCGCCCTCGCCGGCTTCAGCATCCTGCTCCAGCACACGCATAGTGGCCTCGTGAACTGACCGCTCATACAGGGCGTGCAGATCCGCTGGCATGTACCCCTCGGTGAGGTACGAGAGAATGGAAAAGTTGACATCGTCATCGTCTGCCTTTGTCACACTGCCCATGGCTATGGCGCTCAAGATCTGCTCGCGCTCGGCTTTCCCAGGAGAAGGGATTTCAAGCACGTCGTGGAAGACGCCAGCAGTGAATAGCCCGCTATGCAGCTGCACACGATTAGCTGTAGTAGCCAGTACCGTTGTTTGCCGCCCGTCCTGCGGATTGAGAAGGTTTGTAACGCAGTCAACCAGCTGCCGCACACGCTTCGAGTCTGATTGTTCGTTCTCTGCTGGGAACAGCCCGTCCAGATCATCCAGCACTAGCAGTGAGGGCTGATGTGTCAAAACATCGTCAATAATCGCCTGAAGTGCTTCCTTGACTTTGCTAGTACGGGGATCAATGGTCAGCTTTGCGCACTCAACGTAGCGGCAGTACACAAGGCGGTCGTGATGCTGGGTTTCTGCATGATGTGCCAAGTTTTTCAGAATGCTAGTCTTGCCTGATCCTCGCCGGCCGCAGACCAGAATACCACCACCACAGCTGGTCATCAGCGCGCTATCAACTCGCTGCCACGCGTCATTCAAAAATTCATCAATGCCGGCGAGTGGGCTGTTGGTGGGGATACAGTCCTTTGCATTGGACTGCCCTGCTGCGATGTCAAGCGAAAACGACTCCGTGGTGCAGTTTATCTCTAGCGTTTCCAGCATACCCTTCGAGACCAGCAGAGCAACTTCACGTGTCTCGCTGGCATTCGGCATATGGTCCTCAGCACCAAGCTCGGGCGGTGCCAGGAACGACGTGATACGGGCAAGCGACTTGTGTGCTTCACCAGCGCTACCGTTCCTAATAACCTGGCTGCCGACGTTGACAACTATAGAGGGGCGGTCGCCAAGCATCGCAAGTAGCGCGTCCTTGATATCCTTGTCGCTAACATCCGGGAGGTCGCTGATGAAGGACATCTCCACCGGCAACACAACCCGGCCTCGGACACTAGCGAGCGCCTCAACACGCACAAGCTCTCCAACTGAAAAGTCACAGCCGCATATTTCCAGTGTGACCGGATTCACCAACAGGATCCCTGGCTGCACATCGGAGCTGGTTACCAATTGGGACAGCCATATGCCGCTAGGTGACTCCACTATCGACTGCTGCTTGTTGTCGCTAACGAATTTATCGTTGTGGTTCGTTATGTGCGCTATGCGAACCAGCCGCTCGTTCCGCTTACTGTTCGTGGCTTCGCTCGAGTTGATAAGCGCTGCAGAAGTAGCCGAAGATGCGTTAACATAGACGGAACCAATCTCGACCCCATGATCTACTGCGACACGCATGCAGGCGACCTTCATCCTTGGCAGGTGGGTGTTGTTGTCATCCGTCAGCAGCTGCGACGCACCACCACCCGTCCCATGCGACCGCACCATTGGTGCAACCATGACTTCGGTGTCGTTGTCTAGTAGGCACACACTGCCCTTAGGGGTAACGGTCTTCGTATGCAGGCACACTGACGTCGACGCGTTGAGCCAAAACACAATCGGCTGATCGACTGTTACCACACGCGCCTGCTGCAGGAGCCGTTCCTCCACCGCTCCTGCATTGAGCTCCAGGATCTCCCAGTCGTCAAAGTGCGCTGGCACGACCTCTGCAGCAGTGCATGTCGACACGCTGGGAACAAACTCTACCGAAACCTCCGCCCCCTCGGCCAACCCCAGCTGGCTACCAAACGTGCCGTCAATTTCAAGCACACTTGAGCTGATCTTGCCTGTTCGATCCCGCTGTTCTGAGCGAGACATGCCTCCTGACCAGGCGACATAGGCGGCCCGGTCGTTTGCCCAGCTGATCTTGAATACCATGCATCCCTACCAGGTGTCTGACTAATTTAAACCATGATTTACATTCCAATATGCACTGCGCTTGCGGCCACCCACCCTACCTTGCCTGCCGTTGTCGACGATAGAGCTGAAACCCACCTTGCGGGCAGGTTGACAAGGCACGAATGCAATGGGCTAAAAGCTACAACTAGGCTCTGTGACATATTTTCGCTTGTTTTCGCTGTGACACGTTAATAGTACAAATGTTAGTTGAATTCGAATTAAATGACTGACTTGGAGAACAAGGTGGGCCCGCTCGATTCTGATAGCAACCGCGGTGAATTTTATTAGCATCTCGGACTGGTTTTTTATCCGGCGCCTATAAAAGTCCGTCACCGTCCGCTCCGTGTGATAATCAGTCACATGCATTCTGAATTTGCCCATAAGCGCAGCTAGATGCTGCAAAAGAATTGCGTACAATTGTTTTGTGGTGATCACACCACCAGTGCTCAAGTCCAACGATCATGCGACTCTACCAATCACAGAGGATGAGATAGATCTATTCACAAGGATGGCCTGGCAAGACCTTTTTAGCCTATTATGTTTAATGTGCTCCAGGCCACCTCAGTGTAGTGTACATGCTCATATAAGACTAGCCATAAGGGAAAAAACACCACCCTCTGAACACAGATAAAGGCCATATATGATAGAGATACTGATTGCTTCTACAGGTTCATTCTTTTATACACAATATATATGTATCATTGGTACCATCACTTTATTTTCAGTTTATATATAAAATAACATACAATAGCTTAGATATCTATTAGAGAACAGCTAGTATACACTGAGTGGCAAAATTGAGTCATAAAAATGGAATTCATCAAAAATCTTCAATAACTTCTCAGATTGTTGTGCAGTCCATATGAGAAATTTATTTTATAATCTATGCAATGCCCAACCATAGCATACAAAGTTATAAGCACGTCGCTCAAGAAATCACTGAGAAACTGATTTTTAAAAATTGTATTTTTTGACTCAATTTTGCTCACAAAAATTCGATGATTTATTGCTCAATATCTGGTATGGCCACCATGGGCTTTTTTGATAGCTGCGATACGCGCAGGCATCGAGTTCACCAGCTGTGAGCAAATAGTTTCATTTACTTGCTCACACCAGATGTCCTGGACCCGCTCCTAGAGGGTGTTGAGATCTTTGATTTCAGGCCCATTACAGATCTCATGCTTAATGAAGTCCCACAAATGCTCAATGGGGTTGAGATCAGGGGACTGCGCTGGCCATGGTAGCACTGAAATGGAGTTCTCAGCAAACCACCTCCTTGTCCTAGAAGCCATATGGCATGAAGCATTGTCCTGTTGGAAGATGATGTCACCCTTGTCCACCCCATACATCTCAATTGTTTGCAGTAGTTCCTCCTACAGGACACCCACATAGACCGCTGTGTCAATTCCCCCCTTAAGCCAGCAGAGTTGGCCAGGGCCACATGAAGTTATGTATCCCCAAACCATGATCCCACCTCCACCATATTTTTGGGTTGGGGTAATGTGGTGATCCTAGAGGACTCCGCCTGGTTTATATAAGCACCTTTCATATCCATCTGCTCCATTGAGGTGTATTCTTGTCTCATCTGACCAAATTACCTGACTCCAATCAGTGTCTGTCCAGCTCCCAAAGGCCATAGCAAATTGGCGTCGATCCTTATAATGGCGATCTTTCAGTTGAGGGACATTTATTCTGCACATAGATCGAATCCCTTGGTGACATAGTGCGCGTCTGATAGTGTACACTGAGATGTGCATACCAGAGTATTGTGCCAGCTGTTGTCGGATCTGCGTTGCTGTGGAACATGCACCAGTAGTAGCAAGTCGACAAATGTATGTCTCATCATGTGGTGATAGCAGCCGACTACGACCAGCATGGAAGTTCCTCTCTATGCTATGTTGTGCTCGGGCAATGCATGATACTGTGGATTGGGAGACTCCTGTGTCCAATGCAATTTGCCAAGTTGATAATTGTTTTGTTAGAAGAAATTTGATGTGATTTTTATGTGATGATTGTAACTTTTTAGGCATAGCTAGAATAGAAATAAGATGTGGATGTGGATGAGAGAATGCTGTTGTCTTGTTGGCTAAAATTTGGAATTTGTCCACTGCTGTTTTGGGTATAAAACTAAACATTGAAAGTAGGAAAGGTTAATAATGACTACTACTAAAAATTACTACTTTTTCAAAAGACAGTAATATCAAGGGAGTGCGACATTCTAGGAACATTGGTCTTACACAATTCTCATCATCGCATGCAAGTGATATGCATACCCTACTATCAAGGGTATTGTATCACTGCTTTTTCAGATATCAAACATTTTCAGAAGAAAAACTTTTTGTGACTCAATTTTGCCACTCAGTGTACATTCATCATATACATTGAGTGGCAAAACTGAGTCACAAAAATGACACTCATCAAAAAAAAACTTAGTTATTATCTCAGATCAATCTTCAACACTCCTGTTAAAATTAATACATAATCTATGCTATGCCCAACTCTAGCTCATATAGTTTCATACATTCCACACATCTATTCATTGAGAAATTGGCTTTTTAAAAATATTTTTTATGACATTTTTTTACTCACAAAAATTCGGCGATTTATTGCTCAATATCTGGTATGGCTACCATAGGATTTTTTGAGTGCTGCGATACATGTAGGCATGAAGTTCACTAGATGTGAGCAACTGGTTTTATCTACTTGCTTGTACACTGAGCGGCAAAATTGAGTCATAAATATAAAAATCATTGAAAATCTTAAATAATTTCTCAGAACAACATTCATTGAATATGATAAAATTAATTCGTGGTGTATGCCATGCACTAATCTATTTCATGCAGTTGCATGCTTATTGCTCTTGAAATATTTGAGAAATTGAGTATTTAAAATTAAAAATTTTAGACTCAATTTTGCTCACAAAATTCGTCGATTATTTTCTCAATAACTAGTATAACCACCATAGGTTTTTTTGACCGCAGCGATACGCACAGGCATCGAGTTCACTAGCCATAAACAAACGGTTTCATTTATTTACCTATTTATAATTTCCTAGGCCAACACAATGTAGGTGCCAAAAACGATGAATTTTGACTTTTATCAGATCTTACTCATACTGAAGCCCTATAAGTGAGTAGTGTATCGTATCTAGGGGACTACACTGATCATCATACAGTAGAAACAGTATTCATATCTAGCCAACTGGTAGCCTAATTTGCCATTTATATGATGAATACTTTGGATATAATCTTTGCACTCTCCTACTGCTTATCATAGGTATGTAATCAAGGTATGTTTTATATCATCATATATACACTGATCCGTATGTCACATCCCCTTCTACTAAGGAAGCAATAGCCTTAGCTGTATAGAGATACACTACTCTAAACTCAGAATCTACTTTTTCTGATTATCTTAGAATCTAGGTTTCTTCCTAATATTCAATGAATAGAGTATATTCACAGAATAGAGTATATTCATTAAGATATTTTAATCTCACTGTTACCTATAGTACATGTACTTTGTATAGTAAGTACAGGGGGTCATTCCTGGACTTGTAAATTTTAGATATTTGCAGTTTACTTAGTTAGATATTTGATTAATCGTTTTCAGAACAGTTTTTTGCTACTAATTATTTTTATCATAGTTAATATTAATTATTGTGTCCAGAATGTTTCTGTGCTTATAATTGATTTTAAAAATACAAATATTTTTTTTGCCATTTCACCCAAACCGCCATCGGCATCTTGGAAAAGTTTCAGTGAACATAATTTCCTTGTGGTTGCTTAGCCACATCTATTGAGATATTGACTTTTGTTGCCCAATGATAATTAACCCCAAATATGCAAAGTTTTTCTTTCTGGTTGAAATTATGTTCACTGAAACTTTTCCAAGATGCCGATGGCGGTTTGGGTGAAATTTTTATTTCACTGAAATTCCCAATAGTTTCAATATGCACAAATAATTGTTGTGCAGATAACTATCTCTGAATGACCTCCGTTATGCATCCCTAAACCATGATTCCACCTCCACCATATTTTTGGGTTAGGGTAATATGGTGATCCTGGAGGACTCCACCTGGTTTACATAAGCATCTTTCACATCCATCTGCTCCATTGAGGTATATTCTTGTCTCATCTGACCAAATTACCTAACTCCAATTGGTGTCTGTCCAGCTCCCAAAGGCCATAGCAAATTGGTGTCAATCCTTATAATGGCGATCTTTCAGTTGAGGGATATTTATTCTGTGCATAGATCGAATCCCTTGGTGACATAGTGTGCATCTGATAGTATACACTGAGATGTGCATACCAGAGTATTGTGCCAGCTGTTGTCAGATCTGCATTGCTGTGGAACATGCACCAGTGGAGGTCATTCAGAGCTAGTTATCTGCACAACAACTATTTATACATGTTGAAACTATTGGCAATTTCAGTGAAATAAAAATTCCACCCAAACCACCATCGGCACCTTGGAAAAGTTTCAGTGAACATAATTTCAACCAGAAAGAAAAACTTTGCATATTTAGGGCTAATTATTATTGGACAACAAAAGTCAATATCTCAATAGATGTGGCTAAGTAACTACAAGGAAATTATGTTCACTGAAACTTTTCCAAGATGCCGATAGCAGTTTGGGTGAAATGGCAAAAAAAATATTTGTATTTTTAAAATCAATTATACACTCAAAAACATTCTGGACACAATAACTAATAATAACTATGAAAAAAATAATTAGTAGTAAAAAATAGTTCTGAAAACGATTATTCAAATAACTATCTAACAAAATTGTAATTTACTAAAATTTATAAGTCCAGGAATGACCCCCTATGGCCATCTAGCATAAGAGTAATATGCTTAAACCCTTTAGGATTCTGAATCTTTGCTGAGATCACTCTTAGTTCTGGAGTTGAGAACATTGTGTGCAAGTAGTGAGAGAGCTTCTTATTCAACTCGCTTAACTCTGAGATATAGAACATATTATAAATAACTTGGTAGCTACTCTTAGGAATAAACCTCTCCATCTCATTGATTGATAGCCCAGCAACTAACTGGTACAAAATTAAGAGTCCTTTCTCAACATTTCTATATGGGCCTGGATACTGCTTTCCACCAAACAACACATTTAAGAAGAAGAACACAGGGATCATTCCAAGTTGCTTTACAAGTGTTTCTTTGATAAGCTTTATTTCTTTTACTTCATGAGCTTCACTCCTGTAATACTTCTGCTGTTTATGCACTAAC